CTAACCCTAACCCTAACCCTAACCCTAACCCTAACCCTAACCCTAACCCTAACCCTAACCCTAACCCTAACCCTAACCCTAACCCTAACCCTAACCCTAACCCTAACCCTAACCCTAACCCTAACCCTAACCCTAACCCTACGAGAAATCTCACGTGCGATACCGTGAGCGAGACGCTCTACTCTGGGTGGATGAACAAGCGCGTGCGACAGACACTCCAAGGGACTCCTTCTGCGCAACCTTGCGAGTCGCCTTCCGTCCGTGTGGTCGGTATCGCTCATGGGCCACTTCTGCAAGACGGACATCCGCTCGTCAGTATATCATTGCGTTGCACCTGGTTTATCTCCTGGTGATGGGATCGTACGCTCACGAAAGACGCGAAGTACAGTCTAGCTAGACGATCCACACAACCAAACACCAACAACCACGATAGCAATGAACACGCTAGACTGGAGGCGCTACGAGAGCGGGCGAGTCCGAGTATTTATATTACTAGGGGATAGATTGTGTTGTTTATGCCAGTTCCAGACGAGCTGGACTGAAGCGAGAAGTCGAGTGGGGCAATCGGACGTCTCGGCGTTCTTACGAGCGCTTTCGGGTTTGATTGAAGTTCACAAGGCGGTTTAATGCGCTCGGAAGTTCAGGCTTTTATGATGTGTAAAGTGCGGGTTAACGCGGTTGTGTTTATTTGGTGTGGTGTGTAGGTACTAGGGCTTCTCTGCGCGGGGCCGGAAAAGTCCCCGAATCGTATGTAGGTCTCGGTATATAACTTGAACGCGTCGTCTCGGCCGTCCAGACCGCGCGGTAACACACAATGCCTATCTCTGAGTCAAAATCCAACTATAACGCCTATCCGCGCGTTCTCCTGTCCGAATAATCGCGCAATGACTGCGGTTCCTGGCGGTAGAGCGGTTGACTGGTCGGGTATCCTCCTGCGCCGCGATGCCGGGCGCGATTCCACACTTGTTGATGTTTACCAAGGCAAGGCCGGCCTGGTTTCCACCGGTTCCCTTGTGCGCGACGCGGCTCAGAGGCCTGCGCGGCGGGGAGCGTACAGCCTAGACTGTCGATACGCGGGGAGTGAAGCCCTTGCCGGGGCGGACAGCGCTTGGCAGCGCCGACGCTCGGTTCGGAGTTCAACTCGGCGATGTCCGAGATCACGAGCTCGGACCCGAAGTTCCGGTCTCGGACCCGAAGTCACGTGTAGTCACGTTGATGGTTCGAGTTCCACTTGCGCGGTGCTCTGCGTGTCTCCGCATGACGGCGAGCAGCAGGAAGGCTTGTCCGAGCCCCAACAATAATCTAGATTCTCTTGACGCAGCAGGGCAAGAGGACTGAAGGCTTGAGGCGCGTATAGCGCGGCTACTTGATTAAGTAGGGCCCGCCAAAGGACTCGCAGGATGTCATCGACGACGCGCAGACTCGTGATCAGGCGCCGAAGAGCTCGCTGCTATCCTTGGTCAGTCATTGCAGACGGATAATGCTGCGGACTAGTTGTATTGAAGGTTAGGAAGCGTGGCGCTCCTGGTTTTCTATGTCATAAAATACCCCCGACGCGCCCGTTGTACAGTCGCGACGTCGGTGCAGTATATACGGATCCGCCCATACAATCTAGACCAAGTCGACTATATATCGCTTGTTTATGTATGTTTTTCCGCGTTTTTCTAGCCGCAGGGCGTATCACTGGCGAAGTCGGCGAAGACGAATCCGCATTTGGGATCACATAATTACCTGTGCAGAGCAAGGAACAGTAGCAGAATGTCGATATCGGGAAGGCCAGGATATCGCGGTCGCTGGCATGAACTCTGTGTCGCGCGTCTTCGTCGGCCTGCGAGCGCTCCGCTTGTCGGGGATGCCGGCCGTTCATCGAGATAGCGACCAACCTTACGAGCCTCGTGCGAGGTCTCCAAAGGCACGCACATGATAAATCGCGCAGTAGACCGGACGTAGACGTGCTCGTTCCGCACTTTTGCGGTCGCAGTCTATCCATATGTAGCGTGTCAGAGAATCGGTTAGCAATACGGGGACGACGTTCTCAATACACTCTTTCGGTTTGGCTACTTCTGCTTCTGTCATCGACGAAGCTCGCGGGCCTGATAAGCGCACATCACCTCATCCGCTGCCAGCACTGGCGCCCATCGGAGCGCTTTGGTTCGCCGAGGTCACGAAGAACAACAGAGGGCTCGCCACAGAAGCATTTGGCGGTGATGGGTACGTCTTCAAGTAGTAGCACGAGAAGAGGGTATGTTGCAAGCTAAAGGACGCATCGGCAGGGTACGTCAAGGAGAGAGCTTAAAAGCGAACCTTTGGATCTTGTACCGTGTTCTTGAACAGCAAGGGGGAACTTGGGAAGGATCGTTGGATGCGGATTCGCATAGTGTGCTGCGTGATGCTAGCATCACGCGCCATGACCGAGCGTCCCGTATCATCGGCGACGAGACTCGAAGACAACTCGATGGTTAGGCTTTGGAAGCTCAGAATCCTGAATGCTTGCATTGGGGACTTCAGTTGCAGCAGAATTGCGATCTTCATTCGACGCTTCGTACGTACAACCTGTCTGCAGGACGCATCAGCCGAGGATGTCCACGTGTAGGTCAGCAAAAAAGGACATACCAAGGTATCTATATCGCGTAGCTGCAAGCCCCAAGGCCCTGCCGAAACCTTCGCGCGACAAGTGTTCCGCATCACTACGCGTCTAGCGCGGCTCTCTCCTCATCCTCTATGACCAAGGGTCGAGAGCGCCGCCTATGCCTTGCCCAACCTCAGCCACAAGCACGAGCACGAGCACGAGAGATGAGCGATGGAAGTAGAGCGTAAGTGGTGGGCGGCGAGTTCGGCCTATGAGTGATCGTACTCTCAGCAGAAGTTTGCCTACCTATGCTTCACCAATGGCAGAATCGTCTGATCGCCGCCGCCGATGAACAGGAGATGGATTCGCGCAGAGTGTGGCGATGATTTTGCCCGTAAGGGATTGCCCGCGAAAGGTGCCGCTGGTTCCCATCGCAGTCGAATGATGGCGCTGCACGAAGGGTTAGTTGATGATGAAGCACGTCGATCAAGCAGCGCACTGTGCCGCACAGCGTAGCCATCTCCCGACGGTGTCCTTGGCCGGCCGCGTCGCCACGAACTGGACGTATATTATCCGAGCCGCATCCAGTATCAGCCTTGACGTAGTGAATAGCGATAGCGGCGCATCCTAAAGGCAGACTTGCCAATGCAACGTATAGTCAAGCGTTAGAGAAAGCGGTTAGCCCGAAGTAAGCTCTTATTCGAGGCGGAGGAAGAGGCGGCGCCGACCGTGTCAAAGCCCAGTCAGAACGTCGCAGTCGAGGGTCGAACACTACCGTTGAAAATTTCGAAGTCGTCGACATTCAGAGCCAACCTGTCAATTAGCTGATTCCGCATCTGGTCAGGAAGTTGCTGCGAAGAAGGCCCAATTCAAAAGACACGAGGAAAGAGGGGACGCACGGATTTAACATGAAGAACTCACCATACGTCGAAGAAGCGCTCGTCCATATAAGCCATTCCATCCCCGAATAGGCAGTTTCAAAGACAATTGTCGAGAAAGGGGTACCATCGGTAAACACGTCGCCATCCATAACGCGATGTCAATATCTGCGAGAAGTGTCAGCGAGAGTGCAAAGGGAAGGGCGCTGGACTGGGTTAAGCGCTGGCGCGCGAGAGGGAAAGAAAGGATGAGAGGATCATGCGTTGATAAGATCACGCGCCGGCGTTGCTAGCGGCCTTCATGAGAGTCATATAGAGACCATACGCCCTAGTGACACCTCTCCTCGCGCGCATCATCCGTAAGATGAAGACCGAGAGCGCACCTGGTTGACATGACACGCTCGCGCCGGGTCTTCGCGCGCGGAAATGAACTTCTCCTCGTCAATCAGCTGTCCTCCTGCACACGATAATCGCCATCGCGCGGCATCACTCGCCTCCGCGTGCGAGGACGAGCACGACGCAGTCGAGGGAGGCGGGCAGCATAATGGAGACTTTTCGCCCGCGGGAGCTTATCGCGCCCGCCGCGGAGGCTAACCTTGAGGAGGGCGCCTCGAGGCGGGACAAGGTCGACTCGTGCATATGCAGCCGCTGCCTTGTGGTCCCGGAAATGGAAGGTCGAGTACGAGGAGTCGGATCGATGGCGGGTACATCTTGAGATTCCTAGGGACAGACCTCCCGAGGTGGCGCTTCGATCCCTTCGATCGCTTGGAAGATTGGGCTGGCGGGGTCATGCGTGGTGAGCGAGTGATGAGGGCGGAAGACTTGAAAGTGGGATGCGCGAGTCAAAAGGGGCGAGAAAAGGGGGGAGGGTTGCGCTGCCGAGCGCGACCAACCTGAGGACCGCCACCATTCCGGGGGAGGGAGGCGACTCGAGATTAGCCAAACGCGCCAAACGCGCTTCTAGCTCCTCGAGCGGCAGCCTCATTTGTCGTGGATCGCGCTTTTGAAGGCAGCTGGCGCGATTGACTCAGAGCGGCGGCGAGGGGGAGACAAGAGGCACCGGCGCCGGCGATATCGTCGACGAGCATGACGGGGAACCGATAGATGGGGGCGAGGAGACCGGGAAAATGCGTGTATTTGTAAAGCGGAGACAAAACGATGCTAGGTGGGTGGGAGATGCGCGAAAGCGCCTGCCTAAGATGGAACAAAGCCGCGGGGTAGCCGAGGACAAGGTGCGCGGTATGCGCGTACGCCGCGTCGAGCGCTAAAATCGCGCCCGTGCTCGTAACCCGGGCCAAGCGGCAGTGACCAGGCGACCTTTCGTGTTCGGGCGCATAGTACAGTCGCCAGAATTGGGTCCCTACACATCCCCGTTATCAGTATATCCTTTGTAGTCGGGCGACAGGTGAATGTACACTACTCACAGAAGCAAAGCAACCCGCCTATTCCAGTGCACTATGCCAGCGAACAGTCCTTCCCGTCATCAATAGGGGAACTTCGAGGAGTATACTGTGATTTCTTGAAGCGTCTCCTCGCTGAACTTGTCTCGGGGTATGACACGAAGGCCGTCGTGCTTCTCCTCTTCACCTTCCATCCACGAGCCCGTGATGAACACGCACTGTCCCGTCGTTCCACAGGATTCGGAGAAAGTAGACGAAACTTCGTGTTGTAGCTGAGGACCGACAAAGCTGACGGACACCTGTTGATCGAACTCCAGCGTCGTAGCAAGTTGTCGCATGAGCTGCTTCCTGCTCGACTGGATGTCCTTCCTGCGGTCTTCGAGGCGTCGAACCTCTCGGTCGACTTCCGCGATGATTTCGCGCCGGCGAGCACGAACATAGTCGCATGCTAGTACGCGCATGAGGTGCATGTCGCGTGGGCCGGTCTTCGTGATCATATCTAGGGTACACATTCAGGACGAGGAAGCACTCAGCTCACAGTACTCACCGTCATGGACATCGCAGTCCCTATGATGCTCAGCAATCCAATGCTTCCTCTGGCACGCCTTCGAGCAGTAATACACACGCTTGCATTCGCAGGTGCGAAGCTTGAGATGCGGCTGCGTGCGTCTAGGACACTGGAAATTATGTCAGTGCAAGTTGGATGCTCGAGGCAGCGTCAATCTTACCTCTGCAGAGTGGCAAAGGTTCTTCTTCAACGCCCAATCCTTACGCGCGACGATCATTAATGGCACGCGCGCGTCGTAGACCTCCTTGAGCACCGCAATGGCCATGACACGCTGAGCGGCTGCTCGGAAAGCCGGGTCCACCTCATGCTTCCGGTAGAACGAGAGCAGCACGCGATAGTGGATGAAGCTGCGGTACAGCGTCTGCAAGACTGGACGAAGTGTCTCGTGGTATTCATGGGGCGGCGAATATGCAACCATGATGCGCAGAATCGGATAGAGGATCCCGTCATTGATGGACCATTCCAAGGTACGATTGTCCGAGGTGACGAGCCAGAGTCGCTCGAGATAGCGGATCGCAGTCACGGCCGCCTTGCACTCGTGGGCTGACCCGCGCGACCGACGGTCGATGACATGCACGAGCTTCGAGACGACTCGGCGAGGGCATGTGTAGGGGTGAAGCTCCTTCACGCCGAGCAGCGTGTTCGCCGCCGCGAATAGCATACACTGCGCGTCGATCTCCGGCGGCGGCGATCCTGTGAGAACCTCCGCGTAGCGCGCGATTGTCTTGCAGAGGCGGCGAGGATGCTTGCCGAATACGTGGACCAGTTCACGGGATAGCTTCTTCCTCGCCTCCGCGCGCGCAAGGTTACCGCCCATAGGTACATCGTACAGGAACAGGAGGTTCGAGACCGCCGACGCGGCCAGAGGCGCGGGAGAGAACTTGTTGTAGCGGAAGAAGTTCGCCCAGATATCGATGTTCATAGTGACGAAGCCAGCAGTGTCGAGAAAGCGAATGAGGTTCTGGTCGTTGCGGGGCAGGGATATCATGCCACTGGCGGCATTGACGATCTGGAAGGTCGTGTGTTGGTAGTCGCGCGTCTTTTCGGAGCGCGTCACGTTCCCGTTCATCGGGTGGATGAAGCTCATCCATCTGCAAGCCGAAGAAGTCATCCTCTCCGCGAACGCCACGACGCGTAGCTTGTGCTTCATCTCGCGCTCGATAAGGCTGCAGAGGTTCTGATACTGATCGAGGGCTTGTACGGCGGATTTTAGAGGTTCCTCGTCGAGGGATATGACGGGGCCACCGCTATACGACGGCGCAGGCGAGGCTTCCTCAAGCGCTCCGAGGGGACAGCCGTTCTGCACTAGATCTTCGATCCTGTCCGAGAGGTAATTCTTGCGCGCCTGCGCGCTGGGATCCGACGTGGGTGACATGGATAACTCCTCGAGCTCGTCAAGAAGGGAGGTAAGCGCGCTCAGGTCACGCTGCTGAGCTCGGGCGGCGAAGGCCATGGTGGTATGAACGAAAGCGCGTCACTGTTAGTCACGCGTGCGTGAAGTTCGCTGTTCGAATACGGCGTTATGTGGCAAATGTCTTCTCAACATTGACCTCCCATAGCCCTTCGTAGACTCTCGGTATGGCAGCGGCATTCAAAGAGGAGAGCGCAGTTGAGCTTACATGCCACGGATGCCGAGTCTTGTCTCGATTGCGACTGCCTACTCGGAGCGGCCGTGTCGACACCGTCACCAAGGATACTGCACACAATATATAGCATGCGAGACAGTGAGTAATACAGCGCGAGTGGGCGACGCGATCAGCATGGAAGGCGCCAGGCCGAACCCGCGGCACCACCGACATCCCGCCCCGGACCCCATACCCAAAAGCACTACACGACCCCAATGGCGAGGGCACGACGAGGGCAACGTCTATGACGCGCGCGCTCCTCACGCCACGCCCAGGCCCGCGAGCTCCGCCTTAAGCGCACCCTCGCCCTCGATCTTCTTGATTTGCGTCGCCTCCAGCCGCTCTCCGCGCTTCGCCTTCTCCTTGAGCTCCTCGATGGCCTTGAGCTAGATAACGCGCGTTAACTGCCCGCTCGTTCGACTCAACTCGCACACCGCACTCACCTTCTTCGTCAGATTCCTGACCTTCTTCGCCGTGGGGTCCAGCGAGCCATCGACCGGCGTCTGCGGCTCCGCGGCTGGCGGCACGGGCGTCGCAGCCCCGCTTGGCGTCCCCGCCCCATTCGTGGTCCCATTCCCGTTCGCGCTCGTCTTCCCGTTCGCGCCACGCTGCGGCCTCGGGCGCCCATCCATGCTCCCACGCGGGCTCCCACGCCGATTCGGCGTCGCCGCTCCATCCGCGGGCGTGGCAGCCCCGCTATCCTCCCCGCCGCCCTGCTTCCCCTTCTTGTTCTTCCGCTTGTTCTTCCCCTCGCCGCCGGGACCCGGGCTCGGACTGTGGTGTTGCGGCGGCGGAGCGCCAGGTACATGGCGCCGCTGCCCAGGCACGCGCGGCTCGGGCGAGCGCGCACCAGCAGGGGAGTGCGTGCCGTTCGTCGGAAGACGCGGCGCGCCGCCCTCGTCCTCGCGCTTGAAGATGCTCGGTGCGGCGAGTCCGCGCGCGCCAGGTGGGCGGTAAGCACCTGCGGGCTTGCTCACTGGCTTCGCGGCGGCGACCTGCGATACGGACGCCGAGGCAGCCGGCGCAGGAGGGATCTGCGCGGGGAAGGGCGGGACGTCCTCGATGCGCGCTGGGCGCCAGGAGGCCTGGTAGAGCTCGTCGGTGCGCTGGACGTGCATGAGCGGGCCCGTGCAATGCCAGAGCATGACTCCGTTGTCGACGCGCAGGCGCGGGGAAAGCGTCGCCGTGAGGAGGAAGCGGCCGTCAGGCGACCACTGGCAAACGCTCGTGTTCGGCGCGTCGATAGTCGTGACCTTGGTGAGCGTGCGGCGGTCGAAGATGTTGATCTTGCCTGCGAGGTTGCCAAAGCCGGCAAGTGCGATCAGGCGACCCTGAGGGTTGAAGGAGATGTAGTTCTGCGGAGCGGAGCCGAAGTCATGCAACGTGCGCACACGCTGGTCGAAGAGCACAGCCTTGGCGGGCATGTCTATGAACATGTTGGCGCAAAGTACCAACGAAGATGGAGTAGGACGTACAGCCATAGACCACGCCGAACTCCTTCGAGTTCGGACTCCACGCAAAGTCGTGGATAGGGCCCTCCTTGTCGAGCGTGACGCGGCAGTCGAAGTTGCCGGCGGCGCTGAGAAGATACAGCATCGTCTCGCCGTAGTAGCTCTTGTTTGTCTTGTCGACGTCCGTGTGCGTAAGCAGCAGGACCTGCGTGCCGAGATCGTTCCACTTGATTTGGCCGCGGTCTGCCTTAAAGAAGTTCTTCTGGCACGTCGGCGGCGCGGACGACAGCGTCAGTAGCGAGTAGACCTTGATGCTCGCGGGCGCGCCCTTGAACAGTGTCAGCGGAAGGACGAGGGGTAACGATCGTGCCACGCACCTTCTTTTCAGCGATAAAGACAGCGACGCTCGGGTTCAGACCGGGGCTGAGGCTCACGCTCGTCGCCCCCTCAACGCGCAGCTTGTCGACGATCCCCTTACTCCACTCAGACGGGCGGAAGACCTGGATCTCGGGCCCGACGAGACGGATGGCGTGCGACTCGGAGATGGTGTACTGCATGTCCCAGCCCTCCTGCGCGCGCTGTGAGAAGGACGTGAGCTCCTCGCCAGTCGAGACCGAGAAGATGCGATGGTTCTTGTGCTGCGAGCCGTCTTCCAGCTTAGCTTCAGGGGAGTGAGTATGCATTCGTGGCGATGTGACGCGCAGACGCACCTGGCCTCTCCCATGTGGAGAGATATGTGCCGCGGGGGGAGAAGTTGAGCTCAACGATGTTCGGGTGAGGGAGCTCTTGCAGCAGCTGTGCATTCTCGGCTTGAAAGATGCGGACGCTAGGTAAATGGTCAGTCGCGAGATCGGAAGACACATCGTGGCCACGTACACGTTGGGCAGGGCATACGCAAACAGTCTGCCGTCGCTGCTATAGCAGAACGTGCGCGCCGCCGTGTCCGGAATCTCAAAGTTTGCGACGGGGGCGTAATCCGGCGCTCCAGTGACGAGGCCCAGCGACTTTTGCGCGCGGTCTGGGAGGGAAGATCAGCAGGCCGCGCGTGCATCGGCGAGATCGCGACGCACATGCGTATTGTTGGGTCATCTGGGAGGCCATCGCGATAGCTCGAGAGGATTGGGGCGAGGGAAGAAGAGCCTACGGCGGGCTCGAGGCAAGCTAATGCCTCGGCGACTTTTGTGCGTGGTGAGGGGAAGGAACAAGACCGAAAATCAGTGCCGCCAGCGCGCGGTCTTTTCGCCATGTGGCGTCCGCGTGCGTGGCGCCGCCGACGTCGATCACGGATCAGACATCCCTTGTCCGTTCCCCTTGTCCTTGTACTTCTTGGCCGGCATCTCTATCGAAGATAACTGTCTATACTGACTCTATTCCTCAATATCTAAACATCGGTCATATAGGCCCTACGCAGGATCTCCTAGGTGGGCTCTGACGCGAAAACCGTTGCCATCCCTTCGCCTCAAGATACAGCTGCGCGACGCAGCGTTGATCGTGCTGATGCTCACGTTTCATGGAACCAGTCCTTTTCAAAGGCAACCAAATTCGTATGCCTCTATCAAAGGGTTGGGCGCTTCGTTTCCTTGTTCGAACTAGTTCCCCCGGCGTGCTCTCTACTCGCCCATACCCCAGCCACGATATTTCCCGCAATCACTATACCAGTGCTAGTGTTTCCGCGTGTGTGATCTCGAATAATTTAGCTTTCATTCCTATCATATCCTCCGTCCGCTTCACTATCTGGTACCCTTAGTACGGTAGGAGATGGAACGAGCGGGGTGAGGGAAGCGATACGAAAGCAATTGGGAATGACGCGAGACTCGCGCGCATTGCTTGAACCTGGTTGAGATGGTACGTCTTGTCTCTCGCTCAATTGCTGCGCATGTGCTGATGAAATGCATTCTCAGCGCACATCGGTACTCGCCCGTAGCTCATACACGCAATACGACAGCAGATTCCCCTTCCCGTATCCGCATCCCCATGGCTCGTGAGAGCCGGTTCGTCTTCCCGCTCGCGGACTACGCCTTGAACCCCTTCAAACACTCCCCCCTCGTCTTCAGCCAGCGGACGATTGACCTAGGCAACTGACCATGATCATCCGCAGTGCAGGTATCTTTGAACCCGGCGAATCAACTATGTCGCGAAGTAGAGGCGTCAGATCATTTCTGCGCGCTCGTAAATTGAGGCGCTTCAAGCAAATCAATGTCCAGTGGTCACGACACACAGGCGCAAAGGACTAGCAGTTTCACGGAATCACGGTACGAGGTCGTAGTGGCATCAAATAGCGAAGTAAAGTGACGCTTCAAGACCTAACTGCCCTCCCAAACAACCGCTCGCGGAGCGCCAAGTTCGACAACGTCGTGGGTGCGTTTGGGACGGGAATATCTGAATTACACTTCAAAACACATGTCAAGCTAGAAGATTGAAAGTGCTCACTGATAAAGGCTTGCGTTAACGGACGATACCTCGGACGGACGCGACCTGCCCATGCCTCTGGTACAAAATACATCCGGCGGACACACTCGCGCTCTTCCTGCATGAAGACATAGTCTATCACGACCGCGAGCTTCTCGATGTCCGGATAGATCTCGGACGAAGTGCCGACTAATTCGAGAGACAAGTCGCCCACATTCAATCTGGCATGTAGCGGACGGCCGGTAGCACTGCGAGCCGCGGGAGGGATCGACGCGTAGAGCCCCTTAAAACAGGCTTTGGCTTCCACGGTAAATCGGTGTACCGCCTTCGCGGATAGGACGCCTGCGCAAAGCGAAGTGAGATAGACGTTGTAGTACCAAGTCGCACCGAATGACTCACCGTGTTTATCGACGTTCTCGCTTGGACAACTTATCCTGTGCTCGTGATCCCAGTGTGATCGCTGACAGGATTTTGAGCAGTAAAGGGCTTCGCCACATGAGCATGACAGCAGCTTTGGATCTGGGGTGCCGGCATTAGGACACTGACCATCAGAGGATCAGTCACCTTCGCCAACTCGGAAGAAGTCGCGCACCCACCTTTGCCGAGCAGCACGTATAGCATAGATCCCATGTTTTCGAAGCTTCGCGTAGCAGTTGCCATTGTTGCTCGAAGCGGCCTATAATCCCCTGCTCGCGAGAAGTGAATTGTATGGCGGGATTGGCGGCCTTGAAGTTCTCAATTGTCGCATAGAACCCATTCACGGCGCGGACCGAGTCCAATGCCTGAGGAATCCCGCCGAGCACGGCAGCGAGAGAATGGATCCGCGGGTCCGCTATACGTAGACGCACGAGGGAGCAGAACAGGCCGTAGCTAACGAGGTGAGAAAGGACATGTGGGCTGCGAAGACATAACGGTCCGACGACACCCCACGATGGGCGCCACAAGTCAGGACGTCCTTGGTCGAGGTTAAAGCTCATCGTCTTCCAGACCGCCTCTGTCAATCTGTCGGAGGATGAACCCACAGGGCCAAAGTTAGGCACGGAAAGTAGAGTGCCCACGCCGAAGAGGAACGTGGGCATGCATACGGACGCCTCTCGATATAGGAAGGTGACGGCGAGCTCGTGGATGTAGCGCGTACAGCGGCTGAAGAAAGCTCGAGGCTTGCGACCGCAGACCCGACGGATGTCGGATATGATGATGGCACGCGCTGTCTCGTCGTTCATGACGATCTCCAGGTAGAGTGGTAGCAGAGTGACGCAGAAACCTATGGGCGCCTCTGACCCTTCACTGCTAGCGAGATCGTAGACGTTCCTCCAACGGCTCCAACAGTTGACAATCGCTGATGTTATCCGTTGCCTGCTGTCGAGTATCAAAGCGATGACGCGCTCGCGAGGACTACGATGGGCGAAAGTGCTCATGAAGGCGAGCGCGCGTGTGGTCAACTGCATCCTCACGAGGCGGGTGTCCGGTGTCGGGACCGGCAAGTCGCTGACGTCGCCAAAAGGAAGAAGGAAGTCGATCCAGGCGAAGGCAGACAGGAAGAAGGAATTGTCGAAGGGGCAGAGTTTGGGCCGACGAAGATCGCGGGCAATCTCGCAGAGAGACTGTATGCAGAAATAGGCGGTGCACAGAGTCTTCATGTGCATGACGGCGTCCGGACGCGCGAAGTATACCGCCAAGGGCGTCTCCTGCGGCGGTTCCTCGTCCAAAACCTCCTGCAAGAGGCGACGGCGATGCACGATGTTGTTGATCTGCGTGAGCTCGACGGCGTGACTGATACCGGGGTCGTCATCGCCGTTGACCGCAACGAGGAGGCGGCGCAAAGCGAGGATTTCGTCGTGAAGGGCGGCCATGGCGGTCTGAAGATGACGAACGGAGCTAGGTCGGCGCTCAACGGCTGCCGCGCGTCAGACGTCCCGGTCTCCCCGCAGATTCTTAGAAGCATCTTACCCGAGCTGTCCGCGGGGTTACTTACAATGACGCGCAAACGCAGGACGTTGTCACTCAGCACGGCGGGATAGAAGGCTTACCGACCGCGCTCTCGCTCATCTCCGGCACTCGTATGTCTCGTGCATTAGTTGATCGTATAAGCAAAAGAGAAGTATAGGTATCAAACACGCGCCAGTAGTATGCAACAAGCCTGGAGGATGCGCCTTCCGCAAGCGCGCCAGGCGGAGCGCATGCGCTCAGCGCTACCGAGCCCGCCCGACGCGAGGTAGTCCACGTAAATCCATCATCTCTCACCCCAAGCCATTCGTCCCTCACTCCCTCAAACCACCCGCCGGGCCATCCCCGAAGATCGAGTCCCACACCTTCTTGTCCTCCTCGAACCACCAGAGGATCGCCCAGACGGCGAGACCGCAGATGATGAGGAGCGAGATGAGCGCACCCATCATCCAGAGGAGAGGCTGCATGATGGAGTCGTCGGCTGGGAGGTCCTATCAGCAACGCGTCGTGGCGAAAGAACCAAGGTCGAAAGCGCAACAAGAAAGGCAGAAAGAAAGAGCGAACGGAAAAACGCCGAACCAACGAGCGCCGCGACGCACCCCCATGACCCTCAGCGACGAGCAGCCCTCGATGCCCACACAGCGACCGCGACCGCGCCCACGACGAACGACGCTCCCAGCGCACCCGATACTGAAGAGGCAATCGTGCACTCACATCCATTCCGCACCGCGCCGTCCGTCCTGCCCAACCGCGCGCGCATCTCCTCCATCCGCTTCTTCTTCGCCAGCTCCTCCTCGCGCTGCTGGTCCGCGATCGCGACGAGCGAGCGCGGGTCCGAGGGGTCGAAGCCGGCCTTGCCCTGCTCGACGTGCACGAAGGACGGGTAGTTCTTCTCGCACCATTGCTCGATCTGTACCCAGCGTCAGTCCGACAAGAAGGATGAGAAGGTCGAGCGAGCTCACCTTGCCGCACGCGACAGATATGCGGAGGAAGTTGGGGTCCTTGGGTGATGCGCGCGAGTGCAGCTTGCGCGTGTACTTGCGGAAAATCTCGGCGACCTCGCGCGGGTTGGTCGAGTTCATGATGAGCTGCAAACTTGGTCAGCCAGTTTACTGGAATGCACAACTCAAACGACTCACATCCGCCGCTGCCGCCTTCCTGATCTTTATATTCCGCTGGAACATCTCCGGGTTCATGAAGCACAGCTCGAGCGTCGCGATCGCCATCGTCTGCGGGATGGCGCAGAAGTTGAACACGCTCTGGTTCTTCAGACAGCGCAAGTAATCCAGCACGTCCGGCACATGGTTCAGCGCGTTCAGGATCATCGCGCTCTGCGCATACAGCGCACGCTCCACGACCTCCGGCTCCGTCCCGCACATCTCCTTCACGTCCCCGAACCCGAACTGCCCCCAGATCTCGCGCGGCCAGAAGAAGCGGCGCTCGTCCACGTCCTCGCGGAAGTCGCGGATGATGTTCGTCTTTTGGAGGAAGAGGCCCATGGAGTTGGCGAGCTCGAGCTCGGTGCCGAGCCAGGGGGCTTCCTTTTTGGAGGCGGTGAAGAGGCGGGAGCAGCCCTCGCCGACGAGGCCGGCGACGTAGTGGCAGTAGAGGTCGTAATCCTCCGTCTTCTCGAGGTAGACGGAGCCAGTGGTGGCGTGTCGGTGCGCGTAGTCGGCCATGCCGACCTCCATCTTGGCGCAGATGTCGACGATGATGTCGCGGTATCTGGGAAGGTGTAAGCACGAGGAGTTGAGATATGACTGTTGATGCAGTAGGACGACAACTCGCGTGCAGCACGCGGATACAATGCTGGTCAAGCGCAGCGGACGCAGGACCTCTGCCGTGTGTAACCACATGTGGTGCGGCTGATATTGACGCACGACGCCTCTGCCTGGTGTGCAAAGCGAAGCAGGCCTCAAGCCCGACGCAAAGAAGATGAAAGCGAAAGGTGCAAAGCTCGCGAGACCACCGCAAGAAACGAAGGACGGTATCCGAGCGAGATCGCACGCGAGGCGAGTAGGCAACGCGTCACGCTATGCACACCGCAATGGAAAGGTCCTGACGACCCGGAAGGAAGATGAGGAGGAAGGGAAACGAGAAGTACGGCAGGGAAGGCGGAGGGTATGTGGATTGGATTGCACGAAAAGTATACGAGCGTCAAAAGGCGCACGGCACAGGAAGGGAAGGGGACTCACTCGGGCTGGAGTATATGCAGCTCTTCGACCACGACATTGTATTCGACGAGTAATTGGCGGTCCTTTTCGTTGGGGCCAGACTCCTTAAACGTCCAGCCGGGCGTAACGGTGTGTTCGTGGAACTTGCGTAGTATGGGCTGCTTGACCTCGTCCGGAATCGTCATGTCATCCTCGATCGTATCGAGCCCTCGCAGGACGAGGTAGAACAAGCAGACCTGAAATGCGGGGTATGCATTAGCACTCGCGCGCGTCACAAGCACGACAACCACGCACCACGCGCGCAAGGTCTCCCTCCAGCTCCTTGATCACCGCAGCAAACGAGCGACTCGTCAAGTCGAGGAAGTGCCAGCAGCGGCGCATCGACTCCCTGTCCCAGCCCGACGTCTCGTGCTCCTGCATCGCGGTAATGTCGCGCTTCTGCTCATGGTTGATGTAGAACTGGACGAGCGTGCGGAACTCGTTGGGGTGCGTGAGCGCCATGACGACCCATTTTCCGATGCCCATGGTGTTCTGCTGGATAGGAGGGGATGAAGGAGAGTGGGGGAATCAGGAGACCGTACGTGGACCTGGCGGAACCGGAACGCGGGTCGTACGACGCCACGCCAGGACACATTTTCACACGTGACCATGATCGGGACCTGTCCCCGCATCGTCCGGTCCGGGCGCGAGCGCTTTTCTTCCCCCGTCCACCGCAATCATGGACGCGCCACTGGTACCGCCGACGCGCATCGAGGTCTCCTCGTCAACGCCGATGTCCGCCGAGAAGGCCGCCAAGCGACTTGACGCCTTCATCACCGCGTTTGGCGAGCGCAGCCAGGCAGCAGAGGGAGGAAGTACGGCGGTGACCGTGCAGCTGCAGAAGCTCAAAGACGCGTTAGTCGAGGAGCGCAAGCACGTCCAGAATGCATCATGTGCGAATCCGTCTGCTCTATACTTGAGCGCTATACTTACACCTCCATAGGACTTCGGCCCTCTTTCTCAGTTTCAGGGATACTTCCCCCGAGTCTTCACCATATGTCAATCAGCGACTCTGCCGTCGATTTTGTGTACTCTCATTTACTGGAGCTCTGTATCAATCAATCCATCTCTGACTGATAGGCACTCTGGCAAGCCTTCGTACACCCGTTTTCGTCCCCTACGGTCGGTTCCCTGCTCTGAAGTCAGCTACGTGTCCCATCTTCACAGCCGTGCCCCTCAGTTGAAGTCAGTTTGATGCATCTCTGAATTTCGAGCATTCGCTGTCGAGGCCCTCATCCGTAAGACCTCCGAGAGGTGTGACCCCCCTTTCACGCGCCTTTCATTATGCCTATCGAGCCCCGGTCCGGAAGCTTTGTGACAAGAACAAGGATGTCCATATCAGGATGGCCGATGGTAGATCACGTTGATAGATACAATCCATGCACGCCCCTCGTCATACACGTTGCGTGATCTATACTTCTCTATTTCCTTCTCATTCGCGCCGCTCCTACCTTGCTTCGGATGTCCTTCGAATCGGCGTACTACAGCACCCAATTCGACGCGACGGTAAGCGCTCGGACGAGATCTGCCTCCGTACATCACGCTAAGCGCCGTGCCAGGTACACGAGGCGTGGGTGGCCGATCCGCCAGGCGCGCAAGTACCCACCATTGTGAGAGCCTTTGCTTGAGTATCGACGTCCCATGTATACGACGAGTGCGAGTAGACAGACGACTATGCGGCGGAGCTGCAAAGACTGCTCGAAGATGGATCGAACTTTGGCCCCATGGTGCGTGGCGGGCGCGGCGGCAAAGGACCCTGTAGCTGACTTGAGCAGGACCCCTTTATGCAGGACCCGCAGTGGCAGACGGCGCAGACAGGCTTTCCAGACATGAGCTTCGGACTCGACGCGAGCATACCCACCATAGACGACGCCGCACTGGATCAAATGCTCCTCGATGCCTTGCAAGCGACTCCCCCGGGATCGAATGAAGCCAGCACCTCGCCCGCCGTCTCGCCCGCCACCTCCCACGGCCCTCAAACTCCCCCTTCGGCGACATCAGATCAAGCACAAGACGTGAGGATAGTCACTTACGACGCGCCCAATCCCCCAATAAGCGCCGCCGCCCCCGTCCTCTTGCACAAGCCCCCGCAACAACCCACGAATTGGGGACCTACATCACTATATCAGAATGGATACTCGCGATTCAGCACGTACCCTGCCCCTCTCGTCGCCTCCCCCGCGGACCCCGACCCCTGCGCCACACTTCCCGGCCAGCACGTGACCCCGCAGCGATTCCGCTCGCGCCCTTCGCGCGCCCCCGATCCGCGCGCCCTCGCCAGGCAGAACGACCGGACGTACCACCCATACGCCAGGCCCGAGCCTAGGACGCACGTCCATAGCCCGCACACCCCTAGCCCGCTCGCCCAGACCTCGTACTCCCCCAGCCCGAACCCATACTCCCCCAACCCCTACTCCTCAAGCCCCCACTCCGCGGGCCCATACTCCTCGGGCCCATACTCCCCGAGTCCATACGCCCGCAGCGCGCCGCCCCACGGGCGCGTCGTCCTCCCCCACCCGCACCACGTCCTCCTCCCGCGCCGGAGCAAGTTCCGCGCGCAGCCCTGCATGAAGGTCTTCTTCACCTCGAACGGCGAGGCGCCCTTCCTCCCGGACATCCTGCTCGGCAACGCGCCCATCGACGGCGGCGAGGACGCCGTCTTCGAGGGCTGCGGCTGGATCCGGACGAAGGTCGAGATAGACGTGAGTGTCGAGTCCCCGCGGATCTGGTACGGAGCAACGCTGACGCCCCAAACGCCCAGCTCCCGCACCTGCTGGACAAGCCGCACAACCTGAACACCAAGGACCGCAAGGGGAATCCCGTCAAGCGCGAGTTCTTCGCCAAGTACCTCACCATGGAGATCCGCAGGCTGTTGGACAGTGTGAGGGATAAGCCGCGTGTGAGTGTCGGGATAGAAGAGTCTTTGCGTGCAGACTGACCTCGCAATTCTCCTCGTACCGAACGAGCTGACGACTATGCAGATCCGCACCTATGAAACCGAAGCGGAGCGCAGAATATTTGCCTCTTGGCCGCTGGAGCGTATCTCGTTCGACCGTCTGCGACTTGTTGGGGCCGACTACTACCGGGAGTGGGTGCCGAAGCTGATACTCGACGAGTCGCATCTCGTATGCCCTCATCAAGCGGTTGTATGGGATGTTTGAACGTCTGGGCAATGACGGTGCGGGACCTACGGCTATGACCGTATGGATACGGACCTTTGACGAACTTGACGACGAAAAGGGACCTATGTTTTTGGAAGATCTTGGACTTTCTGTATAAATTAGGCGATAAATACATGGTAGCGATTTCCGCGAAGTTGTAGTAGGTCTGCAGGAACGGTCAGGGAAGAAGGTGCGTGCGTTGGAGAGAACGTGCATAGGGGCAGTTAGGTAGTGATGCTCGAGCGCTTCACAAGACGACTAACGACTCGTCCTCCGCCGTCTTCGAGTTGCCTTGCCTCTTGTTCTGTCTCGCCATTCCGCGCATCTTCTTCTTCGTGACACTGAGCTATTTGAGCATGACCATCAGTACGCATCCAAAGACGCCAGAGACTACCGCTAAGCTCACCTCTGAGCCCACCGCTGCGAGCTCCTTGTCCTTCGCCCTTATTGCCCTCTCCTGATTTCTCACCTCCTCTTCCAACTTTTCTACGCGACGGTGCAGCCGCGCGTTCTTTTCTCGCGTCTGCTCGAGCTCGGTCTTGGTGTCCTCGGAAGCGCACTGGTACCACGTCGCCCTTTGCTCGCTAAGGCGAGATTTTTCCTGCAGTTCTGCAATGCGGCGCGAGAGCTTTTCGGTCTCATGTCGGGTGCGCGCGTGAGCGGCTTCTGAAGCTGATAGACTTGCTTCGAGTTGGCGGTTGCGCTCTTCAAGGCTTCTGGCTTTCTCTTGCGCGGACCCCAAATCCTGAATGATAGGCAATCGCGCCACCAAGCGCTCGGACGCTTCTCGAAGGGCGGCCTGAAATGGTTGAATGAAAGAAAATTCGCGAGAAAAAAAGAAGCGCGTACGATGGCCGCTTCACTGGCGTTGCTGCCACTCGTCGCAGCTTGCAGACGCTGTCCAAGGTGCTCGAGCGAGTAAGCTGTGTCAATATCGGCACGTGTGTCCATCGCTTCCGCCAGCTGTGATATATCGACAGAGAACGAGGCGTCCGGGTCTTCAAATTTGACGAATATGGGGTGTGGCGGGTATTGCTTGCGCTCGCGGCAGATAGCGCATTCTGGTCGCCCTTCGTCATGTCGTGAGCATTCAGTACACATTCCATGACCTGGGTGCATGAGTTTCTGGGGCGTTCCTTTGAGGGAATGAGTATGGCTCGACGTACCGCAGCGATGGAAGAGGAATTTGGAGATGTCCTTGCATTGGAAGCATATGGGGCAACGTGCTATAGTGCACATGTGCGCCACGTGTTCAGTGCAGGGCGTTATTGTGTTGGATATAGGCTCAGCCACGAAAGCTTGAAGGCGGGTGGTGGTAAAGGACAAGTTCGACTGACGAAGTGCCGGAGCATCATGTGATCGCGATGGTGAGCGAACGCCACAAACCCTCGGTCTTCCGGGCTGGTCCCGATCGCGACCAAAATTCCCCAGTCCGTCACAATTCCTACTGCTGATACCCAAACATGTCTTCCTCCTCGTCCGCGAGCTCATCGCGATCTTCATCTCCGGAGCCCATAATAAAGAATGCGAAGGGAAAGGGGAATGCTGGAGGCGCCAAGAACGAGGGCAGTGACGCGAACTGGGCGCTTGAGCTGCCAGCTGGCGCAGTCGCGATCGACAATGCGAGCGTCAGCGTGGGCGAGTTCGACTGGGATGCTGTCAACGCCGATCCAGACAACGAGGTCTGGCTGATCAGGATACCTGAGGGGGTGCGTGCATCGTCAGTGACGAAGGGAACATCGTACTGACATCGCGCAGGTGAAGCCCAAGCATCTCGAAGGCGCCGTGATGAGTGCATCGTCACTCTCGAAGTCTTCTCGCACCAGCAAGGTGGGGTCTCTGTGGCGCAAGCATACAACATACGACATTTGGTCACTCGCCGAGACCGATGACGCGGAGAACGCGGATCCGGAGGAGGCAGCGTCGACGCCTGTTGGCGGGGAGGAGCTACGCGCGCTCTCATGCTTGCTTCCGCGGAGGAAGAGGAAGGGGGATCTATACCTTGGCACGTTGATCGTCTCTTTGTAGATATCCTAGACGACTGACGCGCCAGACAGCACCTAAACCCATCGCCCGTCACCTCGTCCTCTCCGCCCGCGAAGTGCAGCCCACCGCCCCGCAGTCCGCTATTCCCCTACAGAACCCCCCTCGTCAATCATACCCGGAGGAGATGTTGACGCATAAATTCATGCCCTACGGGTCTTTGGTCGCGACCGGGGACGACGAGGATGTAGCCATGGACGAACCATCCGCTGAAGAACCAGCCCCGGCAAGCGTCGACGAGGGCTCCCACAAGAAGAAGGAGAAGAAGCACAAGAAGGAGACGAAGGGGAGCAAAGCGGAGGATGCGAAGGCGCAGAAGCGGAAAAGCGAAGACGACGACGCGCCCAAAAAGTCGAAGAAAAAGAAGGTCGCATAGCCGCCTTGGCGCGTATATCCATTTGTATCTCTTTCTTCTATGCATCGGTCATCTCGTGTACCCTCGTCTCGTTGAGCTCGCAAGCCGTTCGAGATCCAGCAGCTACTGTTACAACAGGTACGTCTTGATATACATGATTGTCCTCACGCCTCCACCCCTACTGTCACCCTCACCGTCTTCCACCGCTTGATCTGCGGACTCGTCACTGTCGTCCCGCTCTCCGGCGCCTTCCTCCCTCCCTCCCCCGCCCTCACCGCCAGGTCGGTCAACACCTCCGCCACCATGCCCACCGGGCTCAGCAGCCCCGGCGCAAACCACCGAAAGATCGGGCTCAGCACGATCTCCGCGTTTCGCACGCCAGGCGCCGCTGGCCTATGCCGCTTGGGGACCTCAACAATACCGGGGCGGACGTGGAGGACGCGCAGCTTGGAGGGTTGGGTAGAAGCGAGCTCGGTGAGCAGGCGCTCGGCGCGGCCCTTGATGCGGGCGAAGTAGACGGGGGTGAGCTCGGATGTCATCGCGCTGGGATGGAGGTGTGTGAGAACCAGTTCAATAGAGGAACGCTGGACGTACAGCTGACCAGAGACGTAGACGAAGGTGAACGGCTGGTCGTCGCCTGCGAGACCGGCAAAGGCGCGTGCGGCGGCGAGGGGATAGTCGATAGTGATGCGCTCGTATTCGCTAGGAGGGGAATGACCTTGTCATGCTCCTGCCGATATGGTATATCATGGTGAGCACTCACGGCTTCGGCGCCTCCGTCTGGCTGATCCCCTGCGCCCAGATCGCTGCACGCGCCCCGCGCAGTCGCTCGAGGAGCTCTGGAGGGTACGACGCGTAGTCCGTATGTACGATGACCTCCAGCTTCGACGGGTCGTACGACGCCTTCGGCTGCCCGTTTGCCTTGCCGTTGGCGTCTTTGCTGGTCCCTGCTCGAAGAGTCAGCGAGGTTCTTTCCGATGATATGATATCTTCGTCAATTCGTGCCGAAGTGCTCACCCTCGCTCTTTTCCAAGTTCAAGTTGTCCTCTTCCCACTCAGGTGCCTCGAAGGCTTTCCTCGATAGCGCCGTCACCCGCGTCACCGTCGGGTCGGCCAGGAGGAGGCGCAGTACCGGGAGCCCAACTGTACCGGTCGCGCCAGTGAGGATAATATGCATGTCGGTGGGCGCTGAGTCGTCCTTGGAGGGAAGTGAGGCAGGCGGGAGGTTCGGTATCGGTAGATGAAGGCTGCGCGTCTGCGACCTTCATCCTATATACCCCATCGCTAACGCATCACTTTAAACTTCCCCTCGGTTAGCTGCTGGCCCAATGCATGACTCCGAAGCGACTTGCTATCACCGCGCGCGCTCTCCGACCCGTCCTACGCGGACGCCGTTCAGTGCGGAGGGAGGGCAAATATGCAACGTCGAAGTCACGTCTCCAGCTACCATGGGATGAACTCCATTGAAGCGTTTGCCCAGGAAGACTGAGCCTGTTGTAACTGAATCAATACTCTCAGGTAAGCTATCACTTTCCTTGATGGTCATGATGGCTCAGTTGTATTGACGAACCGCAGGCAGGTCGTCTTCCTGGTTACGATGATGGGGTGTCGTTACTCCTTTCTTTGGCAAGGTGATCATTGTGAATGTTCGTCAGGGGCCCATACTGACTGTAAGTACGCGCTTGTTATTTTGTATCATATACGCCTTGGACGTCCTCATCCACTCGCCAAGCCGCGCGAGATCGCTCATGGATGGTGTTCTCCGCGTCCGGCGGCGCGTACTTGATGGCCGTGGGCGTGCAGCCATTGAAGGCAGGTCCTATGAGCGCTCCCCTCTCTCACCATCAAACAGAACAATGGCTCGGCGTTTCCACATTGGCGATGGCTTGGGGCCTACTATGGTACACCGAGTGTCTTCGTTCATGCGCTTGATGATGGATTGATAGGTGTCCACGCAGTATATGCTGAGCGCTACCTTTGTATTTGAGCGTGGCGAGGCCGCAGAAAAGCATTCTCCGAGCGGGCTGTAAGGTCGGATGTCCAGTCTGAAGTAGCATCCAGCATGCTGAAAGCTTCCACTCTTTGAGGGGGATATTGGATGGGGGCGAAATGGTAAGTGGGCCTTGTCAAGGTGACGAGCATACGTCGGGTAGCACAGCACATATGCTGCACCCTCCGGTTCATTGTAGATACCTGATGGTCTCCTATAAAACGGATATACTTTGATTGGTGATAGAATGTGCTTGCTTCCGAGAGAAAGTGCATATCCATCTGCCTAGAGTATGCTATGATCTGACACGTTCGAGACGGCAGCTTTTGAGAACAAGGAAGGACGCCACAAAAGGCCGCCATCTTCCCACGGGGTTCGCAACCGTGACGCGCATCGGTCCCTTGACGACTTGCTCTTTTGTTGACTCGTTCTCCCATGCGCTGAAGTCTCGGTGCGTGTTCTGCAATGTGGCTACCACCTTTTTCTCACCGAATTGCTCGCAGGCCCTTCACTGGTACGTCTATAAACCCATATCGTCGCTGCCTTGTTTGCTCACCTTCCTTTGCGCAGGTCTCGCAGACTTGGCGCACGGGTAGACGAGTCGGTTTAGGTCGGTGCAGGCTGGTATGTCTTCCTCTTACTGTGTCTGGATTACACACCCCGCTGCCCTCTATTATCTCTTATCATGTTTATGACCTTCATGCTTCGAAATGGTCCGATCGTGAGAACGCCTTTTAGAGAACAAAGGACCGTCATATAACGCGGGCCATACCCCCTTCCTGCCCTCCTTGTCCTCAGACCACCTCCGACCCTCCTTTCATACGACTGACCAGTGCCACTAGTCATGCCAGGTAGAGTCGACGACGCGCCGGACGTCCCGCTCTGGACAATCTCCACCTCCAACGAGCCCTCCTTCGTGATCGAGACACGCCACGGCCTCATACGCGCCCCCAAAGCCGACCTCCCCTCACAATGCAAGTTTTTCAAGCGTGAGCTCATGCGCCACCCCGCCCGCACCCAACCCCCCACCATCACCTTTGACGGCCAGACGTACCTCCGCGTCAAGATGCTTGACGACGATCCCGCCGCGCTCTTTGAGTTCGTCGACGCCCTCGCGCGCCCGCCCGACCTCCTCGTCGTCTATCTCCGCCTCCGACGCCACACCTTCCCCGAGATCGCCTCCCTCGCGCGCCTCGCCACTCGGTACAACGCCCGCCACCTTCGCGCTGCCTGCGCACTACGCCTCGAGGCCGTCTGCGCGACGCGCCTCCTCGGCACGCACGATCCGGCCGAGTTGGAGCAGCTCTGGGCGCGCGGGCGCATGTGGCGTCCCTTCCCCGCCCTCGGGCGCATCCTTGCGCAGAACGACGTAGTGCGCTGCGCCGCCGTCGCTGCGTTCGACATCCGCGAGGAGGCGCCTGCGCTCGTCCAAGCGTGCCTCGCGGCGGACCTCCCGCGCCTCACGCTGCTCGCTCGTCTGCTTGTGACGTGCGTAGGTGCATTTGATGCGATGGGGGGCGCGGCTATCGACTCTGGGGACCGCTTGCTGTGCTACGCCGCGCGGAGTCGGCTACGTGGACTGCTCGAGCGGCAGGTCCTGGCGCCACTGTTCAGCGCACCTCGCTACGGCTGCCTAGCGCCCCGAGGCCAATGCGCCTTCGTCCGTGAGGTTGTCGAGCGCGAGCTGCGCGGGGACGGTGAGCTCAGGTCTATCCTTCTCGGCCTCGAGCGCTTTCGCGCGGACGGTCGCGTCTTCGCAGAGCCACCCGAGCCACCCGCGAAGGACAGCAGCAGCTTCAAGTCGTTTAGGGGACTCTCGTTCCGCCCGCCGTCGTTCAAGAGTCGGCGGACCGTGTCGGGAGGCGGGAGGATACAGGGCACTGCGGATAGGTTGGGCCTGGCGAGTGGCTCGAGTGGCGAGAGAAGCTCCGGCGGGGGAAAGTCTTATGGAGGAGGGAGGAGCTCGGGCGCGAGGAGCTTGGCAGGGTGGAGGATATCAGGGCTGGGAAGGCCTTCGCGGGCTGCATCCGTGGACGGCAGGACCATGTTGGGTGGCCATCGCTCCCCGTCGACCAACGGTCGCATCAGCCCCTTCGTTCACGACCATCGAAGTCCCTCCGTCAACCGCCACGGCGACCCCTCCATCATCCGCTCCCGCACACCCTCCCTCATCGGTTCGCGTAACCCATCCATCGACGGCCACCACGACCCGACCATCGGCGGCTCGAGTCCGCCCGCTATCACGCTTTGCTCGCGCTGTAGGGAGCGAGCGGAGAGGAAGTTACGGGAGGGCTTCGACAAGTTCTGGGAGGAGGTCCCGCGGATATTCGATACGGCGGCCTGGCAAGTATTGTATAAGGACGATGTGTGAGGGGCCTGCTTGATGTGGCTGGCGATGATCCTTCTGTTGTCGGGCTAATATGCCTGTTGAGGCAGAGAAGTCATCACCCATGTCTCGTCGTGTCGGGAGCAGGCTGATGAAAGTGTCTCTATGCAGAGAGGTCCTGGTACTCGGCTAAGCGTCGAGCATATGCTCGTACCATTGTAGTTATGACTAACCTATTCTCTTCGTTCTACTTCGGCGACCTTTGTTACATGGTCGACCCGATTACATGATTCCATACACAGCCTATCTTACATGACGTCTCATTACTTACGATCCTGCCTAGCCATCCTTTTGGGTGTATCTACTGTGCATAGCAGCAGTTTTTGGCGTCCTGGACAAACAAGCGTGCGACAGTACACCACGTGGATCACCTATCGGCGATCATCGCCGTTGTTCGTTTTCTTTGACATTCCCTCTTCCCGACCAGCTGAAGACCGACCGTGAAAACACTGCGATCACTCTCATTCAATTTTCTGTGATGTATACTGCGCACGCCGATCTTAGTGAGGATGGGAAGGCCCTCACGAAAATCATAGATGAGCTCCGTGTCCTATGCGAGAGTCGAAAAAAGCACGGTGCCCTATCTCCTTCAGAACTGGCTCATACGCGGAAAATATGGACAAGATTGCGCAGCCTTCTCACCCATGGGCACCCGTTTCGCGGTCTCGAGCGAACACCTCCGGAGCGCACCGCTCAGGATCCACGCTTCGACCTGCTGTCCCAACCTATCCAGGACGCTTTAGACGGGCTCATGACTTTCGCAAACGTTTATCGCAACCTCTGTGCTATCAAGGTGTGCCCGAAGTCGATCTTCAAGGCGCTCGAGCCGCTGGAAAAGAAAGGATGGGATTGGTTGGAAGTGCTGCATCCCATGTATAAGAACGTCACGCTTTCACCTAGGACCCACGACTATGCCTATCTATGCGACGTCTTGCTCAACTTCGTATACGTCTTGCTCGGTGAGCGCGACGACGATGATCTCGAGGGGCATAAATTCATCCACCGACTGCTCGCGTACCCGAACGCGATGGTGTACTTGGTCGACTTTTGGGTCAACCTCTTCAAGTACGTCTCCTCCGACATCCCGGACGGGACGATCGTTGTCCGATGTACCTGCGAAGCGCTCTACGTGATCTGTCAAGCGCTCCAGTCCTCGGACAGTCCAGGAATTCCTCCGCCCGTCGGTGACGAGGTCGTACGCGCGGTCAAGAATCGTCGTCGACGCCTGTGCCATACGATTGCTCGCTATGCAAGGACCATCGAGGACGATGCTCTCGCTGTCCGTATGATGTTCTACCTCGGTTCCTCTCTCCTTGCCATCCCCGAGCTGGTCCCCCGGAGGTGCCCTCGCACTGCCGTCTCTTCCATCGTCCGCACCCTGCTATCCCGCTGCCGCAGCGGAGCCGGCGCCGATCGCGCCGTCCTCGCCGGCTGCCATTATCTGGATGAGCTCTGGATACGGACCGCTGATCTGCGCGTCCTGGAGTGGTCGATCAACGACGGGATCTTCACCGTACTCCTGCATCTCGCGTCCTCGCCGGATATAGTCGACGCGCAGGAGGTCCGAGAGCTGGGCGATGCCCTGCGCACGCTGCGCATGTCGTTCGTCCATTGGCGCGTGCTTCATGCCTTTTCGCGTAAGCATGACGCAGACCTACCTGCGCGGCGAATAGCAGGAGGCATGCATGCGGGCCTTGTGGACGTGATCGACGCGTATCAAGCGAGGCGGAAAATGCTCCACCCAGCGCGTATCCTACATGCGCAGAGATACGAAATGCCTTGTGCCAATAAATCAGTGAGTCCCTCCTGCCAAATGTAAGAGTACGTGTTCTGATGGCATGTTTCTCAGTGCACGAAAGAGCTGACCAGGCAGACCTGTGGCTCCTGTGTATGTCGCCAGGTTCATTACTGCTCTCGAGCATGCCAAAAGCGACACTGGAAAGAAGAACACCGTGAGGTATGCAATGGTACACCCTTAGATGGTACGCCTCTTCCCTTTATACGACGAGGCCTCCAAATTCATGCGCAGAATCTCAATGATCTCCAGCTCGCGCTACCCATCGCGATTACGACTTCATCTACATGCTCGCTGCAGCGTATATCAAGGAGCATGCAACTACTCTTCTCGCTGAGATTGCACGCCTCGACCCGGCTCAAAGGTACCATTGCGGCCTCTACATATTATTTGATACGCCGAAGATAACGCACTCGACCATGCTATACAAGCAATGGGATGGGACCTTTGTACGGTACGTACAGGTTGCTGCGCGCTGGGCAGACGGCGACCTTCGTCAAGGCCAGGTACGCGCCGTCAGCGTCGTGGGCGTGCGTGATCTGGAGGAAATTGCACGGACGGATAATCTGGGTATGTTGGATGGTGCCCTCCATCCCGACCCTTACTGAAAGACAGCAGACCTGAGGTTGATCCCATCGCTGGAGCACATGTGGCCGCATCGAAAGGCAAGGAAAGCATAGTATAGCAAAACGTAGATCGCTGCGACGTCAACTTCAACCGTAACCTACGGCCCCCCCTTCGTGCATGACGGAGTTTCACGAATACATATACTATACAGCAAACCCAAATCTGTCAATGAGCGACTGCTTGTGTTGCCTATACAGCCCCTACCATTATCAGAACGCTTCTACTCGACACCACTTCTTAACGCGTGGTTCTTTTCAGCGCCCGCTGTCGACTTCATCGAAGGTCTCGCGACCCTTAACTACGCGGGACCTCGTCTTCGTACTCTACATAGCCGTTAGCACACTCGTCTGAAGCAGGAGTCAGGCCGCGTCAGTACGACGCTGCCGCCGATTTTGAGTCGGGCGAGTCGTCGAAGGACGCGAGGAAGCGCTGGCCTGAGGCGGGAGAGTGCTTGCATGAGCCGCTGCATACGGGTCCTCCCTGGGATGATGAGAGGGCTGTGCGAGCGAGTCGCGATAGGCCTCCCCGGCCGGCTCGCCGTTGACCAGCGTAGCCGTGCTCGTGGTCGTATAGTATTCACCAATCATCAACGGAGGCGAGGACGGCGTTCGAGGGGACTCAGAAGTTGGGTGTGGCGCGGAGAGAAGGGTGTTCATGTGAGACGTCGGATAGAGGGGTGTCAATTGGCGTATCGAAGAATACAAAGGCGGCGTCGCGGGAATAGCTGGCTCGCCACGCCCGTTTGCAAGGTAAGAGAATGACTGCACGAGGGAGCCGATATCAATTTGTTCTCCCGGCTCGCCGTCGTAAAGAGCGACCGCGCTTGAGGTGGCGACAGGAGGTGGGCTGTCCATCGGCGGGTCCGCACGAGTCGTCGTAGGGCCCGCCAAAGAACGAGGATGCTCTTGTGTATGATGCTGATGAAAGTCGAACGTGGGAGACTCAAGATACGTGGACGGCGCGCGGGGATATTCTCGATACTCCGGAGGATAGGCGAGGCGCACTGTAGGGCGGGAGGAGTGCGCCGGAGGATCCAACAAGTGCACGACCTCATTCCCTGGAAGCGAGAAAGCTTGTGTCGGGGGCATCGGAGAATATCCCGCGTCAGACACAGGAGCATTCACATCGAGGGACCATTTGCGGCCGTGCTGCCGCGATGTGCGCACGCCCGATCCGTGTCGAAGGGTGAGGTGACGCGATGGGCGCGCGTCCGAGTTGTGGTGCGAGCGTCGAGAGTCGCGTCGTGACGGGCGTACGTCCGAGTCATGTCCCAAGGTGCGTGCATCCGATTCGTGGCGAGAGGGGCGGACATCAGTATTGTGCCGCGAGCGGCGTACGTTGGGGACGTGCCGCGCGGGGTGACTATGTTGAGTCGAAGGGCGGCCGTTGCGTGTCGACGAGCGACTACTTTCTGTTGACGAGTGTACGTGCTGGGTCTCTCGGCGCCCTCTCTCGGGCCCCAGCTCCCTCCGATCTCGCCCTGCAGGCTCCTGATCGTACCTCCGATGGTCTCGATGGCGCCCCGAGGATTCCTGCCTTCGTTCTTGTCTGGACTCCCGTCCGCGCTCCATGGACTCTTTCGTGCAGCCTAAAGACAAGCCGCCACGAGTCGCAGACCCTTCAGCCCGCAGCCCTCGCACCTCTTCGTGGCCAGCAGATCTCTTTTTGCGTCCTAGAGGCTCTATCTCGTGCCCTTCCGTCTCAAGCGTGCGTCCCGACGCGAATAAAGTCTTGACGCGGCGAAGGAGTCGGCTGAAGGTGCCGTCTGACGAGGGCGCGGCGTGACAAAAGGGGAAACAGCCCATAGATGCAGGACGAGTGGTTGTCGATGATTGACGAGCGTTGACAATGGCGCCTACGGTGAGGTCGTTCCGAAGCGTCCGCAGGAGTTGAAACGTATGCGATAGGTACGCTCGGCGCGTCTGAAAAAGATGAGATGTGCGAATCGAAGGGTAGGGGTGACGTACCTTTTGGCCGGACGTTATTCAGAGTGTGAACAGATGTTGAAGAAGCGAACATACGCACAAGTGTGGGAGACGCCCACCTGCATATATGTACCATCCGGAACAATAGCACAAAGCAAGGTATCTGAGTGAGCGCACACGGTTACTTCTCAAAGAAATCCGGCAGAGCGTCTCAAAGAAAACTGTGAGCGCTTCTCAAGGAGATCCGGCGGCGCTTCTCACAAAGAACTGCGAGAGCTTCTCAAAGAAATACAAGAGCACTTCACGAGGTGATGACAACAATATCACAACAAAGCAAGTCCTAGACAAGAAGAGCGTCAGTGACCCATTTCTCCGGCGCGACCTTCGGCGTACCTTTGGAGAAGTTGCGCGCGTCCCTTGTCGAGGTACACGTGCGGGTAGCGGTCCGATGAGACATGCGCGCCGGAATCGACGAGTCCGACGCGCGTCGACGATATTCCAATGAATCATTATCCGCATGCATGGTATACGAGCGCTCTATGTTGGCAACCATGATACACCCACCCCCTCCCCCACATCGCCCGCGTGCTCCATCCACTCACCCCCCTCACCTCGCCCGCGTCTCGACCACCACGCCCATCAGACTCACCAGCTCGAAGCACAGCACAAGCAGCAGCTGTCCCACGAGGTCCATCAGCGACGAGTGCAGCGGGAGCGCGTTCGAGTCCGGGTCGAGGCCGCGCGACCAGAGGAATTTAGTGAGGTGGTAGGCGACGAGGAGGGAGATGGTGACCTGCGCGTGGGAGGGAGGGCGTTAGAAAACGGCTCGGGTCAGGGTGAGATCGAGGAGTGAAAGGAGGTGAAGAAGGGGGGCAGGTGAAAGGAGCAGGGGGAAACAGGGTGCAGGGCAAGACGCGGATACAACAAGTCACTCACCGCTACACAGAAGAACACCACCGAGCACCCCACAAACAGCAGCGGCAGCTCCAGCCACCCCAGCCCGCGCACGACGGCGAGGAAGATGAGCTCGACGGGGAGCGTGATGAGCAGCAGGGTGATCGCGACAGTGAGCGGCGGGGGCGGGGGCGGTGCAGGACGGGCGTGGTGGGGGGTGGACATATGATGCGGCGAGGGCGCCCCTGGTGTCGGGGGATAATGGGACGATTGCCGGTGGAAGGAGGCCGTCGAAGGCGACCGCGCGTGCGATGAGGAGGGCGTGCGGCGGTGGGAGGGCTTCGTCAGGGGCGCGGTCAGCGGCGTCCCGTCTTCTTCGTCCGCGAGTAGTCCTCTACCCTCGTCCGCGAGCAACCCCCTCCCCTCCTCACCCACCCCACGCTCATGCTGCTCCCGCCCCGCGCCCGCATGCAGCTCCGTGCTCAGCCGGCTCGTGAAGATGGACCCCACGCTGCCCGGTAGGCCGCTGATCACGACCGCGAGCACCGCGAAGTCTTCGTAGCTGGGGTGGCGTCAGAAGTTGGATACGAGACGGTGAAGGAAGGAGAAGCGAGGACGAAAGGTAAGAGATGTCAGAGGGCAGGAGACGGGGGAGGCTGGTGAGGGAGAAAGGGTAGCGAAGGACGGAGGGGCAGGGAAGACGGTATAACGGAGAAAAGGACAGTGGGGAGGGGTGGGAAGCCTGTAGAGATACAGCCTCACGGGTAAAGGGGATAGGAGCCAGAAACGCAAAATTCCCGCCGAAGGGTTTACCACTCCGCACTCACCGACTAACAAACAAATCGAGCACGATCCCCGTCCCGCTGCTGATCACCATCGCGCCGAACAGCGGCGCCCACCCCTCGCGCAGCAGCGGGCGCACGTAGCGGTTGCGGCGGACGATGCCTGGGTGGGAGGGGTGTTAGGTTGGTTGGGGGGTGTTAGGTTGGTTTTCTTTGGTGGGGGAGGGGGGAGGGGGGATGGAAGGGAGGGGGGTCGGGGAAAGAAGGGAGAAGGGGGCTGGTGTAGGGAAGAAGGGGGGCGAGGGAAGAAGGGGGGCGAAAGAAGGAGGTGGGTAGGGTAGAAGGGGGGCGAGGGAAGGAGGAAGGGGGAAGGAGATCGAGAAGGGGGAGAAAAGAAAGGGGAGCAAGGCGATTGGGCAGGGGATCGAGACGAGGGCGGCAGGAGAACGAAAAGACATGTAGGGAATCAGGAAGAGGGATAGGAAACGAGACGAGGGGGGATATGAAACGAGACGAGGAGGGAGGTGGGCAAACAAGACGAGAGAGAGCAGGGAAATGAGCCGAGCGCGAAGGATCACACCGAACAGAACGGAACAGCCCAGAACCCACGCACCGAACAGACAGAACACCGCGATCGCAATCACGGTCGCAAACACCAGGAGCGGGATCACCGGGAGGCCGAACAGCCTCGGTGCGAACGCGCGAGCGCTCACTCCACCTCCCTCTGTCCCACCTCCCGCACCTCCACCTCCACCACCTCCTTCGCTACCTCCCCTACCTCCCTGTGTCCCTATTGTTCCCTCTGTCCCTATCGCCCCCTCACCACCTCCACTCACCCCACCACCCCCACCCACAAACGCCGGCAACAGCACCCCACTCACCACCCCCACCAGCACCAGCGTCACCAGATCGCCCAAGCACGCCGCCACCGGCGGCGCAATATTGTCCGGGTCCAGATTGAACCTCCGGCACGCGACGACGAGCGCGCACATGAAGGCGCCGAGCAGGAGCGCGGAGAGCGCGGCGGAGGCGGTGGCGGTGGCGGCGAGGAAGATGAAGCTGGGGGGAGGGGGTTAGTTGGGGGTTGGGTTGGTTTTTCTTTTTCGTTTGTTTTTGGGGGAGAGGTAAGGGAGGTAAGGAGGGGTAGGGAAGGAGGGGGCGTAAGGGAAGAGGGGGGGGTTAGGGGGAGAGAGGGGGGATAGGAAGGAAGGGAAGGGAAGGTAGGGGGACAGTGGCGGGGGGGGGTTAGGGAGAGGGAGGAAGCGGGAAAAAGAGGAGAGCGTGGAGGAAGGGGGGAGAGGAAGGAGACGAGGTCGGTGAACTTAGTTGGGGGTAGATGGGAGGAAGAAGGAGGGAGAAAAGTAGATATGACTAAAGAACGAGTAACAGAGAGACAGGAGGTATAACGCGAAAAAACGAGTGAAAAGGAGATATAACATAACAGGAGTAGGGGGCCCAGAACTCACGTCGGCAGCCCACTCGTCCTACCCGCGGTCTTCAGCGCCGCCGGGAGCGGCCGTCGTCGTCGGAGGGCGCGCGCTACCAGACTCCTCGCTGTTGAAGTCGCTGCCGCCACTGGTGGAGTGGTCGCTGCCGACACTGGTGAAGTGGTTGCCGGTGTTGTCATCGAGCCTGTCGCCATTGTCAAACTCTCGAGAATTGCTAAGCTAAACCCGGAGGTCATACCTCCCTCTCCTGCCTCCCCCTCCCCCCGCGGCACCACCATCCCGAGCCCAATGCTCACGCACGCGGCGACGAAGGAGACGACGGCGGCCTGGGCCTGCAGGAGCGCGAGGTTGCCCGTGATGATCTGCCGGCGGGGGGAGGGGGAGGAGGGTGGGAGGTGGGGGTGGGGGGAGGACGAGCGGTGGGGTGCGCCGTCTGCAACACTATCGTCAGCTTCCGTCGGTTGATCAATGCGCCCGCCGGCACGCACCGTCCTCATCGTTCAGCGACACCACGTTCCGCTCATCGTCCACCCCATCATCCAGCAGCCCCGTATTCGCCGCCGTGCCGAGCCGCGCGGAGAGGTTCATCTCGAGGTTGCCCTTCAGGTTGAGGACGACGGGGATGATCATGATCAGCTGGTCGACGCGCTGCATGGCGGGGAAGCGCGCGGTGCGGTCGAGGAGCTCGCCGGTGAGGAGGAGGCCGAGCGTGGTGAGGAGGAGGGTGGGGGCGGACTGGGTGTGAGCAACGGGTGGCGTGGAGTGGGTGAAAGACGGGGTGGATGGGGGTGGAAGGGAAGGGGATGAGAAGGGACGAGCGCAAAGAGCAGCATCAGCAGCGATCTTCTAACATTGACTACTTCGACTAACCTCAACCACAATCCCCTTCACCTGCGGCCACACTGTATGCCGTATATGTGCGAGGCGGCCGCCGCGGGGAGGATACACTCCCTCGTACGAGCCAGGTATCCTCTCGAGGCCCCTTGCGCGGTCATAATTCGTCGCGGTGAGGGGCGAGGCGTCGGGGTAGGTGGTGTATGGCTTGGGTGTGACATCATTGTCTGTCCACGGCGCGTCGTCGCTTGATGCCCAGGGTATATCGTCACTGGAGGTACGCAGGCTGTCGTCGCTGGCTTGCTTTGTGGGCTGTCGCCTGTCTTCCCTGGATAATCGTCGGCTCCCGCTTCGCCTGTGCTCCGCACTGGCGCGCAAGGGGGCCATCTCAAGGTCGTGACTACTACCAGCGTATCCATTGCCGTTCATAATGTGTACGTCTCCCTGGGGAAGTAGGCATGAGCGCGCATCGGGGCAGGAACAGCGGCACCACGCACCGTGGGTACAGTAGTCCGACGCAGGATGGGTATCTAGACGTCGTCCTTCGCGTTCAGAGCGCGTCCTATCCGTTCACCACCGTATATTCGGGCGTCGCTGACAAGAATTCTCTGCAGATGTCGGCGTCGACGGGGACGAAGAGGGTCGGCGATGCCAAGGAACGATCGGCACTGGGACACGTGTCGGACATCGGCCCGGTGCCAATTGTTTCCATCTCGGGATGCTCCCACACTCCCAAGTAAGCAAAAGTACACACTCACCCACAGGTTTTCTGAATCGCCCCTCGCACGACATATCGAAGTCTTTGGCAGCGTTGGACTTTGTTAGGCTGGTCGAGAAGGTGGATAGCATGTGTATATGCATGTAGATGGCGCGGTGTAATTCGACAACCACCTCATTCGTTGTGGTCATCCGTTGTTTATTTCCCAATTTCGTTCCGCCCGTCTGATAGCACACCCAGAGCATGTATATCTTTACTATCTATTCCGAGCCATATGGTTAACGTGGGTGAACGATCACTTGCGGCGTCTCTTCGGCGGCGTCAGCGCGCTCCTGCAGCCCTTCTCTCAAGATGTAGAGGCCGCAATTTTTGCTTCCAGCCGGGTCGAAGCGCGCAATCAGAGCGAGAAGAGTAGTGGCATGCTTCTTGACGAGTAACGGATTATCAAGCGTAATATTCCTCATGCTGGCCCTGTCCATTCATTCTTGTCTATTTTCCACAACTTCTCCAAACTCTTCCAAAGCTCAAGCCAGCCAGGCCTGCCAGTCGTCCCATCCCTTTCTGCCAGCCGATACATACTCCTGCGTAATTCACCGTCTTCCACCCTATCGTACAGTCAGCGCCCCTAACTCATCGACAGCGCCAGATCATCCAACTCCGCCAGCCGCGCCTGGATGTCGTGGTTCGCAAGGGCGTGAATAGCGCTCTGAACATATGATCATTGAGCATCGAGCTGAAAGGGGGGCAATGCCTCAACGAGTATCTAACTCGAGAGGAGCAAGCTAAGCCCGCCGCTCGGCCATATATAGCCATGAAGCACAACTCACCCGAATGCGCGCCTCGTGCGCCACGACACAATCCCGCACATCGCAGAGCCACGCGCAGTCGCAAGCGCGCGGGTCGCGGGCCATCCCATGCACGAACGCGGCGCATGTCCTGCGAGGAAGCGCGGTCAATATCTGCCACACACGCGTAAACCGAGCCCGCGCCGACTCGGACACGCACCCCATCATTCCCCTCAGCCCTTCCGTATAGCACCGCGCATCGGTGCGCTTCGGGTCCTTGTCGAGCTTGATCTCTGTGGTTTTGTACTTATGCAGCATGCGACGCGTGTCATGGATAGCGCGCGCGATGTCGTCAAGCGCATCCCGCCGTAACGCATCGTCGTCCAGCGCGGCATCGTCTGGCGGGGCGGGTTCCGAGATGCCCTGCAATCGTGAGACCCGCCAGTCAGTCCACTGAGTCATGTAAATATAAAACCCATGGCGACAACCATACCTCTTTCGCCGCCCGCGCCAGGTGCTCTTTCGCCGCCCGTACCAGGTGCTCCGCGTCACGGAGGGCTGTCTGCAGCCCGACGGGGACCTGGGATAGCTTGAAGGTCGGTGGTCTCGCGGGTAGAGGCACATCACCGAGGGTGAGAGACGGGAGAGCGCGCAGCGAGCTCGGGGGCGACAGGAGTATCTCGAAGTCGCGCGCTTGCGGTTTTTCTGCATCTGCGGGCTTCAGGGCAACCGCATCTGCGGGCTTTGGAGTGGACGTCAGACGCGAGCTGCTAGGCACAGGATGTGCCTCAGAGGGCGAGGAAGTCGTCGCGTGCGCTGATGGATAAATAGAGGCCTCAGTCCCGGACGACGTGGCTCTAGTCGAGCTAGGCGCATTCGGGTTGGTCGCATTCGAGATGGTCGCACGCGGAGGCGCAGATCGACCGCGAGAGAGTGCGGGCAGGGCGTCGAGTACGTTGCGAATGTTCGCGCGGCTGAGCGACGAGTGGCGGACGGATATCGACGGCGGAGGTCCTGAATGAAGAGGCGGAGGTCTTGAATGCGGAGGCGGAGATGCTGGATGCGGAGGCGAAGGTCCTGAATGCAGGGGTGGAGATCCTGAATGCAGAAGCGCAGGTCCTGAATGTAGAGGCGAAGGTCCAGAATATGGAGGCGACGATCCAAAATACGGAGGCGACGACCAGCGGCGGCATATCGATGCCTCCGCAATTGAACGCTGTCCGTCGTGGCCCTGATGAGACGTCGCGTTGCCCTGGTCAGACGTCGCGTTGCCGAGCGGCGAAGAGCACTGTGGTCGCCTTGAGAAGGGAGGCGGTTCAAGTGACGAGGGTCGACGGGGCGAGGGTCGGCGAACAGAGGGCGAGGGTCGGCGAGCAGTGGGCGACGCATGAGGCAGAGCGACCTTCGTCGAAGACGGCGTCGTCCGCCGCGTCGAGAAGGTCTCCGGCGAGTCGAACACGGGACTCAGCGGGGCGTGGCTCGCGGGCGTTCCGGCTGGCGAAGGGGTAGGGCGGATCTCATTCTTTGGCATAGAGTTACCAAGCTCGCGCGTCGACGTCGACGCGCCAGGTTCGTACTCCGGCGTCGACGGGCCAAGCTTGCGCTTCGTTGACGACGACGGATCCTCAGCCCCCGTCGATGTCTCCCGCCGCCCATTCGATGGCCCCTGATCCTTCGCAACATACCAAGCCTCGCGCCTCCATACACCCCACGATGGATCGGGGAGAGATCCGGTCGCTTTCGCAGGGCCGCTTGCAACGCTGCTGGACGTATTCTCGTCGATCCCGCTCGACGAGACTTCACCCTTCTGGCCGGATGAAGTCTCGCCAACCCAACTTAACGGGCGTTCACCTGCACTGCTCTTCGGGTTCTCGCCAGCTCCGCTCCACGGGCATTCGCCAGCCCCGCTCGACGTCCGAAAACCCAGACCGATGCTCGCTTTCCTGATAGCCTCGTCATTGAACCGCAGGATTTTGGCGATGGCGTCGTTGACGAGGTCGCCGGTGTGATCCTCGAGAGCGTCAGTGTACTCGTCGAGGGCGCTATCCTCATCGCCAAGGGCGTCATCGAACTCGTCGACAGCGGCAGTGTGCTCGTCAAGGGGGCCAGTGCGGTCGTCAAGGGGGTCAGCACGGTCGTCGGAACCGTCGGAGCGATCGCCGGGAGCACCAAGAACATCATCGTCGAGGCCGCCAGTACAATCGTTGAGCACGCCAGTCAGCTCGTCGAGACCACCACCACTCTCAATCAGATCGCTGCTACTCCCAACAAGACCCGCCCTATACCACGCAACCCAGTCGCGGAGCTCGGAGGACAGGCTCGGCGTGCTGGCGACAAGTGCGGAATGCTCGTCTCCTCCTAACCCAGACTCGCCTCCGACATCAGCCCCCTGCACCACGTTCGGATCGAGATTCACCAACGAATTGACATCGATCAGCGAGCGCTTTTTGACCAGCGTCATGGTATGCCGGAGGAGCGCTAGTAATGCGTCCTTCACGACGCGAAAACCGAGGGCTCGAAAATGGCGTTCCAGTCCAACTCGGCGCCTCGGGAGATGGTAGGTGGACGTGTCCTCCAGGGGGTCTACGGAAAAGGAGGGATCGTGTTCCAGAGAAGAGCCGTGGTTGGCGCGAGTAGAGACATAGTCGGCGTGAGTCGAGCCATCCGCGACGTGATCAGAGTCGGCGTAGATACAAAGACCGTTCATGTGAGAAGAGAGACCGTCGGCGGACAAGGATCGTTCGGACGACGTGCCGGATGATTGGGACAGGGGACGATTGTGACCGCTTGCTTGCGAGGCTGAAGGGCCGCCGACTTCAGGGGCCGAAGTGCCGCCCGCTTGAGGAACATGACGACTACGCCTTTGAGAAGTAGCATGACGACTGCGCCTTCGAGGCGCAAAAGCATCGGATCCGAGCGAGCTAGTTGGAACTGGCAACGTCGGTGGGTGGTCGGACGCGATCCGTAGAGGTGCGGACGCATTCTCGATGGATGTGGACGCGTTCACGAGAGATGTAGACGCGTACCCGGATGGCGTGGGCACGTGCGTGGTGAGTGTGGGTGCCAGCAAGGCGGATGCGCGGAGACTCTCGCTGGCTCGGGCGCGGCGCAAGGATCGAGCGCGACGCGAGGTGCTCATGACGGCGAAGAACCTGGGTTACGACCTCCTCCTTCTCTACGGGTACGTCGTCTGCGGAAGGGGGGCGACGTACGCTGGACGCAGGTGAGCGGAGCTCGTATGCAGAAGACGGGCAACGCACGTTGAGGCAGGGGGCCAGGGTCGCGCAGGCCGGGCGCGCGGATACAAAGACGCTAATGTGTGAGGACTGAAGGTTTTGCGCGCGAGAAGTACGCTCAGAGGGCAGAGGAGGTGTTCGCAGAGGGCGAGAAGTACGCAGTCAAGGGCGGAAGTACCCAGCTAAAGCACCAGCTCCCTGCAGACAAGCGCCCAGCTATATATCCCGGTCCAACCGGTACAATAGCACAAAGCAAGGGCGAATCCGCGCACCGATCTGCTTCTCGTGTCCGCGCTGATCTCCTGCGTGTCCGCGCGTCAATCTGCAGCACCTCCGCCGCACGCCCGGGCGCCTATCTGATCACCACTCGGCCGGGCATGTATTGCTCTTTGAGACGAGCTTCTTCTCGCACTGCCCGTCCGGGCGCGTACTGATATGAAATCGGGAAGGAGAGGTTAACCGAAGCCGTCTTCATGCTGTCCGCATCGAGAAAGCGCCTGACGCGGCTTCCGAAGGTGTATTCCAGCGCCTCGGATTTGCACGGATTTCGTCGATTTGCACGGATGTCGCCGATTTGCCCGTATTTCGCGTTCGAGGATATGTGTCGCCCGCGCAAGCAAACCAGTACCTACTGTTCTGTTTCTCAAAGACACACAGAATGATGCGACAAAGCAGGCCTTGCCCATATCGGGATCAATGGCTAGGCGTGCGGTGCATTCTCCATGTCGTACCTTTCGAAGTGTGGCGTACTGCTTGATGAGTGTTGGCAATCGGCGTCGTCTCAGAAGTGTGGCGCCCGCAAGCCTGCCTATCCCTTGCTGACTGTCGGCTCAGTGCTGGTGTATAGGCGCCGAGCACAGAGTCGGCGCCCATACTTTTGTTGACTCCTTGCTCTGCGCGTGATGACTCATTTGCAAGCGCCGGCGAGTCAGGAAGTGTGGCGTAGGCGCAGATCTCGGCGAGAGTGATGAGATGAGATTTAGCCGACAAGGACTGCCTCATGGGGGTCGTCGGTCGTCGTCGTCAACGTCACGGTAGCCGCTCGTCGTCAACGTCACGGTAGCCGCTCGTCGTAAACGTCACGGTCGTCCGGCGTCGTCAACGTCGCGATCGCGGGCCGCGGTCAGATCTCTAAGCCCGCGCTCGGGGACGACTTGATTTCGCAATTGAGCCAAGACTGGCGAACATGCCAAATCGAGCGAAGACAAGGAAGCACACCAAAGTGGGCGAAGAAAAGGCCGCACACCAAAATGGGCGAAGACAAGACACATCGCGTTCGATTGTTCCGCTTCGGGCTCGATTTCAAGCACGTGATCGGGTAACACTTGGACCTACATGTCTAACGAGTTCGGACATGGGCAGGGAGAAAGTTCAGGCTGGACAGGGAGAGTGCGTTATAGAAGGTAATTGACGAGTACTCGAGTGCGACTTGTTTGAATCGCATATGATACATAGGACTAGGTTGTACGAGAGAATAAGGATGTAGGCAGGGCCGTGTTCAAGTCCATGAGATGCGCCGTGTTTGAGTCCATGAGCCTAAGATGCGGGTGACGGCGCGGAAACCCCGGAGGAGCCAATACAGGCGGCCTCATCTTCGTCGACTCAGCTAGTGAGTAACCTTGAAGATCGTATCGGCGCTGTATAGACCGCGTCAGCTTGCTGCAGGAGAAAGAGAAAGCCGAAGAATACAGAGAGTCTACTCACGGGAAACTGACTCGTCCGCCCGTGTCGCGCTCGATGACGAGGAGCTGCGTACCCTGTAGGAGGCGTGAGTGAGCTTTGTGGTGTGATTTTTCCTCGGTGCTTCGCCAGAAGGGACCGCAGCACAGTCCCCCGCTCCGGCACAGGAGCACGACGATATTATCACCCCGAGCGAGAGGCTACACCCCAAAAAGTATATAACCAAATAAAATATTCACTCACATCCGCGAGCCGCTCGATAGCCACCACCGTCCCAAAAACGGTCTGTGAGGCGGCGGACCAGTACCACACTCTGTCGTTTACCTGAAGTGGGGATATAGTGAGTACAACTTGATGGGAGGGGAAGGAGAGGAGCACGGGTGGGTGTCAGAGAGATAGTTGTGGAGGTTAAGGAATACAGGGATGAGAAGAACAAGTGATACGCACGCAAAAGGGGGTCATCGTCGAGTAGTTTCCTGGTGTTCTTGAGAAGGATTGGTACAGTTTCTCTGGGATGCGGACGCCTCTGCAGTCTGCAGCATTTTATACGGGAACGCTGCAGCTTTTGTGCACGGCGACAAGGAGGATGCAGCCACCCAGATCCGTCGGATGCAGAACAGAGACGCCAGATATGCATGGTACCTCCCGACATGCAGACCGCTATTGAATACCTCCGGAGGGCGGCAGAGGCGGTCGGTACCTCCCAAAGGGTGCAGGGCTCCGGACGTATGAAGGAGCACAAAGAGCGGAAGTAAATCAATGACAAAGATGCTTACGGTCATGGATGCAAGAAGTAACGGACGGGAGCAAAAGGCGTCCGCCTTGTCCCGCGTTGGGAGATGGGTGTCCATGCGGGCCACCTTGTCGGAGAGAGCACGCACTATGTTAGGCGAGGCAAACGGCCGTACCACGTCTACCTTTGTCGCTGCGACCAGCGGCACGGAGGAAGGGGTTGTCGACGCGGAGGAAAGGACATACCTACGCCTTGTATGCAGATTACGTCCTCAGGTCGCCGCAGCATCGTATCCGCATGATCGTCCGGCTCGTTAACGTATTCGTCCGTCCGTGCAAAGTTCCTCCGTGGCGTCGTTCAGATCGTATTGTCGTCCATCGCCTTCGAGCTCGAGGGGGAACAAGAGAGACGCAGTTGTGTCCACAAGAGAGACGCAGCTGGGTCCTCGCTCCAGCTCTCACGCCGTACTTTTGCCGTTCCGGCCTTTGCGACGCACCTCCCTGTCAGCGTGTCGCGTCAGAGCGTCGTCCCATCGGTTTTGGCGACCCCTTCACAGATCTCAATTACACCCGACGCCTCCTGCACCACGCCCGTCGTGTCGTCTCTACTCACTCCGTCAACTTGATTGAGGCTCATTCGCACTGCGAGCGCTCTTCTATATGTGCTGATGAGTACAATAGCGGGATGGAATGGCAGGTCAGCGCACCCCTTTGAAGTACGCTCTGTTCGTACGACACAAAATCTGAAACATTGGCCATTGTTGTGCTCGCGGGCTTCCTCCCGCATTCGAATCAGCGAGTCTATACTAGTAGACAAGTCGACTTCCGACTATAGGGCGTCGAGAATTCTGCTTCTTTGTGCGCCCACTATGTGACGTGCATTCTTAAGGATACAATAGGCTAACAAGCAATACCTTTTCGAGACTGCTTCTCATGCTGAGAGCGTGATGGGGCTGCTGCCCGCGTTGAAGCCGACGAACTCGGTGACTACTATTCAAAAGCGCCGTCCGATGATAGTGCAGTTTAGAGGACTGCAGATGCAGAAGCAGCGAAAAACGGCCACGCGAGCATATCCTAAAGAATGCGGCGAGCGCTGGGAAATGGGCGGAACCAAGAAGCACCAGCTCAATTGTTCCATTTCGGGAAGTTCCCACGCCTCTAGGTAAGCAGAAGCATACACGCGCCCATAAGTCGCCTGCTCGCCTCTCGCGCAACGTATCGGCGTGTTCACAGTAAGAAGGTCTGACAAGCTCGTAAGTAAGTTGAACAGCGTGTATATATGTATGTTGACGGCGCAGTGGTCCATTTCAAGGGTCTCGTTCGTTGTAGCTGCCCTTTATTCGTTCCCCCGTTGTCCCGCAACCGAAAGCCCATGAGTAGCCTACTAGGTTCTCTGAATCATCGAATCAGCGCGTGAGAGGGATGACTTGCGTCGCGGCGGCTTTTGGGACGGCCCGATCTTTTCCCCTCGACGTCGACGGATCCTCCTTTCTAACGTCCGAAGCGACATGCTTCGACGCAACGCGCGAGTCCTTCTCCCCACGCACCAAAGACGACGGACACCCCTCCTTCGCAACATAAATTTCCTCACGCTTCGACGCGAAGCGCGGTGAGTCCTCTCGAGCGCCCTGACGATGCGATTCGGAAGAATCCTCTCGAGCTCCTCAACGGGACTCGGCCACCCCCGCAATCCAGCTTTTGATCAAGCTTGACGAGTGCGAGTATGGTGTACTTGACGAAGACAAATGCAAACTGACACAGAGATCGGCGTCAGCGAGAGGCTCACCATTGAGCAGCGAGATCGTGCTGGTGTTATCGTTCTCGTCGAGGGAGCGAGGGTCGTCGTTGACAGAGCCGCCAGCGTAGTCGTCGAAGCCGCCTGGATCGTCGAAAGCGTCGCCAGAGACATAGTTGAGAGCGCCTTTCGCACTGTCGAGGCCACCATAATCCTCGCCAAAATCCCTGGCATCCCGGGCAACGCCACCAGCGGGCTCGTCATGGCCGCCGCCCTCCAATGCGGGCCAGTCGTGGGGCTTAGAATACTCGTTGAGGTGTGCAGAATACTCGTCGCAGTTCGGTGACGAGTGTGTTAGGGTATGACTAGTTGGACCGGCTACGTTTCCTCTTGCGGTCGGCTCTCCTCTGGCGGTCGAGTCTCCCATCTCCCTCAAGTCTTCCGTCTCGCTCGAGGCTCCCGCCGCGCGAAGATCCTTGGTCGCACTCGAGCCCTCCAACTCTATGGCGCTCGAGGCGCCCCTGATACTGAGACCCGAGCGCCTCCTCGCCAGGTCCGGCTTGAGCAGCTCCATCGCCCGACGGACGAGGTCCTCAAGGGCGGGCTTGCTCAAGGAGCGGAGGTGACGAGGATCTAGGGATCCAGCAACGCGTTTGACGAGGGAACAAACATGACCAAAGTCTGAGGAGCGAGCACGCCCGGGGTCAAAGTAGCGAGGGCGACCAGGGTCTAAGGAGCACACCAGGCGCCTGATAGTGTCCTGCAAGAGTACCTTCCACCTTCGATCTTGGCTCGAAAGGTGATAAGTGTACTCAGCGCCGGAGGACGAGAGAAGGGGGGCTTCGGAGGAAGAGGCGCTGTACAACGAATGACGGTATGCTTTAGAGGTTGAGACATAAACATCATGAAAGGAGAACGTCGAGCCACCGTGATGGTAGTCCGCGCGGCGAAGTTGGTCGGACGGGGTGCCGTATGTCTGGGATAGAGGTCCAGTGTTGAGTGTTTGGGATAGAGGTTGATCGGCTGGTCGGGAGGCGGAATGACCGCTTAACGGACATGTAGAAGAGCAGCGGCAGTTGTGGTATATGACCGGGGAAGTCGACGAGTGGTCCGAGGCGTGCCCTGAGGAGGGGATGCGGGACGTCACTGAGTAGTCCAAGGACAACGATGGATGATCGGAGGCGTGCCAGGAGGGGATGTGGAGGGTGTCGTCCGGTTGAGTGCCGCGCTTGTGGTCATATTTAATGCGACGCTCGCTGGGCGTGGTGCGGCTCTCGGTGGGCGTGGTGCGACGCTCGGTGGGCGTGGTGTGACGACCGTTGGGCATGGTGCGGCGCTCGCTGAGCGTGATGCGATGCTCGCTGGGCGAGGTGCGGCGCTCGCTAGCTTGAGAGCGCACAAATATGTCCATGGTGATACAGAAGGTTGCCTGTTTGCGGGTGACGAGGAAGTACGGTGGACGAGGCTGATGCGTTCTCAGGCTGCGGGCGATGTCAAGTCTACAAACGGGTGAGCCTGGCGCGGTCGCGGACGCCGACGTACGTACGTAGACGAGGACTGAAGTACGCGGTAGAAGAGGGCGGAAGCGCCCGGTCGAAGAGGGTGGAAGTAGTACGCAAAAGTACGAGCGGGCAGAAATGCGCAAAGCAACGACAGCGTCCCTGAAGGAGAGCGCCCGGCTATATATCCCAGTCAGTACAATAGCACAAAGCAAGGATGGGGTCGCGTACCGATCTGTTTCTTCTAGCCTGCACGCCCTGCGCCAAAATGCGGCACGCCTGGGCGCCAATCTGATCACCACTCGTTCGGGTACCGTCTTCCTCTTCTGGTGCCTCCCCCTCGCTTTCCAGGCCTGGCTCGGGCGCTTCACCCTCGCTTCGACGCTTCACCTCCTTTGGGCGCCTACCCCGTCCCGCACAATTGGCATCGTCGCAAAATTTGGTGCTCATTTCGTATCAGTAGGCGGCATTACAGATCATCATCATGGGTCATCGGCGGGTGTCGCGAAGCGCTCGAAATCATGGAGCCCGCACCGTCAGCAGTCTGAAGAAGCAAGCTTCTCGACGAACCCCGGGATTCATGCGAAAAAGCAAGCCTTGCCCATATCGGGGTTAATGGTAAGGCATGGCATGGACTTTACATCAGATCCAGACGTACCTAGAAAAGTGTGGCAAATGTCCTGAAGTGTGGCGCACGCGAGTTCATTTCTTGCTCGTGAAGGCGCCGACTTGCCATCCAGCGGCAGCACTATCGGGACTCCTTGCCTCCCATCCCCGTGTACACTCAGGTCCCTCGCTCTCCAAGTTCGTCCTCGTGTAGACCCCTCGCGTCGCACGTGTTCATCCATTTCCACGCCCAAACACGCATGGCTGAAAGTGTGGCGCAGATCTCGGCGAGAAGGTCAACAAGGTTCAGCCGACAAACAGTTCCTCATGGGGCTCGCTCGTCGTCAGCCAGCAAGCCAAGACAGTCGGGTGATGCCGAAGTCCATCCGCCATCCCTGTCCAGTGACTCGTGCCAAATCGAGCGAAGACAAGGTAGCACACCAAATTGGGGGAAGACATGAAGCACTGCGGTCAATTGTTCCGCTTCGGGAAAGGAAGGGTGGGAAATGATAACGTGATCGCGTGAGGAAAGATACACATGGACCTACAAGTGTCGACGTTCAATTCTGTTGGGACAGGAGGCACCAAGGTCGCCGTAGATAATAGCCCACATATAAGAAGGCTTGGATATGCTTAGAAGCTACAAGGGTCCATCTGCATCGGACAAGAGCTCGAAGCGCCTGCGTTGGAATAGATCCGACTCGGAGGCGGCGTAAGATGTTGGTGATATTTCGCGTACGATAGCTTGGCGTACAGAGTAAAGCTAAGTACAGTTGTAAGTCCATGAGCCCGAGATGCGAGTAACGGCGCGGAAGGCCCGGAGGAGCCAATACAGGCGGCCTCATCTTCGTCGACCCAGCTAGTGAGTAACCTTAAAGATCGTATCGGCGCTGTATAGACCGCGTCAGCTTGCTGCAGAGAAAGAGAAAGCCGAAGAATACAGAGAGTCTACTCACGGGAAAGTCACCCGCCCGCCCGTGTCGCGCTCGATCACCAGCAATTGGGTGCCCTGTGGGGGACGTGCGTGAGCGTCTGGGTCATCGGTTTTGTCGACGAGGTAGCGGGAGGAGGTATGGGTGAGGGAGCGCGCGAGTGGAAGATATGGATGTGGGAGCGCGCGAGTGGAAGGTTTAAGTGTAGGAGCGCGGGAGTGGAAGGTATAGGAGGGCGCGAATAGAAGGTAATAGATGTAGGAGCGCGCGAGTGGAAAGGATAGAGGAACAAGAAACGTACATCCGCAAGCCGCTCGATAGCCACCACGGTTCCGAAGACGGTCTGAGCGTTAGCGGACCAATACCAGACGCGGTCGTTGACCTGCGGGGAAGGGGGTGAGTATACGTAAGTGGGAACAGGGGAAGGGAAAGGTAGAACACGTGAGGGGGAGGGGGAGGAGGAGGAGAGGAGGGCCACCTACACAAAAGGGAGTCATCGTCGAATAAATTGCTGCTCTTGAGAGTGGTGAAGTACAGGCTGTGAGGAGATGTAGAATATCTCAAACGCGCCGCCTCTCCCATATTTTATAGATAGAGGGCCTCTGCGACTTTTGTCGAGGCTCTCTGCGACTTTTGTGGAGAAGCATGTAAAGCGGACGCGGCTGGACATGCATGGCGCCTCTCGCATGAAGTTCGTTGTGGAGTACGTCCCGGACGACTTTGGCTCCTTGCTCACTCTAAGAGACGCAAGGCCCATGAATCGGAGGCAGATGCGTAGCAAAAGGAGGCCAATGATCGTGGATGCAAGAAGAAACGTTCATGAGCACAAGGAGTAACGGTCAGGAGCACAAGGAGTAAAGGTCGTGAGCACAAGAAGTAAAGGTCATGCGCACAAGAAGGGATGGGCGGGAGCAAAACGCTTTCGTGTGGACCGGACAGGATGGGCGCCTTGTCGTATTATGGGATAAATGGATACCCTTGTGCGCCACCTTGTCGGGGGAAGGACACTCCAAGGCAAAGCCACACCGTGGCAGGCGATGCGAGAGCCATGCCTTGTCAGGCGGTACCAAAGCCGCACCGTGCTAAGCAACGCGGGCGACGTTCAGCCTTGGTCGCTTCCACTATCAACGTGGAGGAAGAGGTTGTCGGTGCTGAGGAATGGGAAGTCGACGTGGAGGGAGGGGCGCCCGACGTGGAGGGAGGGGCGTCCGACGCGGAGGCACGAGTCGTCGACGCGGAGGAAGGGGCGTCCGACGCGGAGGAAGGGGCGTCCGACGCGGAGGACGCGGGGGAATAGGAAGTTGACGCGCTGTTGCCGTTCAGGTGCGCCAATGTTGTCGTCCAGGTCGCCCCGTGTCCTCGTCGATGTCGCCCCGTGATGCCGTCGTCCAGGTCGCCCCGTGATGCCGTCGTCCAGGCCGATGTGGTAATCCAGGCCGCCCCAGTGATGCTGTCGTGCAGGTCGTCCCGCTGTGGTCGTTGACCGGGTCACTGGCAGACCAGCGTTGTCCATGTCACTGGCAGACCGGCGTTGACCGGGTCACTGGCAGACCGGCGTTGTCCATGTCACTGGCAGATCAGCGTCGTCGTCGCGCCCGCAACAAGCGGTCGCCGAGGATTTCCGTGGGAACAGGCTGCCTCCGCGTCGTCGTCGACGGCGCCCCCGTGTCGTCGTCGACGGCGCCCACATGTCGTCGCCGGCGGCGCCCACATGTCCTCGTCGATGTCGCCCAGTGTCCTCGTCGATGTGGCCCACTGTTGTCGCCGACAGCGCCCGGGTGTTGTCGTCCCCCGTCGCTTCGGTAGTGAGCGTCTTTGGACAGTCGCGAGCGTCTTCGGACAGTCGCGAGCGTCTTTGGACAGTCGCGAGCGTCTTCGGACAATCGTGACCGCTGCATCCCCTCTCCAGCCTTCCCATCGTACCCCCGCCTTCGCATCGTACCCCCGCCTTCCCGTCGTAGCTTCACCCACGCGTACTTCGGTGAGAGCGATGGGCGAAGTCGACTCGTGAAGAGGGGAGAGGTGAAGACTCACCTGCGAGGGGTCCAGGCTCATCTGCCCTTCCATTCCTCAAGCCCTCTTCTCCCTCCTCTCCCCTCGCACCCTCCCGCCTTCCCTCGCACCCTCACCATCCCCCTCCTCTCCCTCTCTCGCATCCACCAGCAACCCCCCGCGCAGGCCGACCCACGCCCCACCCTCCTCTCCCCCTCAACCTCTCCAGCCCACCCCTCGCACGGCCCAATATCCACAGCCCTCTCCCTCTCCCCCTCAACCTCTCCAGCTCCCCCTCGACCCCCACCCCCAGCCTCTCTCTCTCTCGCACCCCCATCAGCTTCCCCTTCCCCCCAATCTCCTCCCCGCCCTCAATCTCCTCCCCGCCCTCGTCCCCGGCACCAATATCCACCCTCAAACTCGCGCCCCAATATCCACAGCCCTCTCCCTAACCCTCTGAGTGTGTCGTTCCTGGGGAGGAGTAAGTCGTTTAAGTCGGGGTGAGTCAGTCGTTTAAGTCGGGGTGAGTAAGTCGGGGGAGGGTGGTGAGTTGTTTCTGGGGATGGTGAGTAAGTCGAGGGAGGGGTGAGGGGAAAGCAAAGGGAGGGTGGGATACATACGAAGTGGGATTCGGGAGTGCGGCCTGCGTAAGACCGAAGCGGGGCGAAACGGGAGACGAAGCGAAGCGAGACGCGATACGAAGCGCAAGAAAACGGAAGATGAAGCGCAGAGAGACGGCACCCGCATCCGGCAAGCAAGGAGGGGGGCGGAGGAGGGAGGAGGGAGGAGGGAGGAGGAAGGAGGAGGGGAAAGGACGACGCGGAGGAGGGAAGTAAAGACACGGAGGAGGGGTAGAGGGAGGTGAGCGAAGGGACAGCAAAGGGAGGGTGGGGAGAGTACGAAGTGGGATTCGGGAGTGCGGCCTGCGTAAGACCGATGTGCAGCGAGACGCTATACGAGCCATCGCTCGCACGAGCACCATCTGGCACGAGCACCGTCTGGAACGAGATGAAGCGCAGAGAGACGGCACCCGCATCCGGCAAGCAAAGAGAGGGGGTGAGGAGGGAGGAGGGAGGAGGGAGGAGGGAGGGGAGGTGCCTGCGGTCTGTAGACCGAGTTGCGTGCAGCGCGAGTTGCGTACAGATGAGAGCAGCGCGAGTCGCGTATGGATGAGAGCAGCAGCGTTCAGATGAGAGCAGCAGCGTACAGATGAGAGCAGCGCGAGTTGAGCAGGGCTAGATGAGAGCAGTGTGACAAGAGCAGTGCTGGTTAGAGCAGCGCGAGTTGCGTGCAAACGCGAGTTGGGGTACGAGATGAGAGCAGAACACACCGCATGACGGAGGATGCGAGCGACGGGGGAGGGAGGATACGGAGTCAGCGGGCACGGATCTGTACGAGAACCGTGTGAGCCTCAGCGATGAAGGGAAAAGCTTTTATATAGATAGTGTGTACCTGTACGAGAACCGTGTGACTACGGGAGCGTCAGTACAGGTGTCTAGGATGTATATAAATCAGGACTTACGCCTCAGCGATGAAGGGAAAAGCTGAGGCGTGTATCGACGATCGGAGACGTATGTACGGAGATAAAACCTAAATAGGAAACTGTGGGCGCTTGTGTATGCGAAGAGATGGATATATTCTAACACCGCACGCGAGCGCCGTCCCATCCCATCCCTTGGCAACGCTATCCCATCCCTTGGCGACGCTCTCCCATCTGGCCGCCGGGGGGGGGGGGGGGAGCAGCTAATATCTGGCCCAAGGGGGGCAGCTAATAGCCATGATCAATTCTAAAAATCCCGAAATGCCGCGAAATTCCCGAAATGGAAAGAGGTCGCGCGCGCGCGCGTTCGTCGTCCCTCTTCGCCCGTTTCCTCCATCCTCGAGCCTCGTAGCACATCATATAATACACGACAAACATCTATAATTCTTTGTTGACCCTAATCTGCATAAATGGTATAGTCCCTAGTCATATGAGTGCCGATATGTCAGTGACAATGGGACAGAATGGTCTTGACCTTCTCTCCAACGCAGCATCTCAGCTGTCCGCCGCGCCACCTCCCGGGGGCCTGGAGGAGGGTCTCAGGACTCCCCTCAACGACATTACCCAGCCGAACGCCTCCCAGAAGCGCCCCCCATCCCCTCCTTTGACCGACACAACCCCTGCACCGAAGCGCCCGCGACGCACCTGTACCCAGCCAAAACCGGCAGCTTCGCCCCCCGAGCCCCCCACACCTACACCTCGAAAAAAGCGCGGACGTCCTCCGAAGAAGAGGGAAGAGGGACAGCAGCCCAAACGCGCGCCGGGACGCCCTCGCAAGGACAAGCCAGCTGCGAGCGCGGTGACCACGCCGAACGCGAATCAAGCGCTACTCGCGGCATCCCAGTCGGGTCTCGGGCGATCGGAGACGGTGAAGGATTCGCCTGCGACGCCCTCTATCGACCGCCCTCCCTCGCCAGGTGTCGCGTCCAGCAAGCAATCCACCGCCGGTCGAGCGATCGGCCAGCCCTTCCCTTCGATCAACTTCATCTCCTACACCCCCTCCTCGTTCGACTTCGGCTCTCCCCCACCCCTAGATCCGCCAAACAATTCCTTCTCGTCCAGCAATCCCCCTTCCCCTGTGGTCGCCGCTGGGGCTGCTTCCCTGGCGGAGGAGCAGCACACCGCAGCTTCTGTTGAGGGAGCCGTCCCAAAGCCCTCGCAAAAGCAGCGGAAGTACTCAGTCGCTGACAAGAGCGCCCTCCTCGAAGTCGTCCTTGGCGACAACGTGAATGGCGACAAGATCTTCGACAAACTTCAGGTCGCCTCGAACAAAGTCTGGCGCATGGTACGTCTGCCCCCTGTCGCACGGGACGGTGCCTAATATCGCTTCAGGTGCTCGAGGCTCTTGGCGGGAAGCTTCCCAGTGGTCCTGTCACTGAGAAGCAACTCAGCAGCCTCTACAACACGCTTCTTACGACGTTCAAGCAACTCTACGAGTTCCGTAACTTCACGGGCCGTGGTGCTGATGCGGACGACTACGACTGGGACGACGAAGATGGTCTCGCATTGCATCTCCGCAACTCGAAGAGCAAGGGGTGTGCGATCGACAATCTCAATGCGGCAAACAGTCGCTTGTTCGTGCGCAAAGGCTGGTATGATCTCTTCGTCAATCGGTAAGGTCTCATTGTTCCCAGTATGTCCTTGTATATTGACTTCTTTCAGCTACAAGGACAACCCAAAGGTTATACGACCGGTTGCCCGTTCTTCAGCTGCAGAGCTCAGCGAGGTGGACGACTTCGACGAAGACGACGAGGTCGAGCTCGTTCCGTCACCGACCAAATCACGTCTACCCAAGTCCGGGAAGTTGCCGGCATCTGCTACTGTCTCCGAGCCGAAGGGGGCCCCTCGCCGTGGCCGGCCCCGTAAGGATGCCAAGGAGCAGACAAAGATCGACACCTCTGGACTCAATACTTACTTCGAGGTCATGGCGAAGTCGGAGGAGCAGTCCGCCGCTCTACGCCAACAGAGATACGAGCGGGTGGCGATAGAGAAGAAGGTTGACTTGGCGCAGAAGATCATTGACGGTGAACGTGCGTCCCCCGGTACATATACCTTCCAAGTTGTGGATAACGCCAATCGCATCTTGGCCGAATTCCTTTCCCTTGGCTTCGGTGATTCCTAAACATACACGTACACCCTCCTTTACTTTTATCTGCATACCCTACTTCAATTCGTTTAATTCCTTGGTTCGGTGTGATTTCTACTACTGGTAGTTTGCCATAGGGCATACAATGTCAAGAAGTTCCCGCCGCTTCTGATGCCCTGCAGTTCGGAGCCACGCTACAGTCTCGTGGCGTGGAAGGTCCGAGGGACCATGCACATCAACTCCTGTGACTGTCGGCACGTCCTCCTCCTCCTCTTCCTCCTCATCTGTATCATCCCCCTCCTCGTTAGCTGCTAGAATGACTTCAGCATACTCGTCGAATGCCTCCGGATGATCCTTGTGATAGAGGCATAAGTTGTGCAGGATTAGCAATGCCTCAATCACCCGCCATACATCTTGCACATCATCATGGTAGCCCATAAGACGGAGTGAATGAAAGCGCATCTTGAGCACTCCGAAGGCATGTTCGACGGTGACGCGTTGCTTGGACAACAGTTTGTTGAAGTCGATCATCCGTCTCCGCTCCGTGTTGGATGTAGCATTTGCCAACTCCTTGTTGCTGAAAGGACGGACGGTGTACGGAGAGGAAGGATAACCTATGAAGGAGTCAGATCATGTCAAGCGGAAACGCCAAGATAGAAGTTCAGTCACCCTTGTCAGCCAGGATATAGTGGCCGTCCTTCAAGTACTGATTCCGATGAAGCCAAATGTGCGAGTTTTTGAATACTCGTGCATCTGTTACGCTTCCAGGCCACCCAAGCTCCCAAGATGTGAACCAGATCTCTGCGTCAACCGTAGCTTGCACGGCAAAGCCAAAGAACCCTTTACGGGTCAGGTAAGCTGGGCCGTCCTGACGAGGCTTGTCGGTTGTTTGGATAAGGGAGCCGTCGGCACTTCCAAGGCACTTCGGGAATCCAATACGATGAAGAATCCTCTCCTCCGTCACGCTCTGCTCAACGTCAGTCATCCAACCCCCAAAATTGCTACGCAATTCACGGAGGGCACGGATGACTCGACGGCAGTAGAGGATGACTGTGCCATACCCAATGCCGGTCTTGAGCATGGTATCGGTGATCGGTGATCCATACTGGCCGTATCGAATGAGAAAGCAGCCCAACTGCCACTTGATATGTCGCTGCGGCTTCTTCCCCTTCGACGTGAAGATCGGATTGCGCGAAAGGATCTTGACAACTTTGTCGAAGGTAGTACGGCTCAGGCTATCAGAAGTCAGCCACAGATATAGAACATTTCTCAGGGACTGACCGAAATACATGTCTGAACTCACGATCAGGCATCTGCAGGGCAAGCGTGAACCAGTCACGAGACTTCTGCACCTGTCCATATGGCCCACGTGCCCCGGATTCACTGCAAAGGGTCTGCGCCATCTCAATCCATGTCCACCCCATAGCCCGAAGTGCCATTGTTGCCTTGTTATGATCTTCGTGATCTTCGGGATCTTCATCGTCATCAAGCCCAGTACGATCCTTGATATCTGGCTCTTCATCGTCAAAATCAGGGTCAAGGTCGACGCTGGAGGTGTGTTCCATCATGTCTGCTGCAATGAAGATCTGGGATGCAAAGTCGACGAGATTCTGCGCGTCCATGTTCTGAAGATCGTGGTGGTTGATGACAAGGTGGCGATGCTGATCATATTGGGGAAGTCAAGGCGCTTTTGGGGGTGTCCCCACTGTACAAAGCCAGATTTTTTGTCATATCATGCTTCAGACACATTTATCATGGTTTTTCGTGTATTATATGATGTGCTACGAGGCTCGAGGATGGAGGAAACGGGCGAAGAGGGACGACGAACGCGCGCGCGCGCGACCTCTTTCCATTTCGGGAATTTCGCGGCATTTCGGGATTTTTAGAATTGATCATGGCTAATATCTAGCCCAAGGGGGGCAGCTGATATCTAGCCCGAGGGGGGCGGCTAATATCTAGCCCAAGGGGGGCGGCTAATATCTAGCCCAAGACGACCTTTTCCCTCTCTTCTTCCCTCTCTCCCCGTCAGCCCTTTTTTCTCTCCCCGGCAGCCCTTTTTTCCTCTCTCCCAGCCCCCCTCCCTCCCTTCCTCTCTCACCACCACCCTCGCCAGTCTCCCCCGCTTCTCGTTTTTCACCCTCCATACCCTCACCCCCGCCTCTCCCACCCCGCCCTTCTCCCCCCTCCCCCGACGACTCCGCCTCCCACACCCTCGCCCTTCTCGCCCCTCCCCGAGAGGTCTGAAAACGCGTTGTCCTGGACGAGGGCGAGGAGTAGACGTCCGGGACGAGGTCTTGAAGCACGGCGACGGGGACGAGGCTGCGGAGCGTGTCGTTTGGGACGAGGTCGCGGAGCACGGCGAAGTGGACGAGGCTGCGGAGGGCGTCGTTTGGGACAAGGCTGCGGAGCGCCTCGTCACGGACCGGTCTACGTTGTGCGGAGCACGTCACCGTGGCGCTTGGGAGAGTGCTTCATCGCTGCGCTTGTCAACACGGCGCCTCGGCGTGCGCATTGATCGCCGTGAATCGATTGTCGCTGTCAACGGGTTCATCGTCGTCGCGAGAAGAAGGGTGCGGGAAGGGGTGAGGAGGAGGGAGGGAGGGAGGGAGGGGTGGTTGTTGAGGGGAAAGGGATGGGAGGGGTTGTTGAAGGGGAAAGGGATGGGTGAGGGATGGTTGAGAGGGAAGGGAAGGGGGTCAAGGAGGGGAGAGGGGGGAAAGATGTAGGGTAGAATGTGTATGATATAGAGAAGGCGAAGGATGCAGAGGAGAGGGGAGGGGCGAAAGGAAGGGTCGTGTATCGCTGTTGAGATGAAGGAATTTTATGTAAAGGGGGAGTCAAAATAAGAGTGGGAATGAGATAAAATGAATGAAAGCGGGGTAGAAGGAAGGGGAGGGAAGGGACAGGAAGAGGAGGAAAGGGACAGGAAGACGAAGAGGAAGATGGTATACGCAAGCCACACTGCCATCCGTGATTACTGTGGTGCGGGTGTGGCGGCAAGGGAGTGAGAGAGGAGGGGGCAATGGGAGAGGGGAGGCGTGTATTAAGGGCGCGAGCGTGCGGATCGAGAGCGCAAACTAGGACGAAGGCGCGCGTAGTAGGAAGGCGGGCAGCGTCCAGGCCGCATTCTAACAGATGTGGAGAACAGTCATAGGCGGTATATGCGCATCGACGCGTCCCAGTCGCGTCGACAGTCGAGAACGCCAAACAGTCAACCGTCAGTCGAGAAGCAAGCCCCGCCGATCGCCTACGTCATCACACATCCGGGCCGACCCCCCGACGGGCCCCGCGCCGACGCGGCAGGCCGGCAGCGAACGATCATCGCGCCGAGTCCCGCCGTGGAAGCGCGTCGGCGGGCTGTCTGTCTGCATTTACGGCCTGCGTTCATCTACACGCGTCTGCCTTTACATCGACCCGCGCGCCTTCCACCTCACTTGCCCTCCATCACTGTGGTCTGGCCGACGTCTGTACACTGCCCGCCGTCCTAGTACGCGCATCCGGTCCTAATACGCGCTACTCGTCTGCTGTGTTTACTGGTCCGTGCCCGTCCTCCCTTGCTCGTACGCGCTGCTCACTCGTGCACCCAGTCATCCATACACTCGCTGCTCCAGCAACCCCTTAGCGCCAATCACTCCGTCCTCAAGCACGCGCACACATACGCCCTAACCATGGCCACCGCCAAGATCGGCACCCTGCTCATCCGCGTGCGTGCTTTCCCTCTCTCATTCCTTCTACCTTTCCCCTCTCTTGCCTTCCAGCCTCTCCTTGTCTACGTTCTCCCTGCAACCCCCTCCTCCTTACTGACCCGCCCCTCCCCTCCTCCCTACCGCCTCCCACCACCACCACCTCCCCTCCCCTCCCACTCCCCACCACCTAACCCTCCCCACCCAGACCCTCGCCAAACCGATCGCGAACCAGATCAAGGCCCAGGTCAAGCAGCACCCCTCCTTCCGCCGCATCTGCGTCGGCCTCGCGCAGCGCATGCACAGGACGGAGATGCGGCTGCGGACGAATATACTTGGGACGGCGCGTGAGTGTTGTCTCCCGTGTATTTTTCGTCTTTCTTGCCCTCCTCGCTATGTTTTTCGTCGTTCTCACCCGTGTATCCTTCGTTGTTCTCACCCGCTCCCCTCCCCCTTCGCCCACCCCCACACCCACTAACACCCTCGCCCCCCACCCTCTAACTCCCACACCCTCTACCCCACAACATCCACTAACACTCCCACCCTCTTCCTCCTCTCTTCTACCCCCCACACCCTCTCCTCTCCCCCCTTCCCCAACCTCAATGCTCACCCGCTCCCCTCTACCGCCCCCTTCGCCCCCCCCCCCTATGCTCACACCCACTAACACCCCCCACACCCACTTACCCCCACCCCCCCTATGACCCCACACCCTCCACTCCCACACCCACTAACACCCTCGCCCAACATTTACTAACACCCCCCCTATAACAAAAACACAACCAAACAGCCACCACCCCCGTCCGCCCCCTCTCCGAAACGCGCGCGATCGAGAACGGGGCGAACGCGATAGCCGAGGGGTTCCTCTTCGCCGTCGCCGCGGCGCTGATTTTGGGCGAGAGCTGGCGGACGAGTGTGAGGGGGGAGAAGGTGAGGTTTGCGGTTTGAGGTTTAGTTTAATTAATGCGGGTTTGAGTTTTTGGTTGAAGTTTTGGTTTGATGGATTGGGGGTTGGGGGTGGGGGCGGAGTTGGTTGAGGGGGGTCTGGGGGGGCGGGTTTGGGTTATGGTTGGATGAGGGTGAGGGTGGGGGCGGGTTGATGGGGTTGTGGGCGAATGAGGAGGAGGGCGGTGGATGAGGGACGGGAGCGCGTGGGGGTGATGGTGGCGGATCAGGAGGGGGGCTGGGGGCGAGAGGGATGGGGGTTGGGGGCGAGAGGGATGGGGGTTGGGGGCGAGAGGGATGGGGGTTGGGGGCAAATGATGAGGAGGGAAGGGGGGTGGTCCGCCTCGCCGACGTCCTTCTCGCTCGCACGAGCGAGTGGGCGCGCTCTTCGTGGTTGGACGCGCTCTTCCTGCTCGCACGAGCGAGTGGACGCGCTCTTCCTCCCTCCCCCCTGTAGGGTGGCGAGGTCTCCTTCACTATCGAGGCGGCGGGCCCTCCTTCACTATCGAGGTGGCGAGCGCTCCCTTTGGAGGTGGCGGGCCGTCCCTCACTATCGAGGTGGCGGGCCCTCCCTCACTATCGAGGTGGCGAGCGCTCCTTCTACTATCCCCAGTAACTGTGCCTTGGGGGGTAGGAGGCGACAAGCCTTCGAGGGGGGGAGGAGGCGACAAGCCTTCGAGGGGGGGGGGGGTGAAGGGCGAGGGGGGCTAGGGGGCTGGGGTGGAGGAGGGGGGGCTGGGGTGGAGGAGGGGGGGCTGGGGTGGAGGAGGGCTAGGGGGCTGGGGTGGAGGAGGGGAAGGGTGGAGGAGGGGGAGCAGGGGCGAGGAGGGGCGAGGAGGAGGGGGTGGGGCAGCTAGGAAAAAGGGGGGGGGGTGCGAAGGGCGGGGGCGGAAGGGGAGAGAGGATGAATGTCGCTTTTGCCCGGGAGCAGTGGCCCTTCCCTTTTTAACGGACACTGTTGTCCCTTCTCGACGAACGCTATTGTCCCTTCTCAATGGACGCTGTTGTCCCTTCTCTACGGACACTACTTGTCTGCGCCCACTACCCCGCTCACCCAATTTCTCTCCGTCGTACTGACCATTCGTGTGCGCGCGAGCTGACCATTCGTGTGCGCGCGAGCTGACCAGATCTTTTTTCCAGAGAAGAGACCTCGTCGACGACGCGCTCGACGCGCTCCAATCCGACGTCGAGTCCCTCAAGGCCGAGGTAGCCAGCGTGCGGGGGACGGTCGGGGAGGTCGTGAGGGGGTGGGAGGAGGAGAGGGGGAGGTGAGTGGTTTGGGTTTGTGATTTTCGATGCAGAGATTCGCACCTCGTCGTCTCGTTCATCGCACCATGTCATCTCGTTCATCGCACCATGTCATCTCGTTCATCGCACCATGTCATCTCGTTCATCTACCTCGCCATCTCTCATTTCCCTTTCTCGCACCCCCCTGCGCTTCTCGCCCCGTCCACAATCCCTCCTTTTCCTCTCACCCTCCTCCCTCCTCCCTCCTCCCTCCTCCCTCCTCCCTCCTCCCTCTTCCCTCCCCCCTCCCCTCTCCCTTCCTTCCCTCGCGCCGCCCTTTCCCTTCCCCCTTCTTCCTCCTGCCCGCTTCCCTTCCCCCTTCTTCCTCCGTCCTCCGTCCTCCCTCCTCCGTCCTCCGTCCTAAACTCGCCATCCTCCTCCTCCGCGTCGGATGGGAGGAGGTCTCCGCTCGTCGGATGGGGTAGTGTGCGGGCGCAGAAGGGTGGGATGAGGACGCGAGCGCAGAAGGGGCGCGGAGGACCGGGGGAGGGGGGCGGAGGACGCGCGGGCGCTGCGAAGGATGGGGCGCGAGCGCGCTGCGAAGGATGGCGATGGCGGAGGGGGGGAAGGGTGGGGTGGGGGGAGAGGGCGGAGGGGGGAGGTGAAGGAGCGTGCGAGGACGAGGCGGCGGTGAAAGCGGCGGGAATGCGATGTGTTGACGATTTGGGGAAGGGCAAGCTACATGGTGGCACCGCGCGAGCTACATGGTGGCACCGCGCGAGCTACATGGTGGGAACGACGTGCTCACAAATTTCCAGAAACGACGAACTCACCCGGATCTTGGAGCGTGTCGTCGAGATCGGGCTCCGAGGCGGATGGGCGGAGTTTGAGGGGGAGCCTGTCAAGATTCCGAGGGTGGGGTTGGTGCCGGCGTCCACTGGCCCATCAACATCGACCACTATCTCATCAACATCGTCCACTATCTCATCAACATCGGAAGCGGGCGTAGATACGCCGGTCAGCGATGCGCTGCGGGAGGCGAGGAGGACGGAGGGCATCACGAGAGAAGGGGAGGAGGGGAAGGAGTCGAGGTCGTCATAGACGACGGATTGTTGCTCGTTGAGACGAGGGAGGGCGGGGTTGAGACGAGGGAGGGCGGGGTTGAGATGAGGGAGGGCGGGGCTGAGATGAGGGAGGGCTTCGGAGACACGAGGGAGGGCGGGGTTGAGATGAGGGAGGGCGGGGTCGAGATGAGGGAGGGCGGGGTTGTAGACGGACAGGGTTCGGCAACCGCTATTTGCATTACACACATATATATTCCATGCTTCGTCTCTCGTTCCCTCGACGGACGTAGGCGCGCGACGTGGCTCATATGTAGGCGCGCGACGTGGCTCATATGTAGGCGCGCGACGGGGCACATATGCAGGCGAGCTCTTCATCCGCGTCTGGAGCTCACGGCATCCGCGTCTGGAGCTCACGGCATCCGCGTCTGGAGCTCACGACTCGGCGCCATCGAGGTGGCAGCGGTGGAGGCGGCCGCATACACGAAATTTGCGCGAAGCGAGGGGCGAAGGACAAGTCGGCTGGAGGGGCGGTGTACAAGTCGGCTGGAGGGGCGGTGGACAAGTCGGCCGGAGGGGTAAGGTGTGTCCTCGCCTGGCCCCCGTTGACCGGATCGCTGACGAATCTATCGACAGAACTGGGTAGTCGCCATGCTCTGGGCGGGAAGCATGTTGCGCGCGGTCGTCACCTTCGAAGGCTCCTTCACGTGCCACGCACCGCATTCGCGTTCGTTGCACCGCAATCGCGTTCATTCCACCGGTCTGTTGTCGGATTCCGGTCCTCGTCTGCAACTCCGAGAAATAATTCGACATGAACGAGCGCTTGCTGCCAACGCGATGATACTGAAGGCCCCGACGAGAAAGCAAAACCCCTGAACGGCGTCAAGACTGGGTCCTCCGAAGTTGACACGGCCAGACTTCTTGACGGCAAGTCCGACTGAGATTACTGAGAAACCTGGATACGCAGCGCCGCAGAGGGTCCAAGTCTCCAAGTGACGCTGTGCCCCCGCCCCGACGCGGCGCTCGCTCAGGCGCCGTGACGTATTGGCTGGCGACGCGGTACTCTGGCAGACGATCCAAGGCTAGCCGCTTCCGACTTCTGCCAGTATCGGCTTTCGCTGTGCTGCGCCAGGCCGGACACGTACTGGGCCGTGAACGCCTTCCCATCCCCGCACGACTTTTTCTGGCATACAAATTACCGGCCTCGACGCCCGGGCCCCCTTCGGCGTAGGAGAACGGAAGGGGGGCGATCTCGTGCGCCAGGACAAGGCGGGTCGCTCATCAGGTCGACGCGTCAGGATTTTGCTTCCGGTGACCATCCTTTCACTACACTTTACTCCCGCGTCTTTGTGCGGCGTCCTTGTTCTTTTCGCAAGCATGCAACCTTTGGGAGGTACAATGGTGCTGGGTCGCTTTGGGCGGTACCGACTGTCTCTACCACCGTCCGGAGGTATACAAGAGTCCTGCATGTCGAGAGGTACCGTGCATCCTCCGGGTCTGGCGACCTGCATCCCACCGCAGTGACGGTTGGCATCCTTCTTGTTGTTGTGCACAAAAGTCGCAGCGTTCCCGTATAAAATGCTGCTGACTGCACTCGGGATGTCCGCATCCCAGAGAAACTCTGTATCTCGCGACCCCTACGCCCTATCCTTTTCAACGACCACAGGAAACTACTCGACGATGACTCCCTTTTGCGTGCGTATACTCTGCCATCTTGTACCCTTCCCTCATCGCCCTCCTGCCCTCTTTCGCCTCACTCCCGCGTCCTCCCTCCTCCCTCCTTCCCCCACTCCCTTGTTTCATTCTCCCCCTCCCCCACTCCCTTCCATCCCCTTCCCCTGTTCCCTCTTACCTACACTCACATCACCCTCCCACAGGTCAACGATCGCGTATGGTACTGGTCAGCCGATGCGCAGACGGTGCTCGGGACGGTGGTGGCCATCGAGCGCCTGGCGGACGTACGTTCGGTTTTTTTTTCTTCCCCTGCTCGTTCTCGTACATCCTTCCACCGCTCATGCTCGTTCTTGCTCCTCCTGCTCGTTCCCGTCCATCCTTCCCCTGCGTTCTCGTCCATCCTCCTCCTGCTCGTTCTCATTCATTCTTCCACTCCTCGTTCTCGTCCATCCTCCTCCACTCTCCACGCGCGTATGAGACATCGACAACCTCGCTCACGCCTCCTACAGGGCACCCAGCTCCTCGTCATCGAGCGCGACACGGGCGGGCGGGTCAGTTTTCCGTGAGTGACTGGTTTATTCTTCCTAGGTTTCTTCTAGCCACGCCTCTTTCTGTCGAGACTGAGCCGAAAGCTGACGCGGTCTATACGCGAGCTGACGCAGTCTATACGCGAGCTGATGCGGTCAATGCAGTGCCGACACGATCTTCAAGGTCACGCACTAGCCGGGTCTACAACGGCTTAGCCACCTGGATTGGCGCCCGCCGTCACTCGCATCTCAAGGACTTCAATTTGAACACGGACGTCACTGGTTTCTCACTCAGGATCCATCACTGGTTTCTCACTCAGAAGCTCAGGCTAGCCCTATATATACTATCTCTCTCGCCTTCGTCGCAGTTTATTCATTGGATGGCCTGCTATCACGAGCTTGGATTCTCCGTCGCAGACGTTCACACTTGAGATCTCCGTCGTGGACGTTGGCGCTTGAGATCTCCGTCGTCAACATTCACGCCTGTAGGTCCATGTGTCCTTCTTCCCCCGCTCACGTGCGTGTGAACCGACCTTCCCGAAGCGGAACAATGGGACACGATGCTTCTTGTCTTCGCCCATTTTGGCGTGCCGCCTTGTCTTCGCTGGATTTGTCACTGCTGTTTGTCTTCGCTCGACTTGACACGGCGTCTGGGCGCTGCTTGACTCGGATGGGCGATCCGTCTGAATGGGCAGTAGCGAACGACTCGGTTAAACAGGCGTCAACGAACGGTCCAGCTGCACAGGCGTCAATGAAAGAAGGTTCTGGGCGGTATGTACCCTCCCCGCTGACGACCGATCGATCCCCATGAGGAAGTGCTTGTCGGTAAATGGAGTCAATCCTGGCTTCCGCCCACGCCACACTCTTCGCGCTGCGGGCGGCGGTAAATGAGTCAGGACGCGCAAGGCAAGGAGTCGGCACAAGGGTGGAAAGCAAGGAGGGTGGAGAGCAAGGGGGGTGGAGAGCATGGAGGGTGGAGGGAAAGGAGGGTAGAGAGCAAGGAGGGCCCGCGTGTGTGCTACCAATAAATAAACTCGCGTGCGCCACACTTCTGAGACGACGCCGGCCGACAAGGAGGCTCATCACTCTCGATGACTGGCAGCGAGCGCTCTCGAGGATTGGCAATGGGCGCTCTCGAGGATTGGCAGCGAGTGCTCTCGAGGATCGGCAGGGAGCGAAATTCCCCAATGAGCGATACACGTCCGAACGAGCGGGGATCTGATTGGCGCGCGGCCTTGCAGCAGATCGGCGCGCGGCCTTTCAGCAAATCGGCGCACGGACGAGAAGCAAATCGGCCCGCGGACGAGAAGCAAATCGGCCCGCGGATGAGAAGCAGCTCGACACGCGGACAGGAAGCAGATCGGTGCGCGCGACTCCGCCCTTGCTTTGTGCTATTGCACTAACTGGAACATATAACTGGGCGCTTTCATTGATAGCGCTGGCGTCCCTTCTGCGTCTTTCTGCGCGCTCGTACGTCTGCGCGCTCGTACGTTTGCGTTTCTGGCCTTCTACTTCAAAGCACGCCGCTCGCCTTCGAAGTACGCCGCTCGCCTTCCAAGTACGCCGCGCGCCTAAACGCTCGTCAGGTCTTCCCCCCTCGCGTATCCCGGACGTCTCTCTCGCGCATCCCGGACGTTTCTCTTGCGTATCCCGGACGTCTCTCTTGCGTATCCCGGGCGTGCGTCCCTCAGCACCCGTCATCGCGCCAGGCTCACCCACTTGTAGACTTGACATCGCCCGCCGCCTGAAGACGCGTCAGCCTCGGTCTCCCTACTTCCTCGTCACCCGCAAACACGCATCCTTTCGCATCGCCATGGACCTCTTTCGCGCTACTCGAGCCAAAGATCGCCGCACCATGCCCAACGGTCGTCACACCACGCCCCGCGAGCGTCGCACCATGCCCAGCGAGCATCGCACCACGCCCAGCGAGCATTGCATCAAATATAACCTCAAGCGCGGCATTCAACCGGACGACACCCTCCGCATCCCCTCCTGGCACGCCTCCGATCATCCATCGTTGTCAGTGATGTCCTCCGATCATCCATCATTGTCAGTGACGTCCTCCGACTGCTCCTGGCACGCCTCGGACCGCTCGTCGACCTGCCCGGTCATATACCACAACTGCCGCTGCTCTTATACATGTCCGGTACGCGGTTCTTCTGCCTCTCGGGGAGGCAGCCATTCTACCTGTCGAGAAGGTGACCACACTTCCTGTCCACCACGCGGTCGACCACTATCCCAAACATACGGCACCCCGTCCGACCAGCTCCGCCGCGCGGAGCACCATCACCGCGGTTCGACGTTCTCCTTTCATGATGGCCGGCTTTCGTCGCACAACGCTTACGGGCTCCCGCCCGCTGACGACTACCATCTCTCGACCTGCAGCGGCTCTTGTCTCTCATCCTCTACTACCTACAGTCCTCCGCCTTACAGAGCATCACGCCCCGAGTTCACCTACCACATCTCGAGCAAAGATCGGAGATGGAAGGTGCTCTTGCAGGACACTATCAGGCGCCCGGTGCGCTCCCTAGTCCCTGGTCGCCCTCACCCCCCCAATATACGCCAGATCCACACCCTCAGCAAACGCGCCTTAGGGGACATCGTCCGTCAGGCGCTGAAGCTGTCGAAGCTCGACCTGGTGAGGAAGCGCTCGGGTCTCAGTATCAGTGGCGCCTCAAGCGCGGAGGGAGACTCGAGCGCGACACTTTTCGAGGGCCCAACCGCCACAGGAAACGCTATCGAACGTCCTGTTCCCTCCTTCCTTCCCTCGTCGCCGTGCCACAACACGTATGCTGCGCCCCACGACTGGCCCGGCGACCGTATAGGGAATGCCGGCAGCCTTCGTGAGGACGCTGGCAGCCTTCGTGAGGACGCTGGCAGCCTTCGTGAGGACGCCGGTGGCCTTCGTGAGGACGCCGGTGGCCTTCGTGAGGACGCTGGCAGCCTTCGTGAGGACGCTGGCAGCCTTCGTGAGGACGCTGGCAGCCTTCGTGAGGACGCTGGCAGCCTTCGTGAGGACGCTGGCAGCCTTCGTGAGGACGCTGGTGGCCTTGTTGACAGCGATCATGCTGGTGGCATTGGCGAGGATGCAGGCGCGCTCTACTATGTTGCTGGCGAAGCTTTCAATTTCGACGATCCTAGCGGCTTTGAAGACTATGCTGGCGGCTCTGTCAACGATGACCCTAGCTCCCTCAACGACTATTCCAGCTCCCTCGACGACGACGATAATACCAGCACGATCTCACTGCTTAACGGCGAGCCTCTCGCCGACGCCGATCTCTGTGTCAGTCTGCATTTGTCTTCGTCAAGTACACCATACTCGCACTCGTCACGCTGGATCAAAAGCTGGATTGCACAGGTGACCGTGTCTCGTCGAGAAGCTCGAGAGGATTCCTGCGAGTTGCACTAGGTAACTGGCCCTCAGGCATGTACGAGACCTGCCCTTTGTTTTGTCTACACTGGGTTCAGTGTGGCAGCTCGCTGGGGTTCTCTCCACGACACACAAGGCATGGGTGGAGCACGCTCGCAGGCCACAGCACGCGCCCGCACACGCTCACCAGCCACTCAGCGGCTCATGCCGTGATGCGCGCCTTACCGACAACGTGTCGTGCGCGCCGTCGCTGCTGAATTATGCATCAAAATGTAAGAAATAGTAATCTAAACATTTATTCAAAGTGCATACATATTCTAGAGAGTAGGTAAGGGGGAGGGAAGGGGGGAAAGTAAAAAGCACAAGAGCACGAGTGAGAAATCTCACTCGCGCTCAACGCGCCGCTAGGGCTCGGTAGCGCGCACGACAGCGTGAGAGGGGAGCGGAAAGGAGGGTGATGAGCGTGCTCGATGCGCGTAGGATCGCGTTGATCGAGCGCAATAGAGGGGGCGGGGAAGGCAGCGCGATGCGTGCCCATGATGCGCACGGAGAAGGTGGCGAGGACAAGGGTGAGGGTGGGGGGAGGGGCGCACACATACTAGCAAACACCGGGTGTACCGTTGCCTGCGCAGGCACTTCTCTTGCACCTTCCCCTCGCACCTTGCCCCCGATCCCCTCTCCTCGCCTCGCCCCTCTTCATATCCTCCTCCCCCACCCCTCCTCGTATCCTCCTCGTCCCTGCCCAGCTCCCTTCCTCCTACCACTGTTCTCCCCCCAACCCTCTCGGCGAGGCATGCCCACGCACTCCCTCTATCTGCGCATACACCACGCACACTTTCCATACCTCACTGTGGGCGGAGGTGGTATGGGCATGGTGCGCGCTGTATGCACCGGCAAAGGGAAGGGGCGTGGCGATCTCAATGTGCTGGCATAGCCAGTGGCCGATCGAACGTGACGCGCGGCGCACTGAGGGCACCCTCAGAGGCGTCCCGCGCGTCTCCAGCAGTGCCGAGCCTCGCCGCAAAGGCGAGGCTGCGAGGGAAGGAGGGGGGAAGGCGCCGACCGCTTGGCAGCCAATCGCGAGGCGCGGCTTGGGCAGGTGGCGGCATAGCGGGAAGAACGCGATTGGGAGCTCGCTCGTGACACATTACGCGTCTGGAGCGAGTTCCCGCGCCCTCAGACACGGGCTGAGAGCGAATTGGGGGAGGGGAGGGGGATTTGCACGCCGCCGCTTGTTGCGATGACGCATCCCCCCGCATCCCCACTGCATCTCATAATGTATATTCATTAGTATTAAGTCGTGTGCGGCGCGGGTTCACGCGCCTGTATTTCCCTCCTTCCTCGCGCTGTCTTTGAGCGCCGCGCGACTCGGGTCATGCGCGTGATCAACGCGTGAGGGCGTCCGGAAACGCGTTTTCCGCGTCTTGAGAAGCGTGGATGACAGTAAGAAGGAAGGGGGAGAGGACTGGGGGAGCGGGGGAACGTGTATGTCGGAGCGTGGTGGTGGTCAAGGAGCAGAAGACGCACGTGCACGCGTCGGCGCACCCGCAGACGTAGTCTGAGGGAGAATATAACGGGAAAGCGGGGCAATGTCTGCCCTGCTTCCTCCGCCTCCTCTTGCTTCGGCTCCTCCCCCCGCCGCGGAAAAGAAGTGTTGAGTAATATGATCGAGTGCAGGGGATATTCACGCACCCGGAACTCCCTTCCTCGTCCGGCTCGTGGCCGCTGTCATTGCCAAGCTCCCTCAATTCGTGGGACATGAATGTGGTGAAACACATTGTAGGCGGCCTTTTCGAGGTGTTAAGAAGAAAAGGGAGTGTGAGAAGGGTGTCTGGGAGGGATGAAGAGGCGAGGTGGGCGGCATGGTGGTGAGCGCGTCGCAAGCGCTGGACTTCGCGACTTTCGGGGATAAGTCGACCGTGTGAAATTCATCACGGTCGGGCGCCCAGCTTCAACTCTGAATTTTTCGACACCTATGCGCAGTGTGACCGCGTATGCTCGCACATGTGCTATTTGTAGGTTAGGATATGATTCTGTACTAAAATATGAACGAAAGCAACCAACGTTCGGTAGGAAAAGGCCCTGTCGAATTATGTGGCGGTGCACCTCGTCGGAATCTCCCGAGCACGTGGAAAAGAGTCGTCGATAGCTTCGACGGCGAAGGGGACTCATACCAGAAAACTTGATATAATCGTACAAAAGCGCTGAGTGGATGCACACGATTTTTCCTCAAGCAAAGAAATGAGGAGAAGGACGAGAAACTTCTAGCGCCACATATTTATCCCGATTTGGAACATGCCGCTTGGACGTCGAATGGTGATGAATTTCACCGTCGTAAAACGATCCCTGGCAAGCAGGTCTCGTAATCGTCAGGACGCTAGAGAGGGATCTTCGCACCGTCAGGACGCTCGAGAGGACTCACCGCGCTTCGCGTCAAAGCGTGAGGCCGTTCATGTCGCGAAGGAGGGGTGGCCGTCGTCCTTGGTACGCGGGGCGAAAGACTCGCGCGTTGCGTCCAAGCATGTCGCTCGGGACGTTGAGAAGAAGGAGCCGTCGACGCGGAGGCACCACTCGGAGGAGCCGTCGACGTCGAAGGGGAAAGAGAGGGCCGTCCCGAAAGTCGTCGCCGCGCAAGTCATCGCTCTCGCTCGCTGATTAGACGAATCATAGCACCTAACAGGCTATTCATGGGCTTTTAGTTGCGGGACAACGGGGGGACGAATGAAGGATAGCTACAACGAACGAGACGCTTGACAAGGACCACTGCGCCGTCTACATACATATATACACGCTGTCCGACTTTATTGCTTTCTTGTCAGACCATTTCACTTCCATCACGCTGATGTGTTGCGCGAGAGGCGAGCAGGCAACTTGTGGGCGCGTGTATGCCTCTGCTTACCTAGAGGCGTGGGAACTTCCCGAAATGGAACAACTGAGCTGGTGCTTCTTGGTTCCGCCCAATTCCCAGCGCTCGCCGCATTCTTTATGATATGCTCGCGTGGCCGTCTCTCGCGGCTTCTGCATCTGCAGTCCTCTCAACTGCACTATCATCGGACGGCGCTTTTGAATAGTAGTTAGCTAGTTCGTCGGCTTCAACGCGGGCAGCAGCCCCATCACGCTCTCAGCATGAGAAGCAGTCTCGAAAAGGTATTGCTTGTTAGCCTATTGTATCCTTAAGAATGCGCGTCACATAGTGGGCGCACAAAGAAGCAGAATCCTCGACGCCCTATAGTCGGAAGTCGACTTGTCTACTAGTATAGACTCGCTGATCCGAATGCGGGAGGAAGCCCGCGAGCACAACAATGGCCAACGTTCCAGATTTTGTGTCGTGCGAACAGAGCGTAGAGCTAATGAGTGCGTGGACCTGTCATTCCGTCTTGCTATTGTACTCACAAGCACATATAGAGGAGCGCGCGCGATGCGAATGAGTCCAAATGCCAGTGACATACTACTACTCTCCCGATCTTGCTGCCACACTGTACGAGCTGGCTCGAAATATGGCAGATAACGCCTCCGTCTCGATACACTCGGCACGGTCCGAGTCGCGCTTGCGCCTCCCTCGCTTGCACCTCCCTCGCGTGCAGTTCCCTTCTCTTGGCAATCGGCGCGGCGAAGCTCGGCGCGCCGCAAATTCTCGCAGGCGCGCGTCGGGGTCTCCGCGTACTCGATCTCGATCTCGACGCTTCTATCGGTGGCTTGACGGCATCGCGGACGGATTCAGCCGCCGTCTCGGGACGTTGGAGCACGCCTTGCTACATCGAGCTCAGAGGAGCGGTAGCCGTCCCGGGTCAGTCCCGCGCGGGCGTACTGGAAGGTCGAACCTCCATAGGAGGGCGCGTAGCGGAGGCTCTGGGGTTTCTGAAGACCATCACGAATGCGCTGGCCACGGAAGTGAGGAGCCGACGGAGGCTACCGCTGGGCCATCAAATCCTCGGCAACCCTCGCCACGAAATTCCGAGAAGTTGTTGCCACAAACTCCTGAGCATTCACCCCCACCATCTCCGACGCCGCAGCCCTCGAAGGATATGCACCCACCGCGCGACGAGCCCTTGCTACCGACGACCAGGCAAGAAGGCCCGCAGCCTGCGAGCTCTAACTTCAGGCCTGGAGAACCTTCCAACAGTCATGGACCGGCCGATAGTCCCAACATGTCTACCAACAACGCCCCTGCTCTTCCTCTGCATACAAAGCCGTCTTATGCAACGATGGACTCGACCCAAGTCTCCCAGGACTTCACGCCCCAGACGGACTCAACGAAGTTAACGACACCCTCAGGCGCTCCGCAAAAGCTCCCGCATGGAAATGTTCACTCACGTCCTTTCATCCACGCGTCTGGATCCGAGGCAGCCCGGCATACGCCGCATCACTCCTCTTCTAGGCTACATCATACTCCCGCTCCTGCCCACCCTTCACCCTTGCGGTACTATGCCACCAACGCCGAGCTACATCCAGACTTAGACCCTGTAGACGAAGAGGCGGATGGAGGTGAGGCAGGTTTGAACGCCGAAGAGCGACCGGGTCCTTCGCCTGCTTCCGAATCGCGGCCGGATTTCCTGACGTCTACGCACGCAGAGGGTCCGCAGCCTGCGCCTTCGAGATCATCACCTCAAACACCTCGTACGTCCTTGAGTGTTGCTCGTATTGATGCCATACTCAATAACCTTCCTTCTTGGCCTAAAGATCATTCGCATGGCTCACCACCCAAGAACTCTGGATCACTGCTCAACTTCGGGACGCACTCGCCGTCCGTTTCGGTCGAACCGACCAAGCCGGCTGCTTCTACGCTATCGCCTCGCACGAGGATGACTTCGACTCACAAGGTCGAGGATAGGAGCCAGATGAGCGATTCACCTTCACCTTCTGGCGGTATTTCTGCTCCGCCACGCGACGTTCCTTTCGCGCCTCAGGTTTCGAGTTCATCCGCACAGAATGCCCGACCCAACCAAGCCACCGCTTCGGATTCGCCAACGACGCCAGCGCAACCCTCACCTGTAATTGCTCCTGCAAATGGCGCGGCGCCCTCTCCCGCGCATTCAAATAGGCCGCCATACTCTCGTTCCTACAGCGTAGAAAGTTTGGCAGCGACGAGCAGCACCTTGCGTGGCGACCTCTCCGTGCACAGTGCGCATATATCCCAGCTCCAGGAAGTCGACGCGGAGCCACGCGTTCTCAAGCTATGCGAAGTACCGCAAGGATTTCAGGAAACTCTTAGGAACGCAGAGCATGCCGCGCGCCAAGCTGTCGAGGTGAGCTTGCACCGGTAATTCTGACCCTTCGCGAGTTGGTTATTAATTTCTTCTCCCTTTAGCGAGTGCCAGGATCATCGCCCTCCGGGCATGCATTCGACTACGCGACACGGCGTGTGGCGCTGGGCGTCATTGCTGAGTGTATTCACCATACGCGTCAAGTCCTACAGAAGTTCAGGAAGACTGAAGTAAACGAGAACACGCCCAGGGCGCGCGAGGATGCGGACCACTATAAGGATGGCTTGATGTCGATGCAGACGTGTGTAGATTAATACCATTTCCTTTCTTTGCAGTTGCTCACTCAACTATCTCGCGTAGGACCTGTGCACTCTTCTTGACCACGCTCGGCGAAGGCCAGGATGCCGCCTTGACCTGCGTCCTCGCCCGACTTTGCCACTTGAGGGAAAGGATAGCGCGCTGCGCAAAGAAGATCATGGTATGCCTTTTCGATATTGCTGATGTAAGCTTTAAGCTGACACTCCCTCAGAAAGCCACACTTGCCCTTTCCAAGCATGCTTTGCGTGAACATCTTGACGGCATGAAGCAAGTTCGCGCGGAGTACGATGCGCGCAAGACGCAGTACAATGCGGACATCCGAGTCATGAGGCAAGACCGCGGCAGTCTGCATGAGATGCGCATGATGTTCGTGAACGAAGCGGTTAGGGTGTCTGTAAGAGCATAGGGGGCAGGTTAGTTCGTGAACTTCGTGCAGCTGGCCTGTACGAGGTATAGAGCGCCGCCGTCGAAACTCGTAGAAAGAACCTCTCTAATTTAATCATGATACTACACGAGACATGGATATCGTCGCGATTATAATGTGTCTGATACATCGAATTTTCCCGCTGCCAAACGCGACCGAATGTGGGTGCGTATGTACCTTTGTTTGCTCATTGTATGACTACACCGCTAGAGACCCGTCTGTAGGATATCGTCGGATTCTGAAACCACGATTCCCGTAGACGCTCCCGAGGATTTTGCTTGCTGCTCGTCGGCGTCTGTGGTTTGACAAGTCGACAGTTCTCCTGGACAATTCGAAGGTGATTGTGGGTGGCCCACGCGGGTACAGCGCGGCATCTCGGCAACCCGCTCGCGATGTTCCGAAGCTGTGATCACGCGTGCGACTTGCCTTCGTGTGCAACAGAGCACAATTGTACCATGTCCGAGCAGAGAGGTTTGCGTAGGCCGCAGTGTACGTGAGACCAAAGAAATGAGCACACAGCGTTCTCAATGAGCCTCAGACTTTCTTCAAAACGACAACAATCGAGGCCGATATGCTTGCGCGATATGCCCACCCCCCTCGCGCGTGATGTATCTCAGTGAAGCCATCCGACACGAGAAAAAGGACACCCATGTACTGATAGCTCGTCGAATGGAAGCTGCTCTCTCGCTGGACAACGTGTCTCCTGTAGAACCTGCCAGCCCGCCACAAATCATGTCCAGTGACCCGCCTGAAATCTTGTCGTCGTCTCCGATTGCCTCGCCTGCAGCGCTTGCAGGTCCCGCCCTCGCTAACGACCCTCCCGAAACTATCTATGACGACTTCTCTATGGCATGGTCCTCTGCGCAAACCAGAGATTCAGTGTCGCCTGACGAGCCTGCCGCGGATGCCTCAAGCTCGGTGGACATGTGGTACCCTGCGGATAGTGCGCAAGAGACAGACGCGGATGTTCGCGGAGAGACCGAAGATGGCTCTGAAGCTCTTTTGGATGCGCAAGAGGACTCGGACGAAAGTGACGGCGGGTCGTGGGAGGACGAAGAGGTCCCCGATGAGACGACCGAAGACGAGGTCCTGCCAGACTCCAGCGGGCAATACTTCCCATGGGGTTCGAAGCAGGTATGAATGCATATTCTAGCGCGACGGCGTGGCGGAATTGGTGCTGAACGCTTTCAGAAATGCACGACGTCTGTATTGACAGCGTTTCCCCGCTCCGTCTTCTCGGAGAAGGAGCTGTCTGCTATGCGATGGGCTGCTATGGGCTGCGGAGCGACTGACGTCCCGACGGCCAAGCAAATCGCATATTCTCGCCAGCAGATTATCGACGTATGCGGAGCGTCGGCCAAAAAAATGACAGGCGCGTTTGGGAATACGTTCACTGTCCTAGACCTGGCCACTATTCTTGCGCATGTACGTCTTGTTCTTCAAGTAATGTGCCGACTTTTTGATGTCTTCAAGGAATGGGCTAATCCTCTCGTTCGTCCTCACGTTGCAACCTTACCGGAGGATGGCAATGGCGGCATGGATCGGCGTTCGCAGGCCTCAAAATGGCGAAAAGAGGTGGACCCACTCCTTGGCGGGCCAATGGTTCGCTTCGGCGGCAAAGACTACTACGTCGAGGAGCCCGCGCTCGCATTCGTTGGACATGAGGGCTTCGCGAGTCCTGTCCTGCCCCTTCGATTCTTCACCCGCGAGGGAAAGCCATGGGCAGAGGCGCGACTCTTACGTGTCCATCCAACTCAGAACGAATTTCTGATAGATGTACGATCGCCCTCGAATCTCGAGATTCCCCTCGCCTCCTTCGCTCTGCCATATCCCGAGTTTGTGCTTGCTCATGCTACGCTCGGATACCCGAATCCGGAGCAGATTCATGGTGTGTTCTACCAAATCCTCTCACTGGAAACGTGGCTGATTTCCAATGCAGGAATGGTCACGGCTGGCGCACAGTGGGTACTGGACGAGCTTGTGATTGAGGACTGCAATCTTCGGTCTCCAAATCCCTACCGCGCGAAGGCGCAAGGGCGCCAGATCCTTTCCGTACCTATATCGTGCTATTGCGACGACACCTCGGGGAACGTCTCGAAGAAGTGGAACAAACACAATTCCATCCTCTTCACGCTTTCGGGACTGGCCCCCGAGTACATACACTTACTCTACAACATTCACTTCCTTGCCACGAGTAATACGGCGCCACCACTAGAGATGTTCGAAGCGGTGGTAAAGCAGATACAGTGCGTATTCTCCTTGCAGGTGTTGAACACGCGTTGGATCATGACGACAACTCACATCTGCTTCCAGGGAGATTCGGCAAGCTGGGGGTGTGGAAGCGTACGACTGTAAGCTTGAGGAGGAGGTACTCTTGATGCCCTGGGCGATGGACTTCGACGGGGACAACCCCATGTCGAGCGAGTTCTCGTGCCATGTTGGCTTGTCTGGCAAATGCATGTGCCGTCTGTGCATGGTGGAAGCGCCGAAGGAGAGTGAGAACCGCGATGAGGAGCAAGAACGTGTTCGTAAACTATTATCGGTGAGTTGAGGATTTATTGTCTTGAATGTTTCCCGACTCAATAAGCCGTTATACTCAGACTGCAGCGCCGCGTTCGAAGGCGGATATTCGCCTCGCCTTAAATCGACAACTTGACGAGGTTCTGCGCGGCGCCCCATCAAATATGTCAACAATCGCGACCGAGACAGGCGTCAAGGACAAGTATTTCCAGCACTTCGCCGATGAGCTTGCTAGCGCATGCGCGAGAATCAAGGAGAAGCGGCAGGAAGACCCGGCCTACCAAGGGACACAGTACCTCATTGACGAGATGAAGCGCTTACGCTCGGAGATGCCAGAAGACATCTTCAGTCCCGTCTTGCGTCTTGATGGTTAGTTTCCCGCTTAGCTTGTACAACATTGGAGCTGAACTCACCTGAAGAGTTTGACCCTGCTACCGACACGCCTGTTGAGATCTTACACGTCGTCCTGCTCGGCTTTGTTAAATACTTCTGGCGCGACGCTGTCTCTCGACAAAGTGATCGCGGCAAGGAGATTCTCATTGCACGCATCAACAGCTTCGATACGAACGGTCTTAACGTCGCTCGGGGACGCGGTGCTACGCTCGTATATTATGCCGGCTCTCTGACTGGTCGTGATTTCCGCCTTGTTGTCCAGATGGCTCCCAGTATATTGCCAGGCCTGGTGCCCGACGTCGTTTACGATGCTTGGCTCTCCCTTTGTCGCCTTTGCCCCCTGCTCTATCAGCACGAGATCTCTGATGTATCGGCTTATGTTGTGAGTGACTTATCATGCTCTCATCGCTCTGCTGACCTTATCTGGGGAAGGTACGCTTGGAGGCGGCCATTGATACGTTTTTGGCCACTACCGCCTTATGGAACACGGCGTGGTTCAACAAGCCGAAGTTCCACATTCTCCTGCACGCGCCTGCGCATATTAGGCGCTTGGGACCCGCCCCCTTGATGTCAACTGAGGGCTACGAGTCATTCAACCACGTCATCCGCTGCCGAAGCGTTCATTCCCCACGCCACGCCCCAAGCCATGATATCGCCCAGTCATTCAGCTGGATGCATGCCGTACGGCACTTGCTGAGCGGCGGGTACTTTCAGTCTGGGGCGCTAGGGCATCAACGCCGATGGCGTCAGGCTGGCTGCAGCGTTCTGAAGATGATCCACTCTGATGCAAATCTGGTCAAGTTTATGGGTATGACCAAGGTTCTGCGCCCTTCGAACGCAGGTAAAGCCTTTGGATTGCGTGCTATTGATGAAGCTAATCGCTGTATAGGTCAATTCAAGGTCATGCCCAATGCACTCCCTCTCGAACGTCAAGACGTGCAGAGACTATGCACCAGGCAGACTCTGTCATCGAAGGAGCTGCCCTCGCCTGTCATGCACAGCTGTTCAAAGGTCATTATCTCGAATGGAGATACCGTTGCTCCTGGCGGCTTCGTTCTGGCTCGAAATGGTGGCGCTTCCCCTGCACTGATCAGCAAGGTTGTTTCAATTCTATGCGATAACCGCACGTCGACCGTACTCGGCCTCCTCCTGCAGCCCTTTACGATTGGTCCTTTGGCTTTACCCTATCGCCTCCCTTCTATCGCCAAAGACGCGGTCACGCCAGGCCTCAGTTGGTGTTCATTTTCAGTGAGTTGCCCTTCATTGGCCCAATCTATCTGTCTGATCCTGAATCGTGCTTAGGACTGTGAAGCCGCAGTCTCTGTATTTCACAACTGCAAGAGGAACGGCTGCGTGGCCTCTCGCACACGAGCCGTCAAGCGCGAGCGCACATCCACCACCTTGCTGGAGTGGGAAGTGCGCCACGAGAGCAGCCCCGATGATCTTGTCCTGAACCTCGCCCAACTACGGAGCGCCGCGTCACTACAACCACTTCATCCACCTACCGAAAATCCGTTCACCAACCGCGGTGATCTCCTGCGTCGAGCAGTCACAAATCGGAGGCGCATCGTCGAGGAGGGCGAAAAAGAAGTACTGACCACATCCGAACCTGCTGTGGAGTTGAGTTCCGCTTCTACAAGAAAGCGTACACGTAAATCGAAGGAGAAGGCGATTGCAGGATCTGGAAATGTGGCGGGCATGCGTGAGGGAGGTCCATCGACGAAGCGTGCACGCAAGGGGAAGGGGACGGTAGCTCCAGTTTCTGCTGCATCACTGGCACCCGAAGGAGGAGCTCTCGCCAATCCATTGGTCGATACTCTGAGCAGGAACGAAGGGCTCGTGCAGCATGATCATGACCATTCTCCCGTCATTTCGTTACCCGAGGCCATGCGAGGTCAGGCGAGTGCGCTCGAGCTCCAGTTCATCAACTACGATGCTGGATGGTATTCTAGATAGTTATCAACATCGAATACTTAGTCTTCGTATCCTTCTATAATCGCGTCCCATATCTGAGAGTCCAGAGAACGTATGTGAGGGGTTGGTACTTGGGAAGTAAGGTGATAAGATTCGTATGCCTGCTGGGGAGAAGATGTCCTCCGTCTCTTGCGGGAGGGCGTATGCGTTGCCTCGAGACGCTCCTGCGTGGTCTTGAGGTCGGCTGCTGTCTCGGTGTTCAACAACAGGGTGGGGGCGAAGTTGCTTGATGCGGCGCCAGAGCCAGCCGGTGGAGTCAGCGCCGGACCAGCGATCTCTGCATCATGCGTCTTGATTGCCTTCAGTAACGTGTTGACTCTGTTGTACTCATTTTCCAGGTGTACGAGCCGCTGGACAATCGACGAGAAGCAAGAGCAATGCGTCAATCCGCAAACCGTGTTGAGGGCAGGCGAGGTTGATGCGGAGATGTCTGGATGCTCGGTCAGTTTACCCACGCGCCGCTCTTGCTTCCTCCCACCTGCGATGACAGCAAAGTCACATCCCGTTGTGTTTGCTAGTGCTGAGCTTCGGTCAGCTTCGTCGTCTTCGCCATCCGACTGACTCTGTTCGCTGTTGCTAGTTCCTGAACCTTACAATGAGCGCTATCTCGAATGCAACATACACATCAACAGCTCACCGTTTGACATGGTCTCCGAGGTAGACCCATGGATGGTCTTCATTGGTACGGCTTCTGCATCAAGTGCCGCATCCGCTAACGGTGTCTCACTGATGAAGGGACTGAAGGGCCACGGTTCCTCGTCTCGCGGCTGTGCTTGAGGCAAGGGAGAGCTTCCTCGCTCGTCCTCCATCAAGCCCTCGATGGCTTGTGAGTCGGTGACCTGTGAGCTGCAGAGTCCTTGCTGACTATCGTAAAGCCTGTTCGGTGTCAATAAGAAGCGTCTCGCAGACACAACCAGACTTACTCGGAGATTGCACGCAGGGCACTCTCGCCGGCGGCCCGTCTTTTTGACGCTACGACGGAGTCCATACCGAGCAAAGCAGTGGCACTCAGTTGCGAGGAAAGGTTTGACACGACGCGTGCGTGACAAAGTTCGCCTCAATTGTGACTCGCCCGGAAAGTCACAATTTTTCACCCCGAGTTTTTCGTGTTGCTCACGACCACCCGCCAGCACACTTCATGGAGCAGCACCCCAATCATCAAGCCCACCTCGCGGCTCCGCGTGTCAGCATGGATGCTCGTCTACAAGCAAGCTCCTTGCCGCGCCAGAGCGGTATAGGTGCTCTTCCAGCCCCTTCGTCCACGACACCGCTCACCTCAACTGATGACCGGGGCATTGACGATGGCTCGGTCTCCCGCGCAGACGACCACGCGACATTTTTAGGTGCTACGCCTTCTGGCAATGTGGCAGGCAGGACCTCGGCACGCGCACGCTATGAGCATTCGCCCATGCCCCTCTCCGATCATGACCTCCAGCGCTTGATGGCACGCCAGGCATCACAAACGCGCGGCCTTACGAACGAGGACCTCCTGTCGGAGATGCTCGCGTCGTACGATCAACCCCAAGGCCTTTCGTTCTACCCAAGCAACGCTGCTGGTGATGCCGCGGCGTTTCCAAGTCGACCCAGCGAGGCTCCTTACTCAGCCCAAGCCGCCATCCTTGCCGCGTCAAAGGCTGGCCTTGACGAGGACGCTCTGCAAACAGCCACGGAGTACATGGTGCGCCTTGTACCTGCAATTCGTGTTTGAAGACGCATGCTCACCTGCCTTTCACTGAAGCAAAACAACGCGCATACGAAGCTCGACATTCTCATGATCCATATCTTATCCCTCGAACAGAACATCCAGAAGCTCGAGCAAGACTTCGACGCGTCAAAAGACTACACCACGAAAACTTACAACCTCGTCAAGGCAAGCTTCACCATGCGGCCGGAGCAGAAGGTCTGTCGTTCAGTGTCTCGATTTATGGCCTCCCGCTTACCACGTCGTATAATCAGGCTGCCTTGCGCAAGCTCCTTCGCCACATGCTCGCTCAACCGCTCGTGCTGGGCTACAACAAGAAGAACATCGTCGAGAACTGCATGGTACGCGTCCTCGAACATTTCCCCTACACGTGCTAACTCCATTATCTCTGCAAGGAATATATCACTCAGAAGCGGTCAAAGTTCGGCTTTGAGAAGTTTGCCACCGACGAGACCATCAAGGGCGCGACAGAGGCGTATCTCAACGACTGGACCTCCACCGACAAAAGCGAATTTCGCAAATACGTAGGTCCCTATTCCTCCGGCGCGAAGCGATGCTGACCTTGCTCTTCAGTTCTTTCGCCTATGCGACATGAAGCTCGACCTCAACGAGCTTGTCACGACGCTGATGAAAGAGGTGCACCTGACGCCAAGGCCAGCGGCCTACGACAAGAAGGTCTACGCTTTCATTGCTCTCTATGTGAGTTCGAGTTCTTGCTCGCCTTGAGATAGCCACTTATTCTTTTACAGCGGCACACTGCAGCCACGGTCATCGCAAGCATGCAGCCAGGCCAACGCGACACTGGATTCTGGCGAGATTTGAACGCAGCAGTCGCCGACCTCGTGAAGAAACACAAGACGACGAACCTGGCGAGCGACTCCTGGCGACGGCAAGTGCCGTTTTCTTTCCTTCCGATGGTTCAAGGCTTATCTCAAAGACAGCTGGATCGACGAGATCATTGCGAAAGATAGGCAGGCATACGATATCGGCTCGCTTGCGATGACGGCCGAGGAGGAGGATGAGATCGTAGAGGACGAGGTGGACGAAGAGCCCGAATGCCCCGGAGTCATGGCCTCGTAATGCATTATCTACCTAAGGAGTAGTTACTATAAATCAATTCGCTCTCTCGCTACTCTCTGCCAGTATTTTTGTTCGAGATGAGCTCTCTTGTGAAGACGGCCTGAGTAGACACGACGTTGGAGAGTGAACGCAGTATTACCACAACGGGCTTTACCGCCGGATTTTGATGATCAGGCACACGTCGCTGGTGTCCAGCGTCCTCAATCCACGACAGTCGACGACTTGCAAAACGAAGTCAACACCAAGCTATCCTTGAATTCCCTTGGCTCGATATCCGAAGGAGCCCGTCATTCTGGTCTCTAGCGGTGTAAGGGTAAGTTTCCTGAAAGGGAAAGTAGATAGTCCTTGTTCTCGCCTCCTTCGTGGCAGTGTCGTATACTCCGCATGTTTTAGCAATGGCCGTCGGGATGAATGATTGTGGTCGTCGACCGACTCGCTGATGGCATTCTTGTCACGCAAAGTCAACGGGCTCGCGTCGCACTCACTTGGTCTGTGGAAGGCTGCGCACTCCTTGCTCTAAAGCATGTTGTCTATCTCTCTGACACTGCATGGTCTCTAGTTCTACCCGTCGATGAGCTCGCGTACGCTACACTGTACACAGACCTGGGGATCTCTCGATGTCTTGCGCAGCGCGCGACTCCAAATGACCTCCATGGTCCCGCTCGCGTATGGCCGTCCTTGCTGAGTGCGGGGCGTCATCCCGGAAATAACAACATGTACCGGAACATGAAAAGTGTCCGGGCAACCCCCGCTTGGACCGGGTTACGAGCACGTGTGGTGCGATTTTGGCGCGCGGCGCTTGTTCTCGGTTACCCCGGGGCTTTGTTCCTCGTTAGGCAGGCGCGAAAGCGCCAACCGCGTCTCCCGCGTCTTGCGGGCGACGCTAATGGCGCGAACGCGCCTCCCCGACCCACATGCTCCCTATTTACCTCCGCGTCGTTAATAAACGATTTTCCCCCAATTTCCGTCGGTTCCCCCGGCATGCTGATCGACGTTATCGCCGGCGCCGCCGCGCGCCCAGCCCACCCGCCGTCATCCCCTCGGCCGGCGATCTGAGTCAGGCAACGCCAAAGGTGCGTCAGGTGTCGCCCGAACGCGCGAACCGCGACAGAACGAGGCTGCGCGCTCTGGCGCGTTTGGCGCTTTTGGCCATTTTCGAGCCGCGCTGTGCGGGAATGGGGGACGCTCGAGCTCGCGGCTGACAGAGGACACCGCCCCTTTTCCCTCCTTTGCATCTTCCTTCACACTCCCTTCCCAGCTCAATAGTCTCCACCACGATGAGCGCGACACCGACGTGTGCCCTTCGACAGCAGCCAGGAGACACGGGCGCGGAAGCCGCCGGCTCAGAGAACCCCACCTCGCCAGCCGAAGTGCGAGGGTTCGAATCAGACGAGCTCAAGTGAGTTCCTGTTGTTAACGCACTCCTGCAGAGTACACCTCACCCGTTGCCTCCCTCCCTCCCTTCCGCTCTCTCACCCACATGCCTCCCTACCGGCGCATCACACGTATACTCCATAGAGACTATGCTGACAGCGAATTCTTGAACCTAGACCGCTCAAAGTCGCTCAGCTCCGAGCTCTCATCAAGAACCAGCTCGACAATCTCAAGGCGCCTTTGCCGCCGTCCTTGAAGTTCAACAAGGCACCCAAACGAGCCCTCATTGAACTCCTCACCAATCCGACGTATGGATTCACGACACGGAAGCCCAAGCTCGTCTTCAATCGCGGGATCGGTGTACAGACGCAAAAGAAGAAAAATCGAACACGACGCAGCGATACGAACGCAAGTCCCCCCTCCACGTCGCTAGCGACAGCAATCTCGGCGCCTATCAGTTCACAGCATACCGGCGCTTCGCAACCCCAGGAACTCGGCTCCTCGCCCTCGCTTGTACGCTTTCTGCTGCTGCTCTGGTGTCCCTCTTCGTTGACAAATCTTGACAGTTGTCGGCTGCAACTCAGCCGTCATTGCACCAGGGCCAGAGCGCAAGCTCCGCAAGCGCGCATGCGAGCAACTTCTTAGGGAACTTCGATCAAAGTTCGTTCGGTGGCTTCTCGTTTGAGAACCTATACGCTTTTGATTTCCCTCCCGCGCGAATTGTAAGTGAACAAACAATCGATTTTGCTGTGTTTGTACAGCTCATTCTCCTAACAGACGCTCACGCTGTACATACTCGACGAGCGCAGCCCGGCACCCCTTCCCGACTTGGTGAAGGTTACGGTTAGCGTGGTGCGCAACCTGGCTGGCGGCGCAGTTGCCGACTGGCACGAGATCATCGGAGAAATCCAGAAGACGGCGAGCGCGATCCGTGGTATGTGTCCCTTTGAGTTTCTTTGCCGTACGGAAGCTCACTTGTGCTCAGGTAGCAACCTCAAGCTTTCGTACTCCCGCAGTGACAAGGACACCTACAAGATTGCTATCCTCCAAGCTCTTGCATCGCCGGTTGACCAGGCCTCAATTTTCGAAGCGGAATTACTCGTCGATGAAGCGCGGCCTGTGTACCGCCTTCATGTTGAGCCCGTGAGTGTACGCTACTGTTATCTTGCTTTCGAAGCTAATTGTTGTACTCAAGCTGAGTCCTACGTCTCCAATCCCTCGCCGCGCGCCAACACCTGTTGTTGACGCCGCTCGTAAGTACCCACAGACTCCGAACTGGCACAACCACTGACCAAATTTCCAGTCGAAACCTTAGAGCGTTATTCGAGCTCTCATCCGGGGATGCGAACGATGCCTCAACTACGGCAACGAGGCAAGTCTCGCGTTGTAGTTGATGAAGATGCAGCAGGTCGGGACAAGGACTGGCTTCGTGATCAGGTGAGCAAAAGGGCCGGATACGAGGTGATGACGAAGAAGCACGACACGAAGATGCCGTATGCGGGTGTCGCTCAGCAATGGGCCTTCGCAGTGTCGTGCCTTAACGAGCTTACCAGGCAACGATTCCCTCATTCGGTGCGTACTATCCCGCTCATCTCGGCTATGTAGTGTGCTGATGTGCGTACAGAAAGGGCAAATATATTCGTACCACGTCTGGGACGCCCTCTCGCGCAAGGGAACCTGGTGTCTGGCCGCAAAGGAAGGTCACAGGCTCTACCGAGAATATGCTGATCACCCGGATGTTGTCGAGGCGGTGAAAGACACGTCGCGGAAGGGCCATCTCGGCTTTTTAGCCTTGCTACGCCAAGTCGGAGGGGAGTAGCTCCCAGATACTTCAACTCGAGTTAATCCATGTATCTTGTACTTGTAATCTGCGATGGTTTGACATGTTCCTAGTGCTTAATGACACCACCCACTGAGAAACCCAAAGTGCCGAAGCTCTCTTCTGAAGAGGAAGCCCTCCGCGACAATGGTACCCGCCTCCTCGACATGATCACCCGCGGACCCTCGAATTGCGCACGGCGAGCACGCTATCACACGAGGGCTAGATCGATGTTGTGCGCTGGCTGCTCAAGGACGCGGGCGCGGACCCCACCATCCCCGACGCCGACAAGTTGATCACACATAGCAAATTGCGCTCTCGAATGAGAAGCAGCAGCTGCTCTACAGATCCAACATGGCAGCCGTTGCCTTTCGCGCGCTCGCCTTGTGTCTCGAGTCGGAGTTCGAGGTGAATCTTCTCGTGTGCTTCGCGCAGCTCAGCCATGAGCGTTGCATTCTAGAGAGCATATACGCCCGACCTTCCCTCCGCTCCTTCGCTCATGCCCTCCGCACACCCGCCCTACCTTCTTTTGGGGGCAGATACTCGCCCCCCTCCTCCTCTGACTGCGGATATGCCCCGCCCTCCTTTGGGAGCAGATACACACTTGTTTGCAGAGAGCGTATACACCCCACGTTCGCGAGAGAGCGATCGCGCTCGGGACTTGCTCCACCCCAAAATGAGCGAGTATGGTCATGCTGAAGGTTTTCATGGCATATATTTCATCTATATATGCTCCCTGCTTCGGAAGGAAGAGGTTGAAGCAGAGTAAGGCTGTTAGGTTAATCAAACTTTGCCACGACGATACGAGATTGCGAAGTCCAATCAACAAGTCACGTACGCAGATTTCCCTAGACCCTTGTATCGCCAACAATGGTAGCAATTCCCGAGTGATTCTCATTGTATTCTAATTAGTACTACCATGATACAGAGAGGCAGACTCGACTACAGATGCGTAATTGTGGTCCTTTTTGCGCTGAAGCCACTCCATAAAACTGCGAGTGGATCGGAGATGAGGGAAGGGGGACTGATGCTCGATTGGATAGTGTTCGCGCAGAAATTGGAGAGCCAATGCTGACGTCCAATTCGGACGCTTTTGAAGCTCCTCCACAAGTCCAACGAGTTTCGCACGTCGCGAGCCCTCGGACTTCTCGCTCGCGACATTGCGCTTCCAGGATCCACCCCACCCATCGTTCAGCTGAGCGATAGATAGACGGCCATCGAGGCCCACCACATGCTCCCGCCAGATGTCGTCCACAGAGAGGGGCACTTCCTTGCCATCCTCAGTACGCTTGCGACGAGCGTAAAGATAGCGTGGAAGGAAGCGAGATGGCATGGAAGTCGTCGAGTCCACCCAATCCCACTGGTGCTGCCCCACTCGCTCCTCCCCGTACTTGCGGCGCAGCTCTATCATAGCGGCCTCTTGAGCACTGCGCGTAGGGTGGCTTTCCGGGGGATTTGGACGAAGGATAACGCCGGGGTTGAAGATGTCCAGAGCATTTGCTGGATGTGCGGCGTCTGGACCGCTTGGAGGGCACCGATCCGACGGCGATGGAGTGGGCGACGTCTGGGGGCATGAGCTCGGTGTGCAGGCAGGTGCAGAGACTAACAGCGTCATTACTGGAGCTGCATGACCACCGACATCCGAGCTGATGAACGCATTGTTGCTGGGCAACGTCGAAGGCAGGATGGACATAGATACTGCAAAAGAATGAGTAAGATAGTCACGACAACAAGGATAGGCCACTAACTGGAGCTCTGCACCTCCCGCTTGCGCTTTCGAGTGCTGCCCATGCCGCTCTCGAGAACCTGACCCAGAATGGACTCCATGGCCTTGAAGCGCATGTCGAGCTGGTTCATCATCAACTGCTGCTCCATCCCAACGCTGCTGACAACGCCACGGAAGGTCGCCGCAACATGTGCGGGGAGATTCTTCATATTCTCCCGGAAGCGCGCTTCGACGTCGAGGATGGCACGAGTAGATTGGGTAGCAAAGTCACGGAAAACGGGACTGTCAAAAGGCGCGTACTTGAAAAAGCCGCAATCTGGATGTTTCGTGAAAAGAACCGCCGCATCTTGGAGCAAGATTCGGCGCGCACGGATGAGGAAATCGAGAAACCCCTTGAGAGCGTAGTCGTCAGCCAGGGCGCCTCGGGCCTCTCGCCGAGCCTTCATCTTCTCTTGCTCCTCCTCAACCCAGGGAAATAGAAGAGCCATAAGCTCGCGGGGCGGCTCTGAGGCGATGATTAAACACGAGTCAAACCAAAAGTGAGTGAATTGACGCACCTAAGCAGTTGCGTGGGATCATGTACGCCTCGGGATGCTGGCCATTGAAGCTAGCGGCAGCCAGCATCCCCTGAATCGGAAGGGAGCGATCATAACGATCATAAGCTCCATTGCCACTCTCGCTCCAGCGACCGACCGCCTTAGCTTCTGACTGCGATGCCCGGTTATCGCGAATGTTCTTGACAGTGAACTTGCGGCCCGCGTGTGTCTTCGACGAGATGATGATCTCGTTGCTTGCTTGAAGGTGATTCACGCGATTCAGGTGCTCTATGGGTAGGAGTCAGCAATCAAACAGTCGAATAGACAGATACTTTGAAACACACGCTTGAAGGACATGCTGGAATCATCCCCCTCACGCCCAGGAAACATATGAAGAGCGTACCAGGAGCGACGACCAAAGTCGCCACTATCGGAGTCCGCATAATCGGGGGCGAAGTCAGGGACTTCACGGCCGGCAATATGGAAAAGGGAAAAGAAATAGAGTGCTGTGCCTCCAACGCAGCAAAGCTCTACGTCGCGGTGGCGAAAAGCGCCATGTTCCTCGACCCGTCCATCCTGATTATGCTTTCCTTGGTCACGAAGGAGAACTAGAGCCTAGAAACCGGGAAATTAGCTAATGCCAAAGGGAGGATGATAGCGCATACCTCAATCACAGCAGTCGTGTTCGAGGTGTAGTCGGATAACTCAGGCATGGGCACATCACGCATGCTCACGTCGGAGAATAGCAGCGAGCGCGTGCTGTCACCTCGGAAGGCGGTGCTCGTTGAGAGAAGGAGCATGCATCGGTCACGGACTCCTAATAGGAGCGCCTTCACAGTCTTTTGCCCCTTCAAGCACCACATTGAGCTGCGCTTCAACTCCTCGACAGTGTACGTGTCTATCAGTCGCTCATGTCAGCTCGTTCGAAACCCTTTCAATCATCAGCCTCACCTGATGAAGTCCCCGTCGCCTTCGCCTTCTGCCCCGTCATGATGCGCTCGGGCTCACTCGCTTTCTTCGAAATCTCGAACTGCTTGATGCGCGCGTCGGTTCGTAATGGTTTCTGCGCCTCGGGACATTGAGCGTAAGCGGGTTCGTGTTGATGGTGGAAGCGGTAATGCTCGAGTGCGCTGATGCACTGCTTGATACTCTCGATGCCGACGGTGCTTCCATCCCCGCTATCAGCTGTATTCTATCATACCATGTCAATCACTGCAGCAGTAAAGTGATAAAACTATACCTTTCGACGATTGCACTCATACTTCAGAAATATGGAGGTCTTGGTAGCGGTTATCGGATGCGCAGGTACGGGAGGAAGTCCGGGAGACTGCTGTAAGCGCTCAAACTGATACTGGGGCCAGTATCGCTCATACGCTGCGACGTGCCGGTCGTAGTTCTTTGAGCTTGCTTTCCCCGCCTTAAGCGCGTAATGCATCTGAGTGCGTGTGGCGTGCGTCTCGCTGATCTCATCAGGTGTGAGGTCAGGCTGGATGGTCTCAAGCAGAATCGAAGACGCGGCGGAAGGGTGCGGGTAAGCTTGAATGAGAGTGGCAGATTGAGGCGTGGGATACGACGCCGAATCTGAGTGAGCGGCGCTTGTTGATGGTGCTTGTGGACTACTGCATTGGAGTGGGTCCGCCGACACTCTCTGGCGCTTCGCAGCTGGCAGAGGATCAAATTGGCCGGACATCGCCCGAATACGAGCCTGCGCAGGCGTAAAGTGGGGGGTGGGGGACGAAGAGGCTGAAAGCGCATAAGAGAGAGCCTTTAAGTAAGCTTGAACATACACACCAAGCTTTTGTCGCCTCGAAATCCTTGAACTCATTGTTCAGGCTCGACAACAAAGTCGGCGAGTATTTGCCTGGCGTCTTGTTGTGTTGCTTAGCTCGCAGAAGCCACCGAAGTGTGTTTGATGCACAGAGGGAGATCGAAAGCAGATAACGCGCGAACTCATGTTTGTCCTATAGCTGACGATGCACAAACGCTGCATGAGTGCACGCACGAAAGCCGCGATCGGCGCTTTTGATCAGGTTTGGGAAATATGTGGCGTTACGGGGAGGCGTGGCGCGTCTCGACTTCCGGAGAGGCTTTCTTCAGCTTGAGATGAACTGAGTGCGCTGTGTATCATCTCAAGGCGTACACATAGAATACATTCGCTAAAAGCTCCATTGGTAGTGCTTGTACACGAGGGACAGCCTTGGCCAACAAAGCCGCCTCATCACACAACAAACAAAGCCGGCCGGCAGCCCCGCATCACACCGGACACGCGTACACACAAAGGGTCACCGTGTATTTTACCCCCGAGGTAACCCGCCATTGTCTTCAGGGTAACCGACGGGGTAACCGGGCAGTCGGTTATGGGTAGATACACACTATATAGCGCCAAGATTTCGGATATGTGGCGCGGCTCTTTGCTTTGATCCGCGCCTTGCAGGTTGGGGCCCAAATGGGTATGCCTGCCGCTGGGTATGTCGTTGACAGTCATGTTTATGTTCTACAGTGTTATGTCGCGCGTCGGGGCCGTGGCAACATATAAAGAGCGCTTGTCGTTCTCCATTCTCCCTCGTTGACTTGCACACAGCCCCAGAGCGATCTCGTCGACACCCTCGCCACCGCTATCTAGCTTCACTACTTCTTCACCGCAATGTTGGCCCCCCAAACTCCCGTCACCCCCTCGCGCCACAGCCCCGTTCCTCCGGAACTTCTCTCCGAGCACGAGCAGGCTCTAGCTTCGCAGGGCAAGCGCCTCTTTGCGCCACTGCTGGAGCAGCGGCGCGACGCGGACCGCAAGATGCTCGAAGAGCGCGAGCGCGAGGCCCAGCTTCTCGCCGAAGTCGAAAGCATCCCCGCAGTTCCCAACGTCAACAAGCCACTCCCGCTCTTCCCGAAGTGCACGAGCAGACACCGCACCTCCGCGTTCTTCTCCTACCAGGACGCGCTCCAGGAGCGCGCGCGCCAGGAGGAACGTGCCAGGGTGCGCAACCTGAGCTCCTCGAGCCTGGGGCGCAGCACGCCCGCGCTGACGCGCTCCTCGACGGCGAGCTCGCGCCCGATTCCCAGCCGCTCGAACTCGGGGCACTCGTTCACGACGTCGTCGCACCCGTGCACGCCGTCGCCGGCCACCCCCTCGCGCTCGAGCCCGACCACACCGTCGCGCAAGACGCGCCCCGCGGGGCCGCCGAACGCGCTGTTCCGGTACACCGACGAGGAGGCGTTCCACCCGAACGTGAACATGTACATGCGCGGCCCGCACGCGCGCTCGTGCGGCAACCTGTTCGACACGCCGCAGAACCCGCGCTTCCAGACGCGGCACGTGACGTTCTCGGTGCCCTGCTTGCCCAGCCAGCCGAAGCCCGTTGAGGTGAGTAGATGGTATTTCTTTCTTTTGGACGACGCATACCAACATGATTGCCAGAAACCTTCCCTCGTCAGACGCCTCACGAACAGGATCCGCACCATCAGTGGCCTTCGCAAGAACAAGAAGGTCCCCAAGCACAACTAGATCCATATTGACCTTCTAGACGCCTACGACCCTCCCCATGCATCCCTGACCATCCTGCATCTCTGACCTGGTCCCCTCACTGACCAAATTGCATCTATAGCGCGCCCATTGATTGACCTCAGCTGTCCCACACTCCCTACTGTATATTATCTCAGTCGACCTAGCCCTGTACCACACTCCTTCTCGTTAATTTATTTCAGAAAACCCCATTGACATGTCTGAAATTCCACGAAGGTTGTGAGCGAAATCGCCACATACAGCCTGTGAGTTCTTGGTTCGTCTTCTCTGCAGTTTCATGCCGTCGTAGCTGCTCGGCTGTCCGATTCCCGTGAACGTGAACATCAATATGGGCGCCTATGGGTCAATTTCCACGTTGTTCTGGCGATTGCCGACGGACGGAAACTGACGTACTCTCAACGACGCGCCGCGTTTTCCCTCTTCATCCCGTTCTCCTTCATCATGTCGCAATGGGGCCAGGGTCAGCCCGGATACCAGTATCCTATGCAAACTGGCTACAATCCGGGCATGAATCCCCAGTTCCAAGCGAATCAACCCCCACAATTCCAGCAGAATCCGCAGTTCCAGCAGCCTCAGCAGACGGGCTATACTGGCGGCATCCTGCCCCAGCAGACGGGCTTCCCGCAGCAGCAACAGCGTCTCGCGCCTCAGCCAACAGGGTACCAAGGCGGGCTGCAAGCCCAGCCGACGGGATACCAGGGCGCGCTTCAGGCGCAACCTACGGGCTATCAGGGCAGCGCGCTCGGGCACCGTCCAGCGCCGCCGCCTCCGCCCGTTCCTCCCATTCCATCGCAGTTCCAGAATCAGACTAGCCAGCTGGGCGTCGGGCAGCCGAACCGCTTCCTCAACACGACACCACTTGCTGCACAGCCGACGGGCTTCCCTGGGCTCAGCGCGCAACCGACTGGCTTTCAAGGGCTGTCCGCGCAGCCTACGGGCTTCCAGGCGGCGCGCCCGCTCGTCCCGCAGGCGACGGGCTTCGTCGACCCGCGCCTGCAGATGATGTCGAGCACGTTCATGCCGCTCAACCCGTCTGTGCCGTACAGCGCGGGCGGCGCGCCCCAGCTACCTTCCCAGTCGATCGACGGCTCGAACTTGCAGCAGTCCTTCCAGCAGTACAACCAGGAGCAGCGAGGGACGGCGGCGCCGAAGGTGCCCTGGGCGCTCAGCAAGGCGGAGAAAAAGCAGTACGACCAGATCTTCCGCGCTTGGGATACGGGAAATACGGGCTTCATCAACGGCCAGACCGCGCTCGAGGTCTTTGGGCAGAGCGGTCTGTCAAAGGAGGAGCTGGGGAGGATATGGTGCGTGCATACTAACTCTCATGCCATGCGCCTCCTGATCAATCACGCGTAGGGCTCTCGCCGATGTTGACGATCGGGGCAAGCTGAATATCGCTGAATTCCACGTCGCGATGGGGTTGATCTACCGAAGTGCGTACCATGATACTGTCTCGCGACTCGCGCTGACGCACTGTAGGGCTCAACGGCAACCCTATCCCTGATACGCTTCCTCCCGAACTCGTTCCGCCGTCGGCGAAGGACCTCGACACGTCCGTCAACTTCCTCAAGGATGTCCTCAAGAACGAGACACGCTCGACCTCTGCGCTCGATGGACCCGACTCGCGCCTCAAGCAGCGCTCCCTTCATAGCAATACTTCTGCCTTTGCAGACAGGGACGCGACTGTCTACCGCCACACCGAGTCCGAGTCCCCTGCCGGCGGCTTTTACCAGCCCCGCAACCGGCACGTCGACCGCGACGCCATCCGCTCCAGCTCCCAGCGCGACAGCCCCTCCGCCGACCTCGACGACATGAAGCGCACGCTTAACCGCACGCAGCAAATGCTCGACCGCAGCTCGGAGAAGAACCAGGAGGACATGCTGCTCGACGAGGAGATGGAGGACCTCAAGCACAAGGTCAAGCGCCTGAACGAGGACCTCGAGTACGCGAGCCGCGGCGTGCGCACGCAGAAGAAGGACGAGGAGCGCCGAAGGCTCGAGCGCGAGCTGATGGTGCTCATGCACGAGGAGATCCCGGAGCTGGAGCGCAGGATCAAGGACCGCGACGAGCGGAAGGAGCGGGAGAAGCGCGAGTGGATCCGCAACCGAGATCGCGCCAACCAGGGGTCGGGCAGGTATCGGGACCGTGACGACAGTTATGGGCGCGACTACGAGTCCCGGCCGTACTCCCGAGGCGCCAACCGTGACTATGAGTCGCGCCCCTACTCCCGTGGTGGAGACCGCGACTACGAGCCCCGTCCATACTCGCGCGGTGGGGGTGACTACGAGTCTCGTCCGTACTCCCGTGGACCTGACTACGACCGCGAACGCCCATACTCTCGCGGCGGCTACCGTCGATCACCGTCACCTCCCCGCGAGACCGATCGTGCTGCCCCGCCGCCTCCCGCCGCTGAGCCAGCAGGTCTCAAGGCCCCGCCCGCTGCGCCGAAGCCGCCTACATCTCCTGCGCCGGCGCTGAAGAACATGACGCCTGAGGAGCGCCGCGCACACGCTCAAGCAGAGGCTCAGAAGCGCATCCAGGCGAGAATGGCCGCGCTCGGTGTCACCGCACCGTCGACCTCCGCCTCCCCAGCACTCGACACCTCTGTTGAAGACCGTCTGCAGAAGGAGAAGCAGGAGGCGGAGGAGAAAGCGAAGGCGGCTGAGGCTGAAGCTGCAGAGCGTGAGCGCATTCGCCGGGAGAGGCTAGAGAACGAGAAGGCCTTGAGAGACGGCAGGGACACCCCAGCAAGCGCGACTGTGACCTCGCCTACATCAGCTGCTCCCGCGCCGCCGACGCCTACCACGCCTTCTGGCGGTAAGGCACCTCCCCCGCCTGCACCCAGGCGAGGACCTGCACCGCCTCCGCCAGCAAAGAGGGGTGCGCCCAAACCACCAGCGGCTCCGGCGGCTCGCGCTCCGCCACCGCCAGCCGCGCCTCCCGCACCTGCCGCTCCAGAGGTTGACCCTGAAGAGGAGGCTCTGCGCCAGAAGGAAGAGGCGGCCCGCAAGAAGCGCGAGGAGCGTGAGAAGCGCTTGCGCGAGCTGGAGGAGCAGGAGAGGTTGGAGGAGCAGCGGTACGAGGAGAGGATGCGCAAGCTCAAGGAGGAGGCCGAGGCGAAGAGGAAAGTCGAGGAGGCAAAAGCGGCGGCAGCGCCCGCTGTGACGAGCCCGCCACCCGCTCCGCCGGCGCCTCCTGCACCTGCACCGCCGACGCCAGCGTCGCCTCCAGCAGCTGAGAAGTCGACAAACCCCTTCAGTCGGCTCATGCAGGGTGGTGGCGCACCGCCCGCAGCGCCTCCCGTCGCCAACGGCGCAGCGAGCACGAACCCTTGGAGTCGCCCAGCTGCTGCGTCGCCGGCTGCACCCGCCGCACCCACGCCGCCCGCCTTCACGCCGGCACCGCCGCGCAGCCCCGCGCCGACCTCGAGTCCCGCTCCGCCAGCAGTCAAGACAACATACATGACCGTGCCCGCGGACGACGATAGCGACTGGGACGAGGTCAAGGAGAAGACGGATGACGAGGACAGCAGCGACGACGACTTCGCGGACCGGAACGTGCGCAAGAACATCGCGCAGTCGCTCTTTGGCAATGTGCTGCCACGGTCGCCGAGTGTGCCGCCGAGCGGGGGGTCGACGCCGGTCACTGCTCACCCTCCAACATCGATTGCTTCGCCTCCGCCTGCGCCGCCTGCTCCTCCAGCAGCGCCGCCCGCGCCACCGGCTCCCGCCGCGCCTCCCGCGCCTGTCGATGGGGGTGCGCCTCCTCCACCTCCGCCACCGCCTGGTCCTCCTGCGCCCCCTCCGCCACCTATGGCTGCTCCCGCGGCCGCGCCTCCTGCCGGTGGTGCTGGTCGTAGCGCTCTGCTAGCGTCTATTCAGAGTGGCGCGCGTCTACGCAAGGTACAGACCGTTGACAAGAGCGGTCCGCAGGTTTCCGGTCAAGTGCTTGGCGACACGGCGCCTCCGCCTCATATCAATGCTGCGCCGCGCATGCCGTCGCCGCCGCCTCCGCCCGCGCCCGCGCCGCCGGCTCCTGAGCCAGAGCCGATGCAGCGCGACAACTCCAACCGCCAGAGCGTGGACTGGTATGCCGGATTGGCGGCCGATGTGGGCACTCCCCAAGTCGACAAGATGCCGTCCTTCGCGGAGGAGCAAGAAGAGCCAGCGAGCGTGCCAGATATCCAAGTGCACGATACGACGCCGTCGGGTGCTCCGGACCCACTTGCGGACATCGACAAGTCGACGGAGTTGCGCGTACGCACATTGTATCCGTTCGAGGGTGATGGACCAGATGATCTTTGTGAGTGTCTATGTTCCTGCCATAGACATCTGTCTGACAGAAACCGACGTAGCTTTCGGGGAGAACTTGATTCTGAAGGCGAACCCGTCAAAGACTGGAGGTGACTGGTGGTACGGTACCTTGGTTCGCGATGGCAAGGCAGGCCTATTCCCCAAGACATACGTTGCGGAGTTCACTTCCTGTATGTTCAGTGTTCTCATTTGTTGCATCGATGCTCACAAACCCTCAGTCAAAGCGAAGGCTATCTACGATTATACCGGTGGCAGCGAAGACGAGCTGCCCTTCGCGGCAGGCGACGAAATCGACATCATAGACAGAAGCGACGAGGAGTGGTGGAAGACGGAGAAGAATGGCGTGGTATTCATCGTGCCCGCCGCGTATTTCGAAGAAGTGCAGGGTTAGTGTCCTTTTAATCTTACATTCGTCCGTCCTTCCTTTTTGTTTACGCGTTGGCATGCATAGGCTAAAGTCTTTCTTTTTGGTATTCGATGTACATGCCTTAAAACTTACTCCCATTGGAATGGATGTCGTTCGTTGTTAGACGGGTCTGTCAGCGATCCTCCTCCGGCGAGTGCCCTGCCAGAGCAAACGCAAGCTGATCATACCCCTTCGATCACTACGACTGAAGCTCCAGCCAACGCTTCTGGGCCTGCTGCTCCGGCAGCGCAGGCCGAAGAGGTCGAGTGGGACTCGAGCGGCGAGTCCGATGCCGATTCGACAGATTACTTCTCCCTTGAGGATAGCGACGAAGAGGAAGAGACCTCTGATACGAAGGAAGACCGTGCAGCAAGAGAGGCGGAGCGCCAACGGGTGCTTGAAGCTGCTGGTCTGGTCGTACAGCGTGACAAGCCCCCGCCGCCTCGCCCTCCGCGTCGTAAGAGGTCTGTCAAGCAGCGACGTCCCGCCCCGGCGGCGCCGAAGCGCGCGTCGGTCCTCTCAGTCACGTCCGACAAGGACCTGCCTACACTACCGACGGAGTCAACGGCGCCCGTCAGTCGTCCTATGCGGCTGGACGACGCGTACGAGCGCTACGAAGAGTTCAAGAGTAAGAACCGGATGTCGATGTCGTCGATGTCCGATGTGCCGTCCTCGCCGACGTCGGCGTCGATCACGCCTGGGGCTGTGTCGCCTGCGCCGAGTATCGCCAGGGACGACTCGACGAGGAGTCACTCCCGCTTCCTCAGTCATATCCTGGGTCGCAGCAAGACACCTGACCGTATCATGCCCGTCATTTCGGGGCCCATTTTGCAGACGCCAGAGGTGCCCGACCGGCCCAACAGTCCTGCTTTCGGCTCGGTGAGTAGTCCTTGATAAGCTCCAAGCATCTACTCAGCATTTGTTCCCTTAGTCCTGGGCGAGCCTCGTAGATAAGACCGCGTTGGACGGCATCCCGCCGCACGAGCGGAAGAGGCAAGAGGCCATCTTCGAGCTCATCGCTACTGAAAGTGCGTACGTGCATGATCTGCAACTCATTGTGGAGGTATGTATCAGTTCTTCCGACGCTGTCCTGCACAGCTCACATCCGCGTGTATACCAGGTGTTCTACCAGAGCATGCTACCTCTGCTCGATACCAAGGCCATTACCGTTGTCTTCGCGAACGTGGAAGACCTGTTGCTGGTCAACACTGTACGTGTCCCAATCACTGCCACTACTTACTATGAACTCACGCGCCAACAGACCTTCATGAGCTCTCTCGAACAACGGCAGAAAGAATGCCGCTTGTACGTCGATCGCATAGGTGATATCCTAGATACCCATATGTCGAATATGGCGGCGTACATGGTAAGTTCGGCGCATACCGCTACCTCCGGGATGCTGACCAGCATGCAGGAATACTGCGTCAACCAGTCGAATGCCATCAAGGTTTTACAGACATTGAGGGAGGGCAACCCTCAGTTGGCGGAGCACCTGCAGGTAAGCTCTTCGTCTATGATCCGTCAATTGTCCGAATCCGACTTACTCCTCGTCCCAGCGTCTGCGTGACACGGAACCAGCTTGTCGAAACCTTGATTTATCCAGCTACCTTCTGTCTCCCAGTAAGCATTGCTCTCTCCCTCCGACTCGCACATACTAATCAGTGACCCTAGTGCAACGCATCACCCGCTACCCCCTCCTCCTGCGCCAGGTTCTCCACTACACCGAGCCCAACACCGAAGAGCACCGCTCCATCGACCGCGCAGTGCACGTCGCCGAGAAGATCCTCAACCACATCAACGAGACCATCCGCGAGCAGGAGGGGCGGGAGAAGCTGCGGACGCTCTCGGAGCATTTGTGGATTGGACAAGGGTGCGTGTTCGGTCCCTGCGTGCAGAGAAAGCCGCGCAGTTTACGATGCGCCATGCTGACTCTACCTATCATCACCCTGACAGCCGCCTCGACCTCACCGCACCCACCCGACACATGGGCACGCGCCGACTGCTCAAAGAGGGCTTCCTCATGAAGGCGAAGAGCGGGCGGCGGCTGTACGGCGTCCTGTGCTCGGACATCATGGTGCTCACGGACGAGCATATGAAGACGCTCTATCGGATGGTGAGCTGGCTTTTCTTCCTTGTTTGCCTCTTCTCCGACTGCTTACTTCTCTGCCTCGCTGTGTACGTGGGCTAATTCGTTCTCTTCAGCCCATCCCCGTCGCCGAGGCCACCGTGAAGGCGATGCCAAGCTTGAAGGGTGCGTACATCGTCCTTTATCCCTTCAATCACGCATGTGCATACTAACCACGTCTCTCCCAGACGACGGCGCGTTCCAAATCAGCCTGCCATACCCGCGCGGCGGCGACACGATTGCGCTGCGTGCAGGTTCGCTGAAGGACTGTCAACGTTAGTGTTCCTCGTTCCTTTCTAACCGAGCTCGGACCTGTGACGACGTGTCTTACCTTCTGCTACCAGAATGGATCGACGCAATTGAGCTCGCGACGCTTCGGGCGCGGGATGCAGAGAAGCGCGCGTTGCGCCGGATACAGACACACTAAACGCAGACCCTTTTGCCACACAACTTTCTTCGCGATTTCTTAGACGGCATTCCTCTCGGACCTGGAGAACATACCCTTTCTTGGCTACCAACCATCCTCGTCAGGCTCAGCGGACTGCTCGGACAGGTATCGCTCGCATCTTGGTCATAACATATCATTAAGGGCATTATGTATGCTGGAGACTGGAGGACGGGGTGTGTACAGGGTAACTCGAGGCGTCCAGGGACCCTCGTATTGTACAGCTATCGGGGAGCTCTTACAGGCGCTCCCCTCTATATATACGGTAAGTATTCGCGTGCGATGCAACACACACTCATTATAGTACACGGACACTGCGCGAAAGCGAAGTCTAGATTGCGGATGCGCGATAGCGGCGAAGATACACTGCGAGTGCGCAATAGCGATGACAGCTTGCGTGCGTGCAATAGCGAAGACAACCTGCAGGTGTGCAAAGCAGCGAAGACGACTTGCAGGTGCGCAAAGCGGGGAGGTTCTTGTGGTTGCTGAGAGAACATCGAAAGCAAGACGAGTGGCAAGCCGAGATGGGTGGCGAGCCGGGTATGGTGGGTGGGGGGAGGGGTGTATCGCAAGGGCTTGGAGTGTGGAAGTCGTGGGGGACATGGCCATCATCGACTATACGTGCTCGAGCCCGATGACTGGGTGCTGACAGAGTCAGAGCGCGTAGGTTGAGCTCGTCCATGAGGGCTGAGAGCGAGATCAGTATCTAAGCTGAGTGGCGGCTCGGTGGCGCGATAGAACAGAACTCACAGCGACGCGAGATGCGGATTCTGTAGCATGACGGAGGCCGTTTGCAGTCCCGACTGCCGCCCCGGAGTACAGGCGACGACGACGTGACTGTTCATCGCCTTGACAGGCGCGCCAGGGGCCGAAGGGAATGTCGGCGAAGTGGGGGAATCCATCGTGCCACGAGGCTCGGCTTTTGTTTTTGACGTCGCGGGGACGGGGGACCTGATCTCACGGACGGCGGCGCCGCGGGGTATCTCGAACGAGTGACGGAGATGGGCAAAAGAACAGAAGATCGCGCGCCACCGCATCTTATAGATACGCGAGATTTGCATCCGATGCCTTGTGGCGAGGCATGGCCCAAATGAAAGGCGGACGCGCCTCGAGTGGCATCATGTGGGCCGCCGTTCCATTGTTTGCTGGTGTGCTCTCCGTTGTACGGTCATATTATGCAGCCCCGTGCTATGAGAGGAGCTTATCATCAACGATGAGCTGGCCTGATAGAGATAATTTCAGGCTAGAATACGTACAAGTCTGCGGATTGACAGGGCATCTATCGTGGCGTTAGGCGCGTTTTCGGTGTTCTTGTCGCTGTTTGTCCACCTCAGTAGAGGGTGCACGGGCTGGCTTCACGTTTCATCCCATAAAATATAGCCATATACTAGGCATAAATGTTGTTGGTGGAGGCAGAACGAGAGTAGCGACATGAATTTTGGCACTATTGTTTCCAAGAAGGGAAACAAACCCGTGCCTGATTGCCCACGTGCTCCGTCAGAAACGTGGTTGGCCGCCGGCTTCGTGCGGCTACGTCACATTCACATCCCCTTCGCGGAGGCAAATGAGGGATCCTCAGTCGACGCACTGACAGCGGAAGCACAATGTAGGCAAGCCCTTGAGCGAACATGGGAAGAACGGCTTATTGTACAAGGCCTATTGTACTTGCCATCGATATCTGCAGCATTTTGAGCGGTTGAGATGATCCTGGATGTCAAGCTGATGCTTCAAGGATGCTTCTGGCATTGAATCGCGGAAAGACCGCGCACGGGAACGACTACAATAAGTATGGGCTACAATAAGCGTCCGGAATGGCTGGGTATGCGAGACGGAAATGATGATGGGGATGGTGAGGCGATGCGAAGAGTCAGAGTCGGTATCAGGTCAGGGTGGTGGCTACACGGATTAGGTCGACGGCGAACGGCCGAAATGAGCATACAATAAGCGATAAAGAAACACGTAACCGGGGAAAGCAAGCTGACAACAGGACTGGTGAATAGTGTGGGAAGTTCGAGGAGGCGAAGCATGGGAAGGGGCAACGATGGGAAAGATTGGCGCGCAAGTCCAGCCTAGAAGCGCCGCGGAATGGAGCTCGTTACCCGCTACACGAGGTCCGAGCGCAGGTGCCTGCCCGGTGCTCAGAGGATCAGAGCCCGCCAGCACCCAGCGCTCAGCAGCGGCGCACGCGCTTCTTCGACGGGCGGTTCCCGCCGTCCTCGCGGCGCATGACGGCCTTCTTGCATGCCTCCTCCTCGTCGAGGAGCGCCATCTGGCGGTCGCGTTCCGCGGTGACGATCTCGATGAAGTCCTCGAGCGTCATGCGCGCGACCTCCTCCGCGCGCTCGGCGTACGCCTTGATCACGTCGCTTGGGTGCCGCGCGTGTGAGGGGAGGACCTTCTCGACGCGGCGGGGCTTGCCCTTCGGCGTGCGCTGCTGGCGGTTATTGTTGAACCAGACCTTGATTTGGGCGTACTCCCTGTATCGCAGACCGTCAGAACACGCACTCATACAGACGCACGACCCTACTCACCGGCCAAGCACGAGCGCGAGCGCCGCGATCCACGGCGGGTGCGCGTACGGCGTGTACGTCGAGAAGACGAGCTCGAGGACGTTGCTCTGCAGCGTGTTCACGGGCGAGTTGCTCACCGCGCTGATGGCCTGCGCGCCCTCGAGCAGCTGATCGCGCAGCGCGGCCTGCTGGGCGTCGGGCTCGGCGCGCAAGCTGGACCCCGTGCACCGCGGCCTCCCCTTCACTGATACGCGCTGGCTCTGGGAGGCGTCCGCCAGGCGGCGCGAGCGCGTGCGGGGGCCGTCGGCTCGACGGGTCGGGGATGGTGATCGGCGGGGCGCATGTGATCGGAGGCGCGGGGTAGGCGCGGGCGATGGCGGCGCGGGCGACGGGGTGCCCGAGGACACGGACGAGCCGCCGGGGAAGGTCGAAGGGAACGAGGCCAGGCTCGACGTCTCCGCAGAGGACTCCCGCCAGAGTGCGACGTCAAGCAGGAACCCGACGCCGCCCTTGACGGGATCGGACATAACCTCAGTGGCGAACATAGCGGACTCGGAAGGCAATCAGGACTTGAATGCGAGGGACAATGAGGAAGGGGGTACAGCACGATGCTATGCACTCGCGCAAAGCAAAAGAGAGGGAGGATAGGTGAAGGAATGTGGTGTCGGCCGCGTATTTAAGGGCACGTCCTATTGTCTGCCCCGGCGCCGCGAACGGAAGCCCTTGTTGTCTTTAGGAAGTAGGCGAAGGAGAACAAGCAGGGCGGTGGGAGGCCGACCGTCGCGACACGCCGGCCTAATAAGGCGCGGCGCCCACGCCCGGGATGGGAGTACAACGGGAGGCGCATGCATGGAAGGCGCTTGCCCCGCGCGGATGGTTATAACGAAAGCGGAAACAGAACGGACAAGGCGCGCCATATCGGGGCAGTCTTTGTGGCGCTCCGAAGCTGATGAGGGCAAGGAGCGTCAGGGGGGCGTTCGCACGGGCGCGGTCGAAACATGAAGAAGTACGGCAGGGCTCCGAGAAGACGCGGAGGTATGTAATTGTACAAGCTGGTATGCGGCGCAGGGTAGATGAGTACAACAAGCAAAGAACAATAGCATTACGTATTTGGGCAGACGGAGCGGCGGGCCTGGAGGGGATGGGATAGGAAGGAAAGAAAGGGAGTGGGTTATGCTTTGCGGATTACATCCCAAACAGCTTGGTCAAGAAGCCCTTCGCGCTCGGCACCTCCTCGTCATCGAAAGCCACATTCACGCCCCCATTGGTCGTTTCAATGATGGCCTCGTCAAGACTCAACCCATCCTTCCCGGCTCCATTGCCCATCCCAATCATGCACTTCGTCTCCCTCTGACCCTCCTGTACGTCCCGTGCCGAACGAGCAATACCGTCCGACAACTTCACGCGACCGTTCGTCGTCGACGCAGTGAGCGGTCCGACGAAGGAGCGGGGCAAGATGAGAGTGACGGCGCCGTTAGTTGTGTGTTCCGCGAGATAGAGCGGTGTGCGCTTGTAGCGCTCAGGCGCATGCTGATCATACCCGTCAGCGAAAGTCCAAGCGTAGATCTTGGGTATATGTACATACCACCGTCAACTTCACCGCCCCATTCGTTGTCTTCAGGTCCATTTTGGTCTTCTGTGTTATGTCCCTCGCCGCATGAGCGACAACCGTCACCTCCGCGGCGATCCGGCCGTTCATCGACTGGATGTACACATCGGACATGGGCTGCGCTACTCCTGGCAAGCTGGGAAGGGTCGGATCGATCGCCCAGGTGCCCGTGATAGCATTGTTCTTCCTTGTCACCGAGACAAACTTGCTCGGCGGGATAGATGAGGAGGCACTGGTGAATGTGGATGGAGAGGGTGCAGCGGTGTACGATGGCGCTTGTGGGGAAGCAGATGTGGAGGCGCCATCGGGTGTGGGTGTGTAAGGTGGCGGAAGAGGCTGGGGTGGAGATCGTCAGTCGCTGTGGCGCACCAGAGCGATGCACGCGCACCTCGTCGCTGTCCACGGGGCCTTGCTTGGAGTCTATATGCGCACGCATGACCGTCACGTCGGGCTGAACCTCTGGAAGTGGTTTGCTGTCGTCGACGATGAGCATGGCGTTCGTTCTCTTCGACGTCGATCAAGATGGCCTTCGCGTCAAAGGTCGTCGAGCACGAGTGCGAGAGTCAAAGTCAGTGACTCCCAATGTCTTCTCTTATATCAGTGAATCAAGCTGCGCTCCGCTGCAGTTTCGCTGCGGGAGGCGATGGAGGCAGGTCAGAAGGCGGTCAGATGTATGTGCGTGGCGGTGTCAGTCTCAGGAACGCTAAGAATACGCGAGCGCTGGCTGCCTCGCAGTCGACTCGGGGCTCGAGCCGCAGGCGCATACCGCCTGACACTGACAGAGGAGCACATTTCGAGCATCAAGTCTCGATCCTCGGTAGACGGAGGGGCTAGACAGGTACTGGTCGGCGCGGATTGGGCGCGGAGATGGATACATCTTGCCGCTGCGGGGCTGACGACGGCGACATCTTCCGTAGCATACGGGCGGCCCCTGCACCAGGATCTGGGCTAGTCCTTCTCAGGAAGTACGGCGACGATCGTATGTTCGGCGCAGGGTCTTGTCAATGGGTGGGAACATGGAAACGGATGGCAAGGACTTCCTTTTCGAGCGACAATGAGCACCTTGATCGGGAATTGCCGAGGCTCGTCCTGTTGCGAGCGCCCAGAGTACAGTATGAGAGCCGCGGAGGCATCGCTAGAATGTCTTGGAATATGCGTGGTAGATGGGGCTGCAGCGAATCAGCTGACGCCAGAGCGCAACGCCAAAGCTGGGACCAATGGTAGTTCCATGACTTGTCCTTTAGGGCACTCTAAGATGGGTATCGTGCAATCGTAAGCGGATGCGTGCTGTATTATAAGAGCGTACGTGAGGGAGATACAGAAAACGAAAGAGAAGAAAAAAAGGATCCAACGTCCGACCATGCCTATAAGTATACAATGTCTGCTCCTCCCCTCCTCAACTCCCCTCCTCCTTCGCCTCCATGAGACCATTCTACCCAATCACACACCCGCTCTCCTGCAACGGACACAACGCCTGCCACCACCACCAGCCCGTGGTCTGCACCTCCCCCGTCGCCTTGACCTTGATCGGCCCGCCCTTCCTCCTGACCTCGATCGTCAACTCCTTCTCCCCTTCCACCGGCACGTCATACCACCACCGCAGCGTCTGCCCCTCCACCGCCCAGCGCCCCTCGCTCACGACGACGTCGACGTCAATGAGCCCGTCCTCGCCCAGCAGCGCGGTCAGCTCGTTTGCAGAGAGCGAGCTCCGAGAGCTGCGCTTCGACAGCGTGGGCGTGGACTTGCCGCTCGGCTGCAAGCTTGTGGGGACGAGGGTAGGTGCGGCAGGCGAAGACTGATTCGTCGACTCTGGTCTCTGGATGTCAAGGGACGACACCGTCTTGATCTCCGGCAAGGACGGCGCGACGGTCGTGACGGCCGACTGCGGCTCTGGTAATGAGTCGCGCTCTTGCTGCTCCTGCTCCGCGCTCGTCTTCGCACTCTGCCCGTGCCCGATGACTGTCGACGCATTCCTCGAGTCCGCCGGATAGCCGCCCGCCCTTGACGCCTCCACCCACCGCGGCGCCGCATAGTGGACTAGCGGCAAGAAGATCTCCGTTGCGATCTCCTCTTCTTCGCCTTCCGCCTCGCTCTCTATTCTTCTCCTCAGCTTGTCTTCCGCGCTGACGCGTACGGACACCTTGAACTCCGCCTTTCCAATGTCGAACTCGATGCTTGTCGCGCGACCGACGACCTTCTCCGGAAACGGGCGAGCGAAAGCGCGTACCGCACGAGCACCGTCGGTAAGGAAGGCATACGGGTTTGCTGGGCCCTTCCCACCGCAACTCCTGTTGCCACCGTTCAACGTCGCAAGCGTCAAGCTGGAGGCCGCCGGCCCGCCCTTCGCCTCCTCCCCACCTCGGAGGTCGTCCTCGCTCCACAAGCTCAGGTCCTCCATATTCCACCCATCGCCCCAGTCGTGACACGAGTCAGGGCAGTACGTCCAGATGGTGAAGTTCAGGCCATTCGAGCCATCCGCCGCATTCAGGCTGGCGTCGAGCGCGCGCTCTTGCCTCGAGTAGTCGCCGCGGTGCTTCCCGTTGTCCGTCCACCCGTAGGCCCGCTTGTTGTCCATATCGAACGGCGTGCCAATCTCGCCAATAAGCGTCGGGTACGCCGCGCCGAGCGTGAGCGCGTCCGCCTTCAGCATGCCCAGCTGGTCGCGCAACGACTTGCGGATCGCGCGCTCGCCGATCTTCACCGCCTGCAGCGTGTTCGAGTACTTCCCCCGCAGCAAGCCCAGCGCATCCGCGTTGAACCAGTTCCAGTGGCGCGTCACCAGCGTCAGCCCGTCGTAGTAGTGCGCCGAGTACGCCGCGCGGCCCTTCAGCACGTCCTCCCCGATCTCGGGCGGCTCCGCGAAAACGGGCGGCTCTATGAAGAGGATAGCCTCGGGCTGCGACTGCCGGATGCGTGCCGCAAAGGCCTCGAAGTGCGGCCGCCAGTAGTCTGCGACGAACTCGATGTCTTCGCCCGTGCCGGGAAGCGCGCGGAAGTAGTCCGGGCGGAGCACGAAGCCCGTGTCGACGTCCCACACACCGTGCTGAGCCCAAGGGCAGGTGCCCAATGCCCACCCAGGATCCCGCCGCCAGCCCCAGCGCGGATGTACGCCATCAGGCTCGGTAGAGGGATCTGCCCACAGTATGGTGCCCTTCGGGTCGATAGTTGTTGTGCCGTCCTTGCTGGGGCCTAGCGCACCAAAGGACCAGTGCTCGACAGTCTGCGCCTTGCCCATACCGAGCCGCAAACTCTGCGCGGGGGTCGGGTACGTGCCCTTCTTGAGCGTCGAGCCCTGCTTGTCCGGGTTCGCGTTCAAATCCGCCCAACCGCACAAGCCCTCGAATGGCTCGTTCATGCTGTCCCACCCGAGAACGCACACGTCCGCGAGGTCGCCCGCGTCCCGGATGCGGTCCGCCATGACACCCATCGCGGCAATATAATGCTCCTGAAGCCAGTCCTGGATGTTCTTCCCGTCAATGATGCAGCGCGGCGCGAAGTCGCGGCCGGCGAAGAAGAGGGTAAAGATGGTCTGCGAGAGCAACCGACCGTAGTTGGTCGACCAGATCATCGCAGGGAGGGATGCGGGGTCGGGCGCGTCGGGGTCTGGGTATTGTGCATGTACGAGGGCGGCCTGGGTGGCGTGTATTGCGCGCGGGTTGATGCCAATGGCGGGCAGCGTCCAATACGGTGCGCCCGAGCCACCAGAGAATCGTGACCACTGACAAGATAGTTAGCGAGGTGAATGTACGGCCGTCGTTCAGAATCATGGAAGACCGCTCCCATGCACCCGTCAGACCCCGCCGTTAGCAGAGGCGAGAAAGAGAGGGGATGAATCATCTTCGGTGCTTGAGGAGACAAGTGTTGGATAGGGGTGGATTGATGGAGAGATATTGCATGCCAGATGCACGTCATGACGGGGCTGAGAGCGCGATAGGACTTCATGATTCCGAACTTCGCTGCATTGAGCACCCTCTTGTGACATGACACTCACCACGTCCTGATGTGGGTCCATGAAGACCTTGAAGCCATGCTCCTTGCATTTCCTCAACACGCGCACGGTGTAGTCCATGTACTCCTCGTCGTACTTTCCACTGCGCAGCATTAGCCCGATCGCCAAGGACTACGAACGACACACGCACGGTCCTTCATGCTCTATCGCCTCCCAAGTGACGGGGAACCGTAGCATGTTAAAGCCCCATCCTCTGAGTCTCGCGAGATGCTCGTCCGCGCTCCCATCGTCGATGTCGAGTGGTCGTCCGACAAAGCTGAGGCCCCCACGCTCCGCAGCTTCCCAGAAGTCGTCCAAGATGTATGAGGGTTGTTGCACAGGCGCCTTCGACGACCCTGATAAGTTCACTCCTCGCAGTAGTAGTGTTCGCCCGTGCCCATCAATGAAGGAGGCATCGACGGTATGCACAAGGTGGGAGGGGGTCGGAGCGCCTGTCGCTGGCGAGGCACTTGGTATCCGTGGCATGATTCTGTGTGTCTGAAGCGCTGATAACCGCCTAGTCGACGTCAAGAATGATGTGTGCGTCGCCGCCGCTCGTCGCAGCGAGCAGATGATGGTGGCGGACAAGCGGGGTATAAGTGGTACGACGTCGATGATCGCGGTTTCCCCGCGCGTGCGCTGTGGCGCTGGCGGCATCACCGGTCCGGCGCGCAATTCGCCGAGGTGGCACAATTATAAAAATCCAGTTCCGCCTTGGCCCAGCCGAGAGGCGGAACTTTGAGCATGGGATGAGACGACTATCAGACTAGGTACCCGGCGGGAATCACTAGGTACCATTGACAACAGCTACAGTAGGCGAGCGGGAGGCAAGCGGGAGGTACGATGCATCATGCTACGTCCGCGCTCCATAAACTAACAAGGCCGTGCGAGGTGGCTATACTACGCAGGACGCCAAGATACCCTCGCTAGTTCGGTTGAGGCTTCCCATGGCCTACAACCGAGAAAGTTCATCGATATGACGCCGTTGGTAGTTAACGAAAGAGTACAATGTCAAGTAGGTAAGCAGTGACCGCAGGGCAGTAAGACGCTGTCACAAAAACAGTAGAAAAACGATCGAAACACGCCAGCCCAAACGACACTGGCCGACTCCATCGCCTTGCTGCCGCGAGAACTATGCAATGCTGCTTATGGGAGACTGTGATGTCTAGGCCTCCCGAAGGCGATAGACGTGTACAAATCATTGCGTCCTGCAACTCACATCAGGACGTTGCTCTGAGACAAGTAAAGGAAAGAAGGCTTACTGGCACTCAACTCGCTCCTTCTTCCCCGACTTCCAACTGACTGACTCGCGACGCAACGCCCGAGCACCCTTCCATGATTCCGACTCGAACTTGACATGCACACGACCCAGCCGCGCGATGACTTCAGCTGCGTCCTTCCCCAGCACCTGGCGACGTCCTGAAGGGCGGATGTCGCATAAGACCTCGTAGTCAGAGGCTTGAATGGACAGCGATGCGTCCATGACCTCCTTAGAGATCATGGGCGCGTCTTTTGCCTTGAACACTTTGGGCACAGAAGTATGGCCTTCCGTGCAGCGTTGCTTGATGTGCAACCGGCCGTGGAAAGTCCGTGGGAGGAAAAGGACGATTTCGCGACCGTTCGAGGTCTCCATCCTGAGCGAGAGTGGCACGCGTTCATATGCATTTGGAAGGCGCTGTAGACCTTGGGCTCCAGCCACGATCGCGACGAATCAGATGACAAACGCACCAGACGCAGCTGTATCGAGCCGTACTCAGAGCACAAGTACATCGACGCCAACTCAATATCTTGTCTAAGAGATCCTTCTACTTGTGCAATGACATCTATCTTCGCCTTTCCTGTCGTCTGCAGCGCGAGCATCTCGTGCGTCGTCAAGGGAGCGCTTGAATACTTGTCAATGGCGGGGTCCAGCAGATAAGACCCGACGATGTCCTTGGAAGACTCCATCGTGAAGTCCTTCTGTGCGCGCTCAGGCATACTGCGCCGCGAGGACTTGAACTGCGTGAAGATGTCCGTCATCGTTGTGCGCGGAGAGGTCGCTGTAGGATGGCAGGAAGAAGAAAAGGCAAGCGCTTATTGGGGGAGCGAGTACTTATAAGCATCGTCCCCCTGCGCCGCAATGACGCCGCTCGATGGTGGCTTGCGGTCTCCGGCCTCGTGCGCCACTCATCCGGAATGAGAGCGGACATCGCTGCTGAGCCTTGTAATCCGCGGCGCAATGGTGCGTGCGGGACGTCGTTGTGCACTAGACAGGACGTTCTGCAGACTCTATTCGCGAATCAGGGTCGATAGAGCAGTTGGACGAGTTTACGGACTGGTATTTGGATAGTCACGATGTGCCTTCGAGGTCGAAGTTCTTGTATCCACGATATAGTAGACGTCGATTGAAGGACGGCGCCCAAAATTGGGACGCCTCGACGGATAATGAGGAAGACGGAAGTGCAGATCGGTTCATCATCATCATGACGAAGGCAGGCAGCAAGCCGCATTTCCGGCTGTTGCCGGATGACATCAATTACCGTTCTCAATTTTATCCTAAACGGGAACAATGAGAGCAATGCTCGTGTTTTAGACCGCCACAGTCGAACCGCCTCGCTCTTGAGCACTGATGCTACTCATCATGTCAATCATCAACCGCATACGACGGCTGAGCGCTGAGCGCGCGCGAGGAGATGGCGACGCGTCCAGTCGCGATGCTGGCGTGCCGTGCGCGCCGCGTCAGCCTCCGGCCTCCGTTTCGGACGGGGGCTGATTGGCTGCAGCACCAGGGAGTTTGAGAAGAGGATGGGCTATATAGCGCTCACTAGCTGTCTCGATCGACTATACCATCTCCCCATACCCTTCCCATACCTCCAACCCCCCCTATCAGCAACACCATGCACGTTATCCTCACCGGCGCCACGGGCACGATTGGCCTCCCCGTCCTCCACCGCTGCCTCGAGACGCCCTCTATCACCCGCGTTTCTGTCCTCTCTCGCCGGCCTATGGAGATCCCCACGGGATATGGCGGGCGCACGTACGATGCAAGCAAGGCAGAGGTGATCGTACACAACGACTTCACGCAGTACGATGCGGGCCTGCTGGAGAAGCTCAAGGGCGCGCGCGCAGTCATCTGGGCGCAAGGCGTGCCGCAGAACGATGTGAAGAAGGGGTGCGTATTCGTTTTCATAGGAAAGCAGAACAAGGTGCTGACAATCGTCCTCTAGCGAGTACATCCGCATCACCTACGACTCCCCCATGGCTGCCGCGAAGGCCTTCGCGCCACTCGCCGGGCCCAACGACCCCTTCACCTTTGTGCACGTCTCCGGCGAGGGCGCCGACCCCACCGAAAAAGCCTGGGCGCTCTTCGCCAAGACCAAAGGGAGGACCGAGCGCGAACTCCTCAAGCTCGCCGCCGACTCCGCCCCCACCTCCTCCTCTCCCTCCCAGCCCACCTTCCGCGCCTACAACGTGCGCCCCGCCGCCGTCTGCGCGGGCAAGCTCTACCCCTACCCCGACCGGCAACGACCCTTGGCCTACCGCGTTCTCGGCCCCATCATGACCCCTGCGCTCCGCGTCGTCAGTCCAGGCATGCTCAGCCCGACGGACGAGATCGCGACGGTGCTGGTGGACCTGGCAACGGGGAGCCTGCCGGAGCAATTCAAGGCGGACGCGGCGGGGAAGCTGAAGGGCGAGGGCATCGAAGCGGGCGGGTGGACAATGCGGTGCCACGCGATCAGGCAGTGGGCGAAGTTGAGGGGCGTTGTGGGGATGTAGGGATTGCTTGTCGGATGCTTGGTTGTCGTCGTGTGCTGCTCTTCGTATATATCATTGATACCAGACTATCCTCGTCCCAAGCCGCGCGTTGATAATGGTACAATTGTCGTGCCCAAGCAGACGGATGCATCTTGCTCAATCCCGCCACGTCTAGGACCTGGCGCTACAGGCATCAAGATAGGCACGATAACTTGAACTTGGATCGGGGGCGGAGGAACGAGGATGGATTGGGCGGGAGCATAGATAGAGAGGGGGCATGATGGTGTAGGTTGCGGTATGCCGTCAGAATCTAACGGAGTGTGTTTGCTTGGGTCCTGAAATCGGATACGCTTCCCCTCTGATGGCATCTTGTCGTACGACGGGCTTGAAGGCAACACAGACGCGGCCAAAGGCTGGACAGTTCTCCGTCAGCGCTGATCTTGTACCGACACCAGAACACGCACCACAACGTTCTTCCACCCCACCGCCTCTTGGGCCTCCAGGTTCAGATATGCGTCATGCAATCGCGGTGCACGGCGGTGCTTCTTCCTTGGATGAGACGCAGACCGACGCGCATGCGCAGGCCGCGCCGGAGGCCGCCTCTGGTACCTCCCCCACCGTAACCCATTCCTGCAGCGGAAGTTGACAAGCAAAGTCGTGACGACGGAGAGCGCGCAGAGGGCGATGAAGGCGGCGATGAGGGCGCTGGAACATACTTGTCAGGCGGCCGTAGCCAGCAAGAAGAGGAAGTGCACCACTCACGGACTCGGACGCGCAGTGGACCCACCACGGTGGGGGACGCCGCTCTGCGATGGATCGCGCTCGTCAGGCATTGAGGCGGGGCGAAGGGGACCAGGTGTGTGGGGGTACAGGTCATTGTTCCATCCTGATATACACCCTGACACGCGGTCGCATCGTCTTCCTATCCGCGCTACTAGGCTGATGCAACACCCCTACGGACCAGCCGGGGATGCGTGCGTAGATCCAGGAGCGGGAGAAGCCATCTAGAACGAGAGTTCAGGCAGTTGACGAGATCCACGCCTCCCTCTGGCAATGGGCGATCAGATGAGCGGGTGTAGGAGACTATGAGAGCCTGATCCATGCACTTGAGCCGCAAGGGGATGAAGGGCAGGTAGAAGGCTGAGGCCAGCAGAACAGCTGCTCTCTGCGATCCCGTCAGTCCCTGCTCATGACGACTGAGCTCATATCGCGCACCTTGATTTCCCGCCTCCGTGTGTCGTTCCCTCAAACAACCGGTACCCACAACGCAGACGCACCTATGCCAGAGCACTCGAACCCAGCCCTCGCACGCAAAAGATATCTCAGAAACCTTCATATTTTCCTACGACCAACCCTACGACACATACGAAAAACCTCAGCGAGGAAGAGATGTACGAACTCCCGGCCCTATCCCCCGTCCTCCAAGCACAGACGACGAACGGCGTCCGAAGACTGGGCACTAAGACATCCGACTCGCTTTCAGCGCTGCTTTGGCACAGACCGAGCATAGGTGGGTCCCCCCGAGGAGGGCAGCCGGTCTGCAATTTGACTTGAACGCGGTGAAGAAGAACGCGATCGGGCGACGCGGCGGTTTTGAGCAAGCTGTGACGTGACATAAATGCACGTGCGGAGGGATGCGTGGACCCACAACTCGAACAATGACCGGGCAAGAGGTTCAACGAGTCGCAACAAGCAGGCGCAAGCTATACCTATAGAATCAGGTGCCAAGTACAAGTCAGAGAAAGTAAGGTAGGTCAGAGTCAGTGTTATGTATCTTTATAACTTTACAAATCCAAGCTCTACGCGCGAGTCAGAGTCCAAAAGCCAAAGTCGTTATCAAGTCCGGTATCGTGGAGAAGAGAGCCAAGCTCAGTATCGTCGAGAAGAAAAAAAAGCATCACCACCGTACCGCGAACGTCCTCTACGCCACCACCATCACCTACTGCATCGCCCATTACCTACTTCCTCGCCGCCATCGGCACATTCTCCTGCCCCTCCCTCGTGATGTCCTCCACCATCTTCAGCGCCTCGAAGCTCGACACCAGATCCCCCGCCGCCGAGTTCCAGCCGCCACCGCCGGACATCGGACCTGCACTGATGCCATCTCCGCCAATTGCACCGGCGCCTCCGCCAATGGCACCTGCGCCTCCACCAATCGTGCCCGCGGCGCCTCCGCCAACCGCACCGCCTGGACCTCCACCGATGACGCCCGGACCAGCGACCATCGCACCCATCCTCTTCGCGTCAAAAGGCTGTGCGAACGCGTTGAAAGGCGCCGAAGCTGGTGCCACGCCGCCATTGAGCTGCGCTGACCCGGCGCTGAACGGGGGCGCTCCCGCATTAAACGAAGGCGCTCCCGCATTGAACGGCGCAGCCGCCACATTGAACGGCGTCGGCGTCCCCGGATTGAAAGGCGACGCAGACCCAGGGTTGAACACCCCAGCCGCCGGGTTGAAAGGGGACGGGCTCGCCATCCCAGGGCCGCGATTGCCGTTGAACGGCGACGCGCGTCCACCCTCCATCCCTAGCCCCATCGCCGAGCTCCTGCCATCGACCTTCTCCCTCTCCCCCATCGCTGTGCTCGGGCGGCTCCAGCGCCCTGCGCGGCAAACCTTCACCTGCTCGAGTAGCGCCTGATGCAGCTGCCTGTTGAAGCCTACGCACTGCAGCCCGATGCATGCTACGGCCAGCGCACCCGCGCCATACAGTTCCTTCACCTCAAAGAAGTGCTGCGGGGAGGTGTTCCGACGCGCGGCGAGGGTCTCTTTGGCGATGGACTGCGTGGCCTGAAAAAGGATTAGTCAAAGTTCATGAAAAAGGATATGTCGAGAGGGGAAACGCACCTCGTCCGACAGTTCATTCCACTCCCTGACCGAGAGATCGGGGAAGCGGAAGCATTGGTATACCCCCGCGTAGTACCACGCGCCCTTCTCTTGGTAAAAGCAATCTGCACAAACTGTTAGTCACCGCATCCACATCCAAGTCCACGGAGACAACGTACGAGTGGGGTTCGCCAAGCCCTTCATGGGATCCGTCAACGCCCACCGATGGACGGTGATCGTGCGCTGGTCAGTGGAGCACTTGAACACGGGCGCAAGGAAGTACCCATGCTCATCATGGCCGGGGGACCAACAAGTCGTTGGCTCGTATAGGGCTTTAAAATTGCCGAGGCTCGTACGGACGTGCTGTCGACCGCGTTAGGGAGCTATGACAATGCATCATCATATACGCACCACAGGGAGCGTCTGAACGAAATCTTGCAGTGTCATGTTATTTGGCAAAAGGATCGGAGTCAAGCTATCTTCAGGCGCCTCAGACGGCACAGGGAGCGATGAGAGTATCTTGTTTCGGGCCTCATGGATTGCCTTCGGGTCTTCCGACGCTGATAACGTTTGAGGAGAGCCTTTTCCGTCGACCTGCAGGTGATATCAACCATATTTCTAGCGCATATATGGACCTAAATTCACCTTGGGGTCGTCCGCAGTGTCCAGAAGCGTACTTGTCACCGAGCCAGAGCCAGAGCCAGAAGAGAGCGCGGAGCCAGAGTGTCGACGAATAGGCGGCGCAGGGGGAGCAAGCTGTCGCAGATCCAGACTCGCGAACGGACAGGCAACCTCCGAGTCACGCACCGGGAGCCTAGCCTCATACTTTGGCGGTGGTTGCACCCTCGCTTGCTCTTCCGCGGCCAGCTTCAGCGCCCGGATCTCCTCCCTAAGCGATTCGATCGTCTTCTGCATGTCCACCAACTGCTGCCTCTCCTGCGCAATCTTGCTCGTGATCGCGCTGCTCTGCGTCGGCGAGTCGGGGAGGAGGCGATTGAGCGTGTCCTGGAGCCTGTCGACCTCGACGGTCTTCTCATGGAGCTTCGTGTAGGCTTCGGAGAGTCGGACGATGACGGCGTCGCGGGCGCGGAGAACTTCGAGAGTGCGAGCGCGTTCGACCTGGATCTCGAGGGCGAAGTCGATCGTGGAGAAGAAGTTCGACGGCGATGTGGATTGCGGAGAGGTCGCGTTGAGCATCTCTTTCTCTTGTCCGTTGAGTAGACCTTGCCAGATAGAGGGTGAAGGCGCGGCGGGAGAAGCGATGATCGGCGAGCCTGCCTTTGAGCCAGCGAGGAGCGGAGAGTTCATCTTCATGGTCGCCATTGAGCACATTGACAGTATATCCAAGAACGAGGTCGAAGACAAGAGAATGAGGAGAAGCCCCGAAAAGCGAGCCCTATATAAGCGGAGACGGAAGCGAATAAGAGGAATGATGACGGTCAAGAACAAAAGACGCGCATGTCAAAGCGGCGCGACGTTGGCGGTAGTGATCACCGGCGTCGGCGTCAGAGCGGACGATGACGGCGACCATCGAGCAACATACCCGGGAGCGGTGAGCGGCAGCGTTCTCGATGAGGTGCGTATATGCATGGAAGGGAGCAGATCGTATAGGAAGAACAAGACGAATCAACAAAGAAATACTAGTAACGGCATTAAATCCGGGAAGCTCGGCGAGGAACCCTGAGCAGAAGATGCTCCGGTCAGTTAGCATAGACACAGAACATGTAAGGAGCTCCGGTAATAGTCTTTGGGTCATGCTCCGCGCCCGAAGCCCAAGCAGCTTTCTCCACGTCCTCTACATCGACATGGAGGACGTCATTTTCGTTGAGCAGTACTATCGCCTGCTTGACCCAAACTCTGCACGTAAATCTGGGCTCCTTTGCAGCGAACGGCTCAAGCACGTCCATCGGCAGTGCCTCGACCATACGCTTGACGGACTCCGGAGTATGGGACCCCAGGTGTCCTGTTATATCCCCGTGAAGCGATTCCCGGCGGTCAAAAGTAACTGGGACCACGCACCGATCTTCATAATTATGCAAAGCTCAGGAGTACTCTTGTAGGTGTACTCTTCGGCGAGAAAACGCCAAGGACCTTGCTTATTTGAAGCATGAAGCTTCAGACCGGCGTTTTCGTCGTGCGGAAGCGTGATTGTCCAGTGGAAGGTCCCGTCTCCTCGAGACGCAAGCGTCAGGCATATGTCGCCTAAAAGTGGCTTGACCCCAGAGTATTGAGGGTCATCCATTACGCTATGAAGGATACAGTCCTTTTCGATGCTGGTGGTTCGAGTTCAAGTTGATGGCCCACACGTGTTCTCTGGCCACCAGCTCGGGATTTGCCGAGAAGACAATAAAATTATAGAATGAAACTGGTATGTCATTTTGAGCTCCTTTGGTATCGTGTGCTTATCATCCAGGTGCGCAGTGAGCTCCACACAGAAAATTTTACTGGATGCGGGACCTTGCAGTCAAAATCATTCACGCACTAACCGCATCCGACGTCCCCAACACCTTCCCCTCCCCATCCAGCGCCACCACCGTATACTTCCCATAATCCGCCCACCCATCAAAGGCGATCGCCGTCTCGAAGTCATCCCGCGTCACATTCACCAGACTGCTGCTCGTCCCATCCTCCTCGACCGAGCCGAACAGCGCCCACGTCGCGACGTCGGTCGCCCCGTTCCACCAGGCGTACGCGGTGCGGTTGGAGTCGGACTCGCCGACAATGGCGAGGGAGGGCGGCGTAGAGGGCGTGGCGTGCCAGTCGAAGCGGTAGGTGCGGACCGAGAGGGTGATCAGAATCAGTAAAGAGGGGATGGTCATGGACAGAGAAGACCACTTACAGGCCGCCACATCCGAGTTGATCACGGCGAACTGCATCGCCCACAGCGGGTTCCCCTCCGAATCGTACTCCTCGAAGGCCGGCTCGGCACCGTAGCTACATCGCACACAATCAGCTCAACATTTGCCATGAAGCATGTATACCGTCCCTCGCGCTCACCCAACCAAGAAGTTTCCATTTGGCTGCAGCTGGTTGTTGCCCTGCGAGCGCGAGATGACCTTGTTGACGGGGTCGAACTCCTGAATGAGGTCAACCGTCATCGCGTCCGTGTCCACGCTGAGCAGCAGGCCCCGGGAGGCAATACGGTCCTGCCTGATCGTCGTGCCCGCGTTGTCGAAGAGGCTGATGAACGGTGTCAGCCACCATCTCCTTTTCTTGCGCACAAGGTTGGCAACTCGAGGTCACTCACGAGATCGTATTATCACTCCTCCATCGCCCGTCGTGCTGCCAGGAGAACGACGCGTCCTTCCCCATCGTGAAGTTCGAGTTCTTCCCATTCAGGCGCCACACAATGTCGCCCGAGGACTTGTCGACCTTGAGCAGCGAGTGGCAGTGTCGGCACGAAATAAGGTAGTCGCCGTTCGAGTCCTTATCGATAGCGTTGAGGTGCTGTTGGTGCGCGTCAGTTCAAGAGACGCAGAAGGGAGGGAGGAAACGTACGAAGTAATCCCAGGGCGCCGAGCTATTGTAGCCTGTAAGCGTCGGCTTGGTGTACGACTCTGACGGGTCGACGTGGTCGAGACCGTGCCACTCGAAGACGACTTCCTCTGTTGGCAGCGTCAATCCTCTGCTTAGTACACTCTGAAAGCGGATAAACTTGGAGAAGGGATACGCACTGGTAGCGATATTGATCTCCTGTACGACCGCGTTCAGGATGTAGCCGTCCTTAGGTCCACCGTAAGGGGTCAGATCGTGCTGCTCCGTGACGTACGCCGTCATCGTCGCAGTCTCGCCGTTGTAAATGTGCGACTGGTAGCGCATCAGCCAGCCGTCAAAGTCCGCCATCCAGAGGAACAATACTCACATCGTGGAAATCGCATTTGGTATCGTTCTGAAGGCCGACGGCGGTGCTACAAATACAATCAGTACGCTGCGTCGCACACGACCTCCGCTACCCAGTACTCACTAGGTTGCCACCTCCTCGTACGCGTTGTTTAGGACATGCCATTCCCCGTGGCCATACCCGACTTCGTGCTCGCCCGTCCAGAGGATGATGTGGTCCTCGCCTTGGTAGCTCTCGACCATGAAGGACGACGAAGTGGAGTAGTCCTTGCCGGACCAGACGACGGTGCCGTCCTGCTTGATGATCAGGGGCCCGGTCTGGGTGACGGAATCGCCTGCACGAGGTGAGCCGTCAGTGAAGGCCAAAAAGTCACGAGATCCCATGCGTACCCCAGGGAGCGAAGAAAAGAAGCCCTGGCGAGAGCTTTGCCGCCGTCGCGTCATCTAGCGGGATTTGGTAGTTGAGCTGGACGCTGAGAATGGCTCGTCATCCAGAACTCAACCAGACAGCGAGAGAAGACCCACGGCGTAAAGTCCGTTGCAGCCACGTATTTCTGCACCGGACTATCTCCCTGAAGGCCCGACGCATACGCGGCGCTCTTGTTGTATGCCTTCGATGCGGAAGACAAGGTAGCAAAGAATGTAGTGGAGGCCGCAGCCAAAAGAGTGTAAGACCCAAACATGGGTACAAGTACGCAAAAGAGGGAGAACCGGGGAACTGAGATTTGGAATGATGACCTCCCCGTCGTCGCGCTCAGGCTTTATACGACCCATTCACTCTGTCTACGCCACGCCTCGGCAGGGCCAGCGCACTGGATAAAGAGCATCCTCACATCCCTGGCGACGCTCCCGGGGTCGCAAAGCTAAGCATAGGCGAAATACGTCCCATGTTCAGAGTTCGACGAAGAGAAGACGACTTTCACAAGGGTGCCGGTGAGTAGGCGCCCGTTGCGCGACGCAGCGAGGTGCTTGATTGACGGTCACGATTGGTCGACCGCGCTGGTACCTTCCTGATATAGAGTCCCTTTATCGTCCGCATCGAGAAGGTTGCGGTGAACTCAAGTAGCGAGCTCGGTGCGGGAGACAACCGCTATCTGAGATGCGTCCCGAGGCATGGTGCGTGCGTGGTTTTGCCTCGCGAGGAACCAAATCTGCGTGTTTTTGGTCGAGATGGGGTTACGCGGTGGCCATTCGTATTGAACAAAGTTCTCAGGGTTGACCTGTCTTGCGCAATCCGTTGTCGAAGAGCGTGCTTAGCGCCGAGTAGTCGTATGCGCGCTACAGAATTCAGGTCCAGCTCGACGGGAACCGGCGCGGCCTAAGCTTTCCCTTGACCTTGAACAATGTAGTATTGGTCACCGAGCTTTCGTAAGAGTCGGTTGGAAGAGCTAGCAAGGAATGACCTGTCCTCGGCTTGCAGGTCGTCAACGTGGTTAAGGTTAAGGCTAGGTGTCAGCGGCGGTCAAAGCGACGTAACGGTCACAAGCTAAAGCGGCAACTGCCGTGAATGGATCCACAAGGTGTTGCTGCTGTCTTGCGTGCCGATAGTCAAGTGAGATCGCAGCTTCACTAGGGCAGAAAGGATATCATACAATTTTGGACGCCCTGGCTTCGAGCTTCCCTGCTGATGAATATCGTATGCGGTCAATCGCGAGCGAGGGCCTGCATCCAATACGACGCATGGACCGGGAAACTAACAGGCTAACAAAACATGGGCGTAGAAGTCATGATATTGTTTCATTGAATGAAATATGAAGATAAACAAAATAAAAATGAGGACTTTTCCTTTTTACTCGATCCATTGCTATCACAAGGGCGAGATATCATCCGAGGTACCCAGTACCTGGCCCTGGCTATCCAAAGCCACCACCTTGTACGACGAGTACTGATCCCAAGAGTCGTACACAATCGGCGTCTCGAAGTCAGTGCGAGAAGTGTTGACGAGGCTGACCGCATCAGAGCCGGAGGAGCCGAAGAGCTCCCAAGAGGCGAGCTCAGTCGCGCCGTTCCACCAAGCGTAGCCGGTGCGGTTGGAGGAGTCACCGACAATGGCGAAGGAGGGCGGGGTGGAGGGTTGGGCGGTCCAGTTGAAGCGGAACGCGCGGTCTGCAAACGAGTCAGTCATTATAATGTGCAGCGTATGCAACTCGCCACTCACAAGCCTCAACGTCGCCTATGCCGAAGTGGATCTCCCAGAGCGGATTCGTGTCCGAGTCGAACTCCTGGAAATACGGTTGCTGACCCCAGCTAGGAGGATTGTGAGCGCGTAGATTCTCATCAAAAAGATGTCGGCCTACCCGATGACAACGTTACCGTTCGGGAGGAACTGCGCGTTCCCTTGCGAATGCGACACCGTCTTGTTCCACGGGATGAACTCCTTCACAAGCTCGACACTCTTCGCCTCAAAGTCCACCTCGAGGAGCAAGCCGCGCGAGTAAGGTGCGTCCTCCTCCCCTTCCTTGCCGGCGTTGTCGAAGAGCCTAAGAGAGTATAAGCTCAAGCCAACGTCCAACTGTGAAGACACGCACGAGATGGTGTTGTTGCTCCTCCACCGGCAATCGTGCTGCCATTGAAAGTCGGCACCCTCACCGATAGTGAAGGTCGAGTTCTTCCCGCCGAGTCGCCAAAGGATATCACCGGAGGAGCCGTCGAGCTGAGCAGCAGTCAGTATGGCGTGTTAGTCCCGGAAGCCATACTGGACTGACATAGAAAAGCGTGTGGCAATACCGCGACGAAATCAGATAGTTACCCGCGGCGTCCTTGTCGATGGCGTTGATGTGCTGAGGCCCAACTATCAGAAAAAGCACGCGATACGGATGGGGAAGTTCATACGAAGTAATCCCAAGGTTTTGATGAGTTCGTGCCATATCCTTCGGGGAGCGGGTAATAGCAGTCTGCGGGGTCCACGTGGTCGAGGGAGTCCCAAGAAAACAGCACCTCGTCTGAATGCGGTGGTCAGCAAACGTGTACCAGCATCTAGGCAGCGACGGCTTACTAGACGTGATGTTGATCTCCTGCACGACCGCGGATGCAATGTATCCATCGCTAGGTCCACCGTACTTGCTAAGGTCATGAGGCTGGGGCAGATAGGCCGTCATGGTGGCCAGGACGCCGTCATAGATATGGGACTAAGACCCGTTAGTGGAGCTTCATAGATGGGTAAGTCGCACCAACTTACGTCGTGCAAGTCAGAGTTCGTGTCGTTGAGCAGGCCGACAGTCGAGCTAAACACCAGTGAGCATAGAGGACGCGTGTCCCAGCAAACGGACTTACTAGTTTGCGACGACCTCATACTTGTTGTTGAGGACGATCCAGCGGCCGTACCCATAGCCGCCAACCTGGAAGTCGCCCTGCCATAGGATGATATGGTCTTCGCCCAGGTACTTCTCGACGTGGAACGAGGGCGACGCGTATTCCGCCCCGGACCAGACCACGGTGCCATCTTGCTTGATGATGAGTGGTCCGACCTGCTCAACATCGCTACCTGCACAAGTGAGGTTAGCCTCCCAAAGTAAGAACCGCGCAAGCAGCCAGCACTTACCCTGAGGAGCAAAGAACAAGAGCCCGGAGGACAGCTTGTCGACCGTAGAGTCATTGACAGGCAACTGATAATTGAGTTGCACCCTACGCATGTTGATCAGCAAATGAAGAACCCATACAGATAACAAAGAAGCTCTCACGGCTTATAGTCGGTCGCGGCCACAAACTGCTGCGTCGGACTCAGCCCAAGCGCACCAGAGTCGTACTCCGCACTCTGGTTGAACGCTCTCTCCGCCACAGACGAGCGGATGAACGCTGGAAGCGCCAATACTGCCAATGAGAATATCATGGTCGAGGACGACTGGACCAGTGCCCACTGTCCTCCACTTTTATACCACCGCGCACCTTAAATTATGTAGCCGGGACCGCGTGAGGAGATGAACATCCAGGAGGATCGTCGACGGCCATTGTCGAGCACGCCAGTGATTATAGAGATGGCGCCATTGCGTCCCACGGGCTCAAACCAGACCACGCCGCGTATTGCCAACGGACTCCCACCTGGATGCAAGCCCGAGCGTCGGCCGATAGAAGGGTCTGGCGGTCCGCGCAAGCGGTATGGCACATTGTGAGCGAAGATGAACGCACCGGAGGAGGTAGCGCACGTCATCTCCACTCATCAAGAATAGCACGGGCGATAAATCGCGAGGCCGGAGATAATGGAGGACTGGCGCGTGGCGTAGATGCTGGGAGGGCAAGCGGGCGATGGTCAGAAGACCGGACGATGGACAGTTGCACGTATTTGCTCGGACAAGGTCAGCGAGGACCGCAAATGTCCGCACAAGATATCTTATATTCAACCTCGCTAGAGATAAGCTGCGCTATACTCTGGGTACCCACTGAGTATTCGGGTAACGGAGCATGACAAGCGCAGGAACATACACTTTGACTAAAGCTTCGTAGCGGCAGCAACTCGAGAGCTCCAGAACCTTGCCCCGCCGTCAATGATGATGTGCGCACCGGTGACATGCGCGGACGCAGGAGAGGCCAAGAAAAGAGCCACGCCAGCGATGTCCTGAGGCTTCCCTACTCGGCCTAGAAGGGAATGAATACTTAGGACTATGCACATATGAATTCGCCTACCTGTCGGCTGGGCCGTGGCGAAGCCCTCTTCTCCGACAGTGTTGAACCCGAACGCGGTCATCTTGCTTGGGAAGACGCTATGGGATGTTAGCAAGGTCAGTGTATCATGAGCTGCGATTCATACCCTGGCAACATAGCATTGACGCTGCGAAACAATTAGTGAGCAAGTTGAGTGATAGTAGTGAACGAAAGCGACAACATACGTGACTTGACGAGGGGCCAACTTATTGGCCAGGACCGACGTCAGATGGTTCGCTATCAACGGCTTAACTGAGCAAACCTTCAACAGTCGGAAAAGCTACGAACCTGCGGCCTTGCTAGGCTGATCTGTGGAGAAGGTGAGAGATGATTATATCGCTGACTGAGTGATGCAACGTACAGCTCCATGTACCATTGCCGTCTTGGCTCAGAGGACCTTCTGCATGGGGTTCGACAGACGCTGTCGAGGAGATGTTGATGACCCGACCGGGGTCCATCGCGGTGGCGCCGTCAGCGAGAAGATCTGCCAGCCTGCGTTTACAGCTCGTCGGGAGGCTCGGGATGACTTCGAGGAAGGGACTTACCCGGCCGTCACTAGGCAAAAGTACTTGTCAGCTACAATGTGATCTTGGTGCGCGATTAGAGACATACTATAGAAAATGCTCTTGACGTTGACATTGAAGATGTTGTCCCAGCCCTTCTCTTCCGGAAAGTCGTTGAAGGGCGCGCCCCACGTAACGCCAGAGTTGTTCACGAGAACGTGTAGCTTCTTCTCCCGCTTCTTGAACTCGCTGATGAGCGCATCGCAGCCTGCCTTCGACTACGCACAATGAGCTTCTCGACGCGCTTCCGCTAACATAGATCCACTCACGCTGACATTGGCCACGATGTAGTCCACGCTGCCCTTCGCCGTCGTCTTCAGGTCTTTGACGGCCTGCAAAGACATTAGAACACAGACATTCAGGATAATTCGACGAACGACAGAACGAACCTCCTGCAGCTGCTTCTCCTTGCGCGCGGCAATGTAGACCTTCGCACCATTCTGTGCGAAGCCGGACGCCATCATCTTGCCGATGCCAGAGCCCCCTCCGGTAACGAGGACTGCGATAGCCGAGTATGAGTTCAATACGAACTAAGCGCTGAAGGTGCTTGTCACGAACCTATCTTGTCCTTGACATTGAACAGAGAGAGCGCTGTGAGGTCTTTCCGGCGCTAGTCAGCCAGCCCTCGAGTACACTGCTTGAAGACATACCAGGCGTAGACATGTTGGTGGTCAAGAGCAAGCTGTGGGATCGGCGTGAGGCCCTCCATCCTGAACGTTGCCGACGAAGGTTCGGTGAACTGAACGCCGGTACTGCCGGACGTGGGTCGCGTGAGCTTCCACGTGATCGCGCCCACAGGTGCAAGCTTGGACCCATAAGCTCTGAAATCTGTGTTCTACTTAGGGCCCTCTTCCGAACCCATAGGTCACAAAAATTGTTTTGCTTGGTACAACAAAGTCGAAACATACATAGGCAACGTTCGCTATTACAGACAATGTACCCAAGAAGAGTGTAATGTACCACGAGATTGAAGCAACTAAAAGTACTATACCTTCAAACCACTAAGCAAGATGTCATACCGCCGCCCCATCCTCGCGACGCACGTTTTACCAGAGCCGTCTATGTACCATGAGCGCACGGTTCAGCGACGTGTAGTCGGACCTCCTGCGTCCTTGTGTTCTCCGTCTCCTTCCTGTCATTATTTGTGCCCTCCGCTTCGTCGAGTCGTGATTATCCTCTCCGCGTGAACGGGATCCTTTACTGCTGCTTGCACTCCTCCGGGTTAACATTCTGGCCGCCGGACGCGCCCTTCTTCTTAGCCGCGCGGCTCGCCTTGATAGCCTTCTGGACGGGGCCATCGTCGTCCTCGTCATCATCGTCGTCGTCGTCCCCATAGTCGGAGCCGAAGACATCGTCTGAACCGTCGTCGGAGAGGTCCTCAAACTCGAGGGCCTTGCCGGTGAAGTAGTCGATGGCGCGTGGGACGATCTGGCAAGGTCGTCAGCACGTGTTCGAGAGGATGAGGATAAGAGACGCACCTTCTCCTTCAGCTCTTCGCCGAGCTGGTAGTCCATCTGCAACGCCTCCTCGATGGCCTCAATTTCCTCCTCGGTTTTATCCTGCAGCATGAGTTCAGTATATGCGGCAAACATGTCATGACAAGCACGCACGTCAGGGTTCTCCGGCGAAGTTGGCGGCGAGAAGAAGTTGAAGAATGAGTCGGTTGGATGGGCTTTGCGCACAAGACGCGTGCGGTTAGTGCCTAAAGGGTGCAATCAATTACTGTAGACTTTCCGAACATTACGACGCACTCTTGTTGCGCTGGCGCTTGACCTCGAACTCCCGCGTCAAATCCATGTCATCCTCCTTCCAGTTGATCGTGGTCCCGATAGCGCGGTCATACACTGTAGTCGAGGTCAGCAAGAACGTCGAGAAGTTAGAATTACAAGAATGCGGACCCCAATCGCCCATGTCACCGATCTTCTCCTGGTAGAAGTACGTCTTGATCAGGACCTCGTTGCTGAAGTGCGGGTTGTGCTCGGCGTCGAAGTAGAACAAGAGGCTGAAGCCAGGCTTCTTCACGCTGTCCTCGGGGATCTTCAGGAGGTCCTTCAAGGCTGGCCAAGCGTGAGTCTCACTACATGGGGCGAGATAAGGGGCGAGATACTTACTGGTCTCATCGTCCCTGAGAGGGAGAACGACAATCTTGATGTCTGTAAGCCACTTCACGGCCCCCTCGTCGCGCTCGGTAATGATATCCGCGTAACCCGGGTGAACACGAAGGGCAGTAAGCCAGAAGGATGGGATGGCGGCGGGGCCTTACAGCACCGTGAGCGACATCCGCGCAAGGTCAAGAAGAGAATGACATACCGGTCTCTCCTTCGACCTTGGCCTCTTCGTAGTCTTCGTCCTCCTCCTTAGCCTTTTCAACTCCTTTCTTCACCTCTTCCTCCGTAGGAGCAGCCTTGCCCAGGACAATCTCCCTCCTGCGCTCGTACAAGGGCTGCTGCAGCAGATTGTACTGCGATTTACGTATGAGCCGCGCCCGTTCGCAATCGCGCAACCGCGACGCACCTTCTTCTCAAGCTCCTGCAGCTCCCACTTGAACTTATTCGTCAGGTCATCCTGCTGCACCTGCAGTCCTTTCAGCGCCTCGACACTGCGGCGCACTTCGACCGGCAGCTCCTCCTCTTCTTCATCCTCGTCCTCCTCGCCCTCCTCGCCCTCCTTCAGCGCCAGCTTGTTCAGCGCGCTCGACAGCCCATCGCCCTCCTCCTCCTCCTCGTCCTCGCTGATCGCCGCGACGGACGGGCGCATGAGCCCGTGCGAGATCGGTGCGTGGTTCATCGGCGTATTCTGCGGTGTCGGCGCCGTCAGGCTCTGGCTCATCGGGATCGCCGACCCCGAGGGCGTGCCCGACACTGGGGACTCATCCGTCGACGACATCGCGTGGATATGCGAAAGTTTTTGGGTGCTCGATTTTGCGGATGGGGGCAGGGGCGCGTTTTGTGCGTGCGGGCGCGGGAGCTCAGTGGCCTTGGTCGGGACCGGGAGTGGGGGATCGAGGAGATGTGAAAGGGATCAGGGGAACGGCTCCGATGATCAGTCCCGAGATGAAGGGCGGAGAGAAGCCTGCGGCCGTCAGGACGCGGGGCACGATGAACCGCTTGGCCACTTCCGAAAACGGAAAAACCTGGAGTTCTTGACCCCGGCTTTCATCGCGGTCGAACACAAAACATCCGTGCTTTTGTGCTCAACAAAGCTTGGACTCAGAGGTCATAGCGCTGGCCTCAATCATTGTACACCGCCCCAAACGACAACTACGGTCTTTACGGGCTGTAGACCCGAACCCGCGTCAGGACACGTTCAATGTTGATCACATCTAAATGGACCTTCGCTATGACCGAAAAGGTAAAGGTACAGCCTACCTCTTTGACTTCGCCGCAGTCTCTTCTCCAGCCCATCAGCAATACCCGCTTCCGATGAAAACCCCGCCGTACGGTCCGGCCTATATAGCGAAGTTAGCAACGTTCTCAGCAAGTCAGTGTTCCTCCGATGCGCACGTACGTTGTCTCCCAGCTCGCCCTGCGAGGCATCGGGAACCTATACAGACATAAGCATAGTTTTCACGATCCGTCGCTTCTCTCATACCGTCTGAATCATGCACTCTGCGTCTTCTTCGTCTTCTCTGCAGGAAGCATCTGTCCGCAGCGTCAAAGAAATGCTTCAGGTATAGATCCAAAAGCAACGAACCTGCGCAAGTCATCCACACGTCTTCCTCTACCACATGAATCTCGCCAGTCGGATGCTCGTATTCTGCCGTCCGCGGTGGCAAGACAGGAATAGGATCTGAGCCGCACGTTCAGCTCTCGCAAATTCTGCACCATGGTAGATGGACGACCTGCCTTTCATATTATTGATTCTCGCGTACGAATCTGCCTATAGTCATAGGTCAGTCAATAGACTCAAACAAGTCTATTTCTCTGCAGCGCAACCCACGCTCGTCCCCTCTTGCGTCTTCAAACATATCGAACAGCTCACTCACATTCGCATCCATCAAATCCGCCCACGCCCCATTCCCCACACGCGGCTTCCCAAACGTGATCGTATTCATGCGTATGAAGGGGACGTTCAACCGGAGGTACACCGCGTTTATCTCGGCGAGCGCGCCGCCGAGGCCGTGGCCGACCTGCGAGAGAGGTAGGAGAAAGGATATGAGAGAGAGTTAGGGTGGGGACGCCCGAAGACGGCCGCGTTGATACGTTGAAGGTGCAGAAAACACAGAACGAAAGAAGAGGTGAGAGTAATGGGCAATTGACTGTCACGTACCGTCGTCAACACCGCCGCACCCGTTCCCGAGATAGTATCCTGAACTGCTGCGAGTACAGCTTCTGCCGTCTTCGCATGCGCGTTCAAAAAGCCTGCGTGCACTTGCACATCGTCGCCCACGCCCGGGAACAGGGAGACGTTCAAGGGCGCTTGAGCCACCTCGGCACTCTCAAGGGCAGTAAACCTGACGCCGTGCGAGTGTTGAGTCAAGACGTCAGAATAATACAGAGGAAACTCACAATTCCTCCGCATCGATCCCACCGTGCGCGACGATTATAGTGGACAAGGAGGTCGAGTATCCGACAAAATCTGCCATCGGGTAAGAATATCCCTGATCCCTTGAAGATGCGTAGAATTCATGATTCACAGTAAGGCGACGTTGCTGTGCCATCCCCGCCAGAACCATATAGCTCGAAGTCTTCGTTCGCTGCGAAGGCGTCTAAAAGCTACTAGTCAGCCCCGTCACTTTCGGGTGGGAGCTAACTCACCTCCACAGTCCCAGGTCGCTAAGTCGCCTAAGCAGTACGCAGCTCGCGATAATTCAGCATATGGAATGTAACTGTCGATAGCGTCTGCAGAAAGCGGGGTTGCATCGCGTCCGGATAGTTTGGCGAGAACCAGGGTTGAGACGAGTAGAGCACCCAGAGTGACAGTCAAGAGCATGGGGGCCAAGAGGGAGTCTAGAAAGAGACCGAAGGACTGCTGAAGGCATACAAAGCCAGCTGATTTGCCTTCGGTCCTGACTCGAGATCACGGGCCTTCTTCAGTTGTCCGGAGTACAACCGCTCAATCTGTCACTTTGTCATGAACGCAGGCCATACCGTCGCTTTCTGTTGCTCTTTTTCCAGCACTCTTGAATTGTTTGTGAGATGTAGGAACCCTGTGAAGGTCGTCGCGATGTTGACAGCGTGAGAACAAGCCACCATCCGATGTTGCCTGCAGGTGGCGTCTAGGGTAAGCCCTGGTGGCTGTGCAGCGTCGTCCAAAGGGATTTGCGCAGGTAGGGCGCGACGGCGTCCGAGGTTAGACAGGACGTGAGAAGCAAGCTCATAAGATGAACTCTGCGCCTGTCTAATGACTTTGGTGAATTACTGATGTTTACAATCCCCATTGTAAGGTTGCTGCACAGGTAGCGTTAGTTGACTCGGCTCAGTGAGAGTCATCTCTTGGTAATCGAAAGGTAGGGTACGCGGTCGGCTAGTGCGGTACGAGGAGAGATAACGGAGAGATGGACGTTGCGGACAAGTTGAAGTAGCTAAGCGTCGAGGAAGACTTGGTGACGTCACGCTGTAACGCCCCTTTTCACTTGACCTGAACCACCATGGCCGCTGTAGAACCTGCAACGCCACCAATGAGCTCGCCTACTACAGCTGATTCGAAGGTCGCAACTACTTCTTTGCGGCCACTGAGTACCAGGCAAGAGCGACGCCTGATGGATTATCTGGACGAGCGCTTACTGAACCTCATGCGAAATTATAAGAAGCGGTACGTAGATACTTCATATGCCTCTCCTTTGCAGATAACTCATCCAAAATACAGCGCAGAAGATTCTACGAGCACTCCTACCCTCCAAGCGTACCTTCGCGAGTCTCGCCAAATATTGTCCTTGATCCTCCAAACTCCACCCGTTCAACCTTCTGCTTCCCTCCGCACTGCCTACCTCTTGCACCTCACCAACGACGCACTCTCTGCCATTCCAGGATACCCCGCCGAGCTAGAGTCTCTACCCGACCTCCTTACTTGGCTCGACGAACTCGACCGCGCGTGGCAAGTCGTGCTCGCCGGCCAAATATGGCAACCACAGGAGCGCATTGGTGTTGACACCCCAGAGGGTAGCGCTGTGCAGACGCGCAATCTCATCACGCAGACTGACCGTACGCGGTTGAAGAGCATGCTCATCAGCGGCTCTGCGGTGATTGAGGATTGGGTGGGCGAGATTGTGGCGCAGGACGATGTCGATGCGGAGGACATTGAAAGTATGCTGCAAAGACTGGGCATAGCGGAAGGATCCGTTAGGATATTTCCTGGTACACTGGACGAGCTCGAGAGGATGAGTGGGCTTGGTTGAACTCCGCCTATGTGTAAATCAATTGTAACATATTGCGCATGGCTTCCTGATTTGGCGGACGTGCCTCTTAGGAACAGCCCTTCGATATCGTCGAACAAACCATCAACTGAGATCACAAAAGAACACAAAAAGTTTGCAGCAGGCCCGAGCCCCAGCGCGTCTGACGACACGTCCTGGTCTCCGAAGACTAATTCGGCGAGCCCTGCAGGTTGCAGAATTGCTTCCCTGGCCTGACAAGGGCAGATTATTCCAAGTTCGAGCCAGCGCTTGCGCGCCGGGAAACTGTGGACACCAAATTTTCTGGAGGGCACGGTCTTGAAACAGCGCGCTCGAGACTTTGACCGGTGATTAACCCGCCGCATTCCCGTTGAGCCATTACAGCATGGAAAGGAAGCGACAATGCATGGATATCACCAGCCAGCGACCCTCGTGCCATGCTTGCAATCGTCCAGCACATGATCTTGCAAGTATGGACAAGACAAGCTTTCTATACATTCAATCGTTAGTTCGTATACTATAATTTACTACTAATGGTGACCACCACCTACAAGAACATACAACAGGGATATCGTATCGTAAGCAAATCGCATGCGCCCGTCCCGTCGGCGTCCCGGGCAGGCTCAACTCTCAGAGCCGTGGCGCGAAAGGGCATGCATACAACTCGCATGCGCCCAGACGGAGGTACACGCACCCGCTCTGACAGCGGCGCTCTCAGAACAACCACGCGATGTACTTCTTGTAGATCCTCTTCATGCCCTTCGGCTTCGGCTTCGCGGCCTGTCTTGCGAGGAACCTCTCTTCTTCTTGGTCGATCGCGGCCTTGCCCGAGAAGATATCCGCATCCTGCGGCTTGATGCTGCTGGTGACGTGGTACATGTGGTGGTACCAGAGCTTGACTGCGAAGGGAAATCGTTAGCACAATTTATCCACCAAACGGCAAGAGGATCAGAAAGACGCACAGCCAAAAATCAGGATGAGATATACTGGGATACCAAGATAGCCCGTGATGAAGTTTTTGTAGTCCCAGGTGCCGTAGCTGCCGGGCGTGAAGACGTTGAAGTTCTTGAAGACGGCGATGATGCAGCAGCCGGTGAGCGCGCCGATCGAGCCTCCGCGGCCAAGGGGCGCGACAAACGGCATCATCTCGTCCGTGACGCCCTGGGCCTTGCGCGCTTTGACAAAGTAGATGTGCTGCGGGACCGGTCAGCATGCATCATACGGAGGACGCGGACGAGGGCACTGACCGTCACCAGGATACTGATCCACGTCAAGATCCCAAAGATGGTCACCAAGTTCACAAAGTAGCCGAACACCGTCGTCGAATCCTCCGCGACGTTCATGTACGCGAGCAACCCAAACAGGCTCGACAAGCCCAGCGCGTAGATGGGCACCCCGCGCTTGTCCGTCTTCGCCAGGAACGCAGGGGCCTTGCCCTCACACGCAAGGCCGTAGATCGTACGCGAAGCGATGTACAGATCCGAGTTGGACGCAGAGAACACGAAGAGCAGGATGCATGCGTTGATAACGTGATCAAGGCCCTTGACGCCCTCCTCGAGGACGGCGACGACGAAGGGGGAGGCGGACGCGCCGGCGGCCTGCTTCGTGGCAAAGGTGAGGCGCTCGGAGTTGTAGGGGACGATCATGCCGAGGAGGAAGACGCAGAGGATGTAGAAGAAGACGATGCGGAAGAAGGTGAGGCGGATGGCGCGGGGGATCGTTCTTCTGGGGTTCTGTGCCTCGCCGACGGTGACGCCGACAAGTTCAGTACCTAGGTACGCGAAGGTAGCCGTCACGAATGTCGACCAGAGAGCAAGGAAGCGGCCAGTATCTCCATCGTCGATGTACTCGGCGAATGCGCCAGGGTCCTTCCAGTAGCGGAAACCCTTACGGCTGGGAATGGTCATGTCAGCATTGATACGCTACCATTCAGATATGCCGCTCACTCGTGAGACGGGCCACCACCCAACGCGAAGACCAGGCTCATGATCATGATCCCCACAATCGTGATAACCTTGAATGACGATAGCCAGAACTCGAATTCTCCAAAGAGCCTGACGCCAAAGTAGTTGATGAAGATGATGGTGACATAGAATATCGTGATCCACACGCCGGGATTGACCCTGTCGCGGTCTATCCAGTAGCTGATGACGAGCGCGCCGGCTGTCATCTGGTTGGGCGTGACAATGATGTATCTGGAAGGAGCATGAAGTTGAGTTGGGGGAAGTGAGATGGTATGGGAGCGCGTACTTGAACCAGTATGTCCATCCGAGGGCGAAACCCAGCGCGGGGTCGCAGAAACGGTTCGCGTAGCCCGTGAAGCCTGAACCGAGGGGAAGCCATGCGGCCATCTCACCAAGCGCGCACATGACCAGGTAGACGAGGAAGCCGACAACAGAGTACCTGAGAGACGCGTTAGACCATCCGCACCGAGGTGAACGCGATCGTCACGCACGAGATGAGGACAGCTGCTGGCCCCGCGCGCGCCAGCGCAGAGCCCGTTCCAATGATCAGACCTGCGGCGCGTCGTGAGTATCGTACTTCCTCATCGTGCACGATGATCACGCACCAGTCCCAATAGCTCCTCCGATAGCAATCATAGTGATATGACGCGCTTTCAACCCACGGTGCAGGTCGTGCTTGAACTCGACCTCCCCAAGCTTCGTGACGCCCCCATCGGCCGTGTCTTCGTGGGGTCCGACGCCCACCTGAGTGGACGTCTTCTCCAAATCGGATGCGTTGTCCTTCTGCATAGCGGCAGCCAGCAGGAATACGGAGATGGTGGTGGTGGTGTGGAGGAAGAAGCGCCGCTAGATCGGTGACGGATCGTATATAAAATGCTGGCACGCAAACACAGCCAAGCTCTATAGATTCAACAACTTGGCATCAGCCCTCGCGTTGTGTACGGAGGTCTTGTGGCTGCCTGTCAGGGAGTCGCCCGAGTGGAATGGTGCGGAAAAGCGAGGTCCCGGGGCAAAATAAAGGACTGCTGATCGCGCCGGCGAGGGCGACGGCCAAGGAAAATTGCTGGCGCCCAGAGTCATATAGAGTCTGACGCCCTGGGGTGCGGGGGTGATCAACAGTGATCAGAGCGGTGGGCCGCTGTCTCGCAGTCGCGTGAAGGAGGGAGCAGGAGGGGGGCGCTGGCGCCAGGGGAGGAGAAGCGGATCACCATATGGTCACCGGAGCGGATCATGCCAAGATCATGGGAGTAGTCTGAGTCTGCCGACGCTCGTGTCGGCGCGCCCCCTTATCGTCGAGCTCGAAGTTCTCTTGGACGACGCCGAGAGCATGTCTAGAGGCTTGGAAGGTGGACGAGGTTGCGGGCAGGGGCAAGAGAGCGTGCTGTATTCAAGAGATAGGCGGGCTCTGATAAGGAGGGAAAACGCATGATGGGGGTTGCTCCTGGGCTGCTCTGTGGGTCGCGACGCGACAAGAATGCAACGACTCATCGTATACAAATCTCTTCGGCGGCGGCTGGTGTCGAGCAGCGACAGCTCAAAAGTCGTCGCCGACATCGGTGGGGGCGTCCGACGCGAAGCTCGAGGCCGCCGTCTAGCCCACCGCCTTCCGAAGCATGCAAAGCTGCTGCCGAGGGGTGTATGATGATGCTCAACTCTAACCTCCTTGATTCTGACTCCAGAGGATTGCCCGCATGGACGAGGAAGGAGAGAGAGCAGATGTCGCCAGCAGGCAAAGTGGTATGGATATTTAGAACCTCGGAGACTGCAAAGCGCCGCTCCCTGATAGCCTCAAGCGCTCGTCGTCGTCCGCAGCGATGATGACCGCGCAGGTCAAGCCCAAGCCTCGATTAGGCGCCCATCACAGACCGGTCCGCGGGCCCGGAAACTCTCTTTGTTGTTCTCCTCGTCGGGAGCGACGGCCACCAGCTGCCACTATCGCCTTCCTTCCCACCACCATGGCGCCCCGCAAGCCCATCCCCTTCGAGGTCTCCACCGAGGCGCCGTACGCGCTCGCCCTGCTCACCGAGTACACTCACACCCTCGACTCGCTCCCCGTCGATCTCTCCCGCAACTTCGCCGACCTGCGCGAGCTCGACGCCGTGCTCTCCTCCTCCATGGCGTCCATCACGGCGAAGATCACCCAGCTCGTCGCGCTGCTCGAGAACCCCACCGCGGCGCGCGCGGACAGGCTGTACCTGCTGAGCGACCTCGCGGAGGAGGCGAAGCGCCTGAAGCTCGGCGGCGAGGACAAGATTCGCGTCGCGTGCCAGGCGGCGGATAACCTGAAGGCCCATATGCACCACCTCAGGACGCTCACGGAGCGCGTACCGGGCTTCGACGCGCGGATGCTGGTGCGCAAGACAAGCTTCCCGCATGTGAACCCGCGGAGGTTCCACCCGTATATGAACGAGCACGGGCGGAGGAGGAATCCGAGGAGCAGCTTGGTCGTGAATGGAGACGTCGACGGCAACCCATTCAGGCCGCGGCACGCCGAGCACGCCTCGCCGCGCAAGGATCGGGTCGCAGAGCTGAAGCGGGCGAATGGCAGGGCGAAGACGTGCGTCGTGCGCTCCTTTCTCTTGTGGCGAGGATACTGACATGCCCTCCAGACATCGCGCCGCCTCCCCCAGCGACACCATGATCGACATCACCGACCACGCACCCCCTTTGTCCGTCTCGCGCTCTGCCGGCCCTTCCACCAACGGCGCCCGCCGCCCCGCGCGCTCGTCCCACCGCGAGTCCGTGCAGCCGTCCGAGATTCGCTCCGTTCGCTCGCATATGGACGACTACGTGCTGCCAGGCGACTCCATTTCCGCACAGCTGCCCGCAATGAGGAGCCCGTCGCCTATGGCTGAGGACGACGGCCACGACGCGGATCCCAAGCAGCTGTACTGCATCTGCAGGGGCCCGAGCTCGGGCACCATGATTGCCTGCGACGGCCCGAACTGCCCAACGGAATGGGTGAGTGACACTCTTTCCACTGCGGTTTTGCATCACGTCACATTGTTTCTCTTGCGTTACCACTTTCTAAGTATACTTGGCGTAACAGTTTACTGACACTTACCTCCCAGTTCCACCTGACCTGCGTCGGCTTGACAGAAGAGCCCGCGGAGGACGACAAGTGGTACTGCGACGACTGCGCGGCGAAGAGGAAGCGTGCCCAGCGCGGAGCTATCAAGAAGAGGAATGGGGCGGGGCGGGGCAGGTAGAGATGCAATTACGCGCTTCGCTTCGATATCTCCTCGACTCCTCGACTCCTCGACGCTAAACCTTCGTCTCCGCTTCAATGTTCCTCTTGTCCGGCGCTCGGAGAATGGACTGATTCGCGCCCCGCGGACGGGGGCCGTTATATGTACGCCTACGCGCGACTCGCTATACCCCTCTGTTTGTGCATTCCTGCTGTACTAGTAGTTCGCCTGGTTGCGTTGTTATGCATCCCCAGTGACAGTGGTTTCATTGAACGTCCTCAAAAGGCGGACATTTGGGCCAACTTGCTTTCGTTGAGGCCGACCATCGGATGTCCAAGCATTCCTGCACTCATCGTGCGTTGACGCACGCAGGGGGGTTACGATGTTCATGGAGCATGTTGTGTGTATTCTAAGTACTAATGGAGCCAGTCCGATAGATAGTAGGGAGCCAAGTCCAGTCGGTGCCCAAGAGTGTCCGTAGCCTGTACGAGACTAAACGCCCAGTGTCCATGCACGCAGGGGTCGATCGTGCCAACGCGACCTTATGTACACAGGAGCCTAAGCTCCTGCACTGCGCCGAGGGAAGCTCCCTCACTGTGCCCGCTCCATCTCGCGGCGCGCCTGCCTGCCCAGCGCCCTCGCCTTGCGCGCGGCGATCGCAAGCTTTCGCGGCGCCTCCGCCTGCTCCCTCTCCTCGCTCCGCTCCTTCAGCCCCGCCCGCTGGGCGAGGCGCTTCTGGAAACGGTCCGCGCGCGACTCCTCGGGGTGGTCCCTGCGCATGGTGACGGGGTTCGCGCGCACGGCGGCAGCGGCGAGGGCGCGCGGCGCGTCGCGCTCGCTGACGACGAAGCGGCGGCCCATGAGGCTGCCGGGGTGCGCGGGGGCGACGGGGACGGCGAGCACGGTGGCAAAGAGCGCGGCGAGCGCGGCGAAGAAGGTGAAGAGCGTGAAGCGCATTGTGGTGGTTGGGTGGGTGGGTGGGTGGGTTTAGGTGGCTGGTCTAGTTTCGTGTTGGGTGTTCGTGTAGGGCGTTCGCTGGGTCGACCAGGCGGGCTGTTTATTGGGTAGAAGAGAAAGGCTGGTGAAGAGAAGGCTGAAAGGGCGACTGCACAGCAGCGGGCAAAGTCTCTCGAGGCTAGCGAGTGGACGTTTGAAAGGAAAGGCGGGAGCGACTTACGTCCGTCGCGAGGGGTTTTGTGACCGTACGATCGCGTCCCCGCACGTGATGCGACGCGTCCATTGTTCACCGGATTAGGAAGGTGTTTCTTCGTTCTCATCACTCATCTCGGGAAGAAGTCACACACGTGGTTATGAGGAAGTTCGTATGTTTTGCATATGTTCCTATGTTTGCTGCAATGGGCCAGCTGAAAGTATCGACTGAGGTGAGAGCGTCGGCCTCGGATCGCCACTGCGATAGGATCGCGTGTAGAGCGCGCTCCCGTGATGCAGGCGCGCTTGCTTCGCGACAAGTGCCCGCTTCGCGCTTATCAGCGCCGCATGAGGCCGCTGTATAGTTAGAGTCGGTCGGCATGCATATAAGTATAGTAGCGAGACCGCGCCGCCCTTCTGCCTCTCGCCGTCATCATGCTGCTTGGACTCCCTGTTCTCCTCGCTGCCTCGGCTGCCCTGGCGTCGCCGCTCGCGTCCTTCGCGCCGCACCCCATGGCGAGGGCCTCTGCGAATGCGGAGGTCACAGTGCTCCCCGGGGGTGCTCTGCGCAAGTCGTTTCAGTCGCAGGTGGTGAACGACACGGCCATCCGGTACGTGAAGGACTCCGGAATCTGCGAGACGACGCCTGGTGTGGGGCAGGTGCGTGGTTATACGTGAACAGAGGGAGTTCATGCTCACCCTCGCCAGATGTCCGGCTACCTCGACATCGGGGCCAACATGTCCATGGTGAGCATGCGCATCGCCCTTCTTGCGATCGCGCCATCCGTAACGGACGATAGCCATGCTGACCCTGTGCGCAGTGGTTCTGGTTCTTTGAAGCACGCGAATCGCCCGAGACGGCCCCGTTCACCTTGTGGTGAGTACCTTGTCGATGCTTCAGGTGTGATGTCGGTTCTGGGATGTCATGTTGCCGTGCCTTCCTTCCACGCCGCACGAGGCTAAATGCAGAACAGGATTAACGGCGGCCCGGGGTGCTCTTCGATGATCGGGCTATTCCAAGGTGCGCGGAGGGAGACTGAATGGGCTCACCGGGGGAAAACTAATCATGCGCAGAAAACGGACCGTGCTTGGTCAACGAGGATGGGAACAGCACGTCTATCAACCCGTATAGGTGCGTCGTCTTTGGATACTTGTGGATAGAATACCAGAGTTGAATGAGCTGGGAAGCTGGAACAACATCAGCAATGGTAACCTCTTCCGCCTGAAATGCACTGGACGCCGCTGACGAGTACGCACAGTCATCTACATAGACCAACCGGTATGCATCCCCCTGCGGTCCTTATCCACCCACCTAACGCACCGCCTTTCAGATCGGCACCGGCTTCTCCTACGGTGATACGGACGCCGTGAACAGCACGTACACCGCCGCGCCCTTCTTCTGGCAGGCGTTTCAGGTGCTCTTCGAGAGCGAGGAATTTGCGAAGTTTGAGAGTCGGGAGTAAGTCGCTCGCGCGTGCATGTTTCTAGTTCTCCTCCCTCTTCTCCGTCTTGACCTTTTCTCCTTCTTTACCGTTGCAACCGTCCATGGCGATGGTCTAATCGATGCTAACCTCCCACCCCCAGATTCGTCTTCGCTACCGAATCCTACGGCGGCCACTACGGCCCCGCCTTCGTCTCCTACTTTGACCAGCAGAACGCGCAGATTGAGGATGGCTCGCTGAATGCGGAGACGATCAATGTGACGGCGCTGATGATCAATAAGTGCGCGTCGGTCTTCTCACTTTCGCCTCGCTTCTTTTCTCACTCACTCCGAACCCAACTTAACCTCACCTGACCTCAACTAAAAAAAACCTCACCTGCCCTCGACTAACCTCACCTAACCACACCTGCCCTCGACTAACCCATCCGCACAGCGGCTGGTACGACCCCCTCATTCAGAACAAGGCCTACGTCGACTTCGCCTTCGATGCGCCCGGTTACGGACCCCTCCAGAATGAGTCGACGCTCAAGCAGCTCAATGAGTCGTTCTATCAGCCGGGCGGCTGTCAGGATCTGCTGGAAGAGTGCTATGCGGCCGGTGAAGAAGAGGCGGGCGACGTTTGTGGACGGGCGGATGAGTTTTGTGTGAGTGGGCGGATAGTTCGAGTGCTTCGGGGAGTTTGGGTTTCCTTCGCTATCGTTTGATCGGGGCTGGGGGAGGTGCTTGGAAGGGGGGAAAGGGGGAGGGGGAGAACGAAGACCCGCTGACGATCATCCTCCAGTACGCAAACGTCACCGCCCTCGCAGTCGGCGACCGCGACATCAACGACCTCCGTCAAAACTCGTCGACGGAGAACCCGTTCCCGCCGCCGTACTATGAGGAGTTTTTGACGCAGTGCGTGCTTATTGTCCTGTACGAAGTCCTGAGAACCCCTCGATCTAAGTTACCAACCCCAGAGACCACGTCCTGAACGCCATCGGCGCCGAATCGACGTACACCGAGTGCTCGGACCCGGTGTACTACGAGTTTTCGAAGACGGGTGATGTGAGTGGGCATTTTTTATCGTGAACTTTCGATGCCTTTCGTCCACTCTCGACGACAGTCTCGGAACTGATCTTGCGCTCGTGCTACTTCTGCGCTCATGCTACTCCTGCGCTCATGTTGACCATGCGATTGTGCTGACCGTATGCTTGCGATACTCACCAGGACGCCCGAACCCTCCTCCCCGCGCTCGCGGAGCTGGCGAACCTGGGGACGCCGAGGTTGTTGATCTGGGTGCGTGTCCTTTTTGCCTGTAGCTCAAATCAAGCAGGCTGATGCCACGGATCTGACAGGCGGGTGATGCGGATATCAAGTATGTTCTGCGCTTTGGAGGCAAGGCGCACGACGGCTGACGAAGGTGGACAGCTGCAACTGGCTAGGCGGGCACGAGTCAGTGCTTTGTGCGTATTTCTTTTTTTCTTATTTTATTACGCAAGGCGTATGCTTGTGCCAGTGATGGCGCGGCTGAACGCTGACATCCATCCCTCCACAGCGATGAACTGGACCGGCGCCTCCACGCTCGCGGACACGCCCTTCACGAATATCACGGTCGGTGGCAGGGACGCGGCCGCGGTGCAGAACGTGGGCAATTTCTCGTTCGCGCGCGTGTATGGGGCGGGGCATGAGGTGGTGAGTGTTGGTCAGATCAGATGGGTTGGGATGAGTAGAGGAGGTTGGCGGGGAGGAGCGAGGGTTATGCGTGGCGAAATGGAGCGAGGATTATGCATATGGCGAAAGAGAGTGCTGACAAGATACCTCACAGCCCGCCTTTCAGCCGCAAGCGGCATTTGAGATTTTCAGGCAGGTGGTGAATGGGGAGCAGCTGCATTCGGCGGAGTAAGCGCATAGCCCTCTTCGCGAGTAGAGTGGCTGAGGTGAGCGATACCGTAACCTTTGTTCCTCCATGTTGACCAAGTTCGCAGGGGAATTTGACGACGAGTTTTACGATTCAACATGATAAATCGTCATAAACAATGATGATGTTACATTCAGTGTACGGCACGTCATAGGCAGGTAAGCGGTGTCCGTGAAGATTGGAAAGTCCATTGGAAAGTAGGGAGGGGAGGTGACCGTAAAGCGTGAGCATATTCACACCAATCCATGCGGTCGTAGGGGTCAGGCGTTTAGACTGGGTCCTCGAAGCACAGGCGAGGAGGCAGGGTGCTTGGCTTGCCAAACAGGTCCGGTTGCACGGTCGTGGGCTTCCCGAACAGCGTGATGGGCTCGTACGGAGGCTAAGGGGAGGTTAGCGTCGAGGCAGAGAACAAGAGGGCAAGAAGAACCGTACCCTGCCGAACAAGTCAGGCTCGACGCCGTAGGGCTTGCCGAACATATCGGGTGGGACACCGTACGGCTTGCCGAAGAGGTCAGGGTTCACGCCAGGTGGTTTCCCGAAGATGCCTGGAGGGAGAGGTGAGTTGAGGATGGCAAGGAAGTGAAGGGGGACACATACTTGGAGGGTACTGGCCGGGCTCGCCAAAGAGTCTGGGTCCTGGTGCTGGTCGCTGAGAACGCAGGAGCTCTTTGATCTAACGTGGCGTGTAAGGACGCATCTCATCCGCGATTGAGATAACGACTCACAGCCGTAGGGTTCCTATAGCCCGGAGGCAAGTCCTGGATGGGCATCGGCCCAATATACGCAGGCAAGCCGTCCGGGAACTCCTTGTCCCAGTCATACTGCTCGGTCCCAGCCCACGTTTTGTAGTCTATCGGCACCCCGCGATGCAGATACGACCCGTCCGGCAGCTGCGTGATCGTCCCCGGCTGCAGGCGCGACACGTATGCGGCGTGGTCCTTGTCGATCTGCGTGAGGCGCCCGTAGTTGGGGACGAGCTCGCCCGGGTTGCGCACGCCCACGGAGCGCTCCGCGGGCGCGAGCGCGTATGGGTCGCCTGCGCCTGCGCCGCGGACGACGGAGGGGTGCGAGCCCGTGGGGCGGCCGAACCAGTAGTCGGGGTTCTCGACGGGGGAGGGTTTCTTGGTGAGGCCGAGGGCGGTCATGGTCGTGGTGGTCAGAGGTGAGTGTGAGTGGTCGTTAGGGACGGCGCTGCGCGCGACGAGGAAGGTATATGAGGGCGGCGCGGGTGACGTCATGGTTTGCGTTGGGCGATGGGAGCCACAGGCTCCAGGACTTGCGTATGTTCATTTCCGTGTTCCTGGGCCTTGTTGTTGAGCTAAGTTGTATTGAATGCTGGGATATTTGACAATGGGAAGCAGGTGAAAGGCGTCTGGAAGATGTTGGCAGAAGAACGGGTGGGAAGCGATGTGACGGTGGAACTTGATCACGTGTCGTGACAATGCATATGCTCAAGTCACGCTTTCCAACCTTGACCCTCGCATCGACCTCCAGGAGGTTTACAGCCTACGAAATACAATGCTGCTGGTCCCAAGCTTGTCCCACAACAACTGACACAACGATATGCCCTACGACTAATTCAAGAAGTGCATCTCCGGCGGTAATCCGGTTGCCCAAAGAGCGCTCGTGATCTCTAAGAAGGACTGGAAGCAATTCAGCCAGCGCTGTATACCTTCGACCGTAGCGATGAGGTCGAATTTTGGGACCCTCCTCTGACCGTCATGCTCACTTTTACTGCCTTCGGTGCTCTGCTCGCCTCGAACCTGGTTATCGTTGATTTATCTGGACGCGATGCAACCCCGCTCTCTCTGGACGCTATCGAAAGCTACATGCCGTACGCCCAACTAGCGCGAGCCGCGTACTGCGTAGGTAACTCAACGACTTGGGACTATGGAGGTGAGTTAGCTCCCACCGGCTGCAAGTGGAGGGGGCTGACAAGTAACCCTCAGATGCCTGCGCAGCAAACGATGACTTTGAGCTATATGGGTCTGGCGGGGATGGCACAGCGAACTCTCCTTACTGTGAGCCAGGACCTCTGCGCATCACAAATGGGTATTCTAACCCTATGGCAGATTTTGTTGGATACTCGCCCTCCTTGTCCACTATAATCGTCGCGCATGGTGGGATCGAGGCAGAGGAATTGTAAGTCTTCTCTATCTGAGTCTGGTGTCTTGACTCAACACTCGTACGACGTCAGGTTCAGTACCCTTCAGAGTGCCGAGGCGGCTCAAGCGCCCGTGAACGTCTCCCTTTTCCTGGGCGTAGACGACGATGTGCAGGTGCAGGAAGGCTTCTCAGACGCGCATGCGAAAACGGCAGAAGCTGTACTCGCAGCGGTTCACGACACTATCTCGGGAACGGGCGCGGCGGTGCTGACGACGGTACGTAACAGACTGCAGTTGGTTGTCCGTTCCTCCGACCTCTTCTTTCGTCGTGTGTCTGGTAAATTCCCCTTCAACGTATCAACGCAGTCTTCGTCGTACGCTATGCGCTCCATCCTGGCCCATGATTCCCCTCCTTATCTCTCTCACATATATTCTTCTCCTATCACTCTCGCAGGTCGGCCACGGCCTCGGCGGCGCGCTCGCCGAGATAGACGCGGTGTACCTCCGGTTGAACGTCCCCTTCATCCGCATGAATACGATCACGTTTGGGAAGCCGCGGGTGGGGAATGGGGCGTGGGCGGATTTGGTGGATGCGAATGTGAGTGAGCTGTTCGATTTGTTTGAAGACGCACGAGGGGACGAGCGTGGATTGTGCTGCAGAGAAATAGACTTGTATGAGTTTACTGCCTGACCTATGACCACAGGCGGATTCGTACGCCTGTATCGCATGCTGTAATGGCCTAACGGGAATGCGGCGGGTTAATCACCGGTCAAAGTCTCGAGCGCGCTGTTTCAAGACCGTCCCCTCCAGAAAATTTGGTGTCCACAGTTTCCCGGCGCGCAAGCGCTGGTTCGAACTTGGAATAATCTGCCCTTGTCAGGCCAGGGAAGCAATTCTGCAACCTGCAGGGCCCGCCGAATTAGTCTTCGGAGACCAGGACGTGTCGTCAGACGCGCTGAGGCTCGGGCCTGCTGCAAACTTTTTGTGTTCTTTTGTGATCTCAGTTGATGGTTTGTTCGACGATATCGAAGGGCTTTCTCGAAGAGGCACGTCCACGAAACCAGGAAGCCATGCGCAATATAATACAATCCATTTACACAAAGGGGGAGTTCAACCAAGCCCACTCATCCTCTCGAGCTCGTCCAGTGTACCAGGAAATATCCTAACGGATCCTTCCGCTATGCCCAGTCTTTGCAGCATGCTTTCGATGTCCTCCGCATCGACATCGTCCTGCGCCACAATTTCGCCCACCCAATCCTCGATAACCGCTGAGCCGCTGATGAGCATGCTCTTCAGCCGCGTGCGGTCAGTCTGCGTGATGAGGTTGCGCGTCTGCACAGCGCTACCCTCTGGCGGGTCGACACCAATGCGCTCCTGTGGTTGCCATATTTGACCAGCAAGCACGACCTGCCACGCGCGGTCGAGTTCGTCGAGCCAAGTGAGAAGGTCGGGTAGAGATTCGAGAGTAGCAGGGTATCCTGGGACGGCAGAGAGCGCGTCGTTGGTGAGGTGCAAGAGGTAGGCAGTGCGGAGGGAAGCAGAAGGTTGAACGGGTGGAATTTGGAGGATTAGAGACAATATTTGGCGAGACTCGCGAAGATACGCTTGGAGGGTAGGGATGCTCGTTGAGTCCTCTGCGCTGTATCATGAATGAGTTATTTGCTACGGTCAGATACGAGCTGAGCATACGTACCGCTTCTTATAATTTCGCATGAGGTTCAGTAAGCGCTCGTCCAGATAAGCCATCAGGCGCCGCTCTTGCCTGGTACTCAGTGGCCGCAAAGAAGTAGTTGCGACCTTCGAATCAGCTGTGGTAGGCGAGCTCATTGGTGGCGTTGCCGATTCTACAGCGGCCATGGTGGTTCAGGTCAAGTGAAAAGGGGCGTGACGTCACCAAGTCTTCCTCGGCGCTTAGCCACTTCAACTTGTCCGCAACGTCCATCTCTCCGGTACCTCTCCTCGTACGGCACTAGCCGAACGCGCCCCCTACCTCCGACTATCAAGAGATGACTTTCACTGAGCCGAGTCAACTTGCGCTGGCTATGCAGCAACCTGACAATGGCTCTGTAAACATCAGTAACTCATCCAAGTCATTAGCCAGGCGCGGAGTTCATCTTACGAGCTTTCCTCTCACGTCCTGTCTATCTCGGACGTCGCCGCGCTCTACCTGCGCAGATCCCTTCGGACGACGCTGCACAGCCACCAGGGCTCACCCTAGACGCCACCTGCAGGCAACATCGGATGGTGGCTTGTTCTCACGCCGTCAACGTCCCGGCGTCTACTGGTATCGATGACGGTGTCTCCTTTACCTTGCGCCTGAAGGTTCGCAAGTATGCGTTACTAGAAGCCTGGAAGTACCTTGAGGGGGTCGTCATGCGCGCGACAAGCTCTTCCTGTGGACCCACACAACACTGGCCTTTAGGAAGCGCAGAGGTTCTGGCACCCAAGTACGGGTGAAACAAGCGCGTTTCCGGATCTTCCAGCCCCACACGGACGTCCCTATGTATGCAGTCGACCCCGGAATGTATGCGCAAATAAAACCTCCCTCGCCTCCGGGCTCGCCGATCAGAGCTAAAGGGACGATTCGCGCACGACATGGCTTTCCCCGTACGACGCTTCCGCACCGCCACCAGGCAAACATCAGCTCGCTCTACTTCCGCTGGTCTTCGCTGAATGGGATGTCGACACTGGATGGTCGCGGTGGGGCCGTCTGCCTCTACCCCGTAATGTGGTGCTCTGTGCTGCTTCCGCATGAGCGGCCCCGGTGCCGCCAAGGAGGATAGGCGCGCGCTTGACGAGGTCTTCAGGACGTATATAAGCCGCCTGCGACTGTCCTCAATAAGCCATGCCAGTTCACATCTGCGAAATGGCATTTCTAACTACGAACACGCTGCTCTATGCTTTGGCGTTCCCTGCGTTCCTCTACGCTCTTCTCGTTATCGTCCCCCGTCATGTCCAGCAATCCAGCTTGTTGCTACGCGATGCTCACCGTATCCTCGATCCTCCTCATTCGACTGCTGCAGACCGCCTCCGTGCGCGTGCGCTCCCCAACGCTCGTCTGGAACGCGCCTTCTCCCTATCGAATACTTTCGTCCGACCCGACGCCGCCACCCACGACGACTTCGTGCGCACCGCGGGGCGCTTCCTCAGCCGCGCCAGGGACTGGGAAGCCCTCCGCGCCACCGCGGATGTCGCGACGCAGGCTGCGCTGCGGAACACCGGCAACCTCGCCGCGTACGGGGAATTCATCCAAGAAGTGACGCTCCGCTGCGTGCTCGCTGGTCTGCTCGACATCGGCACCTTATCCGGCTCGGCGGAGGAGTCGGTGCTCATTCAGCGCGTCGCGGCCCTCATCACGGAACTGTGGGTGCGCTCGAAGCACGAGCGGATGCGCGATGAGAAGCGTTTAGACGAGCTGAACGTTGCACTGCGCGAGCTCGTGCCGGACGCGGAGGCGTTCCCGAACCCACTCGACTGGGTCATACCGACCTGGGAGACCATGTGGCGGGTTGTGGCTGTCGCTATTGCGCATGTCGTCGACAACGCTAGTGCTCGTGACACCCTCCTTGCTTTCCACGAGGAAACTACACCCGCTCGGTACACCCATCGTAGCGACAGCAACACCCCCGCCGTTGCCGACCTCATCGACGAAGCTTTGCGCTTGTACCCACCCACGCGTCACATCTACCGCGTCGCCGACCGCCCCGCTCTCCTCAGCAAACTCCTTCCCACCTTCATCATATCCACCCTTCACCTCCCCACGCACACCGCCCGCACCGAGGCCGCCGACATCGAGGGTATCCAGCGCTCCGCGGTCTGGGACGCGCCCGAAGTCTGGGACCCTATACGGCACAGCCCATCGCGTCGCACCGCAGAACAGGCGGCGACCATGCTGGCCTTTGGGCACGGGCGGAACGCGTGTGTGGCGCGCACCTGGGCGCCGATGGCCGCTGGGGTGCTGGTGGCTGCGGTCCTGCGTACTCTAGGCGATCGTCGGTGGGAGATTGAGCGGGGGGAGAAGATGGGCGGGCGCGAGGGGTGGAGTGGGTGGTGGGTAAGGGCGGTGTGAGGCTGGTATGTAGGATGAATGGCAGTGACTGCAGTGAGTCTTGGCTGTAAGTTGTAATTGTACTCCGAGTTGGTCTTTGCTTCGACAAGCGTCTGCCTTGTTACGTCTGTCGCGTTCTACTGTATCTCAATGTATTCCACCTTCTGATGGTGAATTCAACGTGGCCGAGCTAAGCGGAAAAGCTGCCATGGGGTCGCGCCCAAAAGTCGAACCGTGGGTAAAATATCACCTGACCTTTCATCATCCGATGCCTGCGGCCCCTCTTCCTCAGCCTGGAATCCTACCCTTGTACTATCAACGCTCATTAATGTGTCCTTCTCCACCGGCTCACGCGCCACATTTGAAAGAAATGCGAAACGCATCAGGTCACTCATAGCCTTTGTCTAATAGGTGTACAACGCGCTTTCAACAGCTTCGAGCTGATAATGATTGATGAATCGTACCTGGGGCACCGCATAGCCTCCAACGCCACTATAAAGTGAGACGCGTCTCGCGCTCTCTCATCATACGCCTCACTCTGCCGCTACCACCATCACTATCACCACCATGGACCTCCTCGTTAGCGGCTCTTTCGGCCTCTCTAATGCTACCTTCATCGACGCGGCGACGCACGAGCCGCGCTTTCGCACCTCCTCCAAGGGCATGCAATGGGGCAACCACTGGGACACGACGCTCTACGCTATTCCCACTGGTACACCGAACGCATCGCGCTACGTCGCGGATGATATATCGGAAGATACGCTCGTCGCTGAAGAGGACCCCGCGAAGTTCGCCGAGCTGGAGATCATCGGCACCCTGCATCTGGCGACATACTACACCGACTCTGGCCATACTCTGATCGTCAACAGTCGGGATATTACGCCCAAGCGCGTGCATATGCTTACGACGTGCGTGTTTTGCTACTTCATCGCGCCCCCTCTTACATTTGTCATACAGCGGGGAAACCTTCGTCGCTTCCAACGGCCGGGAGTACAAGTGCAAGATAGAATCGACGCTGGGAGGAGATAGCAAGGTTCGTCGGATAGTCGATTTAAATCGAGGCGGATGACGGGGCTAAGTGAGATCATCAGTTTTACGACAGAGAGACGAAGCAGGTCGTCGCAGAGTACATCTCGCGCAGGCGGCTGTCGCGCAAGCCTGGCCAGCTTCATGTCACTGAGGATGGTCTACCTATTCTGAATGAGATCATCGCTACTCTAGTGTACAAAATACGTCGTTGGAACAATGGGTGGTGATAGAGGCGTATATCGCCTTGCTCCCAAATCATCCTACCCTCTTTGAGGTAGCCCTGTTGCATCCTACTTGTCGTGTACGCGTGTTGTAAGAGATAAGGCGTTGTAGTATCTGTGCTTTACAAATGGTACGGCTAGGGGCCCTGACGTCGCCGCAGCCGGTTGACGGTCTGACCCGCACGCACCATGAACTGCAAGTCGAACCGTGGGTATAAAGTCACCTGATCAACTTTCGGCTTTGACCGTCGGCATTTGCCATGCGCGCCTACAGGCTACAGCAGTGACACATCGCCTTCGCTTCCATCCTCCCTAAGACAATCAGTCTGGCGCTACGATTTCGCACCCCACATTTACAGATCTCTCTGCAAATTTGCTCTATATTTTGCCTACAGCCCCGTGGAAGCACAGCCTCTCAGCGTTCCATGTGCTATAAGTAAACAGCATCTCTCGTCCCCTCGCTGTTTGTTTCCTACCCTCCACCATGGACCTCCTCGTCACCGGCACCTTCTCCCTCTCCAACGCCACCTTCACCGACGCCGCAACCAACGCCCCGCGCTTTCGCACCGCCACGAAGCGCGTCCAGCTCAGCGCCAACCACTTCGAGACCTACCTATACGGCATCCCCCTCGGACGCGCCGATGCCTCGAGATACGTCACTCCAGACGACTTATCAGAGGAGACGCTGGCGGCAGATGACGAGCTCGCTGTGTTAGCCGATCTGGAGCTGATTGGCACGCTGCGCCTGGCTCAGTACGCGACCGATTCTGGCCATAGCGTCGTCGTGAATAGCAGGGATATCACACCCAAAAGGGTGCATATGCTGACGAGGTGCGTACCGTTTGCATTCATTACTACTGTACAGCAGAGATCGAGTCTCATCGGACGACCTCTTAGCGGCGAAACCTTCACCGCAGCCAACGGTAAGGAATACAAATGGAAGATCGAGTCCCAAATGTCGGGAGATTGCAAGGTTAGCACGATCCATCATTACAGGACGGAGGGAACCACTAACTGGCTACGCAAGCTCTATGACAGAGAGACAAAGGCAGTCATCGCCGAGTACACATCACGCAAACGACTATCCAAGAAACCCGGAAAGTTACACATCGCTGAGGAAGGTCTACCCGTCCTGAACGAGATCATCGCTACTCTTGTGTATAAGATTCGTCGATGGGACAACGGATGGTAATTCCCGAATGATATCTGTCCTAGATACGCAGTCGAAGATACCCGATTTTCGAGCACGGTCAATCGCGAACGAGTTCCGCACAGTATCTTGATTGCGAATCTTACACTAATTGTACAACATGGGATACAAAGCACTGTAATGTACATGCAAGCTGGACCGCCGCCTATAGATCATACATAAATCATACAAATCACTCCTCGGCATCGGGACGTCGCTCAGTACTCTGCTATATGCAGAACCTTGCCTGCATGAACCGTTAACACGCAGCCCCACAGATGAGACAAACACGATACTCACCAACATCCGCCCAAGGCGTCCTCTTCCTCTGCCCCAGCAACGCCACATCCCCCGAGTCGAAGAACGAATACCCAGCTGAATCAGAAAGGCCGTCAGCTCCCCTCTGCACGTCCCATTCCCAAACAAGTCCCACTCACGAATCAACATTTCGTCATCCTCCTCATCGCTCTCCTTCACCTCGCCCCACCCATTGATCGGCCTCCCCGTCTTACTATCCCGCAGCACGCCCATATGGTCCACAAACGGCGCCGGCCGCTCGTTCGCGCTCCGATGCAGATGCACGAGCAGCTTCTGCATGTCGCGCAGGTAGTTCTCCAGCGTCTGCAGGAACCGCCTCGTCTGCAGATGCTTCGACGACGCGCACACGCTCAGCCCGTCCTCCTTGATGATGTACCCGATGCCGTAGCCGTCCGCGACGACGGGGCCGAAGCCGAACAGGCGCAGCGCGGGATTCCCGCAATTGGAGGTGGAGAGGACGGAGGCGTTGAGGAGGCCCCAGCCGGGGTCGGTGAAGATGCGCGGCATAGTGGAGGCGGCTTCGGGGTCGCGGCGGAGGAGGCAGTAGAGGGCGTAGAGGTGGCGGTCTTGACCAAGGCCTTGGGAGCAGTCCTTAGTGATCTTGGTGTGCCGCTCGCAGGCCTTGCGAAGCGCGGCGACCTTCTGGGAGGCGGTGGCTTCGGAGAAGTAGGTCTGCAATTGGGCGTAAGTACGGACTGACGGGCGACCAAGAGCAAGACCAACCTTCGTGAACTCCACGCTCTCCTTCTGCACTGTCCGTATCGCCTCCGTACGCCCATGCAAGAACGCCTTCGTCATTGCTGGCTCATACGTGCACTCGATCCGGCCGTAGAGCCCGAAGTACGCCGCCTGGAACGCCATCTGAACGAACGCGTCCGGCGAGAAGCCGTGCGAGGTGATGAAGTTCTTGCCATAGCCGGAGAACTCGAGAGCCTGAGAGAACGGGGATCAACACTCTGATCATCATATACAATGACAGCGCGCATACCTGACAATCGTTCTGACAAATCAAGTCGCTTAACCTCGTCTCCGCAAACCGAATCCCGACCCTCAGCTCGGGCGTCAAATCCCACAATAGCTTCTTTGGCGTCGTGTCAAGATCGACGTGCTGGTTCCGCGATGGTGAAGTAGCAGCTGTCAGTAGGCACCGTCAGTCTTAAATGCTCCTTATATATCGCAGTGAAAGCACTCACACATCCTCCTCCCCTTCGCGCCCTTGGCCAAAGGGCTCAGCTCCGCCTTAAACAGCGTCGGCGCGCTCGGGTTGATGCTCTTTGCCAGCAGCATGAGGCCCTGCGTGTAGATATCGGCCGCGAAGCGAAGCACAGTATGCCCGTCGACGCCACTGTGCTCAAAGTTGATGCCTGCGGAGCCGCTACCGGTGACGATGATTTGAAGCTGTGGAGGATGTAAGTCGTGTTCCACAAACGGACGGCACGAAGGGGAAGGAGACTGCGAACGAGAGCTCACCTTGTCGTACCACCGATTTAAGCAGGTACCGACCTGCACCCCGCCATCAAGTTCGTACGTCCCGCACAGGAAGTTCGCGCAGATTTCAGCTAGCTTCCTCGACTCCAGGCTCGAACCATCCTTCCGGTTCTTCTCCTGGGGCGAGCAGCTGTGCGACGGGTAAAGCTTCGCGAACTCTGCGAGAGCGCATATCAGCACACATCATCTCCCATGCACGACTATACAGGGGCAACGTACCTTCCTCTTCCGCCCAATCATCCAAGCAGACGATGAACAACGCGCCGTCGACCAACTGCAACGAACTCCTGTTATTGGTCGTCGTAGTCTTCAGAACTGTTCGCAGCTTAGACCACGTCTTCCTATTCTCCGTCGTGAGCACGCCGATAGCCTGATGTGCTGCCTCCGCCGGCTTCGTCTCATCGGCGTCGTTGACGATGGCTTGTAGGTTGCGGATCACTTCGCGCTCGGTCAGGAGTGGCTTGTTATCCATGTCGAGCACGGGGAACCAGTCTGTTCATTGAGAATAGTCAGTGATGGGTGTTAAGGCGAAGGGGAAGTAGGTGACGCACAGAACTGGCCTCGCCGTACGACAACGATGTGTCGCGATTCAGAGTTGACTTGCATCTTGCAGCCGCGCTGAAGAGGATGTCAGCGCCGCTTTGTGCACAGCTGACACAAGACGTACCTCGGTAGGGATGCGCGCGGTGCCGAACAGTCGGGTATACTGGTCCATATCGAGGGGTATCTTGCCGCGGATGGTATCGGGCTCGAGAATGCCTTCGCGGAGGTCGTGGATGAAGCCGAGGGAGGCGATGATGAGGGAGGCGGCGCGGGGGAGTTGAGCGCCTCGCGTGGGGTTGGGGTCGTTCCTGCGTCAACCGATCAGCAATGCGCGCGATGGGGGAGGGTACTGCACGCACTCAAATACGAAGAATGGGTTCAGGGACAAGACCACTGACTCGGAGTGGCTGAGGTAGCTCTCGTACCAAAAGTCCTCGATATACGAGTCATGCGTCTTGTCCCACTCGAGGAGCTTCTGCTGCAGCTTCTCGCCGTCGCCCCCCTGCTCTATCGCACGCGTCAGCTACCACTGATCGCTGATCGGCGCGCATATACGCACTCAGAAACTCGGCTACCGCAGCCTTCGTCGCTTCATGCTCTTCCTCGTCTTGCAGCGGTTCGAGTGCGCGCAGGTATCGTTGGCAAGTCTCCTCAAGAGGTGGAATTGGTAGCTTTGGCAGCTTGCTCTGCGCTGCGAACGTCCTCGATTCCGCCGGATATGGTGCCTTCGGTGGAGGGCCCTTGGGCGGGCTCTTGGCGATGCCGGTGGGCGATCTCGGTGCTGGCGGCGGCAACGTCGAGACTGCGACTGGGGAGGGCGCCATCGTGATGAGCAGCGACAGTGACGGCCGCGGACAAGAGGCTACAGTGCTTCTTAAGCGTCGAAGCGGCGGGTGCGGGGAAAGTGCGGGGCCCCGTGATGACGAAATCGTGCTGATAACCCAATCAAATCGTGACCATTCACCGACGCGGCGGAACGTGCCGCGCGTGGAGTGCCGGCGCGGGCAGCCGCCCAGTGGATGCCTGCCGAGCGTACGCCACCGTCTGCAGTTGGTCAGTAGAGCAGCCGATGTCGGCTGGGCGTTAGCGCGGCGATAACTGCGCAGGAGAGCGGGGAGAGGGGAGCCGTCCTTCCCTCTTCGCCTCAGCGACCAATGGAGTGGCAATTTCGGAGCTTTGCTGCCAGTCTATTGGCCAACGAGAAGGCACCATACAGCCTCCGACTCTATTGCGGTCTTCCAATGCCTATGATAAGGCCCTAAAGTGAATGAGAGGAGTGCGTCATGAGGAAGAGCAAGCGGAGAAGGATACAGAAGTACAGGTGGTTCCGGTAGCTTCGCCTTCAATTTCCTTGTCGCAGAAGGCCGTGTAACGTGTTTGCTTGGATGAAATGCACATTCTCTAGTACGCCATGGAATTGCCCTTGCGAGGACGCGGCTCGGGGGAAGAGCGAGGGGCGTCGGCAGGATTGGTCTCGTTGCTGCTGTACATTCTCCGCGCAGGTAAAATGAATATTTTGCCACCGCCCAATTATGAGACTTGCCGGCGCGAGGTTCAAATATCAATCAAACTAGCAAATGTTAGCAAGTCTTTCTGGTGACCGTCGTCAGCTACAGGTCAGAGGGAGAGCTAGCTTCGACGACGACCGACTCGCATTCAGGGACTGCAGAATAGCAAACGCCGTGCACGCCTGACGCTCGGCTCGCAAGAAGGTATGTATATCGGCAAATTGACCCTCAGTCGTTCTTCGTCCATATTGCCAGCAGCAAGATGGTAGACGGTAGACATGCAGCGATCGGCAATTTCCGCCTTGCCGTTCTTGCCACGTGTCCGTTGTGGCATTTGCCGGTCTCCTTGACTTGTTCAAGCCATGTTTTCCACCAGCTAACCCCACGTCTCACGATTCACATCCCTTGATTTCTGGGAATAGAAGGACGCGACGGCCTTCCTCCTGTGCTATGCGCTCTATCAGTGTTTCTGTCGTGCACGAAGACTATACGCCACGATGCGTCACCTCTGCCGCCGTCCATGCATCGACCGGCCGCTGCTGTTCTCGAGCTAACCGCATCTAGCCAGAGCGACTCCCCTCATATACGCAGCGTCACATAACTGACCGCTGATATGAAAGCTATCTTATCTGTGCAATTTGCCCTGCCAGCAGCCGTGCAGCCTGCGATGGAGGGCCTATCCAACTCGTCACACTTTGTCCGGCTTGCCTTAGCGTTTTGCATCGTCGCTCTCGTTCTTTGGAAACTGGTTGTCCGACGTCGGTATCTCGCAAACGTTCCTGGGCCTCAAGACTCCCATCCTTTGCTCGGTGAATGTGTTCCTCCTCATCCTCCCTTTTTCGTCCGACTGACCACCGTGATGTCCAGGTCACCTCCCTCTGCGCCTTCGCTCACCGGCCGCCCAGGTGCCCGCTCAAACCTCTTACATACACTACTGACATCCTTTCTGACTGGAAAATAGGGCGATCTTGACCTGGTCAACCGATATGGCAACATCGTGAAGTTCGATGGAGCATTCGGTGTACGTCCTACACCCACCTCCAATCGAGTCCCTTCCACCTATCTTTACGCGGCAAAACAGGAACGACGCCTCCTCATCACCGATCCCAAAGCGCTGCACCACATCATGCAGGCCTCTGGGTACACCTATATACGCTCAGAGGATAGGAAAGAGCCCACGCGGACGCTGTTGGGAAAGGGTGTCCTGGTGGTCGAAGGCGAGTCCAGTTCCCTGCTCGAACTCCATTCAACATGAACATGGGACCATTGCTAACGAAATCTACTCACAGGAGACGACCACAGGCGGCAGCGCAAGATCCTGATGCCCAGTTTCGGCAGCATCGAAGCGCACAGCTATGTGCCCTCATTCGCGTCGAAGGCGGCCCAGGTGCGTCCGTTTGTCGGCGTCCGACCATCAGCAGTCATATACTCTCTTGAAGATGGCCGAAAAATGGATTGATATGATGCCAAACGACGGTGGGATGGTGGTCAATATCCCGTCCTGGGTATCTTGGGCGACTCTGGGTGAGTGTCTTACTACTAACGTCGAATAGCGTCTGAACGCAGTGTTCCTACATGGGATAGATGCTCTCGGTGAAGGTTGGATATATTATTTCTCTTTTTCGCCTACATTTATCGGATCCATATAGCCGCCTTCGACTATCAGTTCGACGCCCTGGATGACCCCACGCACAACAAGCTCGTCAGCGTCTATACCAACTTAATGCGCGTCTCTCCTCCCTATCGCACCCTCCACCTCTGACCTAATCATGACACAGAGCCAAAGCCCGCTTTGCCCCCACCGATCTCGAAGTCCTCGCAGTCGAAGCCCTTGCGCTCATCCCACGCCCGCTCAAGCGCTGGTGGAACGACCACGTGCCGAACAAGCGGCGCGCTTACATGAAGCGGTGCCGTGAAGTCGCCGAGGGGGTGGCGAGGGAGCTAGTGCAGCGCCAGCGGCCGGCGGTGAGCGCCGGCGAGGGTGTACAGAGGAACGTCCTGAGCCGGTTGGGTAACCCGATTCTTCTGTGCGGCAGGATTAATCACATTTATGACTGATGGCCCTTTGTCAGTCGCCGCCAACGCAGCCGCCGACCCGAAGGCACGCCTGACGGAAGATGAGGTCTATGCACAGTTACTGTGAGCATCGCACTGGCGGAATGAACGATGGCGCGAGCTCACCGGTCCGCGAAGAACGATCTTGCTCGCCGGCCACGAGACCACCGCCACTTCACTCTCGTGGGCCCTGCTCGAGCTCGCGCAGGCACCCCCCATTCAGGACCGCCTGCGCGCCGAGATCAGAAGAGTGCGCGGTGAGAACGGTAGTAAGCCTCGTCTGGAAGCGGAGGACATTCGTGCGATGCCCTTTTTGAACGCGGTGGTTCAGGTAAGTCGATTCATCAGGCGCGGACGGGGGTTGTGTCGAGCTGAGGCGCTCACCAACAGGAAGTCCTCCGATTCCATAACTCCGTGATCGACACGGCGCGCACCGCGACGCAGGACGATGTGATCCCTTTGTCAGACCCTCTACTTGATCGCAAGGGAAGACCGATCTACGAAGTCGCCGTGCGCAAGGGGCAGTATATTTTGGTGTCTATCGCGGCGTATCAGAGGTGAGAGCCGTGTATCCGTGACCAAAAGGAACTTCTTCATTGACCTTTGTCACAGAAACAAGGATCTATACGGCCCAGATGCGGATCGCTTCAATCCCGAGCGATGGCTCAAGGAGGGGTACGTCAACCAGAAGGCGGGCGGCGGCATATACAGCAATCTGTGCGTGCACACCTGGCCCAAACGTTTATATCTCATGCTTACATCGAGCTGACCTCACAGGTTGACCTTCGGCGGCGGCCATCGCGCATGCCCGGGTAAGTGCCCGACACCGACTAGTCATCGAACGCTTATACTGACCATCCGCTGGATACGTAGGCTGGCGCTTCGCCGTGCTCGAGCTGTCAGCCTTCCTCGTCGAGCTCGTCGGCAGGTTCGAGTTTAGCATCTCGCCGGACGTCGCTGCACGGATCTATCGTGGCGCCGCGGGCACCGTCATGATACCCATGCTCGAGGACGAGCTGGAAAGGGGGGTGCAGCTTCTGTTGCATGTGAAGCCCGCTTCAGAGGAGTAGGAGTTAAGAGGATTATTCTCTGAAGGCTGCACACTTCCCATATACAGCAGGCTCGTAAGTAGTAGATACATTGTTGAATGTCAGAACCGACGTTTATCGTTGAACAAATCTTCTCTTCGCTCTCAAGTTGATGAACGACCAAGTGTCTGGATGGTACTCACAAGCATACCAGGACACCCAGATACATCGGCCTTCCCGCTTTCGGTCCCTGAGGTCTCTCAAGCCGTTCTCTGCTTCTTCACGTTGCGCTCCGCCTCATCCTCCGCCTTCGCCTTTCCATTGTAGATAGACGCCATTACCTCGTCCATTGCGCCTGCGTCTTTCTCTATTGGGACTTCCGGGCCGCGCTTGCGACCCCTGTGCACGGCAAGTGCCGCCGCGGCCCTTGCTTCCTCTTCCTCGCGAGCTCGCTTGGTGGCTTCGATCTCGCGCTGGTAGAAGTCGGTATAGGAGGGTGCTCGCGCTGGTTTGGCGGGTCGAGCAGTACCGAAGGACCTGGCAGAGTGAGATGGCCCAGTAGAGCGAGAAGGCCCAGAAGAGGTCGATGGGGCCACAAAAGAGGGTCGGGAACGGTCAGCGGTAGTGGGACGCTTTGCGGCCCTTGCACCTGCGTGGTCCGTCGTGGTCTTGTCTCTTTTCGATGCACGGGCCATGTTCGATGGTACCGCGGTTGGCGGCATCGAGGAGGAAGATCGAGAGTCGCCAGCGGCAGTGACGCGCTTCAAGAATGCTCCATTGGCGTCGAACGTGGCGGTCGCGTTCTCCGAGGATGCACGAGGCTTGTTCCACAGACTCGCAGTAGGCGCGTCCTTCGACGAGGTGGGAGCAGCTGCTGAACGTCCGGTCTGAGATGGCGAGCGACGCGGGCCCTCGCACCTGCGCTGGTGCTTGTTGAGCTCTGAGTTCCCAGCCTGCTGAATTTCCTCAATTCTCTTTGTCGTGATATAGACGGAGAGCACGGTGCCGCATCGGATGCAGGTGATGGTGAAGGGGCTGCTGGATTCGTTGGCTAGCTTGGTCGTGGGTTTCGTGGCGGTAGCGTGATCGTCGGTGCCAGTGCCAGGCAGCGTATCGCCAGTGGCAACACTATCCTTCGAGCTAGTGCCCTTCGAACTGTGTTTAGTGAATGAGGGGAGTCTCATTCTGAGGCGATGAAGACGTCGATTATGTGAGAGTGGCGAGGAAAAACGTGTGGCAAGGTCGATGGGCAGTAAGGGCGAGCGAAGAATGGAGGCCGTTGTTAAGCAGGAGGCGGTGGCTGTGAGGGTGGACATACCCATGCAAGAGTCACTCAGAGTGTGACCCGTCGGTCTTTGTCGCGAGGGGTCAGGTGATTGCAATGTCCAGGAAGATATGGGGGGACGAAAGCCCGCTCGAATGACGAGCGCCGATAGACTTATACCACCACAAGGGGCGATGTTCAATAGCTCATGTGGATTTGGGTCAATCATTGCAAAGCCAGCATGGGATGGACTTTCGAGGAAGATTGATGGCGGAGCCTGGGGTGCGCGAGCGTCAAGACCAGGGGCTTCGGCGACGCCACATGAACGTAACCAGCGTCGGCACATTCCGATGAGGGTTTGGGCAGTCGTCGCAGCGCATGTTCGACCCCAAGTGAGACTTGATGTGTGCGCTCACGAAAGGTGCGACGCGGGGCTTGAGATGAAAATGATTGAGGGAGATGAGAGAAAGGTTGAGACTACGGACAGAGAGTAAGTATATACATGGAAAGTACATGGTGAGTGTATTCAACATCGTTGTTAGATCCATCGTTCTGTTGATCATGGGAAGTCAGTACAAAAAGTCAATAATGACCAGCTGTCCACACACCTGAGCATTGCAAGGCGCCAGACTGGCCATGCGCGGCCGCATCCCAAGCTCTCAGGCCGTTCTCTGCCTCTTCGCCGCGGGCATCGCCTCATCGTCCACCTTCTTCGACTTCCCACCGTAGATGATCTCCATCGCGGCATCCATCGTCGCCTTCTCCTCCTTTTCCTTCGCCGCCATCTCGGCCTCTAGGCGCCGCTTGCGCCCTCGGTCGATGATGAACTCCGCGTTGGCCCTCGCCTCTGCTTCCTTCCGCGCGCGCTCCGCCTCGTCGATCTCGCGGAGGTACAAATCGAATTTGGAAGGGGCCTTGGTGCAGGCGGCCTTGGGTTTGGGTCTCGTGGGTCGCGAGGGCACAGCAGAAGAGGTCGAGGGCTTCGAAGACGGTCGGGAGTTGCCTGCGGCAGCGGGGCGTTTCGCGTCGATCGCAGTGTCCCTTCTGCTCTTCGTTCCCCGAACGATGTACGATGTGCGCGCGGGTTTCGAGGAGGTAGCAGTCGAAGGAGAACGGGCGACGTTGAAATTCGGGTGAGGCGCGCCGCTGCACTTGCGCTTGTGATCCTGCATCGCCTTGCGCGGAGCATTGAGAAGCTCAGTGACCTTCAGATTCTTGCAGTCGAGGACTAGAGCACCGCAGCGCTTGCAGGTGAACTTGTCGGGATCGGCGTTGGCGTTGGACCCCTTGGCCGACTCGGTTGTAGACGGGCGCTTGCTGGAGTGCTTTAGAGCGGCGGAGCGTTTGTCCTTGTCAGAGGTAGACGCCTTGCGTGTAGCAGCTGCGATAGGCTTTGTCGCAGCCGGCTTCGACGTGCGCGAGGTCGAAGGGATACCCATCGTGAAGGATGATGAATGGTGGGTTTGTTGATGCGTATGTGGTGTTTGCTGCGTCGTTTAAGCGAGAAATCAGCGGTGGCTGTTGCCAAGCAGTTGGGGGTTGCTGACAAGCGTGAACAAAGCGCAAAGGCGCGCGACTGCTTGGGTTTTATCGCGTTGCGGTCATGTGACTTCCACGTTGCATCGTTTTCCCACGACTTGACCCATTGTTCTCTTTGCTTGACGAGGCGAATTTCCGTGCCACTAAGCCTACAAGAAATCGTCAGCCCATCAATATACGCATCTTCCTTGGCCATTACTTGAGAGCAGGCGGGAATAAAACTCTCACAAGCAATCAATGCAGGACAGCTGAAAGGCCGAAATGTCCAGAACTTATTCCAGGCGAGTAGCGAACGGTTATATTGAGCCTAGAGAGCTATCAGCAAAACGGATACATGCGAACGCATTGAGACCCACCGGAAGATTCCACGAACAGGGCTCGGCCGTCTGCATCTGCGCCCGGGGAAAGAATTGGCAAGTCCATCAGTCTCGAGCCAAAGTAGCGGAGGAACTGCTCACCCTCGCACGAATAGCTCGTTGATGATCCCGCTCCCTACAATTCGATGAAGACACGACATGAATCGGTGAAAGAATGACATGAACCCATGCATTGAGTGGTGGTGCGTAACGTCTAACAGGTACGATACATCTAGTGCTTAGTAGTAGCTTGTAGATAGGATACAATATATTAGTACGGCGTGCCCATGCACCACATGGGTGGTTCATATCTGCCAGTGGCCTCCCTGGCTGCCTACGAGCGAGAACAGCCATGCGCTGCCCGTGGACGACATACTGCGCGAGCAGGCAGAACCCCTCGCCCTCGTGCTCCATGATCATCTACGCAGCCCGATGTAAGTTGAGTATAGATACTTTTCCGCGACGCTCGTAGCCGTCTAGACGTAGTTCGCAAACAGGGGGATGAGCGACTGCGCGAGGGTGTAGCTGAAAATGAGCTTCGGGCCGACGACCAAGATCTACGAAGGGTGCGTCAGAAATGCCGTTCAGTGAGCATCTGAAGCACAAGTCGCGCACCTTCGGCGTGAGACCCTTGAACAGCGCAGACGCGCCCTCATCCTTGAGGAGGTCCTTGATGACGGTGACACCGGAGACCTTGTTCTCAAAGTTGGCGTTCTGGATGCGGGTCTTGATGGTGTCGAGGGGGGCGGCAACAGTGATCGAAGCGACCGCGCCTGCGATCGACGCGACGAAGTTTTGGCCCCATGTGGCCTTAGAGTAGTCCTTGACGCCGAGGACGTAATCCTTCGTGAAGGCGGCGGCACCGAAGAGCTGGGAGACGAGTAAGTAGTGCGCACATATTGTAGGGAGTTGAGGCAACACACCGAGAAGGAGCCGGGTGCATTGCGCGCCATAGTCCAGCCCCAACCGCGGTACAGTGCGGTACCCTCCTCAGCGAAGATGCGGAAAACACCGCGACCACGGAATGCCTCCGGGTTCGTCTGGCGTTTGATCTTCAGCACGTCGAGGGGAAGCAGGACCTGCAAAACCTGTTAGCGCCCGGCGTCAATGCGACAGCATCCCCTACGCACCACTTCACCAATGCCCGTCAAGCTGCCAGCCGTGGCCTGGATCATGAGCTTCCCATTCCGCTCGCCGAACGCGCTCGTGAACTTCTCCTTGTAGTTCCGCGTGATAATGTCGTTGAACCAGGGCTGGCCGCCGAACTTGTATATACGCTGCGCGACCTTGTAGCCCGCGGCGTACCCAAGACCGGGGAAGAGGGAGAAGAACTTCTTCCCGAAGGGCGCGGTCGCGTAGTCACGGAAGATGATGGGCTGTAGGGTGGCCATGGACACCTGGGGGGAGGGAACCGCATTAGCCTCATCGGGTATGCGCGGGAAGGGGTTCAGCAGCGCGCACCTTCGCTTTGTTGCTCATGAGACGCTTCGCAATGGTGTCCACCGGGTGGAAAACCAAGAGCTCAGCAATCCCTACAGAAAGTACGCATATGAGCTCAACGCATCGCGAGGCCGTACATGACTGCGCACCTGAGGTCCCAGAACCAAGTACACGGGCCGTGCCGGACTCCTTGCTCTTGCCAGTCATGGGGGGAGACATTTTGATGCAGGAGAAGGGGGAGACGGGCGAAACGACGAGGTAGGAGGGCGGGGAAGGTAAAGGAGGAGGCGGAGAACCCGGAAGCTGTAATTTGCACAAATTTTGGCGCGCTCGTGCGGATCGGCTAATGCCGAAATGGTAAAGTCGGCATGTTGAACTTCGCGGGTTCGGGCATCGTTGCACGTTCCTCGACCTCCATTGTCCTTCGAGAATTTTGCCTAGCGCACGGCGTAAGGTAGGATCATATTCGTTGGTGTGCCAATGCGTGCTCGCCCGCCGTCTGCTTCGCGAAGATAAAGTTGGCGAGCAAGCGGTCGTCAAATAAATCCATCTTGGGATCAACTGTTCACAAGTATCCGCTGATGCTTATTGCACCTCTTCCATGGACGCTGCCACAGCTCGAAGAAGTTGCTGTCGAAAGCGCCTGTCGACGCTCTAGCCCCTATAATTCGGGCAAAAATCCCAATTTTCCGACCCCGCACATTCCTCTGGAGAAACAAGCGACAGGTGTCGAAGCCAGACCGAGCCAGACCCACCGCCAAGGCAGAAAACCCAAATTTCCATCACCGAAGAAGTTCCTCCGCACAGAGTGCGTGCCTGACATCGCTCGCGCCCGCAACGAAGACTGCACACGATGCTATCGGGTTGCCCGAACCTCTATTGAGCGTGGTAGCCAGTACACACGGCCTCGGTACAGTAGCAGACACACAAACAGTATCATATACAACGAACGAACAAGCGCATCATCTCACCCAGCTCGCGTGAGTTCTGGCAGCAATACTAGGCGTCGTCGGCCGCGTTCAGTCAGGATACGGGGAGTATCTACGGACAGCGGATACACAAACATCGATTGCTTGCGCACTAGGACGGTGGGTAAGTACTGGCTGCAGAAACGCGTGAGCGACCGCACCCTAATAAGCCGAGAGACAACACTACAAACCACAGTAATTCATACGAGATAAGGTGAGAACGAAGCGGGAGGAAAACCACCAGTGGGATGAAGGAAGTACGGAAGAAAGAACAGCGAACAGCGAAGGATAGATGAGAGCAAAGAGGACGGGAACAGGACGAAGGCGAAGGCGGGCCAGCGCGCGAGCCCGCGGTAGCAGCCAGGCGTGGTGAGATCGTCGTGAATCTAAGAACGTGAGCCATCCCACTGGGCCAGCATGACATGGAACTCCGGTCTGCGCCCGAGGTGGTACAGCAGCAGCAGCTCGGGCATGGGTATGAACGATCGTGAGGGGAATAGGGGGAGGTAGAGTTAGGAGGCAAGGCGGAGGCGGGCCGTCGGAGGCGGCGCTAGGTGATGTACAAGGACGGTCCGTGAGGAGTTGGTTATGTACGGCGCCGGCGCGGGCGACGGGGCCATTTAGAGGCCGCCGTGCGAGGCGCGACGGTGGTTCGCGTGCGCGTTGCGGGCGCGGAGGCTGCGGCGGGAGGCGCGGGACCGGCATTGCCTGGTGGCAGACGAGTCAGCGGCGGATGAGGACCACGTCGAGCTGGACTCGCTGCTCGACGACTCAGACCAGGTGGACGAGGCGGAGGGCTCTTCCCATGATGAGGTTGAGGCCGGCTCCTCGGACCACGAGCTGGACGTCGTCGGCTCGCTCCACTCCGACGCCGAAGAAGAGTCTACCCACGATGACGAGGATGAAGACGGCTCAGACCAAGAGGAGGTTGAGGCGGGCTGCTCCTCCCAGGTGGAGGTGGGCTGCTCCCAGGAAGAAGTCGACTGCTGCTCCTCGCTCGAGGTCGAAGAGTCAGGCAACGCGACGTTGACATTACCGCCCGTAGAGGCAGAAGCACCGCCGTTGTTGTTGCCGCTGCTCGACGAGCCAGAGTCGTTGCCATCAGCGAAGATGTCAGTCTGCGCGCCTGAACATATCTGTCAGAACCACGTGACTCAGAAGTTCAAGTTGAACTCACCGTGCGCGAAGCCGCACTTGTCATTGTAGGCTGGGGACGCCCACTTGCCGCTGGCCTGCTTGCGGTTGTCGACGTTGATGTTGTCGATACCGTCGGCCTGGTGCCAAACCATGAGCTGCTTGGCGCCCTTCACGCATGCGGAGTCGTCGTTCTCGCAGTACACCGGCGCCTGGGGCTTCGCGAGGGTGCGCTGGCTAGTCGCGCCGGTAACCTTGCAGCGGTAAGCGTTGAGGAACATGTTCGCCTCGCCGCAGCCGTTCGGGATCCAGCTCCAGGCGCAGATGCAGCCGCCGTCGGGGCACGCGGGTAGGTCGGGGACCTCGTACTCGTAGTCGACGGTGATCCACGGCGCGTGCTGGTTGACGGAGAAGACGACCATGTCCTCGAGGCCGACGTCGTTGATGTCGGACTTGTAGGCGATCGCGAAGGCGGAGCCGGCGACCATGGACGCGTTCTGCGCGTGGATGTTCGGCGAGGTGACGCAGTTGGGCTCGTTCTGAGGGGTGCGTTAGATGCAACTTGCCGTTGGTGACGAGACACGCACCATGTTGACGTCGTAGCCTGTCAAGCCATCGACGAAGCCGGTGTAGAACTTGCCGTCCCAGCCGTAGTTGGTGTGGGCGCGGGCGCTAGCGAACTGAACTTTCATCACGCCGTTGGCGGGCCTGCGAAACGGGTCAGTGATACGCGTCGAGCGAGCTGCCGGCGCACGCACACTTCCATGAACTCGCCATCGGGGGGAGGGTCGTTCTTGCACTGTTGCGGTTGTCAGCTGTCAATCGAGATCAGGTTTCGATTCCAGCGCGACATACGTTGCGGTTGTTGTTGACTGCGAACGTGCTGGCCGTCAGCAACTGCGAAGACAGGGAAGGAGGATGGGGGACGTACGCCAGAACTGGTCCCAGGGGAGCTGATAGAGAGGGTACCCGGTGTGGTACGAGTTCTGCTTCGACGGGTAGTCGGCGTTGGGGTTGCCCTCCTGTTCGACCGTCAGTCTCTGTTGCGCTTCGCGTCGTCAACCACGTACGTTGGCACAGTACATGCCCGGGCCCCAGATGGTGCCGTGGGCGCGCGCGAGGGCGGCAGAGGCGGCGAGGAATATAATGTTGGAGAGCATCGTGAGCGCGTCGAGGGAAGGAGGGGGATCGGGAAAGGAGTGTGAGTGCTGTGAGCAGCTATGAACTTCGTACACAGAGCCCCAGCGACGGCGCGAGGCCAAAGAGGTGATAGAGGGAGAGGAGAGACGCGGCGAGCGGGAAAAGATAGCGGTCGGTGAGGGGTGCCCGGTGGTTTTATTTCAAAGGTTGATGCGGGCGTCACGCTTGGGTCACACTCTATTCCAGGAGTTCGCAAAATTTAGACGCCTGCCCGTCGAGCAGTGCTCGGGGCACTCGCAGCAACGCACACCGGAGGCTGCACGACAGCTCTGCGTGTACCGTGCGCCCAGAAGGACGGAGGACGTATCGCTGCGTTGCCATGGAGCGAGCCCGTTCCTGGCTTGGGCCCGGGGCTTCATTTTCCTCCACTCGATCCGGTGGCATGTTCAAATCTCTCCCCTTCATCGTGCTCTCCCGGATGACAGCGCCGCTCTGGTCCCCCCGGGGTCAATGGGGAGCGGGAGGTCCTCCCATGCAAACGCAGTCGACAAGCCAACAGACGCTCCACAGAATCCCGCCGCCACCCACGACTGAAGTCTATCTTCGGCGCCTGCATTCCCTCCCGCGCTGCGCTGGAGTTGCGCTGGATAGCTAACACGTCTCGAACGGATCGCATCGCTGACATGCCAGGCACTGTGATCCTGACAGTGGTCGCATCGCTCTCGCAACCCATTGAACCAAGTTGAACAGTTGGTCGACCGTCCTGAACGCGCATTCATCCGATTTGGACGTTCTCTTGGCTAGCGCGTACTGTGCTCCGCTCCGGGGCCGTCTAAACTGCGTCGGAATCGCTCAATCAGCATCGAAGGTCGCCCATCTGCCCCCGCCCGATAACCGGATCGTCTGCACTTTGTGTACGCATCTTGGGTATCCACAAGCGCCTCTTGACTGCCAGCGTAGCGTGCAGCTCAAGACCTTCACCGTAGAGCGCCACAAATGGCAGTTCGTACTTGCGTATCGTAATGACTGCACTCGATCGACCATGCCGATTGTCCGTGGCTTCATCGATATACACATCTCTGCTCACTCTGGTGTCGTTAGACTCGACCGGATTGCTGCTTCTCGTACTGCGTCTGTTATACTTCGACGTCGATACGAGATCCGCCTGCAACCCATGGATGGCATAGCAATAAGTCGTGCTCTTTGCGCCGCAAAATGTAACCGGCTTCTTCAACGTCTACCGCGGTACCGGGCTGTCTAGTTCATTCGAAGCTGGATCCGCCTTCGACGACAATACACGTGTAATACGTCGAAGCGTCTGCGCGAGAGTTCGATTCGAGGGTCAGCCGGCGCTGCTACGCCCGTACTACCTCGTATTCGATCGATGCTCAGTCCCAAAGTATGCCCTCTGTGCTAAGTGCTAGCCATGTCGATAGCGCTGTCCTCTCATTTCAGACCACAAGCGAGAACGTTCGGTCGAGAACTTGAGTGGAGCCCATTGCACATCATGACCGCCCAAACCTACCTCTCAGCTCTCAGCTGAGCTCTGCGGACGCACTATAGCGACCTATGTGGAGATCAAGTGGAGGCCCGGCCTCGTAATGTTTGCAGTCCTCTGGAAATAACGGTTTCTGTGCAGAAGATTTTCATATCCGCTCTTGCTCGCAAGCCTTATCGCGCTCGACCTGCATCAAACCCCTCTCATCGCGTCGCCTCCCGCTGGCTAGAACATCTCATTCTCTTCCCGCGCAGAGGGCCACTGTATCAGGTACTCCACTCCACCTTTGGTTTCCGCGGACAGCGGCATTGACGCTGACAGCGCTCCACGGACGAGGACGTTCCTACAATCTCGAGACAGCAGCTCTATCGTATATCCCGTCGCTTGACTACTAAACGGCAATAGATAACAACCATCACCACCCGATGCGCGACGATGGTGTAACAGTCGAAGCAACTGGGGCGCGAATTAAGGCCACGCTGAATTGGGAAGTTCAACATAGGTCACGTTTTTTGTCACGTGCTATGCACGTTCTGCACAGCTTTGGGCTATGGTCGTCGTCCGGTGCGGTCGACATGGACGTCCATGCCATTGGCGGCGAAGACGGTCTATCTCCTACGGTTCACCACCACGCTCAGCGTGCAGCCATGATGGCAAGCGTGCGCGGGCATAGCCCACCTCGAACGCCCACCATACGCGTCCCGCTGGCATCTGATCTCGACTGAACGAGTTTTGATGTCGAGGTTGGGTACATCAGCTTCTGGCTCAACCGCCTGTGCGCCTCGGGTGATGTGACAGAAGAACGGTGTCAATAGTCGCATGTCTCCGCTTGGGCTTTGCACGCTCTTCGCATAGCCATTTGCGGTGGCATGGGCTCTTCTGTGCGCACCGTCGATGGCATATGGTTGCGCTCCTCGGACGGCAAGAGGTCTCCGCGTACTGATGTCTTCCACACTCAGTCTCCCCGCAGGAATGAGAAAATACGGACAATGTGCGCCAAGTTTACCTACGCCTTCATTAATGGAAAAACCTACATGCTTATAAGGATTCGCGATAAGAAGAAGACAGGAAGCCACGAAAGTCAGGGATGCATAGGAAAGCGCTCAGACAGGCGATCCTTGGTATCGCGCCACCAAGTCGCCGCTAAGACCACATCCTCGCGGCGATCTTCGCCAGTCTAGAGCATATGAGCTGCAGTCTCGAATCCTTGGCAATCGTATACCACAGCCTCATATTGTGGCCGAGAAAACATACTTGGCCGCACGTCTGTCCCTCATGAAGGTTCCACATCGTCTTCAGACAATTCATGCGCTAGTAAACCCACACAATAAATAGATAAATAGGAACGAATCTCCTGAAGTCCTGCGGATGTCCAACTACTAGTACTACTACCGTGACAGTCTATGACAACACCAGGGTAAACTTGCCAAGCGGGCGGTCGATAGGGACATCGAAGATTCCCTTGGATTGGTCGAAGCCGACGCCCTCGACCTCTTCGCCATCGAGCTTCGTGCTCCCCGGTGCAGCGCCGACGCCCAGAACACGCACGCGCTCCAGCTTCACGTCGCCCACATCGTAGTCGAAGGTCCCATCCACAGTAAGTGTGCCCTTGTCGTACTTCATCGTCACCTCCGTTGTCTTCTGCTGCTCGATGCTGACGCCGTCGTCGATGTAGAGCGTGCCCTCTGCCGTCCCATCCAACCCCACCGCGACGACTAACTCGAAGTTCGTGCGACGCAGAGCGGCGGTGGTCATCGCCCCCTTCACGCGCAGCGGCAAGATGGACCCTCCCCGGATGTGCACCGGAATCGACGTGATATTCGCGTTCATCACCCCATTCTCACCCGGGCCCTGGAGCGCCGTAAGGGAGTACCAGTCGTAGAAGATGTCGTTCGGGAAGTACGCGTCCCTGCTCTCCGCGTTCTCCTCAAGAATCGGCGACACCATGACGTTCGGGCCGAAAAAGAACTGGGTGTCAACGGAGTAGGTGTTCGCGTCCTTTGGGTAGTAATGCCAGAGAGGGGCGATAGCGGGCGTGCCGTCACTGTGCTGCTTGTGCATGGCGGTGTAGAAATAGTCGAGGAGGCGGTAGCGGATTTCGATGGCGTTCTTGGCGGCGTTGGTGACGGTTTCCCAGAGATAGTATTCCTGGCTGATGCTGCTGTCGCCATTGTGCTAGCCATGGTTCAGCCCCGGGATTCCTCCAAGAAGTATTAGAGAGCTCACGTTACGCATGAAAGGGTAGAAGGCGCCGAGAGCCGCCCAGCGAGCGCACATGTTCTCAGTCGTGTCGCGATCTGAGGTATTCTCGTCAGCGCTGGCTATTCGAGGTCAAAGTAGTATTCGTACTGAAGCCGCAAATGTCAGCGCCGACCATGGGGACTTGGTATACTGCGGCCATAGCAAGGATGTTGGCGATTGAGTTGCGGTATTGGTCCCAGTTGCTTTCGTTGTCACCGAGCCAATGAGCGACATGGCGACCCGTGGAGGCAAACTGGCGGGCATTAGCATATGATGACAGCCTCTATATACCCCGTCTTACCGTTGAACGAGAGAGAACAAACGGACGAAGGCCAGGCCTGCGGTTAAGCAACGCCTGTCGAGTGATCTTGCTCATCGACAGGCCGAACAGATTGTGCGTGTCGTACTCGAACAGCCCATTCCGGTGCTTGATGTCCATCTGCTCAGCATCGTCAGCCTTGCTCTCCTCTACAACACGACCAACTCACGTCCGCAGTCTTCGCCGAAAGCTCCCCATACACATTGTCTATATCGTACGGCGGGTCCATGATATCCCGCTTCGCCAGCTTCTCCGTGCGGTACCATTTTGAAAGATAGGTGCGTCGTGGTCGGGCTTGTTCGCCTCGTTGCGCTCGGGTGGGAGGTTGCCGTCCTTCGCCTGCTGGAAGATGTCCCTGTCACTATCACGGTCGAACATCTGAAGAGCGGCGTCGTCAATCATAATAGTGAGGCATCAAGTAACGAGACTCACATTCGAGGGCTCATTCATGTCGATCCAGGAGCCGTCGGCGTCGATGCCGGTGTCGGGGTTGAAGAAGTTGGCGTACATGAGCGACCAGTATTCCTGCGTCTTGTCGTGGAACCAGTCGGGGTAGACAGTGACGCCTGGCCATGTCATAAGTCGTGTACCGCAAGAGGAAGTGCTATGGACTCACCAGGCCAGACGAGGGCGAGGAAATCGCTGCCGTTCTCCTGCTTGAGGAAGATGTCCATCTCGATGCCCTTGTTGTAGGCCTCGTAGTTCTCTCCTGGGACGTAGGCGACGCCCGGGTCGGTCATCATGACTAAAGCGCAATAATCAGAGCAAGATTTGGGGGTAGCAGACTCGAGCACATACTGTATTTCTGCTCGTGGTCGTGCAGGTACTTGACGATCTCCTGCATACGGTCCAAGGGGAAATAGTCGGGGTCGAGTGAGAAGACGCGACGCCGGTGCATGTAGTCTACTCAGGTTAGCCCACTTCTTAGGCAAGCAAGAGCATACTTACCGATGTCCGTCCACATCGTCTCTAGAGGGATGCCTGCATTGGCATACCCGGTAATGACATCGGCGAGGTCAACGAAGTCTGGCATTGGGCGTCGTCAGAGATCAAGTCCCACCCTTCGACTATCCACTCACTCTGATACCCATACCGACATTGATGCAGCCCAAAGCTCCAGTACGGCATCTCCGCCGGCGTGCCCACCACCTCCGCGTACTGCCTCGCCACGGCCGTCGGATCCTCCTCGCTCCCCGCGAGAAAATAGAAATCCAGAACCCCCCCAACGACGTTGTACTCAAGGGTCGTCGCGCCGTCCGTATCGTTGAGCTTGATGTCCATGCCGTTGGAGTTGAGGAGGAGGACACCGTGCGTGCCGGTCTCGCGGTGTTCTTGATAGATGGGGTGCGAGCCGTAGAGGTTGGTTCCGGTGGGAACGAAGGGGGCGTCGCGGTTGAACTAGCAGGACGGTCAGTCGATGATATTCCTTCACTCTTGCAAGAGAAATGACTCACCATAGTGAGCGTCGTATCATGATTATCCAGCCGGAATCCATGTGTATGCTCGCCCAAGCCATACATATTCGCCGCGTCCGGCAGAGATGTCTTCACGCGCAAGTACTGATCCTCGAAGATGAGTGGGTACGACGCGGTGTTGAACAGCACCTCGTTTGTCGACGTGCGGTAGACGGTGAAAGAGAAGGGAGACTCGGTGTAGTTGAAGTTGATCTCTGCCGTGTCCTGACCGACCTCGTCTGACGCGCCCGGCCGCGGGATGAGGTCTTCGGGGATCTCGTAGCGCTGGTTTGCGGCGTCGGTGATCTTCATGTGGATGCGCTGATCTGGCGGCCAGCTTGTCAGCTAGGCCCTTCGAGCGAGATACAGACGATTACTGGATACGCACTCGTCTCGTACGTGACCTCCAGCATCAGCTCTGGGATATCGTCTCCAAAGACACCACAGTTGCCCGCCTGCTTCAGCGTCGCGCGGAGTTGCTGGTTGTCCGCCTGCTCCACGCTCGCCAAGTTGTACCCCGCACACGCGTCGAGACGCGCGGGGTCAACGTACATCGCGAGCGTGGGCGCGACAAGCGCCGCCGCTGCACAAAATACCGCGCCCTTCATGACGATGTCAAGAGTAAAGGGGGGGATGAGCGAGTTGCAAGCTCACCAGGCATCGAAGGCATATATACTAGAGTGTACGAAGCTCCCCGAGTCAAGTGCCCGGGGTGATGAGCACGAGCGCGGATGGTCTGCCATCAGTTGACCTGCGGCGGCCTCGGAATCCGTCTCCGGGATGGGAAAGGATGGCAGACATCGATGCCTCGAGAGCGTGGGCGATATGACGTTCCTGTAGAGGCGATGAATGAGGAAGGCCTCGAAAAGATGCAACGAGGAAGGTCGCAAGAAGATGCAATGAGGAAGGCCACGAAAGGATGCAATGAGGACGGCCTCGAAAGGGGTGCAACGCAGTGCTGCTATTGAAGCGACGGTAAAGCGGACCGAGGGAGGGAGCGGGCGCCCTTCGTGGCCGCATCTACAATTGTTCTTTGTTCGAGTGCCATCTCACCTCCCTCACAACCTTTGGCCTAGATTGACAAAAGGACGTCTGAAGGGATGCGGTGAAGGGGGCTGCACTCGCACGCGAGCCCGCTTTCCATGGCACGCAACGACCTGGGGAGCAGTGAGCACTGATACTCGTTTGACGAACACAGTAGAGGTTTGTACGACAGAAGGAATACATTGGAGATAGGATCCTGATATAGCATACACGGTAGCTCAGTAAATAAAGGACAAATAGATAGGGTACATTACTAGTAGTGATACAGAGTCGCTCGTTCGACACGCTACAGGAACACTCCGACAAGCGAGAGCAGCTCATGAAACCCAGCCATCGTTACGGCGATTCTGCCGACGGCGCTGGATGGCGACCATGTAGATGAGGGTAGCGAGGATTTCGTCGATGATGGGGAGGCCCTTCTGGCTGATGTGGACCTTGTTGGGTTTGGAGGAGAGGAAGAAGTGACGTTCGAAGAAGGCGATGACTTCTTTGGTCTTGTCGTCTACGAGCTATACAAGCACTTTAGTACGGTCTGGGTATGGGAGGATGTATCCACGCACCGTAAAGTTCCCCGTATCCGCCTTCCACTTGTACGATCGGCCGTCCGAGGCGGCGAACGTTTCCGACCTGTGGACCTCCTCGTCAATCCACAATACATGAATCTGAGAACGCGTCCCCCAACTTACACGCTCATCATCCGCATCCGCACCGGCGTCACGTCCCGGCCATTCGCCACGACCAGATGATCCCGGAACGCGCCTAGGGTCACCGAGCCGACCTCCACCTCCCCACCCGGTTGTCCAGGCGCGGCACGGAAGAGCTTCGTCTCGCGCGGGTAGAGCTGGAGGAGCTTGGTGTGTGTGCGGTAGTGCCCGTAGTTGGCGCCGTCGAGGAGGACGGTGTTGAGGATGTCGAGGTCGGAGAGGGTGAATTCCATGGTCTGGCAGGGAGGTGGGCTTGCTGAGATTATTGTAGGTGGTGGTGGTGGTGGTGGTGGTATGGGACAAAGAGCAAGGCAGATCGGTTATTGAGGCGAGAAACTTGAAGAGTCTGCCCGTGGAGCGCCCGAAGGCCGCGAAGTCAGGCGGTACCTCAGCTCCTCGACGCGCACAGCCTCGGCTGTCATAGCGATGGCTTCACGTTCGACGTCTTGTCCTGCTGCCAGTCCGACTCAATGCTATTGTTGACCTTTGTGGCAGTGGTGAGCAGTCGGCCAGTCCGTCTTCGGGCTTGCCTTGCGCGTTCGGTCTTGCCCTACGCCCTCGTCATCGCCGCCGACACCCTCAAACAAGAGCGCCTCGCGCCATTTGATCTTTCGTCTTCTGCAACTTGAGCACTAAGTCGTGCCTCGAGACCTTGATGAAGACGGGATGAGACAGCCGCTCGCTGCTGCGCGCGATCGAAAGGTTGTGGGAAGCTGAGATTGAGTCGAGAACGACGGCGACAAGACGTGCCAAATCGGGGAGAACAATAGCCTCCACGTGATTATCGGGACTTTCCGAGCTTAGCGTGACCATAGTTGAACTTCGCTTTCGCATTATCATAGCTAACGACACGATGCACAAGTATGCTGAGGTGATGCATATTGGAGTGGAGAGTCTTGTTCTAGCCAATTGCTACATGTAGCGCGCTTACATCGACATTCGAGGCTCATAAACTGCCAAAGTCAGGCCCCACTGCGACGACCTGCAGAACACAGTAGTACTACACATGTTCGTATGCCAGCTTTACGACATTCCGCTGACCGCTGCCCTACGACGGTGAATGGCTACCATAAAGATCAGCGTCGCGAGGAGCTCCTCGACAATCGGAAGCCCTTTCACCTCGATGTGAAGGCTGTTCGACTGCGATGACAGCACGGAGTGGCGTTCATAAGTTGCGATGTCTTCCTTGGTCTCGTCGTCTACGAGCTATTTAAATCTGCTCAGGATGCCTTTACTTCGGACACACGAGAGGACGTACAGTGAAGCTGCCCATAGCATTCGATTTCCATTTGTACGATCGACCATTGGACGCGGTGAACGTTTGCGAGCTGACCATCAATCAGTATAATTCGCTTTGGACGACGCTTTGCCTATAACGTACGCAGACAGCTTCTTCTTTTTCACCGGCGTAACATCCAGGCCATTCACTACGACCAAATGGTCGCGTATCCCGGCCAGAGTGACCTGCCCGACTCGAAGGTCTCCGCCAGACTCGGACGCTACGCGGTAGAGCGCCGTCTCGTGCGGGACGGCAGGGTGATTGGTATGCGTGCGATAGAGTGCACGCCCAGTGCCATCGCTGAAGACGGTTTCCATGATGTCGGATGTGGAGAGGGTGAGGTCCATCTTCAGAAGTCTGGCGTAGGCGGTCGTACGAAGGCAAGAGGATTGCAGAACTCGCTATTGGGGCCGTCTTTTAAGTGAACGGCGCGAAGCCCAGACGGTCAGCTGCTTGTCCCGTACAGCCTCGCATCGATACGCGCGGAGGATTCCCGTTGATTGGGGGCTCTTTTCTTCGCTTTGTGTACTGATGAGTGAGGGAGATTCTACGAATAGGCGAAGACAATGGTGGGCACTACCGACTCGAAGTGGTTGGAGGGCGGTACGTACGTTAGTTCGAAGCCGGGGCAGGGCTCTGGAGAAGTGGGATCCAATACATAGTGTCCCAATTTTGGGGAGCTGGTGTTTGAGGGCGGTTATTGATGACGATTCAGGAGAAGGATGAGGACCGCCACGGACATCGCGTGCCGCCGGCAAATTCCGTCCTTCCAAACATGAGCAAATATTCGGGCCTGAAACAGTTCAACTTGTTCATCACAGCGACGATCAGGAAATCATACATGTCCTGCTCCGAGTCCATACTCTCTGCGCTCCACAGCGATGCGTACATACAACTTGTATGAGAGACTGCGCAGGATGACAGCACCCTGCTTCAAAGTCGCCGAGGGAGGTATAAAGCCCAACCTTTCCTTCCCTCCTACCTCACAAATTCCCTTCTTTCTTTTCTTTCTCAGGTCTCCTTCCTGTCGCTCCTTTTACCGTCCTTGCGATCTTGCTCTTTGACGACTCGTCCATCTATCTTATTTGCTAGCCATGGCCCGCTTCTCATTCGTGTTCGCTTCCCTGGCGCTCGCGCTGCTTGCCAGCGCCACGCCGATGCCCCGCCTCGAGTCGGTGCCGGCGCATGCGACGAAGCTTTCCATCGACGATGTCACGAAGCGCATCATCGCATACGACGCGCGCGGTGTGCACCTTGGTTTTGTTGAGCGCAGCGCCTTCCCGAAGGTCAAGCGCGACGACGTCGGCGCCTGCAGCTCGATGAGCGCAGACGATGTCCAGAAGCGTGAGTTTTGCCCTCTCGATTGATTTATCCTCTCGCTCACTAAGCTTATCTAGTTCCCGGCTGGGATCAGCTCGAGCAGAAGGCGAACGACAACTGGGGTGACGGCTCGCGCAAGATCGTTACCAACGATGAGGACGTGAGTATCTCGCATGCAACCCGCCCATGCGTCCTCTGACTCAACTCTTCACAGTACCCTGAGCAGCCCGCGCAAATCTGCGCTGAGGATGCCGGCGACATCACCATCGACGGCGACCCCGAGTGCACGACGCAGTCGCAGTCGCTCGACACGACCGTCTCCGGCACGAACGGCACCGCGACAGTCAGCGAGACCACCGGCACCAAATTCTCCTCCTCGCAGACCGTCTCCCGTGCGTCTCATTCCCTCTCAACCCTACTTCTTACTAACCCTCCCCCCAGAAGAAGCCTCCCTCGCCATCGGCGAGACCGTCTCCGTCAAGGTCGGCATCCCCGAGGTCGCCGATGTCACCTCCTCCACCTCCGTCGAGGCCAAGTTCACAAACACGCTCTCGACGACGGAGACGTCCGAGAACAACCAGCAGACGACGCAGACGGTCGCGATCGCGGTGCCGAACGGGAAGACGTGCAAGGTGAACTTCGACGTGACGACGTGCACGACGCAGGGGTCGGGGCAGGTGCCGTTCGTGGCGACGGGGTGGGTGTGGTTCGAGTACGACGATAAGACGGAGGGGCATTACAAGTGGGCGCTCAAGATCGACGACATTGTGGCCAACAAGGACGACCGCTCGACCTTCCTCAAGTTCGACGCCCAGGTCAAGTCGGACACGAACGGCGAGTACAAGGCGGACTGCTAAGCGGGCTTTGCTTTTGGATCGGTGTCCTGTGGAACTTCCCCTCGGTCTGTGAAGAGACTGCGGTGCTCGCCTTGGGACTACGATTATCGGAGACGCGCCACGACTTTGTGATGTTATTTATCTTGTTATTTATCCTTGTCGCGGGATTTGTATGGAGGGAGACTTTCTTACATGAAAAGAGACTTGAGGAGAAAAGAAAGATGTCATTCAGTGGATTTGGCCATCGTCTATGCGCCAGTAAGAGCTTGTGTTGCTATGCGAAGGCCGTCGTGCTATGCGGAGGTCTGCTATGCGGAGGTCGTCGTGCTCGAGAAATCGAACCGTGACATGACCGTCGAACCGTGACATGTACGAGTGTCGTGTCACACCTCCCGCCCCGGTTGTCCGTCGCTCCTAGTCCAGAGACTCGTGAGTTCCCAGTCCGGAGACTTGTGAGCTCATAGTCCGCTTTGGGCGACGAGGGGAACTACATCATGACAGTGGTACATATCTGCTACCTGAAAGGCCCTGGTACGAGAGAAAAGTGCGAGGGAGAAGGCAGGGCGAGATATAAGGGAGGGCGAGGAATAAGATGGGCAATGTTACGGGAGAAGGGAAGGGTGAATGTCACGGGAGGAGAAGAACATATGCAGAATGAACCTGAACAGATGTTTTGCCAGAGCCGATTGCAGCGAGCCGGTCCTCGTGCAGTGAGTCGATCCTCGTGCAGCGAGGGTTCACGCTAGCGCGCTTTGCTAACGATGACTTCATGAGGCTGTAGATCGTGCACGACAAGGCCGCAGCGTTGGAGGTGGGGCGTTTGGGGCACGGTAACGCGCATTGGCGTTACCGGTACTTGGGCGTGGCGGAGGAGCGGACGAGGGCTTGCGAGTTCTTTCATTCGTCACCTGCTCGTCGTGGGGTATGCATTATCGAAGTACATTGTAGAATTGCAGCGTCCAGGGGGATGGTGTGGGCCATAAATACGGGGTCCGGAGGATCAGGCATCGCCGAATAGCTTCTGGACCCGCTTGAGGATGGAGTCCTTCGAGGGATCTGGGGGAGGGAAGGGGTAAGGACATGTTCAGCTGCTTGCGCTGTGTAGGGCAGTGTGGTGGCGCACCGTATGGGTGATCCTTGGAGGGGATCTCGAGGAGCGCGGGGAAGGCTTGCTGGTACTTGTCTACCGTTGGCCGTATCTTCTCGGCGACCTGACAGAGAGGTGTAAGAGGGGGCAGCGGACTAGATGGCGCTACGACGCACGTGCTGATTGATGAGCAGTATGGCAATGTCCTTCCGCTCGGTGAACTCCTGGAATGCGGCCTCGATCGCTGATACTTGGGTCTCTGAAAAGGCACAGAGATCAGCGCAATGGATCGCAGTCAGTCATAGTCACGCACTCGCATCCACAATGAGGAAGTTCTTCTTCTGTTGCTCGTTAATGTGTCCCACGCCCGCGAGCAGGAGCCCAGTGATTGAGTCCTGCGTACTCGTCAGGCGGCTAGGCCCTTGGATAAAATCATCTGACGCACCTCATCCCCGATCACAGCAATGAGATTCCTATCCTTGAAGGAGGTGCTGCTCGCCATGATTCGCGACGCGGTCCGGGAGAGTGACCGGTGAAGGACAAGGGCGATAAGCTTTGTCCGGGTTTGGCGTCATGAGATCACGCGTTGCTCCGAACGGTCATGTAGAAGTTCGACTTCGTATTTGTGCGTCCTCGCCAACTCTATAGTCCTGATGTTCGACTGCGAAACCCTACGCAAAGAACCTTATGGATTACCTGCATAATTTCCCAAGTGACGGCATTTCACTTGGGCTCTAAAGCGCGCACGGTGGCGCGGTGGATAGGATGCAGCTCCCTCAGCACTGCGCACGGTCACCAGCCTACGCGGTCACGTTATTGCTTACTAGCAACAGTATAGACGTCTTAGATGCCATCCCGTTTCTCCACCACAGCCTTCACTGTAAGTCTGACTTTAAGAGTCTCGCATTTGCTGGTGGTGGCTAATTCCGGCCTTCAAGCCCATTTTCCATCGTTCATCCCTCTGTTCTATGGCTCAGGGGGTGCCCAGATCTACTTCTTGGATGCTGCTCGGGCACACGCTGCTCATACGACACTGCTTATCGCGAAGCACCTCAAGCAGCGCGTCCTGCGCGTTTGGTTTAGGCTATGGATCACAAGTGCTTCTTTCCGAGGGTCTCATATAGTCGTACGTCTGGTGAGCAGCGCGAAATATGCGAAATGGCGCTATCCGGGATGCCCGAGCACTGTCAACGGCGCGCTCGACGAGACGTCTGACCGCAGCCGTCCTCTTCCTCGAGTCTCATCAAGAGCGATGTCTCTACGGTATAGGGGATTCCAGTATAAAAGCATGGAGGGAGCCGCTCTTTTTCCCCGTTCGCCTTCAGCCTCCAACTTACGACAACACAACACCACCGCAACACCAACACGCAATATAAAAACAGCATGATCTCTTTCCTCGCAGTCTCCCTTGCCATCGCTGCCGCGTCGGCCCTGCCTCAAGCGAAGAGGAACAACGACGGCGAGATTACAGGTATGTTCTCACTCCTGCCTGCCCTCGACCGCAACTGACCCTCCCTCCCAGACACCGTCGTCCTGAACTACGCCCTCACCCTCGAGCACCTCGAGAACACCTTCTACCACGAGGCCCTCTCCAACTACACCCAGGACGACTTCACGAATGCGGGCCTCCCCGAGTGGGCCCGCGGCCGCTTCGTCGAGATCGGCGCGCACGAGCAGAGCCACGTCGACACGCTCACGGCCGTGCTCGGCGACGCCGCGACGCAGGCGTGCGAGTACAGCTTTCCCGCGCACGACCCGCAGAGCTTCGCCGCGCTGAGCCAGGTCCTGGAGGGCGTGGGCACGTCGGCGTACGCGGGCGCGGCGCAGTACTTGCAGTCGTCGGACGCGCTGACGGCGGCGGCGGTCATTTTGTCGACGGAGGCGCGCCACGCGGCGTGGGTGGCGTCGGCGATTCACCTCGAGAACCCGTGGAGTGGGGCGTACGATGTAAGCACTGCCGCACCTCCTTCGATATCAACCCATACTCATCTGCGCCTTAGACCGCCCTGACCTTCAACGAGGTGTACTCCCTCGCCAGCGCCTTCATCGTCTCCTGCCCCGACTCCAACCCGACGCTGCCCTTCAAGGCCTTCCCCACGCTCACCCTTGGCGACGGCAAGCCCGGCGACTCCGTTAGCGTTGCCTACGCGAACGATACCGACGCCTCCGGCGACATGTACATCGCCTTCTTCAGCGGGCTCGACAAGACGTTCGTGCAAGTCACAGACGGGCAGGTCACCATCCCGGGCGACCTGAAGGGTACGGTGTACGCGGTTGCGACGAACAACGCGACGGCGGCGACGGATGACACGACCGTTGCGGGGCCGGCGATTTTGGCCTTCCCGTATGGGCCGGATGGGAACCTGCTTGACTAGACTGTATAGTCGCACGAAAGACCTGTAGCCACGCAAAAGATCTGTAGCCACACAGAAGACTTTGTAGAGGGATTCATTGTATCATAGCGCCCACCGAATTTATACGCGGACATACACTCAATGCTCATTGCAGTCGCCTCTTCGAGGCTCATGTCCAGCACCAGTAACTTTCTCTTTTGTGGGGCACCTTGTCTTCTCCGCGCATTGCTGGTGTTCTTATACCTGCCTCCTCATGTTTAGTGCTTCTGCTTCAAGCTTTATTCCTCTGCGTCAAGCTTTACCTCTCTGCTTCAAGCTTTATGTCTTCAGAGATCTCCTGCAACTATTCCAAAGGTCATCGTCACGCTCGCGCCACCGTGATGCACTTCGGTTTGTTTACCTCTGTTTCCGGTAAACACTCGGACCCGATTGCAAAGTACCGCAGGTGCTCGAATATTTGGCAGACAGAAGGGCCCTCAACTCCTTTGAATAAACAAATTGTACTCACCTCTGAAGGTGTCATGTCCATGGTGCTGTACGAACCATCCGACCGTGCAGCTTGTGCCATCTGTGGCGAACGCTTCGCTATGACATTCGGGCGAACGCCTCGCTGAGCGCGAACCAACTAAAATGTAGAGTGGATAGATGGCACGAATCGCCGAATCACGCGGGTGGGTACTGGTGCTGTGTTCGTACGTGTACATGGAATGTGAGGATAAATTGAGTCAGCCAGTACTACTATGCTTCCGAAGACTCGCAAGACTCGTCTTTCGACCGCATCACCCTCAGAAATAAGCCTGGTAGCGAGTGAGTATACCTGGCACACCGACATCCTTAGCGGTGAAAGACGCACTGCAGCATTCGGAGGACTAGCGACTCCGCCAATACTAGATAGATCTTCAGCAAATCACTCAGTACGCAGAGGAAGAGGATGACATACATATTCAACGGCCACGAGCTGAAGAAGAACGTCCACCGCTTCGCCTTCGCGCACTCGTCCGAGAGCTTCTCGAGGTCGAACATCTCGCCTGCACGATGTCAGCAGCCAGAAACAACCTTCGACAATCTGCCTTACCCAGAGGCATACCCCAGAGGCTGCGAGTGACGCGTCAGTAAGCCGATATAGGTGTCCATTCGACTGCAATTACTCACCCAAGAATCGTCTGGTGCAGATGTGGGACGCCTTCCGGCGTGGGCCAGCGCTGGAGACAGGGTCAGGGAGCGTCCGGGACCACGGCGATCATGACGATACCGGACACACCTCGAGGGACGGCTGGTCGGAGGCGATGGCCGCAAAGTGGTTATTCCTGAAGGCGCGAACGTAAGTACGTCGCACGGCCCTGGGTCCGCCCGCCGTGTCCGGACGGACGCAATGTAAGGGACATACCACAAGAACCGCTTCATGTCTTCGGACTGCTCGATTCCGGCACTGCATGTCAAACGCGGGTTAGTAGGGACGGCCGACATGGACACGTACGCGTAAGGGGGGACGAGGCGTGAAGGGAACGAGACGCCAAGGAAAAGCGAGGGTCAAAGGAAAGCGAGGCGTAAAGGGAAAGCGAGGCGTCAAAGGAAAAGCGATGGAAAGGCATACAAACGTGTCACGAACCAAAAAAAAAAACAAGAACAAGATACTCACAAAGTCTCCTCCCTCTTACTCAACGCATCCAGCGCCTCCAACGAGCTCTCGTTCCACTTCTTGATGAAGCCGACCCTCAGGAGCAAGATGTCGCCCTCCCGGAACGTCACGCCCTGCTTCTTTGCACACGCCTCGAGGTCGGCGAGCGGGATGGGGTGCGCGGTCCAGGGATCGTAGGGCAGTGGCTTTCCGCCCTCGGTGTAGAAGCGCACGAGGTCGAGAAGGACGCCGCGCCCGCAGATGCCGTGTTCGGCCCAGTCTGGGAGGGGTTAGGTGGGTGGGGAACGGATGCCGGGGATGAGGTCAGGGAAAGGTCGGGGATGAAATCGGGCAGGTTTCCGGCGATGAAATGACAGCGACTTACTCTGCACGCCGAGCAGCTTCAGCTTGGGGTCAATGTGCTGCGGGTCGGGGATGTGAAGGGGTCCGGACGGGAGGTCGGAGCCCTTGACGCTGTTGACGCGCGTCAGTAAGGTTAGATAGGCTGGTGCCACAAAACCTACCCATTATAGTAAACCATCCCGTCAAAGATACCAAAGTGCTTCATGCCGTCCCATTGCGAACCGGATTGGGTGTTCTGTGGGGCAGGGCTGAGTGTGAGCGGGCGGGCGAACGGACATATCAGTGCAATACGCACGATGTTGATCTCATCGTCGCGGCATACCGACAGGCCACCGAGCTCCTTCTGAGTGATCTCAGGCGTCTTGCGCTTGAACAGGGGCTATGCAAGCGAGGTAGCTGCATGAGCACTCATTCAGCGAAGACAGCAGATCACAACTTACGCCTTCCGGAAAGTTCACGGGCCTGTATACATTCAGTAACGTGACCTCGCGCCGCGAACCCAACTTACCAGTTCAACGAGACCGTCTTTCCTGTCCTGTAACAAAGGTCAGTGGACCAAAGGATCAACAAACGCGCCGAGACTCACTTGATCTCCTCCGTCGTCGCGCGCTTCACCACATCCTCCGTCAAGATGTTAACCGTCCCAAGCTGGTCCTCCTTCCCCCAAACGCCCCAAGCACACCCCGCAAAGTCCTTGTAATGCGGCAACTCGTCGAAAGTAGGCAGCTTTCCCGTCATGGCAGTTGATAGTTGGTAGTTGGTCGAAGACTCGAAGTGACGCGGACCAAAGTACAATGCACAATCAGCAATCACCGTGAGACGCAGCAGGTGGGGTAAAGGATATCGATACTCACGACCCCGCCCTTATATTCCCAAACTCTTCCACCCGGCTATCACCCCTCCCGCACTACCGAGCGCAGCACAATAGCTGCCTCCCACGAACCATGCCCCAAGACCACGCCCCCGACACCGATCTGGCCACGCCCCCAGCGGAACCATTCCGCCCGTGCTCGGCAGACAAACACGCCACCCGCATGACGCGGGCTCGCCCCCTCCCATCGCTGGAAAGGTTTGATAGTCTGTGAGAATGCGAACACGAGCAATCTCGTCAATGTCATGCGACATGATCTGCCTGCATTTCGGGTCTATAATACACAGTGAACGCATCCCTGTCCGTCATACGTATCATATTATAGGGCCGGTCGCGCGTCCCCGTGAACATAGGACGAGCCCCTACCCGCCTTGTCTATACCCTTATACCCGGTCCCAAGCAGAACGACAACGATCTCGCGCGTCTCATCCACAAGCGCGACACGTCCAACGACTGCCCACACCACTCACCCGCGGATGAAGGGATGTGCAAGCGCCTCCCGCGGCGTAATGCGCCTCGCAGGGTCGAGCGCCAAACACTTATCCAACAAATCCACGAACGCCAGTACCGCCTTGCTCTCTTCATCCTGCAGCTTCGTGCCTGGCGGCATCAACCGTGCGCGCAGATCGCGTCCCGGCTTCACGTGTACCTTCTTGTGCACGTCCTACGCAATAGATCAGTCAGTAGATTGCGGATATGGTGGGCAAGGATGGGCACGAGGCGCGATCCGGGAGGAAGGTCAAGCGAACGATGGTGGATGTGGGTCAAGACAAATAGACTGGATAGCACAGGAGGAAAGAAAAGTTGAGATACGCACAGCGCCAGTGACTGGGTCGCGCTCAATGCTGTTGAACGCGCCGATCTCGTCGAAGTAGAGGTCGCCGAACTTCGCCTTCTTGATCATCTTCGTGGTGAAGCGACCCTTCAGCTCCATCATGAGCAGAAGCATCTGGTTATTGGAGCGCCCCGGAAAGAGGATCTTCCCCGTGTAGAGCTCGTATAGCGTGCAGCCGATGGACCAGATATCTAGCGAGGGGTCGTACGGAATACCCATGACTATACGGAGATTAGCGAGGTGCAATTAATCAACGAAGCATGTACTCACTGATTTCAGGCGCACGATAGAACCGACTGACGAGATACGGGGTGATCTCGTTCTCGGACGCATCTGAGGCGGAGCCAAGGTCACATAGTTTGATCACGGTCTTGCTCTCATTGACCTGAACTTCCAAATTAGCATTGAGACCACAAAGGAATGCCACACTGACAAGTATGTTATCGGGCTTGATATCGGCATGCATGACGTTCATCTTCTTTAAAAGGCTGAGCGCCAGGAAGAGCTGATGGGCGTACGCTCGCACGGCTTTGATGTTGAGGCCGACGTCCTTGCCGAAGCGCTTCACAACTTCGCGCAAGTTCATGCTAGGGATGGTCGTCAGCGAGGCCCAGTAATGCACGACAGGCTTGCCCACCTGAGAGACTCAAAGACGAGGCAAAGATGACCGCGATGCTCAAAGGTCCGCTCGAGCCTGACGATATGCTTCTTGTCCTCCGGGTCGGCCTGATTGAGCTTCATCAGAATCTGCGCCTCCTTCTGCCCAGCACGATGCCTGCAGAAGCATGAGTAAGACGCAGAGCTGCGAAGGTAGAACGTACATAGACTCCTGCGACCGCACGAGCTTGATAGCAACCTCCCGACCGGTGTCTGGACCCTGCAGTATACGCGCACGCACGACGTTCGCGAACATGCCTTTGCCAAGAGATGAGAAGACCTGGTACATGCCGTTGTCGAGCTGCTCGCCCAAGACGATCGTATAGTAGCCCTCCGGATCCGACGCTGAATCCAGTGTAGTCGTGATGAGCGCAGGTGCGGCAGGTTTCTGCCGCGACGTCAGAGTGTGCAGAACGAACGTGTAGGAGCTACGCACCGTTACCTTGCGTCGGACCTTCTTGACCTTCTTCTCGGGCTTGTCGACCGCGAACATGTCGTCGATATCGTCTTCCTCAACCTCTTCGACCTCTTCGAATTCCTCGGACTCGACCACCTCCGCGGCTTGTTGAGGATGAGGAGGGACGCCGAAGCGCTTGTGCTCGTCTTCGCGACGGTCATGGCTGGGGTCATAGTCGGCTGCAAGAACATGCTCGCCCTGAGCGTTCGCGTCTGTCATCTGTACATCTCCGTTCGTGTCACCGTCTTTAGCCAATGCAAAGTCATTAGGAGCAGGCGACGACGAAGCCGCCACCTCCTGCTGGCCTGAATATATGGATCAGTGGTCCACATTCGCGGAGAGTAAGCACAAAACTGCACCATTCTGTTTCGGCGAGCCCGCGAGCGCAGGAGTGCCATTGCTGACACTTTCGGTCTGAGGCGTGACGGTGTTAGAATTGACGACAGAATCTGGAGGCGGCTGGGAAACCGCACTACTGGGGCCGGGGCTCGGGCTAGCGGAGGCGCCATTACTGGCTATGCCCGCGTACTTGGCTAGGATGGCCTGTCGCTTCGCACGACGCTGAGCGAGGGTCTCTTCTACCGAGGGGGCAGGTGGCGGAGTTACTACGGTTTCGACCTCGGGATCGGCGGTAGCGTCAGGCTGCTTGCCATTCGTGTCTTGAGCCTTCGACGGGGGCCTGTTGGTCGGAGGACGGGGAGAGATCCTGCTGCGAGTCAGCTAGCGCACACATGTGAAAGGGTGTGACGCACTCGCCCTCTTCCTTCTCGTCATCCACTGTCGATGGCTTCGTCGATGAGTCGCGTCGCGGGGAACGGCTACGTCGGCGTGGCGAACGCGTCCTGGAGCGCCTTGGAGGGGAGCGCGTAGACCGCCTAGGGGAATGTCTTCTGGATGAAGGGCGTCTCGGCCGCCTATCGTCCCGACGGGAGCCCCGGCGGTAATCGTCTCCTCGTCTGCTATCGGGACGTCGCGTATCCCGATCACGCTCGCGTTCCCTATCCCGTCGATCTCCTCCTGGTGGTCCAGCTTTGCGGCCTGGCTTCAAATGCACATCTCTCCAGTCTCTTGGCTCCTCCCGCGCTCTCTTTGGCTGGCTATCCGCTTCCCCATCCCAACTGCGCTTCACTCCTGATGGAATATTAGTCATCTGAGCTCTGACTTCGGTTTACGGGCACCGCACGATGACCAGGAGGATAAAGAGAGTTGCTGCTCCGCGTCACCGGCGCCGTTTATCTCAAGATGCGCTCGAGCGCCAATGCCCCCCTTCCGGTGCTTGCTTTTGTTTGGCTTCCCCATTACGGCATTCCCCGAATGGCACAAAGTACGGATTCTGTGCCTTTTCCTGAGCTTTGGTGTTGCTGAACTCCTTGTTATATCCTTCGTCTATGCATTCCTCGGGATTGTTCTCGCGCTCGCCATGATTGACGACCTTTGTACTGCACTCTGAATTTCTCACTTGATTGCAAGACCGGCCCAACCAGCGCTCTTGATATGGTTCACGGAAAGTCTACTTGAGCCCGAGCGTGCAAGTATGAATCCCCTTCATCATGACGATACAACAACCCGGATGCTAGAGTACCGGTCTCAGAAAGAGCACGCCGCTTGCGAAGGAAAATTGTCAACGCCTCAACTCCATGCACGACCGGTGCGTGCCAATACTACCAACGGGTCAGTCCGATCCCTGTCAACCCTTGCTGAGCAGGAAAACGGCGCTTGCACATTGTTCGTCGGGGTACCGTGGGTCTTTATCTTCTCCTCTCGTCGGGCGTTCTCGATGTCACGCCCTTCGCCGCACGAGATCGACACTTTCGCCACATTCGGGCCTGTACGAGCTCTCCAAGGTGTGGCAGGCTATACCCCTACAGAGGGCCCACGGACCTTGACTTGTTTCGGATACTGACAACCGCCTCGAGCGCTGGGTTTCAATTTGTGTCGCTCTCCTCCGGGATTTCGCCCTCCATATGAAGGCCAATGTTCCCATGGTATCGGGAGCTCCCTCCATCGAGGCTAGATGTCACGGCTTAGACCACTTGCCGTTGCCCTGGGCTCATCGGCCGCTTTCCTCGCGCGTTTTGTCAGCGCTCGCAATTCTTTCTTGTTCATTTTACGTGTCGACAATCATATAAGAGGCCAACTACTCGAAATATAGCCGACCACTTAGCGAGACAACAGCATGGGCGTCGTCGACAATTTTTCCTGGATGCCTCGTATCACTTACCCTGCCCTTTTGCTTTCCATCCTTGTCCCCTTGCTGTACAAATTCTACCATCGGCGTCTCGCCTTCGCACACATCTCAGGGCCAGGCGGCGGACACTTCTTGCTGGGTGCGTATCGATCGTATCCCGTGAAGCGCCCATCTGACGACTTCCAAGGTCACCTTCCTCTACTCTTGCGGTCCCCAGCCGCCGAGGTGTGCATTACATTGCCTTGTTACCCTTTATCACTGACCATCGCGCAGGTGGACCTCGGGTGGATCCGACGATACGGCAACGTCGTCAAGTACAGCGCGGCTTTCGGGGTGTGCATTTCTTTCATACACCACTCACAACCCTGAATATCGCCCTAAGCATTCCTCTTCCTCGTTCCGCCGCTACTAACGCCGTGACCAGGAGCAACGCCTCCTCATCAACGACCCCAAAGCCCTCCACTACATCATGCAGACCGCCGGGTACGGCTTCGTGCGCACGGAGGACAAGAAGGAGCCCATGCGTACGCTCATCGGCAAGGGAATTTTAACAGTCGAGGGTGAGCCGTTTCGTTCTTCTTCTATGAGCTCAAGCGTACTGACAGTCACCCATCGCAGGCGACGATCACAGACGACAGCGGCGCATCATGCTACCCAGCTTCGGCAGCCTCCAGGCCAACTCCTTCGTGCCCTCATTCGCGGCCAAGGCAGCGCAGGTATTTTCCATTTCCACGGTCTTCTTCCACATCCGACACAACCAATACCCCATCACTCAGATGGCCGACATGATCGCCAAATCAATGCCCGACGACAAAGGCATAGTAGTCGACATCCCCTCGTGGGTGGCGCGCGCGACGCTCGGCGGGTATCGATTACTGCTCAATCACGAGAATTAAGCTGACACGCACATACTACCAACAGACGCACTAGGCGAAGGTCGGTAGTACGATCTATATCGTCCGCGATCATCACTCATGTTACGATCAGCGGCCTTCGATTACCAGCTTAATGCACTCGAAGACCCGACTAGAAATAAGCTAGTCAGCGTTTATTATAATCTATTGTACGTGCTAAGTTCCCTCTTACTTTCTTGTATGCAATCCTTCACCCATTCTGAATCAACGCTTCTATTCAGCACGAAAACTCGACTCACCCCTACAAACCTCGAAATATTCCTAGATGAGGCCTTAGCCCTTGTCCCGAAACCTCTCATGCGCTGGTGGAATGATCACGTACCGGATGCGCGCATCGCCTACATGAGGCGATGTCGAGAGGCCGCAGAAGATGTAGCGCGAGAGCTAGTGGAAAGACACACATCGACGATGGCCAAAGGTGCTAGCCATGAGCTAGACGCCGGTGATGAGACGCAAGAGCGCGCCAACGATGTGATGAGCCGGCTAAGTACGTAGACGCTGCTCGCAGCTCCTTCGTTCGCTCACCTGTGGTACCCTTGACAGTCAGAGCCAACGCGGCCGCGCAGCCGAAGGCCCGCCTGGACGAAGACGAGGTTTATGCGCAGCTTCTGTGAGCCTGCTCGTTTGTTGCGCATCTCCTGAGTGACTGAGCGGCGTTTCGTAGAACTATCCTCCTCGCGGGTCACGAGACCACCGCCAACGCCCTTTCGTGGGCCTTCTTCGAGCTCGCGCAGCGGCCGGATATACAATCCCGACTGCGTACCGAAATTCGCGGCGTCCGCGCCTCGAAGGACGACGTCCATCTCACGGCGGAAGCCATCCAGGCGATGCCTTACCTGAATGCGGTGGTCAAGGTGAGTGAGCGGTCTGAGCGACAGCGCTGTCGAAGGGAGGATGCGAATGGGGAAAGCTGATTCCGCCTCAGGAAATCCTTCGCTTTCACTCGCCTGTATACAGCACATCGCGTACTGCCACCAAGGACGACGTGATCCCTCTGGAGCGTCCACTCTTTGATCAGCATGGCCGGCCCATCTTCGAGATCGCAGTGCCAAAGGGTCAATACATCGCGATATCTATCGCGGCGTATAGCAGGTGAGCCTATATCCCACTTTCATCAGCGCCGATGGTTGACACCTACACGCCCATGCAGAGAGCGGGCACTGTACGGCGCTGACGCAGACATTTTCAACCCTGAGCGGTGGTTGCAGGAGGGCTGCGTTAATAAGCACGCCGGCGGCGGGATATACAGTAATTTGTGAGTCCATGGAACCCTGTGCTACCCTCACGAAGTACTGACATCCGACCAGACTCACCTTTGGGGGCGGGCACCGAGGATGCCTCGGTGAGTCAGCGAGGAGGGCCGATCTGCGAATTGAAGCAGCCTGACCCCTTCACAGGCTGGCGCTTCGCGGTCCTAGAGATGTCCGCGTTCATCATCGAGCTCGTCGACAAATTCAGGTTCAGCGTCTCGCCAGACATCATAGCGAGGGTGTATCGCGGCGCAGCGGGCGTTGCGCTTCCGATGATGAAGGGAGAGACAGCGAAGGGAGTGCAGCTCCCGCTGCATGTGAAGCGAGCGCCGCAGTAGAGCGCGGATTTATGGCCAAATTCGCAACGTACGATCTGGCCAACCTCAGGCCGCGTTCACGAGGCAGGAATATCTCTATGTCTTGCTCGATCTGCGCGTGTCCGAACTTGCGACCGCGGATTCGGCGTTTTGGAACTTACCTGAACCTGGGGATACTTCGTTGAAGCTGACTGATTCGGACTGGGATTTACTGGCGTCAATCTAAGAGTGCCTTTATGAATATACGTCCGACGGCTGGTCGTTCTGTTTTTTTCTCTTTTCCATTTAATCTTTGGTGGATGCCGTGGGGAAATGCCTTTCGTCCGGCGGTCTGCAGTGACCGTCACGGTTGGAGTAAATCACGTGCTCGTCCGGTGCCGCATGTTCAAGTTCAATTTCCCTCCTCGCGAATCCCAGCTCAAGCCCGTGGTGCGGATAAAATAGTCGTCGGGTCCATCATAAGCATTACGAAGTGACTAGAAAGATCAGGTCCTAAGTAGCAATAAATAGCGATGTAGCGAGAGGGTCATGCGGCGAAAGTCCGTGGCGAAGGTCCGTGGGTGAATAAATTAGTGTAGACAGCAGAGTCCGATATGAGAGTTGGCTGGGCGTCGTAGGGAGCGGGCGTGACGAAGGATCATCGCATTGGCTCCGAGCCCGACAGACGCGTATTCTGCCGGCCCACCCCATTATAGGCGGGGATGCGTTTAGCGGCTGCGACCAAGCTTGGCAGCGCACTTGGGGCAATAGGCATCGATATGCGGAGCTACAGAGTGCGTGTCAATATCAATCGGCAGCGAGAGACGCAGAAACGTACAGAACTGCTCAGGGTACTGCTTGCTGAGAATTCGATACATCGTTAGCAAATTCGGTGACCAAGGCGCAAGCGAGCATATTCTTACTACTGGAAGCAGGTCTTCGTGCACGAGGGCGGCTTGCAATTAGCCGGGTGGTTGGGGCTAAACTTGCAGGTGCGGGAGTCGCATTGGATCTGTAAGAAGGAGAAGAAGAGTGGGGTGAAGAGGAGAGGAGACAGGTTAGATTGGTGCGGGGCGCGATGTGGGGAATTCGGAATTTTACCAGTTGGTCGGTCTGTCGACGGTGGGTGAGTTGAGAGCGGAGGGGGCGGAGATGGGCGGGCCTACCAGGTTCTCTGCATGGCCGCAGCGGTTGTAGACGTTGCAGACTCTGTGGTGGGCAGGTGAGTTGACACCGCACGGGAGAAAGGGAAGGAAGTTGAGGTGAGAGTGGACTTACTGGCGGAAGCGGCACATAATGATAGGAATAAGTTACGAAAGCGAGGAATGGAAGGATAGAGAGGAAGAAGAGTACAAGGAAAGACAACAATGGACAAGAAAGTGAAGGTACGGGAGACGGACAGAAGACAAGTCGAAGAGACGAATGAAGATGAGGTCTCACTCTTCAGTGGCTGCCACTTTTTAAGCACTCCCTCGGAGTCCCTCCGTCTAGCCACACATACTTCCAGCCCACCCGAGACGGTTTCGAGCGGCCGAGGGACCGAGCTACGACAGTACTCAGGCGACTCGAGGCCAGTGCCTACGCAGCTGAGACGCGACTTGTTCACTGCTTTGACGAGATCCACTCGACGCGGGCACGATAGCGGCAACCCAGTAAGGCAGGATAATCGGAACTCGCCCACGCACGCGGCCCAGACACCCCCATCTCCCGCCTGCCTGACGTCAAGACGCGGTCGCGCAACTGTGGCGAGGGGCGCGGCGGGTGCTTGTGAGTCAGGCGGCCGCGCGCAGACGCCGATGATGGGCATCAGGGGCGGATGATAAACAGTGTGCCCCCTTTTGCGTTTGTGCGCGAATAGATGGAGGCGCGGCGCATAACATTTCGAGGCGGGTGGCAAGTTCAACATTTCGCACGGGTTGATCAAAGCGGCTGATCGCGCCTTATTTTGCGGTGTTGACCTGAGCCCCCATGGCACCTCGAACCGAGCCTCCGTCGGCGGGCAGGACGCGCAAACGGTTTCTCGCAGACGGTAATGTGAGTCAGCACATTGCGCTCTTGTCTCCTCCGCTGATGATGGAATATTTTAGGACGCCGTGGCTCTGGCTGCTTCCATAGCGGAGGCGCAAGAGGAGAAGGCGCACGAGAAAATCAAACACCATCAAGAGGTCTCGGAGGTAGGGACGTTTGAAGTGCACGTCTTTGGGCTTTGCTGACGTCTAGATTACTGTCTGTTGAATGCGCAGGCTGGCCAAGGACCCTCGAATGCACCTCGCTCGAAGAGCAAGTCGGCCTCTCGCGTCCGATTAGTGAGTGGGCAGTGCCTCCGGATATATTCTGATTGCCTCCCGAGGTGAGGTATACTGATTAGGCGTCATTAGAAGGAGAAGAAGGCCGCGCTTCTTGCCCAGAAGGCTCAAACGAAGAAGAAGAGAACGAAACTGAAGAAGCAGCGTTCCCAGCCTGAGCCTGATGGCGCTGAGGCGCCCGCCCCGTCTGGCGTCTCGGGTGACGCGACGGAGGCCCCTCGCAAACGGCCAAAAGCGGTTTCCTTTGCTTGATCAAAAGGGGATATGTATGATGTTGGTTTAGATGGTCTGTCACATCAGCGCTCGGGGCCGATGCTAATTGCCCTCGCCAGATCCCTTTGTCGAGAGACATCATCACATTCATGCCTGCGTTGCAGGTTCTGAATGCTGACGCTGACGGTGCGTGGCCCTGCGGCAGCTCGCGAGCTCCTGTCTGGATCTTCGCATCATGATAAGGACACTGAAAGGGTGCGTCAAAGGTCTGCTCCAGCCTCACAGACTGTGTTATGACGGCCCCGAGCTTTGCTCACCGGATCAGATTGCACTATGTCCTGCTATTGACTCGCCGCATGTTTACTCGACGCAGACAGCGTCGGATTGTTTCGATGCACATCCTCTTCATTCCGCTAGCAATGTTCATACACAAAGCTTATTGTCGTTGAGCCAGTTCGCGACACAGGGCGGCCATAAAATGCCATTTTCAAGGATCATCTTGTCTGCCAAATGCAATCACGTGCATGTCCGAATTAGGGAGTCCAAGCGCGGATTTACGTCTTGTCCTCGTCCCCCATCAGCCCCTCATACTTCCAGGCCGCACCGCGTCCGTGTGCGGCTTTCCCTTGTCTTTCTCGACTCTGATAAATGACGACTGGGATGCGATGAAATCAAGACGCGCCGCAAACAAGACTGGTGTCGCAGCTCGCCTCAGGGTCCCAAAGCGATCTCGTTCAACTTCGTCATCGGCTTCCTACGCATCAGTTTCCTATATCGATAACTTAAGCCCAGACGAGTATGTACAGCATCTGGAGAAGACACGAGAAGCCCTCAGGCAATTTCCGGAGGTCCCCCGCTCCCGAAGTCCGTCACCCGCGATCGCTGAGTCCCCGGGAAAGAAGAAGGGGAAGCCTGCACCTCCATCACTGCAGGACGCAGTCCGGACGATTATCAGAGCATCGAAGGGCAATCCTGCATACGGGGGATGGCACAAACTCACGACGCTGCTCAGAACCTCGACGTCGATCGGCAAGCCGACGTACATTATCAGGCGCTCGTCCCTTGTACCCGCAGAGCCGCCGGAGAATGGCTGGCCTAAGATGTTCAAGACACCCGAGGAGTCGGAGGCGTGGCTGGCGCGGAGGGAAGCAGAGCGCAAGATCAATGCGTGGCAGCTCTCCATCGAGCGCGACACCGCGGCGCGCCCCTCGAAAGCGCCGTGTCGAATCTCAAACTTCGACGTATCAGTGCGTCATTGTGCTATGCCTATCAATGCCCTTACTCACTATGTTTCTTTGTTTGTTTACTTCTACCACATCGTTCATTCAGTCCTACCTCCCGCCCTCCTTCCCCAATTCGCAGGTCATCACCTCGACCCCCAAACCGGACGATCAAGTGAAAGTCCGACGCAAGCCATCACCCATACTCCCCCTCCCTTCCCGAGCGGCGCTCTCACCGCCGGTCGCACTCTCACCTAAGCATGCACCCTTCCCCTTGCCCTACCTCCCGCCCTCGCCGCCTACATGCATACAGTCAGAGTTAGGATCTGTTCCGCTCGTGAATGCTCAATCTGTTCCGCTTGCACATGCTGCTTCATCGTCGTCTATCCCCGGATTGGGATTGGGACCGCGCGCGAGCCCGACGCCGTTGAGGGGCAAGCGGCGAAGGCCTGCGACTCCCGAGCAGCCGTCCAAGCGCGCGCGGACGGAAGACGACGTGCCTCTTGAGGAAACGGACGAGCGACTGTACCGGCCTGCGTCAATAGGGTCGCCTAGTGGTATGGGGGATCCGAATGGCGGGGCGAATCCTTCTGAGCGGAAGACGTCCGCACCACAACCGCCTACGCTCACCGACCTGCTATCTGCGAAGCGCACAGCATCCCCGGAGAAGGCGTCACCGAGGAAACGTCGACGGTCGTCTGCGACGAACTTCGTCTTCACGCCCGTCACTCGCAAGCCGCCAGACAACATTAACTACGACGATGAGCAACGTGAGCCTCGTGCACTGCATCTTTCACCAATCCAAGATCCCGCTCCTCAGCCTCCAGCAGCCCAGCCTCCAGTACCTACGCCCGATACCATCCCCGAACCGCGACCTCCGTCGCCAGACCCTTTCATTGCTCAGTCCGGTGCTCCCTTCTTTGTTCATTCTGCATCCGCCATTACCATAGCCAGCTCGCCGACGGATACCCATGGGGCGCGCACGCAGGGCAGTCACATCGCGGACAGTCGCTTCGCGGGTAGCCACATTGCGTCAGTCCAGGGTAGCCACATCGCGTCCTTACAAGGCAGCCACCCCGCGGTGAAGCAGAGCTCGGGGTCGAGCTTTGAGCCCGGGCAGGGGCAACCCTTCGCGTCCTTTGGTGGGATGTTCGACCCTCCGTTCACGTCGACGGCGCCAGACAACGTGACGCATAATGGGTCGAATCAGGGTGAAGGCGAACACAATGGGACCGGCCACTCCCAGCATAACACGGGCGGCGACGACGACTACATGGGCACCGGCCGCTCTCAGAACGGCCCGAGCAGCAGCTTCGACGATGTCATCCTGGGCGAGTCCATGCCACCCGCAAGCCAGTACAATTCGCAGGGCGATCCGGGGTTCCAGTACAACTCGCAGCTCGAGTTCGAGGACAAGCTCGAGGCGGCGAGCCGGAGGATTGAGGAGGACGTGGATCCGCTGGCGTGGTTGAATGACACGTTCGGGAGCGATCAGGTGGATGGGGTGGGGGGATTTGGGTGAAGGGGTGTCTTGCTTTGCTCTGCTCGTACGCGATGTGGTTCCCTTGCTTGCGCTATGCTCACGTTCTGTTCCACGAGACTCTGATATTCCTCCTGTACACTTGCTAGTATGTATCAACCCTCGACTGCTTCCCGTGCGTGCTCAAGCTCCTTGCGAACCGTGTAGCCCAATGGGATTCGCAGCCATCAGATTACTATTCGCTGTTCCGATAGCTGTCCGCCGATTGAATGACTATCCGATGGTCTTCGCATAATGGCGGGCCATCTATACCATGCTCTCCTCTGGTTCAAGGTCCGCGCCACTGTGCAATTCAGGTCCTCAGCACCAAATGTCAAGCTTGCGCTTCTTCATGACTGTTAGCCGCTGGGGCCCTGTATGCTCGTAAAGGCAAGGGGTCTCCCTGGTCTGATATATAACAGCATAGCTTCTCCGACTGTCTCGCTCTTCGCTTTTGATCATGAAGATTCCCTTGTTGATCGTACTGACCGTTGCAGCCGTTTCTCTAGTTCGTTATGCACTTGGAATGTGGCGCAAGCGTCGGCTCTTGCGCCATGTACCCGGACCAAGCTCCAACAGTCTCCTGCTTGGTGCGTCGTCGTCTATGAACATGTGTATACACCGGTTGACACTGTTTGACCTCAGGAAACCTCCCTGAACTGCTTCGTTCTCCTGCCGCAGAAGTAGGTCAGTCCATCATACGAATACTCTCACTCACTCTTCTCCAGATGGAATTTGACTGGCAAGAACGCTATGGCGGTGTCGTGAAGTACAATGGTGCCTTCGGAGTGAGCTTTTCCAGTAGACCGTCGCACCTTCGTCCGTTGAGCACGCTTTCGCAGGAACAGCTTCTGATGATATCCGACCCGGTCGCAGCTCAGTACGTCGTCCAAACGTCGGGCTATAGCTTCATACGGCCATCGGACCGCAAGGAGGTGTCAAGGCAGCTCTTGGGGAAGGGGATCCTCACCGTGGAAGGTCAGCTGGCGTGTGGCGCGACTAGACTAACGCGGCACTAATGGCACAACCCTAGGCCACGACCATAAGCGCCACAGGCGTATCATGGTACCAGGACTAAGCAGCGTAGAGGTCAACTCGTGGGTAGCAATTCCCCTGACACTCCCGTCCTGCAGGTCAATGATGAAAATCTTTAGTTTCGTGTCTGTTTTCACCGCGAAGGCCGCGCGGGTAAGTTCCCCCGTTAAATGGTGTTAGGAACCGTATAGGCTTACGAGGGTGCTTAGATGGCTGACAAATGGGCGGACCTCATGCATGACAAGGACGTTACAGTGTGCGATGTCCCATTCTGGACAGCGCGCGCGACTTTGGGCAAGTCTCGTAGCAAAAGATTTCCAGAGCATTCGAAAGCTTATCCACGGTTTAGACGCACTCGGAGAAGGTAGGCCTCGAATGGTCCGCATGTTGCACTTTCCACTGACTGTTCCTGTAGCCGCCTTCGACTACCACTTCAACGCGCTTGACGATGATGACAACGCAATGGCGAAAGTCTACCATAACCTCCTGTACGCATAGCCGACTTGGAGGAAGTTCCTTTGCATTGGCTCATTGATGACTAGGTCTAAGACGCGTCGAAACCCCTCTAACTACGAGATATTCATAGCTGAAGCCATCGGGAGATTACCCAGCATTCTCGTCCAATATTGGAACGACTTCGTTCCCAATCGACGACGCGCTCATGCCGCTCGGTGCAAGGCAGTCGCTGAGCCTATTGCGCGCGACCTGGTCGCCAGGAAGCTGTCCGCATTGCAGGCGGGAGAGACCGGGACCGACGTCATGAGCCGCCTAGGTAGCTTCTCACTTCTCCCTGCGACTACTGGGCGATTGGCTAACCCAATTTTTGCAGTGCAAGCGAACGCCTCTGCGGACCCTGACGATCGCCTTGACGAGGAAGAACTCCTCGCTCAGCTGCTGTAGGCTCGCTCGCCGCTTATCGGGCCCCGACTGAAAGGCTTTCCCATAGCACCATGATTCTCTCTGGACACGAGACCACCGCGAACACCCTTTCATGGGCATTGTATGAGCTCTGTCGATATCGAGACGTACAGACACGGCTTCGCACGGAACTTCGCTCCTTCCGCGCAACATCGGGCTCGTCCGAACCCTCTGCCGCCGCATTCGATGGCATGCCCTACCTCACTGCTGTAGTGAAGGTCTGCTGGTTCGCTATCGGGGGCCAGGTGTCTGACCGCCCTTAGGAAACACTTCGATTCCACGCGCCAGTCTACAATACCGCCCGCACGGCGGCACGCGAGGACGTTGTTCCTCTTGGCGAGCCCATCGTCGATAGCCGTGGACAATCTATCTATGAGATACCTGTCCTCGAAGGTCAGAGGGTGCTTATTTCCATTGCCGCGTACAACAGGTAGGCGTCTATTTCTCGAAGAATCCCAACTATTGACTCCGCGCTACCCAGAAATAAGGCCATCTTTGGCCCAGACGCCGACCAATACAACCCAGAACGGTGGCTGAAGCCCGGCTACGTCAATCGTCAAGCGTCTATTGGGATGTATGGCAACCTGTGAGGGCATGTTGTCTTCGTGTCCGCAGTGTCGCTCATTATGCTCACCTAGCTTGACTTTCGGTGGTGGGCATCGAGGCTGTCTAGGTAAAGCGAGTCCTTGTATCAGCTCGAGGCACTACCTAACGATGAGCGCAGGCTGGAGGTTTGCCGTACTCGAGCTGTCTGCTTTCCTGTTCGAACTCATCAATCGCTTCGATTTCGCAATCTCCCCAACCCTGCGGGTTCACCGAGGGGCCGCGGCGGTCATGGTACCCATGTTGGAAGGGGAGCTGGATAAAGGGACACAGTTACCGCTGTTCGTGAGACATGCCGCGTTCTCGGAGTAATCGAACTTCTTCTGCATAGCAACCGCCATTCATGTTTTCACCCTACTTGCACGTCCATCCACCTTCATGCCCGACCTTTCGTGCTGTCGCACGAAGAAAATCGGTCGGCGGTAAGCAGAAATCTTGTCAGCCCTCTCCGCGTTCCGTCTCCGCACCGCATACGACCGCCGTTGGCTTCATATGGATCAATGAGGCTCATTCGTGAGTTTCTCGGCGGGTCAGCAGTTCTCACCGTAGGCGAGTGCATGTAGATATGGTGAGAACCCTTCCCTGACCCACGCTGGTTTGCATGTCACTGACCATCTTCCCCACAGAGTGTCGGACTTCTGCCGCCTCCCGATGAACCTTACACTACCTATCATGACTGCAGATCGTTGCGCGTCGGCCAGTGACAAGACTTCACCTGTGTAGTAGTCCCACATCCTGCGTGACGACACGTATCCGTAGCAGATCGGGAGGGTTCACTGCAGTTAAGCGCGTAAGCAGAGTTCAGATTCTCGCGCTTCTCAACCACCATAAATACGTGCGAGGGAGAAGGTCTTCGTCTTAGCGCCATGAATTCTCCTCTTCTTCCCCTCACAGCGACTGGTATCGTCATTGCTGCCGTCGTGGCCTATGTTCGACGCAGGAATACTTCGATTGCGTCCCTTCCTGGCCCTGCGCAAGGCCATTGGTTGCTGGGTATGCATTCCGACGTGACCACGTTCGATCGTCTCAAGGCATTCCAGGGCATCAACCCACCATTCAGCGCTCCGCCGCTGGCGAAGTACGTCCACTCCATCGTGCATACTGGCCAAACCTTACCATCTTCCTTAGATGGACTTCGACCTCAAGGAGAAATATGGCGGAGCTGTTAAGCTAGACGGAGCGTTCGGGGTACGGTTTATACACGACATGCTGATACGTCTCTGACAATATTCCAGGAAAGGCTCCTGTGGATCTGCGATCCCAAGGCCGTGCAATACGTAGCGCAAGGAGGCGGGTACAGGTTCATCAGGGCCTCCGAGCGCAAGGAGCAATCGCGTCTCATTCTCGGCGCGAGCGTCCTGAACGCGGAAGGTATTGTTGGATTACCGCGGCCAATCCGTGTCATTCTGTGTTGCTGATTTGCCATTTGCGCAGGCGATACCCATAGGCGCATGCGTCGCATCATGCTCCCCGGATTTGGTACCAACGAAAGTAAGACGTGAGTGCACCTTCCTTCTTCCTCGCTGAATTGCGTCTCATTCAATGACTTCCACCAGTTACGTCCCTTCCTTTGCTCGAAAGGCGGCCAAGGTATGTTTCTGCACTCGTGAAGCTCTCCACTGCAACCAACTTCGATCCCTTACAGATGGGCGACAAATGGGTCGAAAGTATGCACGATCAAGAGGGTGCCATCATCAATGTGCCGTTCTGGAGCGGACGGGCTACACTTGGTCAGTATTCTTCTGCCCCTCATCTCTTTCGTGGCCTACTTAACTCGCCTTCAGATGCTCTCGGCGAATGTAGATACTCCTTCGGGAGAGACCTCCATATGGCTGACGAACTTCCGCAGCGGCTTTTGACTATCACTTCAACGCGCTCGATGACATGTCGAACGAGCTATCTAAGGTTTTCTCGAACTTCTTGTGTGTATTCCTGCTTGTTCATCGGTCGACGATTCTCATGATCCGTTGCAGCGCGAAGACACGCTTCATGCCCAGCAACTGGGAGATTTTATTGCAGGAGGCGGTGGCGCTCTTGCCTGTGAAGCTAATCCAGATGTGGAACGAATACATCCCTGACAAGAAGCGCGCCATCATGATAGGCGCGAGGAGTGTTTGCGAGCGTACGGCCCATCACCTCATCTCTGAGAAGTCGTCGGCGCTCCTGTCTGACAAGACGGGCAACGATATCATGAGCCTTCTCGGTCAGTCTACCCGCTGGAGTCGCTCTATTCTGCATGTCCTGACGGCCTTTAAAGTGAAGGCTAACGCTTCCGCTGGCGCGAAGGGCCAACTCAACGACCAGGAAATGCTTGGACAGCTTACGTTTGTATTCCTCGGCCATCCTCGATAATATTCGCTGACGGCGGTATGGATCAGCACCATCATCCTTGCTGGCCACGAAACAACGGCTACGACACTCGCTTGGGCTTTGCTCGAGCTGGCCAGGAATCCTGGTGCGCAGAAGCGCCTTCGAGAGGAGATCAGAACCATTCGTCGGGAGCGCGACGAGCCGGAGCTCTCAGCGGAAACGTTCGAGGGGATGCCCTACCTGGACGCTGTGGTCAAGGCAAGGAGCTTCATCGCTATTGGCCGCTCGTCACTAACTTGGGTGCAGGAGACTCTCCGCTTCCATGGAGTCGTCCCTCAGATCGCCAAGGAGGCCGCAGTAGACGACGTCGTCCCTCTCCACAGACCCGTCGTGGGTGCGGATGGCGAGATGATTCAGGAAGTTCCGGTGCAGAAGGGGCAGAAGATCCTGCTGTCCATAGCTGCGTACAACAGGCAAGCAATCGCTGATCATCCCTCGGGCGATGCGTGCTTACATTCACGCAGAGATAAGGACACTTTCGGGCAAGACGCCGATCAATACAACCCAGACCGCTGGCTCGAGGACGGTCACATCACCAAGCAGGCCTCTGTTGGTGTTTATGCCAACCTGTACGTGGATCAGCCATTCGGATCATATCGTGGGATCTGACCTCACTTAGGTTCACCTTCGGTGGCGGCCATCGTGCATGCCTCGGTGAGCATTCCCAACAAGTAGCCCTCTCGACGACGCTAATTCGACTTCGTGTAGGGTGGCGCTTCGCCGTGCTCGAGCTGTCGGCCTTCCTCTTTGAGCTCGTGGACAGATTCGAGTTCGATGTTGATCCGAATCTGAAGGTATATCGTGCTTTCTCTGGAGTGATGCAGCCGATGCTCGAAGGCGAGCTCAAGATGGGGACGCAGCTGCCTTTGCGCGTGCGCATTGCTTCGTCATCGGAATAAACAGCTTCAAGTCTAGTATTTTGTTAACCTGTTTATGCTATATAAGTCATCGTTGCCAATCTACACAGGACGTAACGCCCTCTCAGCCGCTAGGGAGGAGCGCAAGACTGCGTCGGAGTGACTCCGGCCAGGTTTCGAAACCACGAGAAGTGGACCGGCAACTACCGGATACACCTTGTTCTCGCCTATCATCACCCTGTTCGCGTACTGCTGTCTAACCCTACCCTTCACTGCTAGAGATCATATACGTCAATATGAACGGGCCTAAACAAACGAATTACGCCACCGAGCTTGGGCGATCCGCTCATTGTCGCAGCCGGATCCAGCGTCCTCTTAGCACTCACCGCGGATGCGAGTCCCTTCACGAAGCTGACAGGACACGGGCCTGCATGCTGTAGTGAGAGGTCTAGCTGAAGCTTCACATACAGCCGTGCTATATCCCTGCCGCCCCTATATAAGCGGCGCTCCTCCTCGGAACAGGGCCTTCACTAACCATGGTTTTCACTCTCGTGTCTTCGACGGCACTAGTCATCTTCGTCGCCGCTTTTGTAGCCTACATGCGACGCAGACTGCACCCTATCTCAATCCTTCGGGGACATGGTCACTGGATACTAGGTGCGTTCTGTTCAAAGGTGCACAAGATGGCAGGTTATTGATCTGATGACAGGGTTCCTACCCATGCGTTCAAACACTGCTCACGCTGGCAAGGTCTTTCCTGCGGAAAACTGTCATGTATATCCTTGCTGATCTGTCCTACAGCTCGAACTGGAACTGCTTCGGACGTACGGTGGCGCAGCGAAGCTTAAGGGGGCCTTTGGCGTAAGCACATCATCTACTTCAAAGGCCATGAATGAAGACTCTGACACCATCTTCAGCGAAGACTGCTATGGGTCTGCGACCCCAAGGCGGCGCAATACATTCTCCAGGGAGCAGACTATGGATTCGAAAGGGCAGACGAGAAGAAGGAGTTTGTACGGTTTTCCATCGGTAGCAGCATATTGATTGCGAAGGGTACGTAGCTCACGGATGGACGTGTGAGGACATCGAGCTCATGATCTCGCCCAATTGCCGCCTCTCTATCTCGTAGGCGACGTTCATAAGCGCCATCGACGTATTATGCAGCCTGGCTTCGGGGCCGTCGCGGTGACAACGTGCGTATGCTGATACTTGCGAACTTGGTCCTTTGCTGATTGAGATGCCTGCCACACAGGTACATTCCAATCTTCGCTCAGACGGCCCGACGAGTACGTCTTGTAGGTTCTCTGTAAGGATGCAGAATGACGACCGCCAGTAGATGTCCGAACTATGGGTAGAAGCCCTGCAAGACAAAGAGGAGGCTAAGCTCGACATGATGTTTTGGACCGTGCGAGCTACGCTAGGTTCGTGACAGTTTTCACGATAGGTGTGCCGTGTATTGATCAGGATGTACTGTCGGACAGATGCACTTGGCGAAGGTAAGTAGCGTTCACTCCCCGCGGACGAGCCCGCGGTATATTCATGTCCATTCTGAGCCGCCTTCGACTACGAGTTCGACGCATTAAGCGACTCTCCCAACGAGATCACCAGATTGTTTGGAAACTTCGTGTAAGTGGCCATTTCTTGCGGTCAACTCACAACTCATCAACACTCTCAGCGTCAAATCGGGCCTCCGACCGAGTGACTGGGAAATATTCTTGGGACAGGCAGTCACACTTCTGCCAAACCAAATAATTCAGCTATGGAACGCGTTCATGCCAAACAAGAGGCGCACAATACTGCGGGATGTCAGGTGGACGTGCGAGCGTATAGCGTCCCAGCTGATCGCGGAAAAGTCAGCCGCCGTCATCGCCGACAGGACTGGAACCGACGTGATGAGTCTGTTAGGTTCGTTCCCTGTTCGTGCTCATCTGGCCGCATTTCTCTGACCAGACCTCTACGACAGTGAAAGCAAACCTGTCCGCTGATGCCGAGAGTCGGCTTAATGACGAGGAAATGCTGGGACAACTGAGGTGAGATTTCCTGCCGACATGAATCCTGTGATTGTTTTGCTTACGGCTGCACTATAGTACTCTCATACTCGCCGGGCACGAGACGACCGCATCAGCCATAGCTTGGGCGCTGTACGAGCTTGCCCGAGACCCAGCTATGCAAAATCGTTTGCGCGAAGAAATTCGCACCATGCGCCGGGAGCGCAACGAACCTGAGCTCACCGCGGCCACGCTCGACTCCATGCCATACCTGAACGCGGTGATCAAGGTACGCCGAGGGATGACGCTCGTCTCTCCTCATTCTAGCCTCCACTCTTTTCAGGAGACGCTCAGGATGCGCCCCACCGTAAACAACTTGCAGAAGCAGGCTACGCAGGACGGATTGATACCATTGCTGACGCCCGTCATCGGCGAGGGTGGCGTGCTCGTTCGAGAGATCATCGTGAGGAAAGGACAGAAAGTCTGGTTGTCGGTCATGGCTTACAACAGGCGGGTCTCGACTGTGTATCAGCCCGTTCGCCGCGTGTCTAATCATCCCTCGACAGGAATGAGGACATCTTCGGGCCTGACGCTGATTTGTTCAATCCGGAGCGTTGGCTGGAGGATGGTCATGTGGCTAGGCAAGCAACCGTCGGTGTATACGGCAATCTGTATGTCGATTTCTGCCAACTTCTATGCACATGTACTGATGTTCGGCAAAGCCTGACTTTCGGCGGCGGACATCGGGCATGTCTGGGTAAGCCGAACTCCGTCCTTATTATCTGTCCCACTTGACAAGAAATTGCAGGATGGCGCTTTGCCATTTACGAACTCTCCGCGTTCCTTGTCGAGCTATTGGACCAGTTTCAGTTCGAGGTCGACGCGAATGTCAAGATCTGGTCTGGAGCTGCCGATAGTGTCATGACGCCGATGGTCGAAGGCGAGCTCGACAAAGGGACGCAGCTCCCGTTGCGCGTGCGGTTGGCCTCGATGGCCGAGTAGTCAATGTCACTTGTTCCATTACATGCAGATCCATCATGGACAATCAAGGGAGACAATCATATTGTGGACTCTTTACGATCCCGGCGTCGCTTCACCCTGTCCATATAGATGACGGTCGCAACAATTTCGTCAACGAAATGCATCCCCTTCGGCAAGATACACAGCTTGTTAGTGCTGAAGAAGTGCCGCTCGAAGAGGGCGATCATTTCTTTCGTCTGATCGTCCACGAGCTGTTCCCGCTGCAATCAGACTGACTTCTGCGTATCGCAAATGTCTGGCACGCACTGTGAACACGCCTGGGTCGACCTTCCACTTGTATTGCCGCCCGTCTGAGGCCAGCCACGTTTCGGACCTTTCAGTCGTACACATGAAATCATGCGCATCTCTTGACTTTATCATGCTCACCTAGAGAAGAGCCCCATGCGGACGGGCGTCACGTCTCGCCCATTGACCACAACCTCATGACTTGAGAAAGCCCTGAGCATGACCGTGCCGATGAGCACCTCGCCCGAAGGCTGGTCGGGCGCAGCGCGATATAGCGTCGTAGATCGCTTTCCAACTTGGAAGAGCTTGGTGCTCGTGCGATAAGCAGCTCTGTGAGACGTAGAGTCGAGGAGGACCGTGTTGTAGAAGTCGTGGTCACTAAGCTCAAAATCCATGGAAGTAGAGGGAGTGGTCGGAAGGCTTACTGGAGCGCGCGACGGCCCAGTAGATAAGCGCAGGAGTTGTTACCAAGACAATGAAAATATGAAGTCGTTCAGGAGTTCGCATCTGCAACATGATGCCAATGCCTTTATCGTGACTTTCCTTCCCACACTTACAGGTCATCCCGGTCAAGTCTGCTTTGCAAACTGGAAATATCTCGATAGAACCTCATAGAGCCAGAAAAATAGGGTAAGCAATAAGTAACTAGATCCGAGGGCATTGAAGAACGGAGAACAATACCTTCCTTTTATGGGATGGCAGTGACGCCATTCGGCATGTGGCGCCAATGTGGCGTAACTGCAGCTTGTTCTTTACTTTCATTCTCTTTCGCTCGTAATAATGCTATGGGATCTCTTGCCCTCCGCGCTGAGGGCACTAATCATCTCCACACACCTCGTCACGCCACCCCCTGCGCCTGAGCCACCAGCCCTCGAGTTCCAGCTCCGTCACCACCATGGCGTCGCAGCCAACTCGACGAACCCGCGCGTTATCTTCGCGGACGTGCCGCAGGCCTTTCATACCTCCTCCCAGAGCATCATTCAGACACGGCCTGTTACCATCCACCGACCTTCGTCGTTCTCCGCGTTCAACAGCGCGCGGTTCAGGTTTCGCAATCCCTTGGACATTGAGCCGCTACGATGGGACGCGGAGGAGGTGCCCGGGCCTGACTATACGAGGCGCGACGTGCTCCTCCAGCTCGCGAAGATGACGCACAACTCGTACTACGAGCCCAGCAACAAGGAGTGGTATGACTTGGGCGAGGACTGGAATAACGTGCGTCACATAAACCATCGTACTTCCCAGCTTCTAACTGCAGTCCCCGTATCAGACCTTCCCCTTCGGCTGGGAGCCCGACGCCGCAGGCTTCCGAGGCCATATCTTCGTCTCCACGGACAACAGCACCGTCGTCATCTCCGTCAAGGGCACGTCCACTGGCCTCTGGGAGCCCTCGCGCACGCTTGACAAGCTCAACGACAACCTCCTGTTCTCGTGCTGCTGCGCGAAGGTGGGCCCGACGTGGACACCGGTGTGCCCGTGTGCGCAGGGCGGGGGCAAGTGCGACGAGGAGTGCGTGGAGCGGTCGCTTGTGGACGAGAGCTTGTTCTATCCGATCGGCCTGGTGAGTGCACGACAGGTAGCGAGTCTTCATGCTAACTGCCTGCAGAACTTGTACAACAACGTCACCTACATGTACCCGGACGCGAACATCTGGCTTATTGGACATTCGTTGGGCGGCTCCCTCGCGGCGCTGATGGGTGCGACGTTCGGCGCGCCTGTCGTCGCTTTCGAGACCCCTGCGGATCGTCTAGCAGCGCGACGCTTGCATCTTCCGACTCCTGTATGTCCCTCACCGTCCTTCGCCCAACGAAGCTGACCACCGCGCAGCCCTCCACCCTGCACATAACACATGTCTTCCACACCGCCGACGTAAGTCGTCATTCCACGGGCGCCTATTTCTCGGCGCCTATTCTCCCTCGAACTCCGTCTAACGCCCCTCTCACTCCATACTGACGCCGCCTCCCCACAGCCGATCCCCATGGGCGCGTGCACCGGCGTGACCTCCATGTGCGCCATCGGCGGCTACGCCCTGGAGAGCCGCTGCCACCTTGGGCAGCGCATCGTCTACGACACGATCACCGAGCTTGGGTGGGCACAGGATGTACGGACGCATCCGATCAAGGTGATCATAGATCAGCTGCTGGGGAAGCCGTGGAACGCGACGAAGACGGGGCCGAAGCCCGGGGATGGAGGTGAGCGGGAGGGCGATCAGCCTCGGGAGGGAGAGACAAGGAAGGGTGATCCCTCGGGCGAAGATGGCCACTCGGGCGCAGGCGATTACCCGGAGCTCGGGGAAGGCGATCGGTCAGAGGGCGGGGAAGAGGGTGGTGACGTCTGGTGGTGGCCTCGATGGCCAGGTGGAGGGAAGGGGGGCGAGGAGCCTGAGGACGGGGTAGATTTGAATTACGTCCCTCCCGCGGTTCCTGAGGACGACGATTGCGTGGACTGCTACGCTTGGGAGTACGTATAGCGGACTGCTAGGTATCGCTAGTCGTCGTCGCTATGGTTTTCTGGGGAGTAGAGAGGTGTAGCCAGCGAGGGTAAAGTGGTGTAGAGGGGTTTACGACAGTGTATATTATAGTCGGATTTCTGGTTGCTAGTAGCTCTGTTTACGAAGTGGCCAGAGGGCGGGGATCTGTCGACGCCTGGATCAGAAGGCGCACATCGTCTCAGCTGGCCTGGTATGCTCTATGCGGGGAGTATGCATCTACATCCGCGCGAACTGACCTTTCAACTGACCCTCCAGATTTGGGGAGTGCTCGCCTGGATCCGTGGCTTTGAAACAAAGACGGTAAATCACGGTGCAATCGATGCGGTCGGATGGAAGGCCGCTAAAGTCCGGCCAGCTGACGATCCTTGGACCGCACTGAACGAGATTATGACGCGCAAGAAGTAGCATGAGCGCCTGAGTGCCTGAGCCTCGCTCGCAGGCCCAGTTTAGCCCGAGGCCGCGAGACGGAGAGTCGAACGCTGAACGTTTGCCAGGATGTTGAAGACCGTGACACAGGCGTGACCGGAGTTCAGCATGTTCTCCTCCTCCCCCGCATTTCTCTTTCCTCATACCATGATGTCTACCGCAACGCATACGGACATTTCGCTCGAGTTTCGCCGCTGACACCGGCGCACGTTCTGCGGTCGAGGAAGCCGGTTGCCGAGCGATTTATTCCCGTCCTTGGCTTATGAAATTCCCCACGATGTGGACGGTCCCCCGCACGGTCAAGTGACGGCGCACCATCTGCACAGCGCGCGGATTCGATTCGGGCTCCGGACACGCGACCAGGCCGAGGAGCCATCAGTTACGAGAGACCTATATAATGGACCGCGTCGAAGCCCGCTCCTTCCTCGGACGGCCTTCCTCTGCCGATTAACGCAAGCCGCCATGAAGAGCGCACTCATCGCCGCGACGCTCGCCGTCGCGCCTGCGCTCACGATGTACGTCGACCCCGCGAAGCTGGACGCCTGTGCAGGGTACGACGCGTCGAACGTCTACTCTGACGGCACGAAGCTCACCGCGACGCTCAACGTCGCGGGAGACTGCGGCGTCTTTGGCGAGGACATCTCCGAGCTCGCGCTCGAGGTCACGTATGAGACCAGTACGTCGATTGTGTCCTACCTGACGCGTCTGAGCTGACCGCACCCCGCAGCGACGCGTCTGCACGTCAAGATCTCCGACGCGGCTCACCCACGGTATGAGGTGCCCGATGTCGTCGTCCCTCGCCCGACCATCGGCGAGGGCGCGAGCCAGGACAACTCCGAGATCCAGTTCAACTATACGGAGTCTCCGTTCTCCTTCACTGTCTACCGCACCAACACTTCTGAGGTCCTCTTCTCCACGGCCTCACACCCCATCATCTTCGAGGACCAGTACCTCCGCCTCAAGACAAGCCTCCCGGAGAATGCGAACATCTACGGCCTCGGCGAGCACACGAACAGCTTCCGCCTGGATAACCACAACACCACGCTGACCATGGCGAGTCATCTGTACTGCGTGTACTACAACATTCACTTACCCCTCTTGCAGTTCAACCGCGATGCTTACGGTGTTCCCAACGCCACCAACCTCTACGGAGCCCACCCCATCTACCAGGAGCACCGCGAGACCGGCACGCACGGTGTCCTGCTGCTCAACTCCAATGGCATGGACATCAAGCTCAACCAGACTGATGGTCAAGAGTCTACACTCGAGTACAACGTCATTGGTGGCATTCTTGACCTCTACTTCTTTTCCGGAAGCGAAAGCGACCCCGCCGCGGTTGCTCGTCAGTATGCCGAGCTTGTCGGTCTGCCTGCCGAGTACCCCTACTGGGGCTATGGCCTGCACCAGTGCCGCTACGGGTACACTGGTACGTCTCCGTCAGACTTCATTGTTACAGGTCTGTTCCTAACTCGCGCCTGCCAGACTTTGTTGATGTTGCCTCGGTCATCTCGAACTACTCCGCTGCCGGTATCCCTCTCGAGACGATGTGGACGGACATTGGTTGGTCGATTTTTTGTAATGCATCACCTCCCATCTGACGTTCGCGGCTAGACTACATGTACAAGCGCCGCACGTTCAGCTTGGACCCGGACTACTTCCCTCTGGACCGGATGCAGGAGATCATTGACTACCTTCATGAACACGAGCAGCAGTACAGTAAGTATTTTGGAAGCGCGGCATTGGAGATGAAGTGCTGATCCTTTCATTTCTCTAGTCTTGATGACTGACCCGGCTGTCGCGTACGCGCCCGACTCGAACTACGAGGCGTATGACCTTGGCGTGGAGATGGATATCTTCCTCAAGGCAGCCAATGGCAGCGATTTCCTCGGTCTGGTCTGGCCGGGTGTCACTGTCTACCCTGGTGAGTATAGCTTGCCTGAAGCCAAAGGACGGAAGAGACTCACAGTCGTCCATAGACTGGTTCAACGAGAAGACCCTGGAGTACTGGACGCATATGTACACTACCTTCTACAACAAGGATACTGGCCTGGACATTGATGGTGCTTGGATCGACATGAATGAACCTGCCAGCGTCGGTTTCCCTTGCTTCCCCTCGCCCTTGTCTCTGACCGCCTTCCCAGTTCTTCGACCTGACCCTCAACACCAGCATCTGGCAGCAGGAGAAGGACCAGAACCTGCCTCCCAACCGCACCACCGTCGCCCCCGACTACGACACGCCCATCTTCGGCAACGACGCCAACTCGACTGTCAGCGCCAACGTCTCCATCAGCCTCCGCCGCCGCGACATCATGGACCCGCCGTACAAGATCGATAACAAGCAGGGCGCGCTCTCTGCGAACACCGCGTTCGCGAACGCCAAGCACGCCAATGGCCTCGTTGAGTACAACACGCACAACCTGTACGGCGCGATGATGAATAACGCAACCCGGCACGCGATGCTGGCGCGCAGGCCTGGCCTGCGCCCGCTCATCATCACACGGTCGACTTTTGTGGGCTCGGGCCATCTGGTGGGCAAGTGGCTCGGCGACAACTTGAGCACTTGGGTGCACTACCGGAACTCGATCGCGGGTATTCTTGGTATGGCCAGTGTGTACCAGGTCCCCATGGTCGGCGCGGATATTTGTGGCTTTGGTGGCAACACCACTGAGACCCTGTGCGCGCGTTGGGCTATGCTCGGCGCGTTCTATCCCTTCATGCGTAACGTGAGTGCAGTGTCCAACAGTCTGCTTGTGCTGACAGATCTCCCAGCACAACGGTGACACTAGCATCAGCCAGGAGTACTACCTCTGGGATACTGTCGCTGAAGCCGCCAAGGGCGCTATCGAGACCCGCTTCCGCCTCCTCGACTACATCTACACCGCCATGCACAAGCAGCACGTCGACGGCACGCCGCTCATCGCCCCGCTCTGGCACGCCTATCCCAAGGACACGAACACCTACCCCATTGACACGCAGTTCCTCTTCGGCCCCTCCGTCATCGTCTCCCCGGTCATCGAGGAGAACTCGACGACGGTGACCGCGTATCTCCCCGACGACGTCCTCTACGACTGGCAGACCCTGTCCGTTGTGCAGGGCCAGGGCACGAACGTCACGCTGAACGCGAGCTTCACGGAAATACCGGTGCACATCCGCGGTGGCGCCGTCTTGCCCCTGCGCGTGTCGGGCGCCAACACGACCGCCGCCCTCCGCCGCACGGACTTCGAGCTCGTCGTCGCGCCGGGCAACGACGGCTCTGCTTCTGGCAGCCTGTACGTCGACGATGGCGTCAGCGTCGAGCAGGAGAGCACGACGGAGGTCGACTTCGTCTACGTGAACGGCACGCTGACCGTGGATGGCAAGTTCGACTACGATGTTGGCGTGCAGCTTCGGCGTGTGCGCTTCCTCGGCGTCGGTGAGCAGCCGAAGAACGTCACGCTCGATGGGGAGGAGGTGCAGGACGTGACCTTCAATGCGACGACTGGGGTGCTCGACGTCCCGGTCGGGCGCGACTTCAGCGCTGGCTTCACGGTGGTGTTGGCGTAGGGTGGTAGTGCACATGGGATCTTGGACCACTGAGTGAATAACAAGTACTGAACTGACGATCTAGTAATGCGCACGATGTAGTTACTTATTGCTTACCCTATTTCCTCTGGCTTATGCAAGGCGTATCCTATTGGGATCTGTTCGACTGGCAAGGCTTATGATTTGAACCGTGACACGCAGTATTCTAATCGTCTGTCACACCGCTCGGGATGTACCGAGCCTTATCTGTACCTTGTCCTCGTCCATGAACCTGAAATTGGCTCCAGGCGTCTACTTGGCTCTGAGCGTATATGAGCTATGAGCCCCTTGGAAAACACTCCGCTGCTGGCCGACGCCTCTCCATCTCATGATGATGACGGGACAGACGCGACGGTACCAGCGGACCCTTACTCTCGATTCAGTGAACAACGGAAGACGGTGCTCGTGCTCCTTGTCGGGTGGTACTCTCTTATGGCCAGTGAGTCAGTCCGTAGGTTTCTCTCTGAACCATGCAGACATCGAAACCAGTGATTGTGTCTGGATCCTTCATCCCCGCTATCCCCCAGATAGCGAAGGACCTTGAGACGGGCGCAAACACTGTCAGGTGCGTCTGCTTTTCCTGTAAGGTGTCTCATGACTCACGCATCCGTAGCCTCGCCATTAGCGTCACGCTTTTGTCTGAGTCTTTTGGCTCATTGGTGGCCTCGTCGTACTCGACCTTCTGTTCGTCGCGCGTGAGCCTCATTGTTTGCACTGCCTTCTGACGGCACCCGCAGATGGGCGGCGCCCCGTGTATCTTGCCGCCATACCAGTACTCTGCGCCGGATCCCTCGGTGTAGCACTGTCTTCTACGATCAATCAACTGCTAGTATGGCGCTCCATCCAAGCGCTCGGCATGTCCCCTGGGTTCTCCGTGGGTGCTGGCGTCGTCGGTAGGTCGAGCGGGTCAAGCCTGCAACACCCTTGTCTCAAAGACACCGCAGGCGACCTGTCCAGCGCCGAGCATAGAGGCCTTGCGATAGGTGTCTTTCTCGGGGTATGCGTCATTCGGAAACAAGTAGCGCGGAGACGGAGATGAATATCTGACTTCGCAGATCGCCCTCCTTGGCCCTCTTCTAGCGCCCGTCGTGGGAGGTACGTGGCCTTTATCCTCCGTCCGCCTTTGTGCACATGCCGAACGTGAGGCTGAAGGGTATGTTGCGCACTATTGGTCCTGGAGAAATATGCAATTCTGTATGGCCGGCGCGAGTGCGCTCACGCTGTTGCTGTTCCTTCTGGTCTTCCCTGAGACAAGGTCTATCCATCTCCTTTGAGAAATCGCTCAATGTCTAAGTCCCTTGCAGCCATCCCGAAAGCACGGGCGCCTGGAAGGCTCGGCAAGCTGCTGAGTCGAAGGGCTCCAAGCCGCTTAACTTTGTCTTCATAAACGTCTTGCGGCCCTTGGGGCTCTTACGAAGCCCAAACGTATTGATCATCGTGCGTTGCACTTTGGGACGCAACGCATGGGCTGAGCTGACTCTGGTATAGACGGTCGCTGGCTACTGCGCTCTGACAACCAACTTCGGTAGGTGTTGAGCTGCGTTTGGAAAATGGGAAAACTAACCTTAGTATATAGCTCTCCTCGTTCCCATCAGCAGCACCATCGTGAGCGCTGACTACCCTGAAAAGCCTGAGCTAACAGCGCATGTAGGGAACTCGATATGGATTGAACGCTTTTCTTGTCGGACTCTGTATGCTGCCTTCTGGATTGGGCAACATCAGTGAGTCTGCGTTCGGAGTAGCGCACGCCACAACGATTCTTATGCGCAGTGCAGTCGGAGCACCTTTAGCTGGCAGGCTGTCCGACAGGGCACTGACCGAAGGACACGGGGAGACGCTTCATCCGGAGGACCGCTTGCGAGCGGCCTTGGTGGGTGCTGGCATATTAGTCCCATTGTCCGCGCTTGGAGCCGGTCTGACCGTCCGCTTCGTGTCCGGAACGCTCGGGCTGGCGATGAACATGATCTGCTTGTTCATGAATGGTATCGGCGTGAGTGGGGCACCGAATTGCGGTCACTGGTCCCATGCAATAAGCAGCGCGGGCCAGGCCGCGACCCTCTTTATCATCCTTGGCCCTGACGTAGACCCGTTATACAGGTGGAACTCACGCTGACGCCACTGGCCGCATACTGCATAGATATTCTGCAGAGCAGAAGCGCTGAAGTTATATCGGCTAACAGGTATCTTGCCGTCTGGACAACCCTGCGCGCATCACACCGGTTCTGACATTTCTCAGCGGATTCAGATCCCTCTTGATCTCGCTGACGGTGGGGCTCGTGCCTCCTTTGCTAAGCAGGCTGGGATCCATAGGCATGGGAATATTGAGTGCGGCTGTGGCGTGGTTAGGGTTCAGGTGCGTGGTCCCAGCATCGTGGTGATCGTACGCTGACCAGACTATGTCTAGTTTGATATCTGTGACTATCCATTACGGCGAAAGGTGGAGGCTGTATGTCAACATAGTTACTTGAACATACCAATACGTATTGGGCGGAAGTGATTGGGGGTCACCCGGCCATAAAATGAGCTCCTGATTAGGAAGGCTTTGTACTTTGCTGTCCAAAACGGGCCATTTTTGTTTCGGCTTCGCCCGGTACTTCTTTGTTTCCGCACACAAGAGCGCTTGACTTCTCACTTTCTGCATTCCACCTGTGCGTCCTGCATTATGTAGCTTCATAGCTCGGGCGTGGGACCTGGGATGTTCGAGCTAATAGGCTCCCCTTCTGCGTCTGCGCCTATCCCGGGGCATGCCCCAGCTCCCGGGCACCTCCCCCACCTTTTGTGAGCGCGCTGGATGTCCCGACCCACGTACCGGTGTCCCAGCGCCTGTCCCAAGTCCCGGTCGGTGTCCTAGGCAGTCGAATATAATTGTATGATATATTCCCGGATTTTTGCTGTCCCAGTGGATGTCCCGGCGTCCCGCGCATGTCCCGCTCCAGCCCTCAGCGTCCCGGCCTTGTATCCCATTGTCCCGCCCGCGATCCCAGCATCTCGCTCGCTTTCCCAACATCCCGTCCCTGGCTATCCCAGTGTCCCGCTCATGTCTAACTATCCCATCCGTTATCCCAGCATCCCGCCCTTGTCCCGGTGTTGCTGGGCAACTTGGGCTGCACAGCCGTCGCTCCAGATACATATGGACCCATAAGTATCTGTTCGACGCCACAAAATCACTGGAGCTGAATATTGGAGACTAATGCAGTACACCACGTACATTGCGAACGAGTTAGGAGCTTCACATTTTTCGCCACACTGATACAGCGTGTTCTCCAAGAACATCAGTGGCAATTTGAGTCGAACCCGCCTCCAATTCGCGCGTCTCTGCTATGTAATCGAGGTGTATGCACGAGGGACGGCATCAGGAAAAGTGGCCCGGGGCCGGAAGCGGACTCAAGCGGGCTCAAGCGGGCTCAAGCGTCTCAAACGCTCAAGAGCTTCAAAAGTTATTGCCCGATATCAAACACTCTCAAGACACTTGACCCGTCCTTGAACCCGCTTGAACCCACTTGAGTCGGTTTGAGTTTAGCCAAGCGTCATGAAGCTGCTTCAATTTTATTCTTCTCAATCTCTAGATTCATTTAGAAGATCACTAAATTTGCTTATTATTGATCACTAATACAAAATCTACACTACACTGAAGAACTACATTGCCTGCCGGTCGCGCGCTCATCCCCACGACCACTGCCCACCCCATGTTCATCATCACCTGATGCGCGCCTCTGCGCTCCCGACGCACACACCTCCCGCTAGCATCAGCGCGTCCAGCGGCCCACACACATTCCGGGAACGCACCTTGCACCGTTGTGTGTTGTCCTGCACTCCTCTGGTCGTGCGCTCGCGCGAGCTTGCAAGCTCAGCACTCGGCAAATACCGAGCTCGCGCTGAGGTGCGTGCCGTCGATTCACACACCCCGGGCAAATGCCTAAGACGTGCGGTGCTCGTCAGTAAGCGCACTTGAGGGCAGAACACACCTGACGTCGTACAGCGCGCTGCTGCATTTCCTCTCGCTCGCCAGCTGCCGCTCCGGATCGTCCCGAGCCGCCACTCTCGCGGTGTCCCCCTCGACCGGTCCTCTCACGCACACATGTCGTGGTCAGTGGGTGCATGCAATCCCGACCACGCCGCACGTAGTGATATACGCGCGGCCGTCCGCGGACACGCGAGACCAATGCACGTGTGCATCGTGGACTTGCCACGTCACGCAACGATCGGCGCTCGCATACGTGGCGGCCGAGGCGGGCGTGCAAAGACCACCCGCGTGCAGAATATCGCGGCAGGTGGAGATGCAGGTGGGGAGGGGGGTGGGGAGGGTCGTCGACGTCGCTGACAGGCGACCTGGGTAGGCGGTCGCCTTGGTGACGCGTCATAGGCCGCGTCAAGGCGTGACGAAGCAGAGGGGGCGGTGGTGGTTGCGGCAACGTCGAGAGAATGTTAGGAAAAGACAACGCGCGGCCTGGCGGCCGACGCGCGTCGAGCGGACAGAGAGATGGTGATCGACGAAGACAAGAGAAAAATTCGCTGCGGCCGGGGATGTTCCGGACGGTCACGTGACCCACGAAGTCCCGGCCCGACATGCCGACCTTCGCCTCTTCATGTGGCGCGGCCATCGTTGTTGCCCTCGCCTCCCCCCACAAGAACATGCTCCCTATTCTCATGTAGTCCACTATAGGGTAGTGCTGGTCCATAATGCACATAATGTGCAGCAGGTCTACTACTTCCATTCCCTCTAAGTATGCTGCACTGCTTCTTTATGTACTGTTTTCACTTGACCTAAAGCATATCCAATAGTCATATCAGACTATGATTGAAAATATTAGTTGATGTTCAAAGATCCTTCAACTCTCTTGAGTTCACTTGATATAGGCCCCATGTTCTCAAGCACTCTCAAGTGGGCTCAAGCAGGCTCAAGAGCATTCAAGCAGCTTCAGGATCTGCCAAATTCTCAAGTGCTCTCAAGCGGCTTGGCCGCTGGGGGGTTTTTGGTGATGGGCAAGGGTCAGGTCCCTTGTCAAGGACACCAATGATGACTGGCGGCATGGCGTCAAATTCTTTGGCAACCATGGCGCTACGTGGACATACGCTAGTGTGGTGGCTCACTGGCAGCAGGACTGCGGCAAGGGCCTCCCTGGTCATCGCTGCATGGACGCTTCCGCCATGGCCCCCGCTTCTCCTCAGTCACCAACTTCCCTGTCGATGCACCCTCCCGGTTATGTGTCGACCTTAGCACAGAACGCCGCATCGTCTTCCAGCACTGTGCACCCTACGATGCCCACGCGCTCTGAGCCACGGTACTCCTCACCTTCAGCAAGGAGTGACGCTACCTCCCACGCACGCTTCATTGTCATTGATGGAGATAGCGAAGTGTACACCGATGAGTATGTGTCAAGTCGCATCTCTTATATCTTGAGTTCCTCACCGTCCCCCCTCATAGACAGCGAGTCGAAGCTGAGGTAGAGCAACGATATGCTCGCGGGGAACGCCCTCATCTGTTGTATTTCGATACCCTTACCTCTGCTTTGCGTCACATGTCGTCTCCAGCGCGTCGTCGTCTTTGAGTGTTATCTTGTTGTTGTTGTCCTGTTACTGCTGACCATGCTTTCGCTGCTTTGTACGTCTTGCTAGCATTACTCGTCTATTGTCTGTCCCATATGTATGTTTCGTCGGTCTCAAATATTATTCATCGTTGAACTCCCTTCTCACGTGCACTGATCAACCGGGTTGATCTCTTTCACTCACGATGTCAGACGGTCGCGCGAAGAAGAAGAGGAGGCATGCTGTCTCAGCACGTACGCGCGGCACAATATTTGACTCTGAGTCCTTGACTTCGGTGGACCGGCTGACTACGCGCACGTCTCGCCAAGAAGAGTGTGATCGTATTGATCATGAGCGACAGGAAATGGTTATTCGTACGTCTCCTGGACAGACATGCAGACAGACAGTGATTGACTAATTCCCCACGTAGGACGTGCAGGCGAACTTCGACAGCAGCTTGAAGACGCGTCTCTCGAAGCTGGGGTGTATTCCCGCACGGAAGAAGAAGTCGCGGCGGACGACATTTGGGCTCCATTGCAGGAAACGGAGCAGCCAGACCCTGGAGACACGGACGATAGTGACTGGGAGGACGAGCGTGTTGAGATGGTTGTCATGTGTGTGGCCTCTTTAATTCTATTGAACTCTTTACTGAGAGAGATCGCCTTTATAGCTGCGGAGATACGCGTCGGAGGCGGCGACACGCAACACTAGACAAGGAAGAACGCGCCAGGCGCTGTCAAGAGGCCTGGCAAGCCGACATGACACATCTCACGCACGCATATCTGCAGTACAAGCATGCGCTCGTGCCGGACGACAACAACTCCATACCCGGCGTCGCGTGGAGTATTGCTACCTTGGGCGTACGAGGTGCGTCCAAAGCGAATTCATATGCAAGGCCTTGAGCTGATTCAGTACGTAGAGCTTGAATGGGCGCGTCCATTCGTTCAAAGAGAAGGTCAGAGCGCCAATACCGTTCTGCTACATCATGGACTGCTTGGTGCATCGCCCGTATCGCCCTCTATCGCCTTCACCACCGAGCTTCTAGAGCTCTACCACCAGTTGAGGCGACACCAACCATCCTTCAGTGTTCAAGCCATGGTCAAGACTTTATGCAGCATCCATAATGTCGGTTGCTTCTTCACGCGCAGCATGCTCTCACTGACTTGATTCCAGCTCTCCTACCGCCACACATACCGCCAGCAGTTCTCGGACTGCTTTGACGCGTACCTTGCTATACTGCGTGCGGTGCAGCTTCAGACCGATGCCGCTCTTGGCCGCGGATTTGATTGGCTGGTCAAGAGCCAGTGTGCTGCGTGCGTAAACAAGGTACAACATATGGTCAATCGTGTGCGGTCCATGGACTGACTGTCCTTAAGATACCAGAAGAAGAGGTTCTTTGTCCTACGATGCTGCACGCCATGGACGGCAACGAGTCGCTGAAGCGGGTCACCGGCTGGGGCCACACAGACAAGCGTGAATTCCATAGCGCTTTCTTGATTTCATCCGGCGACGTCGACAAGTTCAAGGATGATGTCAAGCATCGTACCCAAGGCCCGCGGGGCGAGGACCGGTCCTCGTCTGACGAGAAGAAAGCATGTACGGCAGACGGGCATTGGAAGACCGCCAACGCCTCTACGATCAGCACCGAAACATTCGATGAATGTGGCGCCTTCGTGTCCGTATGCCGCCACCATCTTGTCAGGACGTTCTGTCCCATGATCCGAAGTGGAGAGCTGTACGTGCTTGCTTCGTCCTCGTCATCTGTCAAGCTAACACTCAATCACTTGTAGTGCAAAGTACGGGCTTGCAACGGTCAATCGCCTTCTGGATCTCTTTGGCAGTGGACAAGGGATTGGGTATGATATTGGCTGTACGCATCGGACTACTATCGCGTCCAGTACACTCGGAGAAAAGGCCAAGGCGTTGGGACTCGATATCACCGTTGATGCCTTCCACGGCTACGCCCACCACCGACGATGTCAGCTGAAGAATCACCCCTTATTTCGGGAAGGGTACGGGCTGGAGGACTTGGCGACTTGCGAACGTGTTTTCTCCGCATCCAATTCGGTCGCACGACTTGTTCGCCATGCCTCAAAGTTCCATTACGGCCAGTTCATCGATCTCCACTTCCGTAATGGGATCGTACGTCTCGAAAGACCTCTGATCGACTCAGGCCTCAACCACACACAACAAGCACACAGTAGAATGGTCAATCACCGGTCAGAGACGCAGCGAGTCCGGGTTTTTGTATTGCTTGGGAGTAACTAGTCTACTGGAGAAATAATAGATTCCGTGCTCTGGGAGTCGCGGTTACTGAGAGGGTCTGTGCTCAAAGCTTTCGCAGGCGCTTGGGAAGCGTTATACGAAGGTTACGACGAGATATTCAGGTGCTTAGTTGCCCAAAGGCTGATCAGACGGTCAAATGCTGGTTAAGCTTATGATTCTAGCGGTGCGCTGTACTGGGGCTTCTCGGGGTCCCAAAAGTCCCCGAATCCATCCTACAGTCTGGTATTTGAACGTTCGCCCCTCCGAGGCCTCGCCGCGGCACTTCTCCTATCTCCTCCCAATAATTCCCTCATATCGCGCCATTCCCTGCAAATCCCGTCCAATTCCTGCCTATCGCGAGCGCCGGAGCGCTGATACCGGGCTTAGGACGATACTGTCAGCCGGTTGGAAGATTGCCGGTGTCGAAGAGGCGCCAGAGAGTCGAGACACCGAGATATGGATCTTATCCGCCTAGGGAGCGCGCGGTTTCTCCTGGGGACCGCACGAGTCCGCAGTCGAATTCTCCGCTCGCCGAGGTGTATCGAGGCACGCGTGGTGGGGCCGCAAACCGAGCGCGCGTCGCGGAGGAAGCGTCGCGCCGGTGCGAGTTGGTTTCGGCAAAGTCCGAACCGCGTCACGGTTCGAGTTACACGGTCAGGTGACGCGCGTGCGGCACCGGCAACAGGCTTTGCTTCGGGAAAGATTCCCTTGGCAGACTTCCCTTAGGTAGCTAGCAGAGACTGCCTGAATTGGTGCGACATATTCCTATACGAGATTCCGGCGCTGCTAAAGCATGTTATAGCCGTGAGTGGCGGTCTTAGAGCGACTGCATCCCACTCAGCCCTTTCAGGGATCCAAAGGATGTCATCTAAGGCGCGCAGACATGGCGGTCAGGTGCCTCGGAGCTCCTAGTGGCCCTCAGGGTAGCCCGCTAACCGGTCTCTCTTATAGTACCCGCTTATAAAAGCTGGGCAGGCTGACAGTCTCTTGTACCAGCACCTTTGGTACCATCTAGGCTAAGCTCCCTGTACAGTAGTAGCTTGCTATTTCATAGCCCTGATTGCTTGCCGGCGATCCGCTTCATATTGCTTAATTTCCCCTTATAAAACGCGATTTTCTTAGCCCCGGCGTATCATCTCCCCCACACCATAATCTTGACCGTCCTCGGTCATTTCAAATGGCTAGTAGAGTGATTCGGCGTTGTTACTCGTAGGGCAAGCACTACCAAGTCGACTGCGCGACGCAGTCTGTTGAAATGGCTGCCCCAATGTTGCCCGCAGGTCGGGTTTCTGCCGGATTCGAACTCTTGTGGCCGGGCCGAAGCACCGGCAACGTAACTTAAGCTCGCATCGTGCATGTTCGAGTTCTAAAATTTTGTCTCTAACCGTCATCCTGGTACGTTCATCGCGCGGATGTCGCGTTATGCCGCTGATTCAGGCCTCTAGATGCCTTCAAAGTCAGAAGCTCCCCACCCCGAAGCGCGCCAGGGCCCTCAAGCGTACGCTGGCCGCTTCCAAGCGATCACGGGACCGATTCGCGCGAGGTTAGGCGCCGACAAGGCGCCAACTCTTCGCAACTTGTGTTTGCTGTTCATACGCAACGAGGCTCTCGCCAAGTCGACCTCTCAACTGTTAGTAAGTCCCTTCACTCCCGCTTCACGCGATTTTCTCGAACTAAATCCCCGTGTAGGGTCGGTTCATGAGTGTGCTCGTCCTGGGCGAGCCCGACGACGACGTCAACTTCCTCGATCCAATACCACCATGGGCGGCGGCGGCGTATTTCATTTGGGACGTCATCCGTCTCGCCAGGCCGGGCCCTAAGTGGTATAGCAATCACGACTTTCCCCGGCCCGGGTAAGTCACTTCTCTTGCTTTCCTCTCTCATTGAAGAGTCCCTGGCTGACTATGCGTTTCCAGATTTCTCATAAACGCCGTCGGTATTGATCTACCAGCGCTGGAGACCACCGGTTCGCTCGAGTTCCGTCGGGCTAGCACGGAACGCGCCAACCGCGAGGCGGTAAGTACACAACCTTTGTTCACTTCTCGCGTTATTTCTGACTTCTCTTCTTGCAGCTCGAAGCGCTTTGGGACGCAGAGTTCCTCCCCGACACTTGGGTGCGCGACGAGGCTCTGCGGTGTGGGTATGGCGACGTCCAACTGGACCGCTGTCGCCCTGCCACTCCTTGGGAGCTGGGCTTCGCGACTCGGCAACGTCAGGCGCGCAAGAACGGAGTGGAGCTGCCCGAGGCCACGCGCTCCTCGCACTTGCCTCAGGAACCGGTACGTTCCCTTCTCGCTTGTGTATTCCATAGTTTTCTGACTTTGTTTCTCCCGTTCTAGCCTTCGCCAGACGGGGAGCGTTACAGTCGCCGCATCGCCAAGTTGTCGGTCGAGTGTCCGACCTCCTACCGACGCCCGGACGTGCGCGTTCCGGTTATTCCGCCCGCGTTTCTGGCGATGATGGAACGTCGCGAGCAGCGCGACGCCGCAAAGGCCCTCGGCTTCGATTTGGACGTGCAGCCGCGCGGAAGACAGCGGCTTGTCGTGACCTCGCCGCCATCCTCACGTGCGCCTTCTCCCGCCGCCTCTCTGCCTCCGTCGCCGGCTAGCGTTCCAGCGCCGTTCTCCTCAACGCGTGCGTCCCCTATTTCCGACGCCCTCCTCTTCCAGGTGTCGGTTACTCCAGAGTCGTCGCCGCCTAGGCCACCGATGGCTTCGCCGCTGCGTACGCCCCCACTTCACTCGAGACACGACTGGACTCCTCTTGGCGACTACACGGTTGGGCCCGCGGACCTCCGTGAGGCCACTTTCGATTCATCTTCCGTTTCGGACAGTGCCACTAGTTCGCCACTCAGCTCGGTGGGCGAGCTCACTCCGGGCGGCTGGCTCTCGCCTTGTCTCTCTGACGCCATGGCGCTCCCTGAGCTGCCACAACCCTTCATGCCGCCTGCCCCTTCGACACCCAGCGCGGAATCGCTCATATTCGTCAATAGCCACTTCTTCGAAGTGCTGTATTTCACCCGTCATGGTTTACCCATCTCCCCGGACACTCGGTCGTTCATCCCAGCGCTACTGGGCTACGACTACGTGCATGGCAGAGATTCCTTCCCGATGGAGCCAGTCTCCCCACCCTCTCAGGACGGGGTGCTCCAGCCCGCGGTCGGCACCGACACACCACCGGAGTCCGATCCCGCTAGCTTACTTTTCGCGGGGTCTTCGACGTCGACGGGTCCCGAAACCCCTTTGTCGCCGGTCCTCCCCGTGATTGACACTCTGGGCGATACCGCGGTCTCTTCTACTGCATCGTCTCCTTCCAATGCGCCGACGCCCGTCCTCGACGAGCTGGATTCGCCGACATCTTCGACTCCGGCGTCGCCCTCGATAGACGCCACTCAGTCCCCCGCTTCATCGGATCTCCTCGAGGTAGAGGTGATGTTGCGGTTCCCTCATGCTGGAGTGATGGAGGAGGACTGAACGCGTAGGTGATCGGTACGTACGAGTTCGTACTTGCCATTCAGGCGTGCTTACGCCTTTCTTCCAGGGACTATGCGTACCACCCAGAGTAGATGGGCTTCGTCTTTTTGTTCTCTTTTCTCTCTTTCTTGTCTCTTTTCTTGGGTTAGAGTAGCTCTTAGCATCGTCCACAATTGACTTCTTGGTTTACTATCAGTGTGGTATATGACAAAAAGTTCTCATTTATCTGTGAGTAGCTTCTCGTTTTCTCGCGGCGCGTCAACCTCAGTTCGCTTCTGCGGCACGTGGTAGTCAGGTGGCCTGCTCGGCAATCGCCGTGGTTCGTCTTGTTTGCTTCCGCTGAACCAGGCCGTGCTGCCATTCCATAGTCGTGGTTCAAAATGGAAAAATCGACAAATTTTAGAGGCTTGCGACTGCTCCATCTCCCCCACACCAAAATAAGCGGCGTCCTCGCCGTCGGCAATAGGTGGAGGGCAGCGCTATCGCAACCTCTCTTCACTTCCGGCACTCTGAGCAGACCGTAAGGTCGTGCCTATAAAAGGAGGCGGGCCTGAATCGGCTCCCGCCACCCAACTTTGCTACGCTCTTTTCGATCCCTGCTTGTCAATGTCGTCCTTCGGTCACATCAACGTCGAGAAACAGATTCAGGTGCTGCCCTCGGAGCCCACTGCCGAGGTCGCGTCTGCCATCCGCGCGATTCTCAGCCTCGATTTCAACAAGCTTCGCCAGTATACGACGCAGCTCGCAGACAGCCGCGCCGACATCAAGAGCGACCCGCTGCTCAAGGCGCTGAGGCAGAGCGTGGATCGGACTATACATCCCCGCCTTGGGGACGCACGGGTGCGTTTCTTCTTGTACATGCCTGATTCGGTTGCTCACGAATGCGTAGGTCGTTGTATCCGACTCGGGCTGCCGCGGTCATTATCTCATCATGTCCCGCTGCTCCACTCTCTGCATTTTCGCTCTCAACATTCTCGCCGTTGACGAGTCGCCCAACGACTACTTCCGCAACCTCGAAGTCATTCAGCAACTGGCTGATGACGCCGTACAGTCGGTGAGTACTCGCCCGGCTGGAGTTACTTCTGCGTGCTGATTATTGTTTGTAGTTGAAGATCCGTCGCAGCGGCGACACCTTCGGTAGTGCAGACGCCATGAGCGGCATCGAGGGCAACGCTGCGGCCGGTTCTTCGTTCAAGGGCCGTCGCCAGCGCGGCAAAGGCCGCGAGAGGCAGCCGCCCGCGGCGCCTCTGATGGACTTCTCGCTGTCACTCAAGCGAGGCCTGTCGCCCTCGGCCGAGTTCCCTCCTACGAAGGTATGTGACCTATTCAGGTGTCGTGATACTATTCGCTTATACGATCTAGATCGGAGTCTTCGATGCGAGCAACTCGGGCATCGCTCACTTCGGCGATACCGGCTTCGTTTTCAACGGGCTCAACGGCACGGATGTCTTCGCTCAGGCTCTCGGCTACGACGCCTCGAAGACCATGCTCGAGGCGGCTGCTTCAATCGCGCGTCGCCAGTCATACGGTGACGGCAAGCCTCACCTCAGCAGCGTCATGAAGCTGCTCAAGGAGGTGACTGCACATGAGAACACCCTTGTTCTCGGCATCGGCTTCCTTCTCGAGGCGCAGCGCGAGATGGAGCATTGCCGCAAGG